GTTGTGTGAATGCCATTCCGCCTGATTTGTAGGAGAAATGGCTTTTAACGAGATCAACGAGTTTTTTTTTTGTGTGTGGATAAGAATTATGGCTTAGGCGCAGACAGGGTAAATTCTTTTGTCCTATACTGCTAGATGATGAGATGGTTTTAAACAACTTCAAGAACAAGCAACAGAAAAAATTTGCGAGAAACTTAAGACCTATGGTTGCAGACTTTTGATAAGCATATCACTGCACCGTTAAGCACGTTTAAAAATAGACAAGTGATTTCCTTGAACAGCTTTTTTTTTTAAATACATGACTCTAGTTGGGTCGATAGACATAACGGCGCCAACGAATTTTTTTTTTAATTGAACAGAATGAGGTTTTTTTTACAGACTAAAATGACCTGTTGTGTAACGTCTTTGTGATTAGATGATTAAGGTTGAGTAATTACGCGAAAAACTCGTTTGTGCTCCGTTCATGATTTCACGAGCCTTCAGAATTAAGTGCGTACAGTGCATCACTTCGCTAAAGAACTATAAGGTTAACCAAGTCTCGGAGCCTTATGTTTTAAAAATGTATGCGTAAATGAAGACGCGTAAGTGGTAACTATTTCAATGTATGTCAATATCGTGTGCTTCAAACCACAAAACCACAGATGTCAACTTATCAATGTCACATTGTACTTTACTAGATAATTCCTTTCATCATCAAATCCGAAATAGATGCCAAACTACTTCCCAACAAACGATCAATCACTAAATTACCAATTCAAATATTGGAGGAATACTTGAAGCAACTGTAGATGTACACTTGGTAGGCTACAACTTGGAACAAACTCATGTAACCAAAAGGGGTTTACAAAGCGGTCTTAATGATATAGAGAGAATACAATTAAACGCCTTGGGATAAATTGAAACGCAACACTGTCTAGATAGATTATGTTGGAAACTTGACGAGTGAACTTGATGGTTTTAAAAGTCTAAGGCATATGTTCGCTTACTTGCTTCGTCAAGGATTGAAACCTTAAAAAAAGTAAAAGAAATAGTCATTTTTTTTTCAATAAAACTAGAGCAGCATTGCCCACACTTTCATGGCTTTAGGTCAAAGAATGGTCGTCTTTGTTTTCATGTTGCCGCGTGATACACTGCGTGGTCGAATTGCCGTTACGCCCGAAAGGTTAAAACGCTTGGCGCATGATACCCGCGTGAGTTCTTCATGATTTCCACCAAAACTCGTGAACATTCGTTTACGTAACTTTACATTCACAGTCTAATAGTTTTGTTCTTAGGAATGAAACCCTCACAATTGCATCACACTGTTTCACGGGACTATAAAGTTCTAATTATTCATGAGCAGCGGGTAATTAATCAAGCTGTTTGTATATGCACTCTCGCTTATAAACTCACCCAAATATCAAACATAAACCCGTTAGTAACCTAAAAAATAACTGCTACTGCCTCACCGGGAACCTTGCGGTTAAGAATGCAATTCTAGCACTTCCCTAGAACAAGGTTAATCAGCCTCAGGGCAAGTTTGTGTTGGAAATTTTTCTTACTTCATGCAGTAAAGGATAATCAGATGAGGCAACACATATTTGACAAATCTTCTTGACAGAGCAATCACGTCAGTCATTACATTGCAATAACAGGATATTGATAATGGCCCTGGCGAAAAATAACATTTTACGTATTAGGAGAAAAACAATTTTGAGAACTAAATACATATTGTGAGAGGGACCGTACTCGAAAATCGACTTTCCGGCATACGAAAATAAGGCGCGAAATGGTCGGAGATTACAGTAGATGGGGAATACAAAGCCAGCAAGGCAGTTCATCTTTAATATCTACCCTTATTGACTTTAAGCTTTCTCCGTAAGTTGTTTTTCTACTCACACCAGCTAAATGACGTTTCCAGAGGCTTTGTTTGGTAAAGTGGTCGATGCTATTCAAATCTTAATTTGGGAACTAAATATAATTTGTGGTCACAATCAGCACACGTCATTGAATGCGTTAGATTTTTAATATCTATTTTGAGGCGATCTCTAAGACACTAGTAAATGGTTAGACGAAATTTAAAAAATATTTGTACCTGGGAAATTGACGATTGATGGTAATCTTATGCTTCTCTTTAAAATCTGAAAATTATTTATTTTCCGTTGTATGTATGAAGACATTTTAAGACAGACCCTATCCCGAAAATTACGAGAATGTGGCAACGTGCTAAAATCTTCGTAATGCAGAGAAATCTGACGCGTTTACATTGCCTGTGCGCGTGACACGCTACGCGAACTTTTAAAAATTAACCAAATCGGTGTTATTTTATCTTGAAACGTAAGGTGAGTAGTAGAGGATGTAACCATGATCAGGTATAGCAGCTCAATCATCTACGAAAAACCATTTCATATGATCACCACTCTCCTACTTAATCAATTTACTTCTCCACTAACTCTCTTCATGTCTGCTAGATTACGTTTTGACTTTGATGGGACCATTCATTGAGAAACTTCCCCTTGGAGTAAAAATGTTCATCATACATCCCTTAAAGAAACAATTACCTAAACGATTCGGTATTTTCTCTCGTGTTCCTCGTTCGTCAGTCTTAACGAAAACGCTCCAAGGTCCTGTGTTTCTGCATATCATTTCATCTCTCACAATATTGAGCATGCGCAACCGTGTCGGGTGCCACTCTCCGCACACATGACCACGTGATTAAAACACACTTTGGCGGGCGAGGTGGTTTACGGGATAAAATACTCAAATGAAATGCAGTCTCGCTTACGCATCACCGGCTCAATCGATACGATAAAAATAAATCTTTCAGATGAGTCGGAAATTTAAGCTATCATAAGCACCCTATAAGATGTTTTTCTTTAGGCGGCTATGCAAATTTCAGCTCGCTGATAAAGTACAAACAAAACATTACCCGGATGTAAGTAAGTATTAAATAACTACTGCGCACAGATGCGCTTGCGATAAATTGAAAGTGGAACCGATCAAGATTGTCACTGTTTCGTCTATCAATGGGACACTATTGCCAACCACCAATTGCCATTAGATTTTGAAATTTGTTTCAACCAAAAAAGGTTTGATTAATGTAATGTTCGTTTTCAACCCGAAAAAATTTTATTCGGAGCGAAAATTAAGCACGTCTGGACAAATATTGGTTTGGACCTTAGCATTACAGCTATCCTCACATTTTTTGAAAGACTGGGTATAATTTCCTTTAGTTACAGTGTCTGGCAATTCCTCATGATATTTCTTTTCTGAATTTTTTTTCAGGTTAAGAATAATTATGGATCGTCTTTTCCTGGCTGTGTTTCTATGTGTCAGCTTGATGCCGCTTGTTTTCAGCGCCGGTAAGACTCCGGAATTTTATATACATTCATTTGTTTTCCTCTTCTCTGTTTTTGTTACCATTTGTCAAAAGGAGATTTTATATTTGTTTGAGGTCTACAATCCTCGCGAGATCTTTCAGTTTTGCGTCTCTACCGAATAAACACCTTGAGAAAGATGGGGATTTGCATACATCTAAACATATTATGTATTGCACCAGGTATTACACAAAGATGTCAAACCAAGTGAATGAAAATTCATTTGAATTTTCTTTGTGATATCAAAAAACCTCACAGAGTTGAACGTACACGATGACTTTTATCTCGTAAATCTGTGATGCAGCAGTTCTACTTCCCCGACACTATCAAGATGCTGGCTGGTGGTGAAAAATCCGATCATCGTCCGAAATTCGCACCTGTAATACAATTTTGAGGGTCCAAATGTAATCTAAAAATTAGATTAAAGCTCAGTTTTCCCAAAACCGGAAACCTTAAAAAATTACAAGGTTCGCAGTGAAGGATATAAAATCAGCACCTGTATCTTTCTGTAGCGGACAATGCCCCAGAGTTCCCGTTGACTGTACATGTACACTCTGTGAACTGTTTCTGACATTACTTTTTTTGTCTCCTCATAGATAATTGGGACTATGTCGTGGGTGGTCCAAATGGTAAGATTTGTTAACACTATTGCCTAAGTAATTCTTTATTTCGGTTTCTTTGTGAATCGATTGATTAAAATTTCCTATTACGAAACAAGGATATGGCCAATATTTAACGATTATTCCGAGAGCGCACGTCGGATATGAGATGTTAAGTACCCAACAAAGCGCTTAACACTGAGTTGGTTATGACTGACCGAGATCGTATCAAACAAGTGCGAATGGAATAATTGTTTTATTAAATTCTCCGCCTTTCGTTAATGCTATGGGAGCTTAATGAATTTGTTTAAACTCTAAAATTGAGAAACACTTAGATGCTGACTTCTATACACGGGATGTGAGCTTATAAGCGGAATTGAGTGAACTGATGAGAACACTCGAAATGCAGTACCCAGAGTTGAAATTGAATCTTACTTGATATGCAGTGATTTTACACTGTCGTGCGAATGTTCAACCGATTTATATATACCTCAATCGATTGTCCACAAGCCGAGATTACCCGGTAGAAAACACTATAGAAGAAAATAAAAGCCAAGGTGAGCGCGCCTCAGTGTACAGACGAAAAGAAACTTTTACGGGCAAACGTTTTAAACTTGTCTCTTTTTACGACCTGTTCTGGACATTTTGAAGTCAAACATACCTAAAAAAGATTGCTAATAGGTTGTTTGTCAACGTGACTCCAGACTCTCTCCGAAAATATCGGGCCAAAATAGAAAACTGAGACATCCCAGCTCACACACATAACGGCCAATAATTTCATTCAAATTTTCTTTTCCTTTATATTTTGAACATGGCAGACCCAAGTGCGATTTTGTGCCTAGGAATTTCGGGTAACTAATTCTGCAGTAATCAAAAATGGTCTTATGATTTTGGCTAAAAATGAAAACACTTATGATCATCGACAACACGAGCTCCTAATCATCCACACACAAACAAGAGAATGATATTCTCTTCATACAAACTAAAATAATCGTCTAGATCTATCCATAGGATAATAACAATTATTGCTGCTCTTAGCTTATCAGCGTGGCGTATTTGTGTTTCTACAGGCCCTGAAAAGTGGCCTGGGACTTGCGAAACCGGAAAGAAGCAATCTCCCATCAACATAAAAATGGCTGAAACAGAATATGCAAACATGGACCCTTTTAAGCTCACTAACTACGACAAGATGCCGACAGCCAATTATACCGTCAAGAACAACGGTCATACCCTGCAAGTTGATTTCTCTGAGAAATTTTTTAACGTTAGCGGTGGGGGATTGAAAGGAGTTTATACCACTGTGCAGTATCACCTTCACTGGGGGTCAGTTGAAAGTAAGGGATCTGAACACACAATGGAAAACAAAGCATACCCCGCTGAGGTTAGTAAATAAAGAACGTACTTAACAATTGTATGCTGCCTCTTCCTTTGTTTACACGGAGCCATTCGCGAAGCGAGAACGTGGTGAGTAAGGAGAGCTAGAGTGAGGAACCAGCTTCCTGCACGACAACCCCCCCCCCTCCTCCTCACACACCCATAGCAGGGGTTCTTCTCTTACACTGAGGGTTGGCAATTTTAACAACAATTCGTCGCTGAGGTTGGCAAATGACAAAAAAATAAATCAGCCAGGATAACAATACACAGTCGCTCTTTCTCAGCACGTGAGATCGAAGGGGAGAATCTCAAGGTTGTTTATACTACTTAGTAGAACAAGTGTAACATTTACCCCTCCCCTCCTCCCTTTCGATTGTAGAAAATTTGCGCTTTTGGGCATGAATGATAAATTGGAAAAGAAGGGCACTTTCTATCAACAAATTCAACAGCATGTTTTCTGGGAATGTCAAAACTGCGAGTGGAATCTTGAGTTCTAGTGAGGCGAAGAATTTAAGGCGAAAAATATTCTTCTTGTTGTCAAGTTTTCGTATATTCAACTAGAAATAAAACTCGACGAATTGCGAATCCTGATTAATTTAAAACTCTAACTTTAACACTAAAAAACTTTTTTCTTGAACAGATACACTTTGTTAGCTACAACACCAAATATCCAGACATAGGTACTGCAGTTGCCAAACCAGACGGTCTTGCAGTTCTTGGTGTGTTTATTGAGGTACTTCCAACATCTCTTTTTCTTTTCTATTAAGTGACTTTTGAACCTTTTTTTTTTCTGATATTATGTTATTTATTTCTTTTAGGTTGGAGGTGATGATAACCCAGCATATGGATTTCTGAAATATGCCAAGAATGTCATCACAAGTAAATCAGGCTTTGGGATTTGATTTAATGTTTAACATCTCTAATTTGAAACTGTACTGCGCTGTGCTGTAATTAGTAAGAAGTAGTAAAAAGGCATGCGCATAAACAACATAAATTTACGGTCCTTCAATTTGAATCTGCGCTCCTCGATATCTTTTTTTTCTTTTGTGGTCACCAAAATACTAATCATCGTTTTATTCCAAGTCATATCCTGAGTCATTCATTAATGTATTTATTCAGCTCTTAAATTTAAAGTTCGACATATATGCATATTTAGTCATTCACCTTAATTCGTTTATTCGTCGATCAATTTCTCGTTCTGTTGTTTATTATCATGTCCTGTACTTTCCTATTTGCATGTCCACTGGGCCATACGTTTCTTCGACATTATGTTCAGTGCTCAAACAAATGGCGATTAACACAAGGATAAACAATACACAATCACATAGATGGTTGTAAAGAGTGTCATCTATACTTTAAACTGTATTAATCCTTTAACCTCTAAAAGTGACCAGCACTCGATTTCTCCTTACATCATTACCCCTAAATGAGACTTTCCGACATGAGAATTAAGAAAGTGATGTCCACTTGAGAATTTCCTGACCGTTGAACAAATTTTCCAGGGCAGTAACAGGGAATATATAAAGGAAACAGTACGGAGAATATGCACTCTGATGTCAGGGTATAAAGAGTTCGGTAATTTTCTATTGTTTGGGTAGGAAGGCGTTCATTGGAAGAGGACAACAAATTTCATATAATTAACTGCGCAGAAGACGATAATTAGAGAGATTTGAACTGCTTCAACAATTGCGCACTTTACAACTTGGCTAATGAGTTATGATATCAATTCTCACAGAATCGAGCATGCCTATTATGCCATTCAAGCTGAAACCGACGTTGCCAGAAACAGTAGGCAAGTTTTTCCGTTACAGTGGCTCCTTAACCACTCCCGGATGTAACGAAATTGTCACCTGGACGGTCTTCAAAGACAGCGTCAAAATATCCGAGGATCAGGTATATTATTTGATGGTGATTCTTTGACCGCTAAGAGTGCCACGTGAAATGACGGCTTTGCAGCTTTGTAAATATCAGTAAACATTCGATTAATAACTTTCTCAACTGTTTAAAATTATGTCTCGGTTTGTAACAACTTCCCTCTTTTATGGTATACTTTTGACTGCGCATGCCCCAATCAATGAAAGGTGAAGTATCGTTCAGGAGCGCGCCTAACAACCAAAAGGAAATCTCTCTTTTAAATATCTCTTTTTTTTACTCGGTTTTAGGTCGTACTTTTTTTAATAAGAAATAAACTCATCAAATATCAGACAAACCGAGAGCAAATGATATATGTATGAAGGGCTGTTTTATGATTTGGCCTTCACTAAGCTTTCACAGCTGTTTACGTTTTGGGGGAGTGGGAGTGAGATTCTCTTTTTGACGCTCCTACTTGACAGGGTGAGGGGGAAGGGGGGGGGGGGGAAGAAAGGGAGACCTTTAGCAGTGGTTGAAATTCAATTACTATTGGCATAATTTTATTTTCTTTCTATAGATGAAATATCTGCGCATGCTCAAGTTCAACGACAATTCAACGATGGTTAACAATTACCGTCCAGTTCAGGATCTCTATGGCCGCGCAGTTAAAAACAGTTTCCAGGAAATTATGAAAACCACTCCAACAGCAAGTGCTGGTGCAAGCATTATTGACATAAGCGTTGGTCTGTTCTCACTGATGCTGTTGACCGCCCTGTTTGGTCGTTAACTTTCCGCATCGCTCTGATGTAATTTTGTTTTTTTTTCAAATTGTTTTTGCAATTTTTATTATCATCACTATTGTTTTAGGCGGTAGTTGGTACACTTAATGTGCTTTTGCTAATGTAATGTGATTTTCTCGGTATTTGGAAAAAGCAATTAGTTGGGTAAGAGATGATTTGTACCTTTTAACCTTTTACCTTTGCCCAATATCTGTAAACTAATTTGAAAGAAATGACGTCGATAGACCCAATTTACACAGACTTACCTACTCGCTTAGTTCATTTTTCCATTCAAGGATAATATGGACAAATGCAAGGATTCTTTATTTTATTCTTTCACCGGATGATTTAGTGCGACGTTTTTTGCGTGCTTTTTTAATGTTATAGCTCTGTCACAATGCTTGTAGGAGGATAATTTAGACTTAAAGTAAAGATTCTGTTGCACGCAAAAGATGTTGACGTTTTGTTATCTAAGTGTTATCTTCTAAAAAAGCTTGAACAGACTGCGTCGGTGACGGCAAAGAAATCCTGGCGAATCAAAAGATTTTAGACGCATTGATAGCTCTTCGTGTGTTTTAAGACTACTTGTATTTAGAGCCGTCCTTGCACAATAAAAACGTGAAATAACCATATTTTGCGCATTTAAATGGCGAGAACCATAACAGGGTGCTGTCAACGTGAGCCGTTGGACAGAGGAAATCTGAAATTGGCGTTTTTGTAGGCGATGCTCTCACAATTGCTCAAACTCTCTCGATTATCCTCCTTGAAAGAACTGATGTACTATTTCGGTCTACTTCATCTCTAGATATTAGAGGCAACCCATTCTTTTCTTTACAATACCTGGTGAGAGCTGTAATATATTCCACATTGTAAAAGTAGACTAGTCGAAAAATGATTAGCTGCATCGGGCTTTTGTTGGCAAGTTTTAAACTGGGATGATCGTGAGAACAGAGACCCTGTCCCCGCTCTCCCTCCTTCTCCTCCTCTTTTAAAGGAAGACCGAAGACTGGACCAGAGAAATTGGAGGAAATCATGCCTTCAAATAAGCCGCAAAAGGAACAGCATCAATGATCTCCCATTTGAAAACGTTAAGGGAAAACTACTTTAATCTACTCCTTCGTTATCCACAACCTGCGATATCATTTACAACAGATAAACCACTCGTCCGATAGAAACGTTTACAACACTTTAATTGCAGTCGCTGACCAGCAGAAATAAGTCGAGGATTCTTGCACTGCGTGCTTAGTAGAGTTCCATAAGACGTTTCCCAAAGTGTAATAAGTTGGTGAGAGGTCACACGTTGGCGTAAAAAATAGCTTTGATTAGCCCAGTGAGACTTCACTCGCACATGCGCGCAGAAGCAGCCAGATGATAGGTGTGAACCTGGCTGCAAGGTTCAAACTTGAAAAGTTGGCGGAAGTTAGGAAGCTTTGGGCCTAGTCGAAGTTTCTCGTTGGAGCAAAAACAATTAACATGCATGAGTCTGGGTAGGATTTTAAACACTTTGCTAAGCCGTTAAACTTCCGCAGGTGATAAACATGTACCTCTTCTTCACAAATTTGACACATTATCAAGGAAAAATATTAAAAAGAATAGACAAATTCATCATCATATGTATGTCGTCTTGACCAGTTTACCAGGAAATGAGGCCAGGTATGAGACCCAGAAATCATCCACTACTTATATTGCATTAAATCTACATTTCAAGAGCTGCGCTCCGCTCAACAGCTGATTCATAATTCTTGGAAAAATCCAATTTGTCCTAAAATGAGAACACTGATATAATGTTCTGCACTGAATTCCATTCAAATTATTTCGGTTGTTTGGCAAAACAACTCTTCAGGGTGCAATGCTATTTACATTCGTAAGTATTGACAGGTTGACTAAACAAGGTAAATGACGTGGGAACCATCCGTAATAAAAGACGTCTACATGAATCAATTTATCGCTTTCCTCTTTGTACCTTAAACACTTCGCATACTAGGAAAGGAACACCAAAACAGAGTTCATTTTAAAGGTAAACCTCTTATTTTTGAGCAATTCAGCGATAGTGTGTGCGTAATTCCACAGGTACCTGACATTTAATCATAAGCCTGCGTAGCTGGTAGACTTTAGGGTGCTAACTGACATTATTATACGCGTCGAAGCTGCGAAAACGAGAACCGAACCTTGAAATCGCTCTTACGGCCTTGCTACTCGATTTCAAAACTAGAGTGAACTCTTGATAGCTGTCTGCATTTGGCTGAAAAGGGTAAAAGCCGTTATTTAACTGTCAAGGCTGATGCCAAACACCAGATCCAAACCACCTGAGTTTTACGGCCTCCTAATTCTGTTTGAAAAAGTAAGTCAAAGTAAAGTTTTGAGGGAAACCGAATGATATTTCATTGGCTGTTTATGAGCTAATAGACGATGCCTAATGTTAAGGTACATACATGGCTACATGTGTCGCCATCTAAATTCGCTCATCGGTGGAGTGATCGATTACTCCAATGACTCCTATGACTCCTACTTGACAGGGTGTGGGGGGCGGGGTGGGGAAGAAAGGGAGACCTTTAGCAGTGGTTGAAATTCAATTACTATTGGCATAACATTTTTTTCTTTCTGTAGATGAGCTATGTGCGCATACTCAAGTTCACAGGCAATTCAACGATGGTTAACGATTACCGTCCAGTTCAGGGTCTCAATGGCCGCGTAGTTAAAAACAGTTTCCAGGAATCTACAAAAACCACTGCTGTTTCAACAAATTGACATAAGCGTTGGTCTGTTCTCACTGATGCTGTTGACCGCCTACTACTCGCTTAGCTCATTTTCCATTCAAGGATAATACGGACAAATGCAAGGATTCCATATTTTATTCCTTCACCGGACGTTTTTTGCGTGCTTTTTTAATGTTGTAGTTCTGTCACAATGCATGTAAGTAGATAATTTAGACTTTAAGTAAAGATTTTGTTGAACGCACAAGATGTTGACGTTGAGTTATCTAAGTGGTATCTTCTAAAAGAGCTTGAACAGATTGCGTCAGTGATGGCAAAGAAATCCTGGTGAATCAAAAGATTTTAGAAGCAGTGATAGCTCTTCGTGTGTTTTGAGACTACTTGTATTTAGAGGCGTCCTTGCACAATAAAAACGTGAAATAACGCATTTAAAGGACGAGAACAATAACAGGATGCTGTCAACGTGAGCCGTCGGACGGAGTAAATCTGAAATTGGCATTTTTGTAGGCGATGCCCTCACAATTGCTCAAACTCTCTCGATTATCCTCCTTGAAAGAACTGATGTACTATTTCGGTCAACTTCATCTCTAGATATTAGAGGCAACTCATTCTTTTCCTTACAATACCTGATGAGAGCTGTTACATATCCCACATACGTAAAAGTAGACCAGTAGAAAAAGGATTAGAGACCTTATTCCCGCTCTCTCTCCTTCTCCTCCTCTATTAGGGAGGATCGAAGACTTGACCCGAGAAATTGGCGGAAATCATGCCTTCAAATAAGCCGCAAAGGAACAGCATCAATGATCGCTCATTTGAAAACGTTGAGGGAAAACTACTTTAAACTACTCCTTCGTTAACCACAATCTGCGATATTATTAACAACAAATTAAACACTTGTCCGATAGAAACGTTTACAACACTTTAATTGTAGTCGCCGGCAAGCAGAAATAAGTCAAGGATTCTTGCACTGCGTGCTTAGTAGAGTTCCGTAACATGTTTCCCAAAGTTTAATAAGTTGGTAAGAGGTCAAACGTTGGTGTAAAAAAGTTGCTTTGACTAGCCCAGTGTGACTTCACTCGCACATGCGCACAGAGACAGCCGGATGATAGGTGCGAACCTGGCTGCAAGGTTCAAACTTGAAAAGTTAGCGGAAGTTAGGGAGCTTTAGGTTGTGTCGAAGTTTCTCGTTGGAGCAAAAACAATAAAAAACATGCATGAGTCAGGGTAGGAATTTAAACACTGAACTCAGCTGTTAAACTTCAGGAACAGGAAGTTAGGGAGCTTTAGGTTGTGTCGAAGTTTCTCGTTGGAGCAAAAACAATAAAAAACATGCATGAGTCAGGGTAGGAATTTAAACACTGCACTCAGCTGTTAAACTTCCGCAGGTGATAAACATATACCTCTTCTTCACAAATTTGACACATTATCGAGGAAAAATATTAAGAAGAATAGACAAAATCATCATCGAATGGATGTCGTCTTGAGCAATTTACCAGGAAATGAGGCCAGGTATGAGAGTTAGAACTCATCCACTACTTTATATTGCATTAAATCTACATTTCGAGAGCTGCGCTCCGCTCAACAGCTGATTCATAATTCTTGGAAAAATACAATTTTTCCTGAAATGAGAACACTGATATAATGTTCTGCACTGAATTCCATTCAAATTATTTCGGTTGTTTAGCAAAACAACTCTTCAGGGTGCAATGCTATTTACATTCGTAAGTATTGACAGGTTGACTAAACAAGGTAAATGACGTGGGAACCATCCGTAATAAAAGACGTCTACATGAATCAATTTATCGCATTCCTCTTTGTACCTTAAACACTTGGCATACAAGGAAAGGAACACCAAAACCGAGTTCGTTTTAAAGGTAAACCTCTTATTTTTAAGCAATTCAGCGATAGTGTGTGGGTAATTCCACAGGTAACTGACATTTAATCATAAGCCTGCGTAGCTGGCAGATTTTAGGGTGCTAGATGACATTATTACACGCGTCGAAGCGAGGACCGAACCTTGAAATCGCTCTTACGGCCTTGCTACTCGATTTCAAAACTAGAGTGAACTCTAGACAGCTGTCTACATTTGGCTGAAAAGGGTAAAAGCCGTTATTTAACTGTCAAGGCTAATGCCAAACACCAGAGCCAAACCTATTAAGTTTTACAGCCTCCTAACCCTGTTTGAAAAAGTAAGTCAAAGTAAAGGTTTCGAGGAAATTCAAATGATATTTCATTGGCTGTTTATGAGCTCATAGACGATGCCTAATGTTAAGGAACACACATGGCTGCATGTCTCGCTATCTAAATTTGCTCATCGGTGGAGTGATTAGTCATGCAACGAGATAAGCTAGTGCCAGGAGAATCCATTCACAAAGGTAGAAAGCAGAAGTAACAACTGTGCTTTCGTTTCGCCCCTCAAAATGCACATCGGACCTTAGTTCTAAGATTCGAATCACTTGAGCAGTTTAAAAAAATCTTTTGAAACAGGAATTAGTTTCCAACCTCTGCTTATAGTAGGGGACTATAAGACACCGGATATGATTGGGCCGGAGCTCTCTTTTATTTCCACTGAAGGCAAGAACTATTAACGTCGAACCAAGCATTCTCTTTGAAAATCGATAAAAAGGTATTTAATTTTCCAAGAAAAGTTCTGAAACAAGATACTTGTCAAAAGAGATACGAAACTGTAAGTTAGTTATTAATATCACTCGTTCTTCCTTTAAAGATTTCTTTTTAGGTAAATTTAACTATGAAAGGTCTTTTGCTGCCAGTTCTCCTTTGTGTCAGCTGGACCGCTCCGGGTGTTTTCGCGGCCGCTGGTGAGTAAACAAAAAAAACTCCTGTCCTGATTAGCCGTTGAATTTAGTTCAAAGGAAAGTGTATGAGAATGAGCTAATGGGAGATTATCAGAACTGATTTGTATTTTCCATGATGTTCTCGAAGTTTAACTCTAAACCTCTGTTGTGAGGTGTTGTTGTGAAGCCTTGTAGAGCATTGGCTGCTTGTGATTCTTAAAGCACCACCAAATTAGAGTGGCACTCGTCCAGCCACGTCACTAAGTCGATATCTAATTTGTATTTTATTTAATTTAAAAAATGATTAATAATATTTTTATTGTATTTCATAGATTCATGGTCTTATACTGGGGTAGACCAAGATGGTAAGATTTTAATCATACTCCCAATTTCTTAGATTATACGACATAAATTTCTGTAAATTATTATATTGCTTCTATACTACATTTCGTCTACTAGAGCGTTATCGGAACTCCCGACTCTCACATGCAAATCACGATAATTTTCTGTGTGGTTACTGTTTTAATTCTTTGTTTAGAACAATTGTTTTTTTTAGTATTAATGTTGTCTCTGCCGTCTCAACGCAATTGATGTGTTACAGGCCCAAAAAACTGGACAGGTACCTGCAAATCTGGAAAGAAACAATCGCCCATCAACATAAAAATGTCTGACACTAAGTATGAGAAGATGACCGATTTCACACTCACGAATTACGATCGACCCTCCTCTCTGAATCTCACGTTCACGGCTACAAACAACGGTAAAATTGGAACAGTTGTATTTAAAGTCCCTCCGAATATCTACAACGTTAGTGGCGGAGGACTGAAAGGTGTTTTCACCACCGTTCAGTTCCACTTTCACTGGGGGTCAAATGATTCAATAGGATCAGAACACACTTTGGACGGGAAAGCGTTCGCTGCTGAGGTACGTAAATAAAGAACGTACTCCGTCTGTACAAATGTGCACATTAACCTCAACGGAGTGTGAGCGCGGAAAGAAAGGGACTAGGAGTGGTTGGTGAGCTGGCTTCTCGTCGTTATGGGCTAGCGTCTAATTCACAAGCGATTCTTCTCAGGGCATCCAAAAATGAGCCTAGGACTAAATGCTCTACTCCAACTAGAACACTGGGTACCATGTTGTTTTATGACTCTGCATGAAATTTTAAACGTACTTCGTTACATGTACACCACGATCCTTTAGATGCGAGAAAAAAACCTTTAAAATTTAATTTCCAGACTTCAGAGGAAGTTTTCCAAACTTAAAGAAAGCCACAGCTCGTAAAATGTTAATCTTTGGTCTTTCCTTAAAGTCCTTGAAACAAACGTAAAAATAAATTTACAAAAAGGAAAGGTTCACTACAAAGAAAATTTTAAATTTACTTTTCCAAGTAAGAGCAGAGTCCAATAGCGCTTGACTTAGCTGATCCGACGTGCAATTAAAAAAAATTGGGTAACCCCGCTTGAAAGCTTGGATAACTAAAATTATTTTCAAAATTGATTGACTTGAAGTTTTCGTTTTGCTTGAAAAGTTGCATTTCGTCAGTTACAACACCAAGTACTCAGAATTTAAGGATGCAAAAAACAAATCAGACGGGCTTGCCGTGCTTGGAGTGTTCATCGAGGTATGGCAAAAATACTTGTCACTTCATTTGAATGTACCTAAATGCATAACAATAAAACGTGATCTATTTCTATCATGTCTTGTTCCAGGTTGGCGATAGAAAAAATCAGGCATTTTCATTTTTAGATGAGTATCTCGGTGAACTCGTGAACAGCAGTACGTATACCAGTCTCTTGTACATTTGTTTGTTTCTTTGTCCACCGAAAAACTGACCGGTGGAGGTCATTACCCACAACTTTCACCGACATTGAGGCGAACAATTACTTTTGTTTACATCAAACTTCAGTCAATATACCGAAAAATGGTCGGAAATTCAACTCTTAACGTGTGACTTTGTTTCATATCGGCTACTCGGAGGTGAATAGAACTTGCTTATGACTTCCCAACCAGCCAATCACCTGTGTGATGTAAACTAAAAGCGTTTGATCAGGTACAAGCTGCTGGTAAGCAACGTCTGAAACCTCTTAACTCCCACATGAAGAAGTCAGGGAGACTAACAAAGGGCGGGGGTTGTCTGAGGCATTTGAGCCCCTTCTTTGTATAGAGATATGGATAATTTAGAGCAACGAAACAACCCAGCATGCATTGTAATGCCAGTACAATGCTAGTGTAGGGCCCTTCGACAGAGAAATCTTGGTTATCGTAAGCCCCCCCTGTACAGTGATAGTCAAGTCAATCTCAATCAAGTTTGTCATTATTCTTCCCATTTAGAATTTTGATATCCAAGGCAATCTTTTACCCGCTGTGGGGGAGGGAGAACAAGTAATAGGAGAACAAACAACTTACTTATCTTTCACGCTAATTTATTCACAAAGATATGCTTCTCTAATTGCCTGACGTGACTTACGTTACTCTCACAGGCTCGTTAGTAAGTAACATTACTACGTTTGCTCTGGCACCTATGTTGCCTTGGACCACACTTCATAAGTTCTTCCGGTATCATGGTTCCTTAACAATTCCTGGTTGTGACGAGAGTGTCACTTGGACACTTTTCAACGACTTCGTGCAGATCTCACATGAACAGGTAACAAAGAGAGGTCTTCTAATCCAATATGACTGAATTTAGAACACAGCCCACATTGTCTAAACATATAAGTTGGAAAACTTAGGATGGCTTTAGCTTCGCACAAGCAAATAAAATGAAAGATTCAGTTTCTCGGTTAATAAAATCACTATTTGTCTGAGCTAACAGCTTATCAAATAAATATTGAATTGGCGTAATAATTATGTTCTTCGTTGCAGATACAGTATTTACGCAAACCTCACATACGCATCAGGCAAGAAAATGGTTAACAATTATCGTCCAGTACAGCCGCTCAACACAAGAACCTTGAAGAACAGTTTTCTACATCCCTCTTGCCCACTGCTAACCTCTACCAGCAACATCATCGATAGAAACGCTGGCCTATTCTCACTGTTGTTGCTCTCTGCACTCTTTAAACACTGATTATATTCGCAGTGAACATTTTCATAAGGTCTCCTTTTTTTAAGTAGCTTACTTGGTTGTCGTAGCTTAGACGCGTGTAGACACACTTGTACCAAGAAGCTTATCTATCTTTACCGAATTCTGTCTGAAGACACTCAGACGCAGAAACCAATTTCAACGGAAGACAATCAGGGAGCCAAGCTATTAAGGTTTTCCAACACGCTTTGGAGTTTTTTTTTCCGAATGGTGTTAAAGTAAATAAAAAATAATTCAAAGGGCCCTTGGCATCTTGAATATAAAAGTTTTCTGCACTTGCATGATGAAGATATGAGAGTGATCTTTGAAGAGTAACGCAGCAAAATACCTCATAAGAAAAGCCTTCATTAGTTCTTAGTGTTTGTTTTATTTTTACCGTGGAAAAAATTATTTCTCCTGAAAAAAAAAAAAAAAAGGAAAAAGAAAACAAAACAAACAAACAAACAAACAAACAAACAAACAAACAAAAAAAAACCAAAGGTCTCCGAAAAGGCTACCATCACTTCTTTGCTGCAGTTACCCATTTTCTCCGCGTCTTGCATTAAGTACGCAATTTCCCCCCCCCGCACGAAATCGGTTAATGAGTTAATGAGTTAATCAGTATACCTAGCTTACTTCTATTGATGGCGTCAGTGAGCACATGGGGCTACGCCCTAAACTTTTACAGCCCTACCTGCGATACCTAAAAAGAAAAAAAAATTAAGACAACAAAAGTTTCTCTGGCTAAAGTGGACATTAATTTCCAATCTAATCAGTAGAACGAGCCGCTTTTAGACTACAAGTTTTTCCTTCACATTTCTTGAGAGTGAAGCATTCCAGTAAGAATTATTTTCAACCCAATTCAATGCTACGGTTTTATCACAAACTAACTAAGTTTTAACTGGAACGGAAATAAACAAAACAATTCTGATTTTGCAAGCTGCCATTGTTCAGCTTGTGACTAGCGGACTTGTCATCTGCCCTGCTACTTCTACTGGGTAGCCAAGCCCTGGGGAAGGTGCAGAGTAACGGTGTTCAAACCACAGAGAGGGTCTATAATTATTTGTGGTTTGCACGCATCCTCCTTCATCGGTCTTAATATTCTCAAAACCTGGGGGTGATTTGCGAACTTTGTGTTTCCTGTTTGTCTGTTTTCGTTTGTCGCTTCGATTTTCCTTGAGTTGCTGGTCAACGCTTTTTTTCTCGGGTTTAGCCTTGCCACTGTCTGATGGCGCAGCCCCTTCGGATAGTTTCCCAACCACTTCTCCAGAAGAGGTCTCGTGTGTATTGGCAGCCCCTCCACCCTCCGTGGTTCCGTGGGTACTGGCAGTGGAAAACCTGCCTCTACTAGACTTCCCTCTTCCCCGCCTGGCAGATCTTGGCTTTTCTCCGTGGAAATTTTGTGACGAGCCACTATTTCTGCTCCCGTTGCTGACGTTCGTCACAGCATTCTCCACGTTGTCTGAAGGAGTGTTCACCTTCGTTTCAAGTTGGGTTTGAGAGCTCTCTGATTTATCTTCGTTCCAAAGCGCGAAGCCCCCCCCCAGATTTTCAGAAGGTTTTACAGGTTCTTTCTTCTTTAGCCTCTGTTCGGAAGTTTTCGACCTATTATTAGTGAACTGGCGTTTTCTGTCGATTCTTTTTCCAAAATGGTCCGATTTATCTTCGCCCGATCGATTTCTAGTTTTGTGTTCGGAGTGCTGACGAGTCCGAGTGGTTTCTGAGTGCTTCAAGAACTCTTTCTTACCATCTGATCTGTCTTTATAGACAACATTACCTAATTGGCTGGTTTCTCCAGCTATGCCTCCCTGCTTGGGAGGATTATTTTGAGTGAGTTCTGCTGAGGAGTTATTTATTATATCTGCTGTCTCGGGCCCCGAAGAGGGCTCGTTTCCATGTACTGCCTCCTCCTCCTGACGAACCTGTTGAGCAAAAAAAATGATTAGGCGTGAGTAACAAGGTTCTAAGAACAGGAAAAATTTCAAGAAATCCACCTATGAAGATCATGATACCCTGAAGAAAGATTAGTAAGCAGCGTCGCTAAACAACCGTGCTACCTCAAATGCAACCACCAAGCTCCACCAATATTCACTGAGCACAATTTTTCTTTTGAGATCATTCATCCTCATTACAGCTGCAGATCAGAAATAATCTACTAGAGAGAGATGTAACACTTGTGGTATAAGCATAACTCTCTCAGCACAAAACGAAAATCGTTAAAAATGCTTTAATAAAGACGTAGCAAAATGTAATTCAAGATTGAAATCTTTGAAGCCCCAGTAAGTAAGGTTGATAATGTCACCGCTGATGAAAAAGGCGACGCTCATAACAATAAACGATTGTGAATATATGAAAGTCATATATTTAAACTGCGGATAAAGACGTGAATATAAAAGCGATCTTCGCAGTAATGAACACCACTTGAGCAGTAGTGAAAATAAGGCCTGATAAAAAGGTCATGGGTTCAAATCCCGTACAGGCCTGATTTTCACTACTGCTCTAGTAGTGTTCATTGCAGCGAAGATCGCTTTCATCTTCACGCTTATAACAATGATCACAATTAGAGCAGTTTTCAGTTTAGTATCGAAAGTGATCTTGGATTGCTTCGGTTTTACTTTACTTCGCTGTGATTGGTTCACAAAACTAGCGCCACCACCATCTCAACCCAATAAGATGTCGAAGTTAAAATAAATCTCCACCTTCGTCACTTGCGTTTTTCCGCGGCGATTCAAGCAAGTAAACTATTACTTTGAATGGGAAAAGGAGTGAGGCAAATTAAGTCAACTTGTCCGCTGTGGCAATTACAATACATACCGACGTTATATCGATCAAAAATCTGTTTCTTTCTTTTTCCAAGTCAATCACTCCTCCTTTCCTTTTTTGTTTTTCATACAGCGAGGACATTTCTCTCTGGAGTTTCTTGATTTCTTCACTGGGTTTGTAAACAAACTAAACAAGAGATAAACTTTAAATAAGCTTCGTATCGGACAAAAACGTGTTTGGAGATTCGTCACTTTTGTTATCATCCCTTGACTCACAAAAGAATTAGTCTGGTCATTCCATGACTGAAAGAGAATTAGTTTAGAAAAAGCACAACGCAACAACCTTAGCATATGAAAAATGAAAAGAAGGATAGAACTGGTCAAAGGGATTCAATTTTATCATTGAACATCACTCAGTATGACGAAGGTGTTTGCAGTCCTGTACACGAATTATAAACATCAAACAGAACTGTCATATCTCAAGATAGAAGTTGGTCAAAAGACAAACTAAAGTTTGATGGAAAATGATATGACAAAGTAAGCAATTATTATCAACAAACCTTCTCCTCATTCACATCATTAGAAGCCAGAGCCTTGAGTTCTTCAAGGTTGTAAGCAATTGCCATCCGGCACATAGGACACTCTACCTACAAATTTGACAATACATTTACCAATTTATTGTTTTCCTGACTAGTACAACAGCAGTACAATATATACTGGTTCAGCTGAAAATGCTGTTATGCAAAACTGCTTAGATTACTACTTAAAATTTTTTGTGGTTTAAAAAAATTTGTCTAATTTGATAAACTCACCTTTGTGGTCATCTTCATAATGTTTCCTTTTTTGATTGAAAAGTTGGAGATATAATATGGGATAAAGTATACCCATTTAAAGGGAAAATTTTTAAGTCTGCTTCATGCACAAGCTTTTCTGTGATTAAAATCTTGTGCAATTGTTTGGAACCTAGTAACCCTTCCAATATCTGCTTGATCACTACTATTTAAAAAACTAATTTGATAAAATCACCTTTGTGTCATCTTCAGTTTCCTTTTCTAGTTGGAGAGAAAATTCTATGAATCTTGCTAAGCAGCCACAGTGAAAGTAATGGTAACACTCTGTCTTTGTAAATTTGTGTGTATCCTGTATACATTGAGGAATGAAAAAAAAAATGTTAAAAGTGTTGTTGCTGTGATCAAACCTCATGCATGAAAGTCACCATAAAAGTGACAAGAGTGGACTGAAGACTTTTCAACACTGACTGTAACAGACGGTTGGAAAATAACAGAGACTTCACCCACATACTTCATACTCTTGCATTAACTGAAACTCTACTTGACCTTCGGTTTAGCAAGTAAATATTGTGGTCTAACATGATAATGGATAAATGGTTCAGCTATAAATGTTGTTAGCTGAGCAAGCAGAATGTGGCTTTTGATATAATTCTGACCATTTCAATTCTGAAGTTTACCAGGTAGAATGTATTTGCTAGGCAAAACTTAAACTATTATATTTGATGACCAGGACTTTGTGAAATGTTTTTGACATCTTTTCAAGTTGGGTTGGAGAGGTGGCTATATTTCTTTTATCTAAAACTTGATTTATGAATAATCTTTACCATCACATATTGAAACTAACTATTGATTAAGGTTTCAAAAAACATTTTCCTAAACTCACCTGAAAATGGCTGAGGCAAATGGCACAAGCACAGCTGGGCATGTTATTGTCAGTTAAACTGTCCTTGGCATGCTGCAAAAGAGTTCATGCAAAGGAAACTATTTCTCTACACTTAGTAGTGATGACAATAGTAATTAATGCTATAGAGTACACAAACACAAAAGTCTTTTCCTTTAACAAGATTGTATTTAGAATCAACCACTTCATTTCACTTAACCTACAGTGTAAACCAATCAATCGATTCAATGAACTGACCTCAATAAGTTCATACAACATAGGTCTTCCAAGACAACCCTCTGCAAGTGCTCTAAGGTTGACCAAAATGCTACAAAATGCACAAAAACATGGCCATCAGAATCATTCGATTTTAAAAGCTGGAAGTGTAGAATCTTCTTACTTAATATGCGACCTTTCAAGTTAATGCTTTAACTCCTAAGATCTGATTGCTAATTCTCCCCTGTAGCTGCTACACATTTCCTTGTAAATTAGTTAGGAGAACTTGGTGCTAGATCAAGATAACAGCTTCTACCTGATAAGTTTGAATATCCTCATTACCTGTGTGCTAAAGAATGTATGGATATTGTAGGGAGAAGTTTTATGTTAATCACTTCTGGGAGTTAAAGGGTTAACGACTCTGACGAACACTTGTTCAAGTAGGTGACACTGTCTTTATACATGCTTTGAGAAATCAATGCAAAGTCAACATGTTGTCCCAGTTTACAAAAATATTCAAACATTTGTGTATTTGGAGTTAAAAAATGAAAAAAAGGGCTTCTCAGGTTACCAAAAGGAAGTGGTCATTGAATGCTCTTAACTCACCAATCCAAGGAATTTCTAATGATCATTGCTTATCAGCATGCCCTTGATTTCTTACAATGTTGAAGAATCAAACAATTGTTAAATTTTGCTACCTGTCAACATGGGCTTCAGATAATCCTCTGGGTGTCTTGATGTGAATGGAAGGTAATTCACACGGATACTGTTAAATATGACGATAAATATTACCGCAAGGTTGATATAAAATTGATTTTGTGATATAACAATTGTAGCAAAGAATGATACTTATAACTTTAACAAGTAAAATAAGCAAGAAAAAAAAGAGGGAAATTTTAAGGCTTATAAGATGGAAGCGAAAAACTTAACAGCAGTTTCAAACTGTGGAATATACAAAGATCTGGGTAAAAGATCAGGAGAATGGGAGGGCATACCATAACTCTCCTGTAATAGTCTTTCTAATTCAAGAAGTTCATTCGAACTTATGTTAAATAGGTATATGGTAGTGATCACATATGTAAGTCCCTGTTTTCTTTTTAAGAAAAACTATTTGTTGAAACAAGTCAATTCACTCTGTCTCTAGACCTTAGCTGAGGGCTGAGTCACCAAGAAATATCCTACACTATAGAGTTACATACCTTTTTTGGAAGGTGAATAAGTAATGTTAGACATACAAAACGCTTGTCCTCCTCATCTCCTGTGCTTGGATGAAGCAGAACACTAACAGCTGTGGGTCTGAAAGAAGGAAAAAATCCAGAAAAAGCATTTTGGTATTTCTTGGATTTTAGGGTAGAGAAACCAGTCTTTCCTCCACGCTCCTTATCATGATAGTATTCATGAGTAAAAGTGCTTAAAATGAAAAATCCAGTGGATAACAGAATTGCCACTAAACCTTTAGTGAAAGAAAAGTAGAAGAAAAAAAAGTTAAAAGGAAAATCACTGGCGGTCACATTTAGCATTATGTATTGCAAAACAGGCTTGGTAGCCTTTCCGTTTTGGAAAATAGTAACAAACAAAAATAAAACCATGGTTAGTGCTATTACCAGTATCAAAAAAAAATTAAGAACCATGTACGTGTACCATGCCCTCTTTATACCTACACTTATCGGACTGTTATGTAGTTAACAATAATCTCTAACCTTATGCACAGACATAATCAACCCAAACAGCCTTCTCCATCGGTAATTATCTATAAAGGAGATGTTTAGGCGCTGCGCGCTTACCTCTCCTTTTCACTTTCCACTGTTAACTCGTGAATGTAAATAGCCGACAATAATTCAATCTCTTCTTCGAGAGAATAGCTGCAAATTTATGGAATAGACTTATGGTTAATATAAACCATATAAAAGGTACAGATAATTACGCTCGATAAACATATTTCAAACCAGAAATGTCTTCAGGTACCTTCCATCTCCATCCACTATGGCCGCCATGTTGCATCATCAGTCTGCACTCTTACATGTCATTACTTGTCTTATCTAAGCATGCTCAGAATTCCAACCAGCGAAGGGCACTGGGGATAGTTTACAAAGTTATGTTAGTTAGTTCAAAGATTGGTTATGAAATTTTTCTTCATGGTTCCCCCATTTCTCTCCCCACTATTGACCTTCCCTTCCCTTTTCCTTCTTTAGCTCGTGGTGAATTTTCTACCATTTCTCTTTCGTCTTTTTAAAGAGACACATATTTACTTGAAAAACGAAATTCCCAATTTTAGCGCGCGTACTTATCTATAATTATTAGCATAGGAACGAGACAGCATTGTTCTGTCAAAAATAAGACCAAAGAGCCAGTACGCAGGAAGAACCGTATTTAATTTAATAACACAATTCGATCTAAAATACAAAGAAACCACGTTGGCACTCGGCCTTACAAGTGTTCAAAACAAAAAGAAAGTTAACCGTAATAACCTGAAATCAACTGAGAACTTGCTTCTTGACTGCCTCCGTACTTGTGGCAAATAACTGGTTAGCAATATCACAATAACTGGTTAGCTTGGTTGAAACTGAACTGAATAACTAGTTTAAGCGTCTTAAATTAAACGTTTTACGCGACAAACATTGTGATAATTATTACGATATATGAATTCAAACGGAGCGCGCGCGGAGCAGCAAACATAAACAGCGCGCGCGTTAAATTTAACTATCAGTTATTTTACAATTGGTTCATACGTCAGCGTGCGTTTATCGAGATATGAAGCACGCGGGAAGTTTGGAGGGCACGAAAGATGCGTAAGAGTTGCTCGAGGCGTAGTTAAATTTAACGCGCGCGCTGTTTATGTTTGTTTGCTGACGTCATGAGCGTGCACAATAGGAATATGAAGCACGCTCGCGCAATTGAATTTGATCGGACAAATTTACTAGCTATGTTATAAAATAAAATAAAATGAATGTACAGTGAAACAAGAATATCATCGAAGGAATTGCATTCTCGCAAAAACTGACTATGAACTATTTATATTATGCTTATCAGCATCAAACAACAACAACCTCTGTGGCTAAAAATGTCGAGAATTTCCGATCTTGAAACTGATGTACCTTCGCAGGATATAAATTGTACAAACCGTCATGAGAAGCTGCGTTGGTTTTTAATCATGTCAATGGTGTTACGACTTAAATCAAGAGTGCACTGACTTCAATGGAAACACTGCCAAAAGATGATCGTCTCTAAACGCGCGAACAGTTTTAACATCCAGTCTTGATGACAACTGAAAAAAAAAGGAACTGAAATGATACAATTACGTACAAAATAAACCTAATAAAAAGTGTGCGTTTTCTAGAAGAGATGTTACAACTTCGAAATGCCACTTTACGAACTATATTCAGATGACTAAAGCCAGTTGCTCAGTTCACAAAACCAAAATGACAAATACAGAGAAAATCTAAGGACAATTAGAAAAGTCATTGGAAATATAAAGTGCATTCTGTAAACACGCCCCGAGTTTATTGCCACTGAAAGAAACAGGAAATTGCGCCAAAGTCGATGGAAATTTTATTGCAGACAAGCCATCCTCCTCTGTTTTTGCACAGATATGTCAGATTTTAACTGATTTCACCGTCTGAGTTCAAAGAGTTCTGGTCCCGGTTGTTCGAGGGGTTGAAAACGCTATCCACTGGATAAATCTCTATCCACTGGATAGCGCAGTACGTTTCCTTGACACTTATACCCTGGATAGCGATTTATCTGCTGTAGGATAGCATTATCCGCCCTTTGAATAACTGAACCTTGCTAAGAGTTGGAGAGTTTTGTCCGACTTTTTGACAAATTTCGGATTCTTTCGTGCCACTTCGGACGCTTTCTTCCGATTTTAGGCGTTTTCGTCCTTTTCCGACCGATTTTGGTCGAGATCGCGTGGTTTTTTATGTTATCTTCCAATTTCGGACGCTTTTGTCCGATTTAGGATGTTTTCATCGGACCTCGAAAGCTATCAGGCTAGCCTCCGATTTCGGATGTTGTACTACAATTTTGGACGCTTCCGTCTGTTTTCGGTCGGACCTGTCCGATTTCGGACCTTATACGTCATAGGAAATCGGAGTCGTTGTTGATTAGTCTCAGGAGCATTTTCCCGACAGCCGTCCGCTGAACTTGCCTTAAAACAACATTCCGAGCATTGTTGTGTGACCTACACAATGAATCCCAGCCAGGATACTTTCGTCTTGCAGAGATGCAGTTTCATATCTACACCGAGTTCATTTTAATAATTAACCACGTTACAGTCTGCGGTAGTAAGAATACCGCAGTCGGTAGCGTGGTTAATTATTAAGTGCAGAATTTTCTTTCTTATAATTTTTTTAGATTATCCAGATAAGCATACGACAGGAACAGCTACACGGTTTTTGAATTTCTTTTTCATTGCTTAGTGGAGCTCGAATCCTTTCTTTGTGTGTATCTTTGAAAGTGTGAGTCAGACAGACAGAAAAATCTTGTAATTAGAGGAACATTAACAGGTTCATTACAGAGCAGATAAGTCAGTGATTAAACAATCAGTTCCGAAGTTGTTCTTAAAAGAAAACTACAGGTGTCCTGTAGAATGCAAATCAAAAATTACAAAATAATTATGAAGACCGTGTGGTTTGCTGAGTCGGGAATGCTTTATGGGGAGCAGAAGCTACAAGAGCCTTAGCGAACCCCCAGATCAGCTCAGCTACTACTTTTGAGGCTCTCAGAGGAAATCAGCTAAGGAATGGTTCGTTCATATAACTGATTAAATTAGCTACAGTGATATAGCTGGTTGACTGTCGCGATTATTTGTAAATAAACAGGTGTTGGTTGACTTAAGTAAGAATAACGCCGAGTAATAATTTGGCATCATTCATTAATCTACCAGTTAAACGCAAAATTGTCTCTGAATTTGAGGCAGCTGCCGTGTTGAACTGAAGACTCCACGAAACAACTTAATTGTCTGTTAGTGCCTTTGAGCGCAACATAGAAATGGATGAGACCGACAATCCCATAAGATTTGAGCCAAAATCGCTCTCGATTAAAATAGTCATCGGTATTCTCGTCTTGCTGGTTGGAGCTGCAGTTTTCATGGAATTAGAGCGAACTAAAGGTGACCCAACTCCAAAAAAATCCGACGCGACTAAACTAAAAGAAAGCTTAGCAGAAAAATACAATATCAGTGTAACCGATTTGAGACAACTCGAGACCGCCATCGGACAAGAGGCGGCCGAGAAGGAAGACGCCAAAGGGCTAAATCGCTGGACTTACGGCAATTCTGTGTTCTTTGCATTCACGATTATGACAACGATTGGTGAGTGCATATTGTTTGAACTGGAATATAATCGTATATCAATAATACCAGATAAATCATAATTTGAAAGCGATTTTTCAAGCGATGCAACCGATAACGATTATCTACATCTCAATTTGTAGTTTTCATATTTCAAATAATATGAATACAAATGAAGGAATCTTGTTAACAAAACAGCTCTTAAAATACTGCCTAACGGGCATTAGTCATCGTTCCTTATAAGGGCTAAGGTAGAAAATTAGTACCTGTGGTAAGATTTACAGTTTATTCTTCAATTTTTCGTGACTCAGTGCATTCAATTCTCAGCATTTGGATGGCAATCGATTCCTTGTTGACTCAAAATAATACGCATAAATAAGAAATGAAAGAAATTGGCAACATAACTAAACCTTCTATGAGGCGCCTTGTCAATTGATTCGTAGTCCTCAATTTCTGTAAAATCTTCTAACGAAAGTGTTATGCAAAAATGCGATCCTCTCACGTTATTTGTCGGCGAGAAAAATGAGGATTAAAATGTTAAAAAACGGAAATTTAAGTCATTTAATGTAGGAAATTTCCGAAACAGCCAAATAAAAAAAATTTGAAATTACCGCGTCAAAGGTTCTCCCAATTACCACTGGGTTGCATTTCCTCGCTCTCAGCTATTTAAATCTTCGATGTAAATCTAGGATAGAGCGGTACCAAAATTATTTTATCTACGCAAACACAAACGGATTAAACCCTGGTAGGCTTTTTAAAAAACGGCTTCAGGACCTTGTGCTCCACTGTCAAGGAGTTCGTTCACGTTTTTAAATGGATGGTTGTATACCCTGCGTGTAGCCGTACCCTCGCGCCGCAAGGTAAAATGGAGGCGAGGTAACCCTCGCTTCCGTTCCACCTTTGGCGGGGAGGGCACGGCTACACGTTGGTCAATTGTTGTGCGATAATCAAACACAGTTCGGTGATCTGAGAGATTGACAAAGAGCTCACATAAAGTTATGCAATCGATTGACAGAGTTTAAAATTGGTCTCAGGATAATTTTTCAGCCGGATTGTCTGTTAATAATAATCCATATTAAAAACGATAATAATTTCATGGTTCTTTCATTAAGGCTATGGTCACATGTCCCCACAAACATGGCAAGGCCAGTTATTCTGTATCTTCTACAGCCTCATAGCCATACCAGTCGCTGGCATCATGTTACTCAGCGTTGGAAACCACGTGAGCTTGGCCATTCGGGTCTTCATCCGCTTCTTGGAGAGAACTTGCCTCAGTAGTGTAAGATCGGGGAGTGCAGAATTCAAAAGCTTCTTTGTCACTTTCCTGCTCATGGTACTAATGATCTTTTTTGGCGCCATTCTGACGTCACATACAGATGGCTGGACGTTCATCGAAGGATGTTATTTCACATTCATCAGTGTGTCTACCATCGGGTTTGGAGATTATGTTGTCAATGACGGTGAGCTTAAATCCACAAACCACGCAAAGACGTTTGCGGTTAATTTTACAATTGTATTGATCACCGTGGGACTGTGTGTTGTTTCCAGTGTCCTTTGCTCGGTCAGTGCTATCATCGAAGAGAGGCAAAAGCGAATGCGAATGCAGTTGCCTGATTCAGCGACCAATGCCTTGAACGCCGCTAATTTAGCCTTGAATACAGTCACAAGCAATCTTCCGTTGAGGCTATCGACCAGGGCTAAAAACGCGGTGGATAGTGCTGTTGTTGAAACAAGGAAAGGAGAAATATAAGTCATAAGCTATACAGTTGCTCCGTGCCCGTCGCCAACTTTAGAGAATACAGGAGGATAGAAAGGCAATGCTAACAGTTCCTCTGGCGCAGAATTACCTGTTTTCATAAATATCACAAAATGAAGGCTTCCTGCTCTAATGACCGCTGGTGCTCCAGCAATTTGACTAAAAATGTAGTTACAAAGTCAGCTGGTCATTGGAATCATCTGTGCTGCTGACACTAAAGCAAATGACAACTTTGTCTTGCACACAAAGTGAATAACAGAAAGATATCAAAATGATAATAAAAAGGAAAAGGAAAGGCAGAAGAGGAAGTATTGATAGAAGAAATTGATTTAAAGTTAGTTCGTTTGCAGCTCAATTAAAAAGCTAAGTTAAGTTTATCATGGAGGTTCGATAAAGGGGCTCATTCAGCTCTCTCACATGTTTCATACTGTTATTCAGTGTAAATGGCGTCCAAATAATAGGGCAGGCATCATGTGGGCTGTGGGTTAAGAGCTTAAGCCTCTTAGACTATGCCAGGCTTCTTGCAAATTTTAAACTAACACATTTTTCGACAATCGTCAGGGAAAAATACATCATCTTAATTAATCAAAGAATGTCCCTGAACATGATCTTTCTCGCCTAAGCCGTGTTGCTCAGTACTTCATGACGTTCCTTATTCTTGCAAACTTCTTTAACCGGTTCCTGATCGCGCTTCCTGTAGTTTGTGTAGTTTTGGGGATTCCTGTGGTTACTGAGGTATCCGTGGTTGTCGCTCTTAAATTCCCAATTCCATGTTGCAGTCGGTGAGCTTCACTGAGCGTTTCTTCGGCAACCATTATATGTCCTTACTTTTGCGTTGGTTTTGTACTCTCACTACGCAAATTCTTAGTTTGGGCTGTCTACGTTTTTTGTTGTTTTGTGCTACAGTTCACGTAATCAAAGGAATTTCATGAGAGATGCCTTTTATAACAGAACACGGAAACTACACTGAGTAAGAAGAATACTTGGTAGTAAACGTCAGTAAATGCTAAGAACATGAAGACCTTTAAAACGTCAACAAAAAAGACAAAAGACCTGTTTATGTGATCATATTGAGGGGCTGTTTAATTCACTAGACAAGTATATTCAACAATTTTTTATTCTTTTTGCAATATATTTACATAAAGCAAGTTTATGTTCGAGGCAGTGATGATCAAACCGCCAATATGACCGATTTTCCATCTTTCTTTACAACCAACACAGCAATCCTTTGTACAATGATGCGTATCAGAATGGTTCATGGTCATGAGGCATCTGCATGTAAAAACACCGAGACTATCTTCTTTAGTACACAAAAGGAAAGCTATTCACTCCATCGTACATAAAATTTATACGCAACATAAATTTTTGATACAGTTAGCTCTCTCGTTTTCTTGTCTTTTGTCAGTATCAGCGGTATTGTTTATGTTTAAGGACTCTGAGAAACGAAACCATGAAAACAATGCTCAGCATGACATTCTAAAACAAATAAACTGATCGCTAACGCTCCACTGTTAAGCGTTATCCACTCCGCATTACGAAGGAAGAATAATTAGTGACTAACGGCAAATATTGAGTCAGAACAATGCGGCGCCTTTCTCTTAAAGACAAACCCGCCCTCGTAACTTAATTACCCTCCCTTTCAAAAGTCATGAATTCACTCTACATTTCTTACAAGTATCCTGATACAATGGCTTAGAACTGAACACAATATAACTTGACCTCATCTCCATATTCCGTTGTGTCAGAGAAATACCTCATTCTGTTCTATAATTTTAAGAACAAGAAAAACCTCACTGATTTGTGACCTTTTTTTGGTAAAGGATTTGTTATCCAAGGTCGGTAGTTTAGAAAAAAGAACTCACCCTAGTCTCGGTCTCTTTGAGGTAGGTGACTTGTGTAAATTAGTGTAAAACCAATATAGAAGAGCACAATAAAATATTTTATTCCAATTAAAACGGTGGAATGATTCCATTGAAAAACTCATTTGGAATTGCTACCCATCATTGTTTTATTTTTTTATTTTATCCCAGATTAAAAAGGGAACAATTAGCAGTAGTCACGGAGCTTGAGAATGTCAACAAAGACATGCCTCAAGCGCCGAAAAAGAATTTGCCTGATTGGTTGAAAGCAGTGATGCCTCAACGAGTCTATTGTACAAGGAATGTGGTGGCTTTGCATAGCTAATTGATTTAAGACTTCGTGATAAAGAGTGACAGGGAAGTCAAACTGAAACATACCTCAAGGAAGTCTTATCCCAAATCAAAGCTTTAGATTTTAAAGTTTTACCACTGAAACAATCAAAGCAGCAGGTTGGTAATCGAGATACAATTTGCCGAAAGGATCCTCAAATGAACCGCATAGATCAAGGTAAGCTCTTTCTTGTTCCAACTTCTTACCAAACTTAATGTACGACACCGTGTGTTTAAAGTCTTTGAATTAGGCGAAAAGTCCGATAACTGTGGTGGATGTGAACATAAATTCGAGAAAGACTGAAAAATTTCTAAATCCCACTCAACTCTTTTAGTGAATCGAATAAACAGAGTTTCCCGCGGTTTAGTTTGAGGTTAAATCAACAGTATGAAACGATAAGCGGTTATTCTCACGAACCTGTTGTTAAAAGAGTTAGCACTCCGTGATGCTCTAACAGAGCATCGATTGATTTAAAGAAAATGAAGTCTTTTTAAACTATGATTGTAAAGAACAGGAATAGGAAGTCTGTATCCTGAGGTTCGACTTCTCAAAAGGAAGCCTGTGCGTCATGACTATGTATGAACTTAAAGACATCATTGACATGAAGTAACAGATTTGCAACTCCTAATTTATACAAAAAAGTTGCAGAATCTGATCAACATATCAAACAAATCACGCACGCCTTATATAATGATACTACATGAATTACAGACGCAAAAAACAAATTATCTAAAAACATTGTAGGAACTACAGAAACTGCTAGACATACGCCACAAAAAAAAAAAGAAAAAAAAACAAAAAAAATCATAGGAATTACGTAAGAATAACCATAGGAATTACGTAAGTACAACCAGGAGGCCCCACGTGTCAAAGTAGACGATTGCGTTCAACGTGGGCTTAAATCAATTTTTTCCCGAAAGCGGTTATGCCCGGAAGAGGGGCAGCTGAGGGGATGCTCCCACAAATTAAATATTTGAAATCTAGTAAGTTCAGTACTCTGGTCATCGCAGAGTGTTGTTTATAATACTTTTTTTGACACCTTTGTAATTTGCGTAATTCTTAAGGAATCAAAATACGTGTACTGCGTTTGCGGATATACGCAGGCGTTTCGAAAATCAATGGCTTGCGGGGAGACTCTCCTTTAAACACCCTACTGCCAGTTCGTAACTACTTCGTGCGGAAGCCCACGTGAACTCAAACAGAAGAGCCTGTTCGCTCGCTAAAAAGACGGCGTTAAGACGTCCTATACGCGGTAGTAGACCGCTGGTAACGGGCTCTTAATGAAACCTCTGTTTTAATCGTTGTTTCCGAGAACGTGTCGGACAGTTCCAAAAAAAGTATCGTAAATATGGAAACAAACAGTCAAATTTTTATTCAATCCTCTCAAATGTAATTATACAACCACTTAAATTCGTTAGACCTCACGGTAAAATGGTGCGATTTATGCGACAAAAAATCAAAACGTCTTCTAACTTTGTAGTCGAAAATAGATTGGTTATAGAAAGTAAGGGAAAAAATAAGAAGAAAGGAGCAGACAAGTTTAAAAAAAGAGTTAGTCTTTACAAAACAGATCAATTAATGCTAATTAGAGAATATTGAGAATTAACTTGAAATTTTTTATTTTGTTTCGACTAAAATTGCAATGTTTTCTTCACTAATTCATAGTTTATAAATCGACGGGAAAGAAATGACTTGAAAAGTAATGCATGACTTTGAAGGGATATTAAATGTACAGTTTCTCAGGCCCTGAGGACATGGGTGTTGTCGTTTTTGACGCACACCTAGACGATAACAACAATTGACGTCTTTGAAAATTACTCGAGCAAAACTCTCTTACATCTGGGCTAGATTGAGCGGTACCTTAACCTAATCACAAGCCTAACGAACGGATAGAATACAAGACTCTCACCGAAATCTACACTGTACACATCGATCCACCACACAGACTTTTGGATATTCAGGTTGGCCTCCATCAATACAAATGGTAAACAAAATGATTTAACAGTAAAGAAGAATACAGCTATTGTGTTTAAATCATAATTCAAGTCCTGCTCTTTTAGAGGTCGATAAATATGGGGCTGGTGACGCTTTTGAGTGACGAAACACGCTCATCGTACAATTCAAAGCACCGTTTGGATTTATCTTAATCTTATGGTCAAACAAACCAGCTCTAATTATAGACAATTTTTTGCTCATCTTTCTCGTAATCAGTTTTGAGTATCGAGCTTAAAACCCGTAAGTGGAACTGAGCGATCTATTCAGCTACGAATCGGCTATTGTTCTTTTTCCTGATCTCCTCCCTTATCTTACGAAGACAAATTTTGTGCACCTTGAGAGTCAATTGTCAATTTCAAGCTCGTAAAGCTCAAATGACGTTAGTCCCTAAGGCGATTCAATGAATTAAAACGATCAACAAAGGATGCATATTCAACGTAAACTTGGTGTCAGGCTTGAACTCATGCGATTCCAGGTGCATTGGAGACATTGATATTATGCAAGCCTTTCAGATACTTTATCAAACCAAAGATTGCCCAAACAGCGAAACATTTGGTCTTGTCATTGAAAATCACTTTCGCCTCTTAGTCATTCCTTGCTCCGCTCGGCTCAAACGTCATAAGTGGCGGGTCAAGTGTTTTGTGAGACATTTCCTGTTTGATTTGACCAGTCTGTATTTTAAGCAACAAATCATGACAACTCGCCTTCGTCATTCCTTTATATTCAAAACAATCGACCCACTTGTGCGTCATATCATCAGACCTTAGAATTCCTGTCTAATTTCAACCTTTCTGTTCAAGGTATATTAACTGAAAAACCAGAAGTTTTTCAAAGGGTTAACTTAATCTCCCAATGTTGTAATCACACTTCTGCATAAACCCTCTGGAGGCGATTTGAGGTATGGATGAAGCAGATAATTTTAGAATACTGATTAGACGATTCAATTGCACGCTTTTCAAAGACATGTATATTTTCACCTACAAACTGAAGGATATACGAAATTTCGACAACTGACTGCTTTTATAAGCAAGCGTAATTCCTGCACAGAACAAAAATCCCTGAGGACAAATTCATAAAACAAAATTTGATTAAGAAACAAGACTGCTAAAAAGCGGTCCTTTAGGTGGTCATTCTTGAGAAGGCCTGTAAAAGTGCCTTCTAAATTAGTACGAGGAGCATTCATAAAGTTTACAGTACGGAATTTATCATGTATCAGGGAAAGCTAGATCAGCCGAGAACCGATTGACTGAAACGATTCAACGGTTTAAAAAGAATATTATGTGTTCAACTGGAAAGACAAGTGATTGAGGTGTTTCCGAGATGGAAAGTAAAATTACTTAACCCACGCAGATTGACGGTTGCGGTAAGGTTTTAACCATGTTCAAAAGATAGAGGTAGATTTTTGTCATAAAACATTGATGAAAAATTAGGTTAGTTTTTAGTTTTTAATTCTGATGTATCCCTTAAAAACCATCTACAAAAAGAAATAGCGATTTATTCTGCCTGATCTGCCAGTGGAGCCTCCCACTGCACTGTACGTTTTTTTAACGTCAATTTTTAAGTAAATCTAGTGTAATTCATTTTATAAAATGTGGATGAAATTCATGTCGAAAAACATTGAAATGAAATTTTTGTCAGTTCTACTTTTGTTTCATCGTTTTTAAAATAGAATTTATTGTTGGAACAAAGTCCGAAGCCAAGTGATTCATTCATCATTGATTCGTCATTCACAAAAATTGCAATAAGAAATCGTTAAGCCAGCCAAACGCCAACGAAACGAAGTAAAAAATCCGATAATAATTCTAGAGGAGAATCAACAATACGCAGTATGAGTCATTTCTCAATCGGTGCGAAACTTTGAATGCATCGGTCATTCACTTCTAATGACAACTCAGCCAAGGTACACTGAGAATTTCAGCAACAATACATTTAGTCCAATAACCTAGTGACAGTCTTTTCTGACAGATTATAGTTACAAATGAACCCGAAAATCAGTTAACAAATTAACAGATGTGTCAAGTAAGAAAACTATACTAGTACTTCTGTGTTTTAATTTATTGAAGAACCGGGGCTAGGTATTTTGTCCGACTTTGATAATATGGGTGATTATTCAAGCAGAGAAAGAAACTGTTTAAGCTGTAATGCACATCAATAAGAAAATAAATTTTATCGAGAGCCGTCTGACTCCAGAGCTTTATGTTTACGAGAGAAGCTGAGGTTTTATCGTTTACAAGAAAAATGGCTGGCGAAGAGCGAGACAAAACTGTTTTTTGCGTCATTTTACCGTCTCATGCATATGTCGAACAATCTCGAAATTTTTCAGTCACGAGGACAAATATCTAATATTCTATTTAATGAAAATTACGAAATTACACAATGTATAATTCGAAGAAGAAAATTATTGTATCGTTGAGAACAAGTTCGTATTCAGCCTCTCCAGTTACACTTGCACATATAATTTCGAAGACTTTCTGTCTGCAACTAATTTTAGTCCCCCTATCAATATTATTACATGTTGCATAAGTACTTAAAGATACAGGTAAATCGAGCTTAATAAAGCATTGTTTGCATGAGTACAAGATTTTTTTTCCAGAAGTACTCGCTATACGGTCAGCCAGAGATTTCTGGTGCAACATACATGATACAATGTTTTATCATTCACGCTGCCTCTAGTATTGCTGTAAGCGACTAATTCTATCTGTTTATGATACAAATTAATTCCTACCTGTTCAGAGAAAAACCCGTTTTCTTTTCGATATCACGCTTATTGTTGAAAGTAACATCAAATGAACAAATTAAGAGCCATACAAATGCAGCATTTAAATGAACATAATCACACCTAGCGTTACCTAGACTCGAGCATTTCTCATGGCGCTTTCCTGAGTTTTGAAAATTCATATTGGGAAAGTTGAGACAATTTCAACATCTATCTCGGTGTATCTCTTTACCCTTTGGAATAACTTCTCTCAAACACATACCCCTAATTTTTAACTGCTTTCATGCACAAAGCCACCAGTTAAAGGTCGGTTAACAAGATGGAGAGCAAACGAAATGATCTGGGACAGGAACATTGGTCCAGCCGCGTCTCATTTAGGCGCCAAAGTCTGAATGATCCCCATTCAGCCAATTAAATTTTATCATTTGTGGAAGCAGTTCAGATGCCGGGATTATTACAATTTGCAAGGGTGGGGTGGGATTGAGTAAGACATTATAAGTGGTTAGTTTTGATCGGTGGGTAGTTAAATGTAAAGCTCGTTTTAAACCTTAAATATCTATTGGTGTAAGATATGTTTTTATGGAATATTTCCTCACCACCTTCTCTCACTTAGTTTACAGCCACATTTGCGTTCCTTTGATCTTAACCTGGTCAGTTCTTAGTTGTCCCTGTGGGTTACTTTGTCTAATACTGCTGTATTATTGATTCCTTCCAGAGAAGTCTATGAAAACAATCACCTATGGCTAACGTGGAGCCTCGGGGCGTCAAGACTGGAGAAAGAGCAGTTGCTGTCGAGCCCATCCCAGACTGGGGCCCTGCTCTGCGAACCTGGAAATGGGCCTGGGACTTGCATTGGATTGGGTTTGGTTCCCTTTTCACTCTGTTCGCTGTATACTCTTTTATCACGTTCATTGAAACTATCAATATTAAAAGGCGAACAAAACGAGGGAAACTGTCGCTTGTCATCACAAGTCTCCTGGTCATCTTCGGCTTAGTGCGTGGATTATTTTTGTTTATCAATCCATACGAGACTAAACAATGCAACTTACTTCCGAAGTGCCCGATAATAGTGAGTCGGATTTTGTTCGGAATCGCGCTGCCGTGCATTACGGCGTCGTTTTCACTGGTTCATTACGCTTTCCTTCAAGTGATCAAGCTTAAGCTTTACCCAGAAAGACTTCAGAGTGGAAAATTCCTCACTGGCGTCATTGTGTTCCATTTCAGCCTCTCTATCTTCGCTGAGACAATGGTTTCTCTTTTCGCAGACTGGAAAACTCTCGGCATACTTTGCCAATCATTCTACATCGTGTTCTACTTCTGTCTGTCCATTAGCTTCATATACAGTGGTGGGAAGATTGTCAAGTCCGTTCAAAAGAACCATGCCCACGTGATCCGTCTTGGTGTAACAAGCGTACGCACAGGCGCCGATGGGAAGGTAGAAGCCTATCGGCCAAACGTATCAAAACTCGTCAAGATCACTTACATCACGGTTTTCTTGGGATTTGCCAGCTGTGCACTACAGCTCTACTCGATCATAGGCGTCAACAACATGTACTTGGACAGAGATAAGCCCCCAAAGCCCTGGCCTTGGTTGATATTTCAAACGTTATATCGCGCAGTGGAATTCGCCGCAGCTTGTACTTTGGCTTATGTGGGCCCGAGACAAGTCGGCCCTAAACGTTTTCAGTTCATACGCTGTCCTTTTTCCACCTGCTATAAAGAGAATCAGAAGGCGCCAACTGGCTCCAACGATAGCAATGAAAGGTTTTCAACTCATCTTGTGAGCGGAGATGGCTCTTTACCGAGGAAGTTACAAACTGTATAAAATTTTATGATGGGCGTCAAAGTAATCGGGATTTGCAGGCCACACTGCGGCTTTTACGTTTTACTTTTACCTGTGGTAGCACTGGATCCCATGTGATATTTTGCTCTGATCAAATTTTTGTGATTTCAATAGGGAATGCTCCCTCAAAATAGAATTGTAAATAAAACTGTGGCGGAAAAGAGACAAAATACTTGAAAGGGTCACATTGACAGATAACATACGAGAATATACATTTAGATTGATGAGAGATAAAAATATTTGAAGAGAATTTTATAACTATTAGAACATGACAATGAAAAAATTTAGTCTATAGTTAAATTAGATTGACACAGTCTGGAGTAACCCAAATTTTTAACAATTATTATTTTTTCTCAGTGAAGTCTTCATTAAAAAAGATAAAATCCACTCGTAGCTTTATGCAGCACAATCAAGAAGGCAAATAATTTAAATTAATAACCGGAGGTTAACTCCCCAAAGAGGTATTTTCTTTGAACTACTGGAACGAAAAGTTTGAATCACAACAGTCTTGCTCATAGCAAGGGACGTTTTTGACGTGATTTGAACCCATTCGAAAGCTCATAATACACTACACACGACTGCGCGAGGAAAAACGTCCATTTTAATGGCTAAGTCAGCGCTTAAAAACTTTAAACAACTGAGCCTAAACTTTCCAAGTTAGTAGTCCGCGTCCCCTGCCAATTTTCTTCATCCTTAGCCATCCTTCAAGGACGATTAGCCCTTTACACCCTAACATCAGTATACACTTTCTCCATACTACTCTCTACTTATTTTTCTATGGTACTGACAAGGAGAATTTGTTTAACAATCAAGAGCTTCTTTGGTTGGTGATCATTTCCTTTATTCTCATGGCCTCAATGTTTGTTTTAGGGGTGTGACTGAAAGGTGAAAATAGCTACAAATCACTATTAGGGGTTTAGGGGTTAAAGATGAAGCCTCAGAAAAATGAAAAATGACACAAATGGCTGATGAAAAACTTCGGAACGATTCATTTTTTGTCTAGCCCTAAAAGCGTTTGTTCTCCTTGCCCTTTCGGTCAATTTCAGTGATTTTGTTCCGAATATTTAGACGCCGATCCTTTAATTATATTGTTTCACAAACATCTCTTTTCTGTGAGACACCTGTTCATGGGTGTCATGCAGATACAGAAACGCTGTCTCAATCACTCGTTCGCCAAATGCCTGATCGCTTGTAATGGTCACCAACGTCCTTTTCGCTGCATTCATTGTGCAGTGCGTGACTAAGGCCCTTGGTCGTCTGAAATGAGTCACGCAATAACATCACTCAATAGTCCACACTGGGTACGTCCAAACCCGCGATAAGTTCTCACAGCACAGCGTTTTGGTTGTGTGACGAGGTTGACAGTTGAGCCTTAGAGAAATACTAGTTCGTCGTTTCGTATGCTTCGCCTAGGAAGATGAGCCACGACAACGTGTACTCGACCCAGTTTTCAGCGCACGCGCCCAGACATTTTGGGAAATCATCCTCTCCCCAAGAGGTATTTAATAGGCAGATAACAGTGAGGACCTCGTAAACCTTTTCAGTCGATAATAATGCTTCAGTTTTATTTCCATGTTACGATCTGTACAGTTGTTCCGCCAGTAACGAAGGATAATCGGCCTCCAGGAAATCTTCGGCATCGCCTGGTCGCCACCATAACGAGTCCTCGGCCAACCAAGTCTCTTCATCGTCAACAATGTTATGAAAATGTTCATGTTCTTCTTCATCCTCATCATCGAACTCATCATCAAATTCATCAAACTCGTCATCGTCTTCTTCGCGGAAGAAAGCTCCTTGGAACAAAGCAGAGAGACATTAACTAATCGCTGAGCAAAGAAAGCGGGTCTCTTTCCCACCTCTCACCCCCCCCCCCTCCTCTTTAGTCTATAGTCCCCACCTTGGTAAAATCGTCTTGGTCTCTCTAACCTTCCACTAATCCAAAAAAATTACAAGCCGACGATAGCGGCTAACCTCTTGATGATATAATACTGATTGTTCGCTCGCAGAAAATAAGCTTGCGCTGAAAGCTGGTCATACCTGAACCATGGGACGGAACAGCATCAATCCTTGGATTAACAGAATAGTCGATGCAAAACACAAAGCATCGATAAGATGTCTCCTGAAATCGAGTTATTGCTTCTTCGTCTATGGCTGTACCTAAGGTTTTAATTAACAAAATTTAGTGAGTCTTCAGTGTGAAGGGACATCGAAGCGAAGGGAACCAATTTCCTTTGAGAACTGAAATTAATCTGGAACTGCATTGGTCTTCTTTGACTGCAATCTGTTGTTGGTCTAGAAAACTTGCCCCACCTTTTCGAACAATCAGATTCAAAATTAAAACCAATGAGGACTCGGTCGCTAAGGTTTCCCGCCAATTTTCAGGTTCAGTATCTATCTCCCGGCTTTGGAATGTGCCACTGCAGAGAGTAGGTCGAAAGAGAAAAAAATAACATTTGTGCTGTTTCCTTGAGAGACATCATAATTTCAGCTTGAGAGTTCCACTTAAGTGTACGTTAAATATTCAGGTTCGATTCTAGCTCAAAGAAATAAGGTTCCCTTTGCCTTTTTAATTCAAGAGCCAAAATAAACCAACACACCAGAAGACAAAAATAATTACTCACAGCCACGTATAATTCTTATGAACTGAAAAAAAACGTCACAGTGCTATTGCCTAATCTCATTTCCAAGTCCTTACCTCCAACGGTGCAGTTGATGACGGGTCGGTCCTCTGATATGCAATGCAGACTCAGCAGCTCAAGAGAGGCGTTGGTGATTCCACTACAGCCACTAACGTCCAGAATAGTCAATTGGCCACAACTTTGTAACAGACTCTCGATAGCTGTAAAACAACAACAAAAACAAAAACAGAGGAAAACGTGTCATATGGACTGAAAAACATTTACACTAAACTAACAGCTTTACCCCAACTACAAAGTTTTTGATTCTTGTTGGTTCTACACTATGTTATGGACGTGCATTCACAACTGGCCAATAACAGCGTTTTGTTATTAAATACTTGTAATTGGTCACCTGAGGCCCTAAGAGACTTCGTATCAATCAAGTTACTGTATCAATAAGATCATCAAATAGAAACCAAATTTACGGAATACAACGACGCATGTTAAATGTTGGTAAGTGGACAAAATATATGGAGGTTAATTTGGAAACGTTTCGTAGTGAAAGCTTCAGATGATCTTTGATATACAGAAGCCTCAAAAAAGACAAGACCCAACTCTAAACAGTTTTATGTGGCCACATTGTAGGTGGTGCTCGAGGCGCCATCAGTTAGTCAGACTTTCGTTTTCAAGCCTTGTGGAAGCGTTTATTCTGGTTTTCTAAATATAGCCTAAACTTTTGCTTTGGGAAAACTCGTTCTCAAGGCCTTCATTCTTTACATTTGTCCGTGAGTCCTGGGCACGCCCTAGCCACCAGCCTCTCCAAGGTTCCGTTAGAGGACAAGTGTATTACACTCTCGTCTGTAATCTGGTAAGGAAAATTAACGAATCAGTTAAAATTTAAAGTTGTACTGCTGAAGTTTGTTTAACAGTTTCAGGCAAGAAGGAAATTGTACAAATACTTAGTGTGCGAGGATACACAGTACCACAAGGCGAAACTTCATAAAAACTTAGCGCAGGTTTGAATTGTCACATATCATAACTTTGAGTGAAACAAAAGTCGGAATCAACCTGAATCACATATCACTCAACACAACGAGGAAAACTGGTTCTTCCTCTAAAGTTGAGGCAAAGGCTTATAATACCCATCAATGGTAAACTTTTTCTCTTCCAAATTAGACAGCTTGTGTCACAGGGACCTTACCCTTGTTAAGTAGCTGATGACAAGAGAAAATAACTGATAACAAGAGATCAAGCACTGTAATCCTGCATCCGTTATTTCTCCTTCACAGGAGTCCAAGTTGAGAAACCTATAAAAAGAATTGGATATATGGGATTGCGTTGGTTTTGCTTTAACAAGCTCTTTAATTGGCTAGTTAACTCGTGCCATCCATTCGACCAATCACATGCAAAACTTAGTCCCGTTTGGTCACACGCGTTTTCCAGAAGGTTTACTTGTTTTTACTTCGAGCTCTCATTGGCTCCTTGTAATATCACCTTGGTTGTGATTGGCTGTTGTGATGAGTATGCTTGTTCCGGCGACATTCGCTAGAAACGCGCTTTGTTTGTACCGAAATAGGGTATGAACACCCAATCAGAGTACTACAGCTCATTGCTACTGGGCAATTACATATACTAACAGTTACCATACATTTATGCATACTTTTAACATTGAAGAAAACAAATACACTTACTTCAAATGAATGCAACTTCTTCCAATGCTAAACAGCAACTCATCGTTGACCACAGCATTCTTTGATAGATCCAACTCTTTCTAAAAGAATTAGACAAAATGATGGTTTTAGGGTATACATCTGAATAAAACTTGGCACTAGCTATTGGCGATAGCTTGTACATAGTGCAGCAAAATGTGTGCAGTAATAATAAAATTTTTGCATTGGATTACCAGAAATAGTAAAACAAATGCTCTGATGATCAATATCAGTGTTAGATTTTTTCAGCATTGAAGTTTAAAATTAAGTCAAGTTTAAAAAAAATCATCAGTGGGGACAATTGTTTGCTTGTGTATTTCATAAGATGTGGGAGAAGTTGTAGGTCACTGGTAATCATATTCCAAACTTACCAGCAATGACAAATTAGCAATATTCTGTAGTCCTTGACTAGTCACTGTTTAAAACAAAAATATAATTCAAGCACATCAGTTCAACCCTATTGAAGTGGTTGCGGAAATCAACTTGGGTTCAAACTTTTTTAAGCAACATGGCCATGAGGAGTCAGAGTCCCTTTGACAGAAATAGATAATTGACAGTCACTGTTAAAAAAAAAACAAAAACAAAAACAAAAACAAAAACAAAAACAAAAACAAAAACAAAAACAAAACAAAACAAAAAACTACAACAGCTACAAAAAACTCAACTTCTGGACAATTTACTTATTTAACCTTCAAATCATATTGCAGCAGAACCTCCATCCAAGGTCCACCTTGCTGATAATGTGTAATCAAGATATCACCTCTCTTTCTGACCACAGCACAAATAACAAAAAACAGCCCAGACAGAAATGACTCTTTCTCACTTACCATTGTGTCCTGCTTGTGAGAAAACTAATGACTCTAACATACAACAGTGCTGAAACAAAAATCACATGATGCAATACTTAGTCAAATAAAGCAACACAAAAGAACTTATTGGCAACAAGTAATATCTAGCTCTTTGTGAAGTTAGCCAGCAAATAGGCTCTAATTGGTACTGCTAAATGAGTGGCTGTAAGAGAGAAAGCCAAACACCACTGGTTAGCTTGTCTCTTCATAGGACTTGGATTGTCATGTACACTACAGTGCCAAAGTTAGAGCTTGCTGGCAGGCTATTAAAGATCTGATATGTCAAATCAAAGACAGACAGCGTATTGGAAACAAAAATTTCTCTTTTAACTATAATCAAGTAAAGGAGAAATAACCTGTGTCAACTGAAGGATGCCCTCATCAGTCAAAGTGATACAGCCTGATACATTGATGATTCTCAAGTTTTTACATTTATCTCCAATGTATATCATTCCTTTGTCCGTCAACTACAAAACAAAACACACACCTTCAGTCCTATATAGAATGTATGCTCTGGCATAGCCATATTGCCATACAAATCATACCTAATCAAACAAATGAGAGTACTATGATGTACATAAAGCAACAGTGATAGCAACAAAGAAACTCAACAATTTGAGAAGTAAACTTATCATGTTGTTTGACATTATGCAAAGGCTTCATGAATTCTAAACAAGCATTCCCTCAAAACTTTACCTGAGTGCAATCATTCAGGTACAAATTTTCACAAGCTGGTGGTAGCATAAAGAAACACTAGGAAAGAAAGAATAATCTTAAGTTATTTTGATAATCTAAGGATCACCTTGCCCTCTTTTACTGCAACTAATTACTAAGTAAACACATTACCTGTCCCCTCACACTTTTGTTTCCCTCCAAATTGACATGACGCAGTTTTTGACAATTCTTGAAGAGCCACCAGAGTCTGAAAAATGAGCAGAATGTGCTAAGCATGTTCACAGTACAACTCACGGTGTCCTTACACAACAACACTACATTTTGAAGCCTGCAGATTGGGTGTAAGCATCTTGTCTGAAAACACGATGCAGCCAAAACTTGAACCAGTGCCTCTTTTTCTGGAGTTCAACTGATCACTCACCACTGGACCACTACATCCCCACACCCAGCACACAGAAAAATGGAGCAAAGTAACCCCATGAACAGCTTCCTGACAGAGACATTTGAAAAAATTTAAACTAGTTCAAAAAGATTAAATCCAAAAATAAATTGGAACCATAACATCTACATATTCTTAGAAAAAAACATACCCCTAAATACATGGACCTGTTATATATGCAAGCTAAAAATCAGGACAAAACATTTATCTTGAAAATAAAGAGGGGAAACAAAATCAATGCTGATAAAGCCAAGACTACAAATTTATGATCCCTAATTCATTCAGTCAAACTCCTTTGCTGATCCAAGGAGAATGTTCTTGCCATATAATGTACATAACATGTTTTAGGAAACTTACGCTTTTTCGCCAACTCTGTGACATCTATGAAGAGTAATTTTCTGTTGAGGTAAAAATTATCCTTCAGTGAAAGAAACTCAGTCATGTAATTTAATATTCAGTCCATTAAAACTGTCTGGTGTTGGGTAAGTAAATTTAAAAGAAAAGCTGACTGGTTGATTGATTGATTGACTGATTGAAAAACTGAATGAATTGTACTAACATGAAAGCAGGATAGGCAAAATATATGAAAAAGTAATAATCATTGTTACTCAACAAGACAGTTATCCACCAAAAGGATATATCCAGATTATGTATTATTGAGTAAACATGTACCTCTAATTGTTTACAGCTTTGGGACAAGTTCTTTAGTGATGATGTACTAACTTTAACTCCACTTAAATCAAGTTCTGTCAACAACTTGCATTGTTTGCCTGTTTAATAAAATAAACAAATAAAGAGATAAATTACTGGATAAATAAAGAAACATCTTAATCCACCAGCATCCTCACTGACTAAAGCAACAGTTGTGTCATTTTTTGGCTACCTTTTGAAATAATTCTCACAGCAACATTTGAAGATTGCTTACAACTGAGTTTAAAAAGCATGGCTTTGTGTTTTATTTTGTTCTGTGATTGGTGTAGCAAACTATGGAGGAGATGTGATGGCCTGTGGTAAGGATGCTGAATCCTCCATCAAAAGGTCTGGGATAAAACCTTGGTGAGGTTATTGTACCAAGGCTTAGCACATACAACAAACTGCATGCCACAGTTACTATTGCCATCCTTGAGTAAAAAGGAATTCTGTGGGAGAAAAATATCAAGGGACCTACCAATACAAAGGACTGCAAATTCTGTCAAGAAGTGAGGTGATTGGGACAAGTCAAGAGAAGTCAGATTCTGGCATCCTCGTCTTAAAATGGACCACAGAACTTCATCAGTAAGGCCTGAAACGCAGAGCACAGCAGTAATCAATAAGCAAAGGACTGAAGAGTTGGAAGCTTTAAAATGATAAAAAGTACACCAAAAACAACAAGGAAATGAGAGACAGAGCTTAATAGTTGTACCTCCCATGCCTTTAAATGATGTGAACACTCCTTGGAAGTCAAGATGGGTTATGCGATGCCATGACTTAATGGCCAGTAGTCTCCATCTTCTGCATACTGAAATAAAACAATATTAATGAATATAGAAACTACCTCAAATCAATTAGCAATCTTGATCATAGCCTAAAGAGTTTCATTTTATTGCATGGCAACTTTTTTGGTCTACCAAGTCCACTAGGTCTTAGACATTTCCAATCCAATTCCCCACAGCTGTCCTTTTCCTTGTAACATCATAGCATATTTAGCTAATGACAGGGTGTCCTATGTTATTTCAGCATGATAAAAATGAGACTGAGTCAGAGAGTGATTTAGACTGGATCTTTGTGTGATTTGGGACCATGAGTAGGGCTAGACCACCCCTCACAGATACAACATTCCATACCCTTTTACAAAACCTACAAGGCATGACCAGAGAGAAATAAAGAATTCAATGATAACATGTCATGAGAAGAGGGAAGAAGCCCATGGCCACAATCAAGAGAACAATGTTTGTTTCTACTAGCTGAGTGAAGAGCTATGAAAAATTCAACTGCTACAAGTACTATAAATCTCACGTAATTTGGATTGGAAAGCAAAACTGAACATATATATGCTGTCCAGCTTGATTATTGGCAAGGAAACAATTTGATGTACTGAAGGTACCTCTTTCAATCCTGATCCTATCCTTAGGACTTAAATACAAGAAGATGTGGAGCATGGTGTACTCATTCAGTTTAAAAATTTCTGGCCTGTGGATGAAAAAATTACTTCTTTAAACTGATATAGTTAACCATGTAAAGCTCATTGCAGTTCAATGTAAATTTTATTTTGTATCATTCTGTTATTTCCTTTTTTTTAATATTTACTTAGAGAATTTTCAATTGATGATGCTGGTTTTGGAAGATTTATTTAACTTTTATTTTACAGATTCCTTAATCATATCATACAATATTACTGTTATTATTCAAGAACTGATTCTATACTGAACAGGAGTTGTTACCTGAAAATCATAATAAAACCTTTAATTCCCATAAGTAACCAAGACAGAATTTTTCAAAATCAAGGAGACAAGTGATGAGAATGAGGAAAAATACCACTAAGAGGATTATAAGTTGATCTAATACCAAATTCTCCAAACTTGCATTATGAAAGTAATAAACCAGTCAGTAAGGAGAGTGACTAAACTAATGAGATCTTGGGAGTGAAAACTTATTAGTTATTATCAAAAGTTAGGCCACGATTTGTTACATACAAAGACCTGAGTTCATTGGATCCACTGATAGTGCAATCACAAGATTCCATTGCCTCTTCACCAGCTTCCTTCTTGCCATTTCCATTCTCACGATAAGATTCAAGTGCCTCCTGGCAACACAATCACAAATCAAGTGTCAATTACTATTTATGCGTGGAACCTGATCTGTCAATGGTTTAAAACCACAATACACAAGAAGAGAGAAATCCAAATGGAAAACTAAATCCAGAATTGGTGCACATTCTCCTCATGACAACCTTCAATTTCCTTTCATCATTGAACGTGAAGCTGACATTGATTGAAAATAACATTTTTTTTGCCTTTGAGTTTCCCTTCTTCTCCAAAAATAAGCATTCCAAATGTGAATCCTAGGATTAATAGTTATTATTATATTCCAAATGCCATATTTAAATATAGGACTGTTATGTTTTGACAAATGTAATTAATCAGCCTGTTGCTTGTACCTCATGCAGCAGAAACCAAGGTAAGCAACAACTGCAGTTTTTGTGCATCAATCTCACAAGAAGAATTTATCTCTTATTGAAGATGCTAACTGGCCATTAAAATGAATATACATCCTCACCTCAATAGTGCTTTCCTGAATGAAATTTTTAGAACCTGTCATGAGAAAATAGAAAAGAAAAATTAAAAAAAAACATAAGATTCTTATTGTGAGGCATTTCAGCATAATCTATTTCACATTCTCAACTAGATTATATATACATTATTTTCTTACAACCATAGTAAGTAAAGAAGTATAGTTATAACTTCTTTCTAGAAAGGATCTGTCTAGTCTATTAACCCTATCCCTCCCATGATTTCATTACAAATTCTACTAACTGTCTGTTATATAATATTTGTAATGTTAATTTGAAGAATTTTGTATTAAATCAACACACAGTCCCTTAATTTATATTTTTTCTCTTTTTTTAATTCTCATCACTTACCTGACTGATATTGTGTTGATATTGTAAGGAGAAATTATATCTTGGTCACTTTTGAGAGTTAAAGGGTAAATTAAAAGTCCTATGCTTTGAACAAATGCAACCACTGAATACTTTCATAGGCACTTTCTATTAAAATAATTCAAGTGTGACCTTAAGTACCATATTTATTTCATAACACACCCATAATTGTTGAATTTGAGGGTGAATGCTTGCTGAATTTTCCCCACTTTTAAGGGAGTAACTCTATTTTGCAACAAAGCAATAACAAAATAACAAAACACGAAGATGTAACATAGACAGGGAACTTAGAGATTGTTGCCAGTAAAGAAATACTAATCAATACTTCTCTTGTCATTTCAGTTTTATTGTTTTTTTTTTGAGAGGGGGAGGGGGGAGAGGGGGAGAAGTGGGAGGGTGGGTACTTACTCAAGATGGATGCTTATCAAATGAATATGATATATTATATTCAATAATACACAACGTCATCCATTAATAATATCAATTATATTATTACTATATTATTATTAAACCTATCAGCACAAAACAGTCCCTAAAACAAATAATTATACACCTACCTTTCTTCCTTCTTTCTGGAGTGCAAACTTTCATGACTCTGAAGCCATACAAAAAAAAAACAAAAAAAAAACATGCAAACCATCATTCAAAAAGATAGGAGACAGAATGATTTCTGATTTATGACTATATACACTGTGAAGACTTTTCAATCGGAGCATTTGAGCAAATTGTTTAACTATACAACTTAAATAAATTCACAAGCACTCTTCTGGCCATAACAACTCCTTAATCAGCTAATTTTGATTGTACTAATTGCTTTGAAATGAGCTTCATTCTTTTATCTGTGTTATTGATAGATGTTGACTTTTTCTTGGTCCATAAAACTGAGAAAAAAAGAGCTCATCCCTAAGCCACATCTCATGTTACATCCAAATCATAACCATAATACCTTCCTTCTAAAGTTCTCTCATCATCTGAAGAATCTTTGGCTTTCTGTGCTTCCCATTCATTACTAAAGGTCACAAATCCAAACCTAAACAAACAAACAAACAAATAAACAATAAGAAAATACACGAGTAAACCAATTAACATCAAAAAGAAAAACCCCTTAGGAAATATTTATTTACAGTTTAAAATTTAGTCCTTGAAATAATAGTTCTTCCATTTTAAACCTAAATTACTCATGACATGTAAAGCAATGATCCTTCCAGAAATAGTTACAATTTTAGCAATTGCAGAAGAGAAGCTTTATTAGGGGCAAGGCAAATTTTAGAGGGTTCTTCTCACTGGTTGAGGAATCTGATCACGACTGTTACTAAATAACTAAATTTCATTCAACCTGCAGATGAAAATGAAGTAAAGCAATGATTCTTGGTGGTGAGCAGCAATTTTCACAATGATAAAAAGAAGCATTTTTTTTATTGGCTGATCATTGGAATTTTATGTTGGTCCACATATATCCAGACTATGATGCCCCAACAATTTGTACATGTCAGAACATCATTATAAAAATTGTAACAAATACATAATGCATACTTTAGTCACTCTTGTAATTTGAAGGGTTAACAAGATTAATCGAACACAGAATTACATTTTAATGAACATCAAATTGTCTTATCAGCCAACAAATCAATGTATGATAATAAAATAATAGTAAAACAAACAAATAAAAAACAAACAAATCCATTCTTCTGTGCAAATCCTCAGAGGTCAGAAGGGTAAATAGGAAATTTGAAGGACACCTACACATTCTCGTGCTTGATTGCATATATGTATATATATATTTTTTTTACATCAACATTTGTTGGGATGAAATTACTCACCCCCGAGAACGTTTTTTCATACGATCCGTGATGATTTGGGCATATATAACTTTTCCAAAAGAGGTGAAAAATTCCTTCAGTTCTCTGGACTTCACTCTGTAGCTAACGTTACCAACAAAAACCTTGCACTTGTTGGCAACTACACGGGTTTTTCGGCAAAATTCTTCGGCTTTTTGTATCAGTGTTGCAGAGCTTGTGGGTTTTGTGTCTTTTTTAGGTATCTCTTCGTCTGGACTATCTGTTACAACGGACCCATTTGCTACAAGAGCTATTTCCGATAAACCACAATTAAGTTTCTGGTGATGAAGAATTTTGAGTTTTTGTAAGTTTAGAGACTGTTTGCTCATCTGCGTATTTATCAAATTTCATCGAGAAGAACCGCCTTTCAGTGAAATTGGAGCGTATGACCTCGAGATTACACATAAGGTTTGGTATTAAAGCATAAAACTGGCAGAAAATCTCTCCCTTTACGTGCCCTTGGGGTTTCTGGCAAGCAGTGCAAAGGTGAGCATGTGAGTACGTCATATATGATTAACACACAAAGTTGCCTGAGGTTGCTTATTTCCAACTTTTAAAAGTTTTTGTTTCTTAGTAAAAATCTCTTATTCTCTTAGTTTCTAACATTGTTTCATTCTTTTTTTTTGCATGTTTGCTGAACCCTTTTTGATCAATTCGCTGACTGCATGGAAATATTTATCATTTTTCAGGAGCACAGGAAAAGCGACTACTTCCGGTTGCGAAAAGCGTGAAAACGAGGTAAAATGAGCGAAAATTTTCACCGAGTGTGCGTGAGAAGTTCGAAAAATTTTGAGAGATCCAATTGCCCTACCGTTTAATTCTCGTTGTGGCCATCTAGATGAACTCAGTTGAACAAGGTGCCCTTCTCCTCAAAAAACAGCTTGCAGGTATACGATCTATTTTAGTCCTTGCTCCCAAAACCCCGGCATTTCAGTTCGATGTTTCTACCAATCCAATGCATACTCATGGCGTCGTTTTCTTTCTGAAGAGCTCGACAAGAACCCTCCGGAGGGCTTTTCTGCTGGCCTTATAGATGATGATAATTTGTTCAAATGGGAAATAATGGTGGTAGGACCCCCTGATACTTTCTAGTAAGTCTTATTTTTATAACTTTGCACTCGTGATTTGTGATACATACACTTTGTTAGCCAACACGCACTTATACGTATTCATCATCCCCCTAATATGATGCGTAACACTAAAATTTGTCGTTTTGTTTACTATTTGTTATAGTGAGGGAGGTCTGTTCAAGGCACACTTGTATTTTCCTAGGGAATATCCGCAAAAACCACCAAAAATGAGATTTATATCAGAATTCTGGCACCCAAATGGTAGGTACTTATGTAGGTACGAATTGAAGAACATGTATGACTTCCCAGGACACGTTGTTTTGCTCTTTGTTTTGTGTCGTAATAGTGTTTGTTAAAGCCATTCTTGTCATCGTCATATTGAAAATAATTTTTAAAGGTAAGTTAGTGACAGATGAAGCGTTTTGATGTAAATTCTATCAACGGAGTGCCTCACCTTTGGAAGAATTAACTTGATTTAAGCAATGAAACAATGTTTTTCACCTTGTAAGTTTTCCCTTTGATGTAGTATTTTTTAATGTCATGATAATTCAAGAACATCAGGCGATAGATTCCTACGTTGATCACAAGTTTTCTTACATCATTTCTCCTTAACTTTAAGTTTTATACCTCCTAATAATTCCCTATGTTTAACCAGTAGAGAATAGCTAACAAAATTAGTTACTAACTTCAATAAGGAACAATCTTATTGGTTAGCTATGAGTGAATAATAGAATGTAAATTGAAACGCAGTGACTTGTAGTTTTTGTCTCTTTGTAGTTCACAAGGATGGTGAAGTTTGCATTTCTATTCTTCATGAACCTGGTGAAGACAAATATGGCTATGAGAAGGCATCAGAGCGCTGGCTTCCAATCCATACTGTTGAAACAATCTTGATAAGTGTTATCTCCATGATATCAGAACCCAATGATGAATCCCCAGCTAATGTGGATGCTGCAGTAAGTATAACTCCTTCATCTGTTCAATGAATTGCAGTTTTTCTGCAACTTTTGTTTAGATATATGTTTTTTTGTGAAACAGGATAATTAATAGGCAATTATAGTTATCAGAGTTGTTAGCCTGTAGAGCAGGCGTAATTTTGGCCAGCAAGTGCGAAATTATGGTTCCCATCTTTGATTTTAATGGCAGCAGAAGGCAGGGTAGGGAAAGAAATTTGTACTAAGGAGGCAGTTGATGGTCAAAAATAAGGAGAGCTGTGGGGTTGGGGGAGTGAAGATTACACCTTCCTGAGGTTATTGTTATTTTGCAAAACTCTTTTGGCCCACGACCAGAGTTCCTGATTGGTGCTTTAAGCTCCAGCTGTCAATCACAAGCCAAATGTGTCATTTGGACATTGTGCTCCTACAGGAAAATGTGAAAGATGGCAAACTCTGTAAATGGTGAATTTGTTATTTTCAATTAATTGCACTCTTGAGGAAGCTCTAAAGTGTCTTTTGGAATATTAAAATATGTCTCCTGCATTAAAATCAGAACAAAAAGAAGCAATTTCTACACTGGCTTTGAGACTAGCCTGATACTTCACATGTTGGTTTTGTATGAAAGAAATTATGACAGGGAAACCTTTAAGTGTAGTTGTCCTAGTTTGCCTCAGCCACAGGCTGCCTAAGCTCTAGCTGTGAGATGATCATGTTGCAAAATAATGGTCATGGTGAAATTATAAGAGTTTGTATGGGAATATTTACGACCACTCTTAAGAATGAAAAAAATAAGACAAATTCTCAATAAAAATACCTCATCTTACTTCCATGGTGCATCACTAGTCATTTGACTGCTTACTACGTTGAAGGAAACCCATTCTAGCGAGTTTTCCATTGTTAGGTTTTCTATGTACATAAGAAATGCCGTGATGCATAACTAATCAGGGGGAGTTTTGGTTTTTAAAAGCATCTTTGGGCAGGTGTCTTTTCACCCATCCCCCGCCCCCTACCCCTACTGTCCACTCTCACTCCAAATCAAACATGGCTGATTGGATAAATGGTTGCCAGCCTATAACGTTAGCTCACCCTAATAAGATGTCTGCAGTGCAGGCTACAGAGTTGCAAAGTAACATAACCATCTTGATACTAGTAAAATTGTGGTTAAATCCATCAACAATACTGTGAGATAAACTAATTATAATAATTTAATATAATTGATTTATGTGAGTAAGACTGTGTCTTGTTTTGTCTTGTTTGTATTCACCCTTCTCATACCTTCTTTAAGATAGTGTTAGACCATTAACCCTTTAACTCCCATGAGTGACCAAGAGAGAATTTCTCCCTATGATATTATTACAATATCAACTAGAGAAGTGATGAGAATAAAGAAAAATATCAATTTGGGGATAATTCGTTGATCCAATATTATAAGAATTGTATTGTTGACAGTGAGGAGAATTACCAATTTGATCTGGGAGTCAAAGGGTTAACAGCTTTTGGCCAGTACCATACATTCAGACTGTATGAAGTAAGATGGTGACTGTAGTGTATTATTGAGGACATGCCAGGCCCCTGATTTCATATACAAGGCAGCAAACCTTGAAGTTTTCCATAATAAGCAAGCAAAGCTAGGTTTGAAACTTTTAGAAGGATACAGTGTAGTTATTTTTTTTGCAGATATCCACTTGGAAGTTTTAACTCTGTTCCTGTTTTATTTTGCAGAAAGATTGGAGGGAAGATTACAATGGAGTTTTTAAGAAAAAAGTAAAACAGTGTGTACGGAAAAGTCAAGAATTTTGACTTCTGAAGAGTTTGTAGAATGTTATTGCTTCTGGAGTCGACTCTAAAATTTGATATTAGTTATTCCAATATTTTCTGTTACAAGTTCTTTATCATTAGCAGGGTTTTAAAGGGTTATGTATCTACTAGCACTCTTGTGAGCTGATTACTGCTGTTTAACAAATTGAAAAATATCTCAGATTTGATAAGAAATTGATAATAAGGCATTAAGTGTGTAACTTTCTTGTAAAATTATTCATTTGGAAGTGTAGGATAGAGGTTATGAAATATTAATGTTTGCATGTACATTGTATCTGTTCATGGTGGTATACGTTTTTTCACTGCTTATTGTATATTCATTGTTATGAAGCAGTATGTAGCTCACCTGCTTGGGGCTTGCTTACAGCACATCATTTTGATGCCAACAAGTAATCTAGATTCACACCTTGTAGTAACAAGATGGTGAAGCCACATGAATAATAACCCTTAATTTTTTATTGACCTAAATTTGAGCAACGTAATGACAGATATAGAATATAATGACATGAGAAGGCTTAACTCCATTCTTTGTCATCATAGTTACTGTGTTACATATTAAATTTGTTTTCACAAGATCAATCTGGCTTTATAAAAATTGTGGGTACACGTTGGAATAAGATTGTAGCCAAAAAAAATCAACAAAAAAATTCTGCCATTTGCAAAATCTCTCAAAAGTTCTCTGCTGAACAAAAGAACCTTGACACTAAGTGACACCTACCACTTAGTGCCCTTTTTTTTTTACATTCTGTGAAAGAACACTTTCCAATTTTCAAGATAATGGTCTACAACACACACATTGCAATAAAAAAAGAATCTTAAGGCAACTTTACATATACTAATAATTAAATATAATATTGATTTGTTTGCCACTTGTAACAAAAAAATATGAACTGTTTATTTCTTTAATTACTAATATGAAGATATTATAATATTACAATATTTGATTAACTTGAATCCAGTTTCATAATAATGCTACATTGTAATTAAAAATAAGTGTTTTTTTTTTTTTTTTTTTTTTTTTTTTTAAGGTTATGTACATTTTAACAGAAGCATGATTGCTGTCATACAAATCCAACTACTTAGTGGTATACAAGTTTAGTTAAAGCTGTTGTAATTATTGTATTTTTGCATTTGTGGCCGGTGCTCCATAGTGATAACTCAGCTCATATTTCATTGATAACTCAGCTTGTATTTCAGTGATTTTTTAAATTTTGTTTTTGCTATATGTAAAGGATAGCTTTTTTCTGTAAGTTTGAGGTATTACTCAAACTTTCTATTAAGTTTTCAAAACCCTTCTGGTTGCAGTATGAACCAGCTTCACCTTCTATCTAAGGAAACAGGTCTTTGAACACAAGTTTGTAAAATCTGTGTAAAGTTCTCCAAGGTGGACATTATCTGGAAGTCCAAATTAGTTAGAGGGGGTGGGTATTCACTGGGCTGCCCCCCCAGATTATCAAAACCACTACACTTCAATATACCAATACCACTGACTGTATCTCTCTCATACTCTTTAATGGAAAATGGTATTCCTAAACATGCCTACTTTGAAACACCATTGACATCTCTTTAACATCTTATAACAAGACAAAAGAAATGTTGCTTTTAAGGTAAGCAGCAGATATACACCTTTCTCTTTACTTCTGTAACTACCAAGAGACCCTCTTAGGTGTCAATTTTCCTTTTCACTTCCTTTTTTTATGTCAACTCATGAAATTTAAGTCTCTTCCTTTTTGTAAACCTATGGTCTGAAAATGATACTTACCTCAACTTTCATCCTTATACCTTGTTTCTTTGCTCCAAAAATTGTCATTATCAGAGCTATACTTGCAGCGATTTCATTCATAGCAAAACTAACCATAGATAATTTCATGATAAATATTACTGTAAATGAGTTATTACAATACTTCTCAGTGGTAGAAAACTTACAGTTCATTTACTGATTCCAGGACTAGTCAGATGGTGAAATCTAATCAGTGGGTAGAACTGAAATTAAAATGTTCCAAAAATTTAAAGCTAGTGAATATGATGTACATAATATCCACATCTGGTTTCAGTAAAGAGCTGTAATGATAGGGTTCAAGTTAGTCTGCACTAAAAAATTTGCATAAGCTAAATGACTGTATATTTGATATTCTTATGCTTAAATGCAGAGTATGTTTGCTGCACAAATAAAGAAATTTATAGGGAAAGACTGGTCAATGTTTGCTTATTAAAAAAATTCTTTGTTTTTGTCTGAAATAACAAACCAAGTGCAATCACTGACAGTACCTTAAAAATTGTCTTTTTCTTTGTCCCAGCAATGGAGTTTTGTTTCCTTAATAAGGTTCAGGTTTGTTCATAGGCACAGTATGTTTTTTTTTTTCCCTCAGTTAACCCCCTAAATTGATATGTATTATTCTCCAAACTGTCCTCTACACATTTCCGGTGGTGCTTTTGAGGAGAATTTGTCAACAGTCCAGAGCTTCTTAAGTTAGTATTCATTTCCTTTATTCTCATGATCTTAATGTTTGATTCAGGGGTGATATTGTGAGAAATTAGATGCTAGTCACTTAGGATTCAAAATATCCTTTACTGTAACACTACCTCTCCCTATGAAGGAGTACAACTGAGTGCTGGCCAATCTCAGTTAACTTCATGAGAGGGTAACCTGTAATGGACTACTGCAGCATTCTCTCCTCCTTCCCCCCCCTCCCCACCTTGCACAAAAACCTTAAAATAAAAACACTGGTTTCAGTAATACTGCTTTTGGAAGATGGTTATACTGTAATGTTGTAATACATTTGGGTAGCATTTCATTTCAAAACATCCTTGTATCTGAAACTCTATGTTGGTTTCCTCCCTAATTACGGTAGCTGCTTTTTTAACCAAGGAAATGCAGCACATGTTCAAATATCATTGATCCTAAGCAATAATTCAAAGGAAAAGCAATAATACACAGATTTGTTCAAGTTCAAAGCCTTGATGCATTACTGTGTTGTGATCTTGTTACATATCTTACATATTATCAAAATAGAAGAATTTTTGATAATAACCTTTGAGCCTAAAGTCTTTAATTTAGTTTACTTACTTATCTCTTCCAGAGAGAAACATCAAATTGGCAGAAGTAGCTTTTAATTAGCAAATTGTTAACATAAAGGAAAGAAGTACTTCAAAATATGAGTTTTGGAAAATGTATTGTATGATCAATGATGTTCATTAGTAATTTTTTTTATTGCTTTAATAATAGGACACCCATAATGAGAGCTGTTAACTTGAAGATTTTTTCTGTATAAACAAAACTTGCTTTCAATCAATCACTGTCACTGCTGAGCAATAGCACCCTCCTTGGTTTTTTCCTCTTCTTAATAGCAGGAGAGATAATAGCCTTGATAGGACTCTTCTGTCGTGATTTAGCCTCTGTTCTTCCACGAGTACGACATGTATCACTCTGAGAGTCAGTAATTTTATGTCCATATTGTGTCTGAATTTGTGAATGTGGAGGATTATTAGTACTAACATCCATGTTATCAAATGATGTACCAGGAGACCTGTGTTTCCTTCTGGTGAATATTGATCGTTTTTCATTTGGTTGAGGAGTGGGGTGTACAAATATAACATCTGAATAATCTTCTTCATCGACAGAGTTGATTTTGCCTCTATCATCACGTGTCACACTGGATGATGGCATTAAAGCAGAAGGGATAGATTCCTGTTGTTGTGCCCATCTGGAGTATAACTTGTTGATCTTAGGTTTGATCTTAGGTTTCCTTTCCTGCCAGTTATGCACAGAAGTCTTTTTTTTTTTTCCTTTGTTGATTCGATCAATCAAAACTTCATCCTCAGAAGCACTGCTTCTGTCATACACCTCACCATAATTTGAGTTATCTTCATTTTTGGTGGCTTTCTTTCCTTTGTAAGTCCTTTTCCTGCGTGATTAAAATTCAAATGAATTTCAGAATATGCAGATAGTTATTACTAGTTAATAATAAATATCTCATGACTTTTCATGTACAAGAAAGTTATGTTTACATATCAGCTCAACAAAACGTGTTTGAAATTGCCCTTTTCTTGAGAATTTATCCTTCAGAATAGTTATCACAGAACCATTTTTCACAGATTTTGAGTGAGGATATATTGTAACCAATCTTTGCCTTACTTAGGAGTCCTTAAATTAGTTGACAATGAAGACAAAGGAAGCCGTTCTCCATTTTTTGAAGCCATGCTGATCCAGCCATCCATAGAACACTGGCCGGGTTCTCCATGACTTAAAGATGTCCTTTCATTCCTAGTTGTAGACTGCTGTTGAACAAAATAAAATGGAATTAAAGTTATTGGCACATTTTCAAATCATGGTTACACCACCTGTTAGCACCCAACAAAATGTATCAAATTCAACATTTGGGTTAGTACTTTTGCAAAAAAAAGGACAATTGAAAGAAAAAATACAATGATAAATCCTCCTCATCCACCTGTATTGTATATTATTAAGTCAGTTCATGTAAGATAATGTTACTGAGAACAAAACTAGCCACTAAAGATATTACATGCAAAGGTGTCTATTTAGTCTAACTACCCGAGGTAAGATTATGAGAAGTCAGTCAATTGATAATTACAGCAGAGTCACACTTTAGGTAGTAATATTTCAAGTAGATAGATGCTTATGACTGACTATCAAGATCACTGGCCTGTATGTCTATTCTCGTTACCTGTGTTTGTTTGGAGAGAAGTTGTGTTAATTTGGTTATATAGCTTCTGGGATTTAAAGACTTAAGTTTGCCTTTGGACGTTCACTATTTTGAGAAAACAAACATTGCAACAGTACTGTCCTAACCTGTCTTTTCCTTTTACCATTGCTACTTTTCTGCTTGCAGCCTTTGTGTTTCTTAGGGGTTTTTGCTCTGGACTTCCTTAAGGCTCTTGTTCTCTTGGAACAGCATTCCTTTGCTTTCACCTTGTCTGACTTGCCTTTAGTCCTTGAATTGTTTCCAATATTGCCAAACGGTACCCAGTCACTGTTCAGCTCATCTAACCAAAGAGTAAAATTTTTATAGTACCAACAAATCACTAAATAAAACATGATAGGAAATGCTTTAAGATAATGGTTGTAATCGATGGCTAGAAACAAATGTAGTTGCAGTAAAGAAACCCTTATAAACACGAAGAAGTGACATGAAAAAAGGATCCTAGCAAAACTTCTGAGACTGAAATCTTAAAGTCTAAAAATATTTTTTTACAAACATGAAAATGTGATGATTCTAATGTATTTAAACTTAGCAATCATTGTTTGTGACATGTAATGGATCAAAATTGTAAAACTCCCCCTCTCCTAGAGAGGGTGAGGAGCTCATCAAGAATGAGACCATCTTCCTCTCTCTATCTCCAGACAGGACTCAATTTAGATATTGTTGACCCTGGTGGCAGGCAGGATTATTTCTACGTATGAACCCTATATGGCCTAACTAGCCCATTTTTTGCTGAAGCTTGGTTAGGAGACCGCCTGATGATGGGTAGGGTTCTAAACCTCAGGGGGATACAGTTTTTTTTTTTATCTGTCATATCTTAAAGACAACTTTGATATCACAAAAGGGAAGCCCTAATAGAGTTGAAGAATCTTTAGAGGAGACTATAGTGAAGACCATATTTCATACTACTTACTTTGGCTGTGCACCTACCTGGTGAATCATCACTGCTAACTATAAAACTTCCAAGACTTGCTTGGGATGAGCATGCATCTTCAATTTTGGGAAAACTTAAGATTTAAGAATTATTTTGAACAATTAGGTTTACTATGACACTAGTTCTGATAAAATAACAAAATTACATTAAAAAAATAAATTTCTAACAGTATGGATGGTTAGGTGGAGAACAGTGTTCTCCCTTATTTTAAGCATGACAAGTAAAATAAATTTTCAAACTGGTAAAGCAATCCTTTTACAAGTTGAATTTTCAAGAATTCCAAGCAATTTTAAATGGTAATAAGAGGTACTAAAGGTAGTAAATGTTACCAGTTACTGCTTGAAAAGGAGAACCCTGGAAAATCATACCAGCTTCTTGTCATGGAACTATAAAATACCTTATCTATTTTTTTATTCATTAAAAAAAACGCATTTTGAATAAAAAAAAGTGTAAAAAGGAACCCCTTCATAAATTTCAAAACAATCTTACAGGTAATTTCAAAAGTATAACAATAATTATCAAGGTCTAACAAAGTTAAATGCTGTGAACTCTTTACCTAAAGAGTAGCAGCTTTTTTGTAAGTCTCAAACAAATATACTATAATTTAATACCTGTTATTAATGTTACTTGTATTTCTTGAAGATCTTGTTCTTGGATCATGCCTGTTTCGGAACTGATATGGGCTGGTTCTTTCTATAAATGGACTTATGCCATTGCTTTCTTCAGAATCAGTACTGTGATATGCTGTAAACAGGGGCTCATCATCATCGTTGTCATCATTTATAAAGGAATCTTCAAGGTCATACTCATTAAGATGCAGCTGGCTTGAAGCACATATGTGATTTCCTCCTGAACTCTCTAGATTGGTATTCATCTTAGAGTCACAAATGAAGAGTTATTTAATTAATCTATTCAAATGTTTCATAAATAGAAAGTCTACTTTGTTACCTTAATTTCACATTGGAACTCTAAAAAAGTTGAAGTTTAAAATTTGAAATCCAAATTTCACAGTAATCACTGTTTCAAAATAAATTTGTTTAATTTTGTGGCATAACAGATATTGTGAGATAAAGAAAACTAAATCAATTCCATCACTTAAAATTTAAAATGTCATCTACAGGCAATTAGGAGAAAACATCTGTCAAATCAAGCAAATGACAGAGTGAAGTGTCAGTTTCTCTTCAAGGTATCAAGTTTTCAAACCTGTTGCCTGGATTGTCTTGTCCAAGGGTTATTGTAGTGAGAAGAAGGCTCATAATCATCATCAAAATCATCCAAATCAAATGCGCCAAATATATCTTCCTCTACTAACTCATCATCATCATTCCAAACTCTCTGATCCTTGTCTCCTACACGGACCTTTGTTGGTGGGGATCTGAAAGGGCTCAGATGAACCTGAAATGCATAATGAAACACTTTGGTGTGAGGCAATTTCTAGTAGATCTTATTTTTAACAGTTAACTACAAACACACTTGAGGAATTATGTCTAACTATAGCTGTGGTAACAAAAAGGAGGTTAGCTTAAACCTCAAAAAAAAACCTTGCACTTGAAAAATCCAGTAATTTTTTTTCATTATGAATACATTCAGAAGCAAGAGGACACTTCTAGCATCTGCTTGCTTTAAAACTCATTTAATATACATAAGCTTTTTGGCTTGGGATTAATTTTCCATCCCATTTTAATTGGCAACAAAAAGGAAAGTGTTTAAAAGCATGCACTTACAACAGGCAACGGCTTTGACCACTAATAATCACGGCAATCTTAATTCCACGTCAAAGTAAAATACTAAAGTTGAGATGTTAATGGCTTTTGAAGTAAAACTGACTTAAAGGTATTCCCACTAATTAACTATATGCTTTCATTTCAATCATTCCCTGTGGGTAACACCTGCATCGGCCCACATCTGTTACATATCTTAAATCGCTTCTTCGACACGTTCGTCACCAGTGTTAACTCATCAATAACTACCTCGTAAGCACAAGAAACAAAATTCTTTAGCAAATTTACATGCCGCGAGCTTAAAACGATCTAGAAGATCCGATACAATTTAAGTTGTTTGCTCCTGAATCAGAATAACTTCACCACTGTGTACGATCTTGATAGAACAAACATTTATTTTTAATCGAATCATGATTTTTGCATGTTTGGTGGTATTACCTTTGTTATGCATCGAAATCGGGCCTTGCATATCGGACAGGTATTTGTGTTCTAGAAATAAAAACATGCTCGGCGTTAGCGAAAGCTTAAATAATTGATTTGCATTTATCCATGAATCCAATAAGTCAGATATCATTCTCCTGACATTTCAGAGCATCAAGATGAATAAATTTCACAAAATGTCTAGACCTCTGACCACTCCAATATGCATGGGAAACAGAACCAGTGATTACAAACGCTTAATTTTCCGCGACAGATAACTTTTTCCAAACAAATTATACAGTTAGACGGCTCATCAGTGTGTTTGGAATCTCCATTTGTAGTTTCCGCGTTTTTCCGGGCCTTTGAAGGACGAGACATTTCCTTTACGATTGTTTATGAATCAGCCTGATGAATCTGTCTTTTCAAAATGGCGCGTTTTTTATCTGAGCAAGATGTCTGGCTACTGCCCCCATTAATTAGTACCTCTCATTGGTTAATATTCTCGCGCAATTTTAAGCCAATCACAATTGTTGTAACACACAGATGTGCAGGCCTGGAACGAGACATTTTTGTTGTTATTATCCGCTGACTCGAGTAATCGTAGTTATTAGAAGGAAACTTTTCAGTGAAAACATGGCTGACATTGGAGCTATGATAGCGACTCCAGGAATCGAAAGCCCGAACAAGCGGGCGAAAATGGATAGTGGACTAACAGCAACTAACTTCGATGAATCTAAATTCGCTAGATATTACAGAACGGACACAGTGAGCTCTCCCGTAAGCTCACATTCCGGACCAGTTGTCAGTGATACATCAGCATATTATTCATACCCCTACACGTACTCGAATTCTTTCTCATCATACACGTATCCTTGTGGACAAACAGACGCAGCAGCTTTGTACACATATCCCGCATCTTATGGCATTCCTTACACCGCACTGAATGGCTTCAGCACAGAATATTCCTCGACGTCAGGTAGCGGTATGCGACTTTCCTTTTAGCTTTTGCGCTTCTGATATCGCTTAATGCGTTACTCGAGAAGTCATAAATATTTCAGATGGCGTACTCAGTTTCATCGTAAAAGGAGGGTAATCTGTTTTGTAGCGTCATTTTGGCGGCCGAACATATAGGCTTTTAGGCACAAGAATGAATCCGTGAGAGGAAATTAGCTCTGTAATGTGTTCTTGAGTAAGGGCGTGCACGAGAAGAGTTTAATGTTCTTAGGACACTATTACCTTTGAGCGCGTCTGCTTCTCCTAGTCTGTTGTCTTAATATTGTTGTTAAACTTTGAAATTCATCTATTTTTAAGTGAATGTCACGTTTAGTCAATAAACTATGAATGCTGTACCGCTTGGGCTAAAAAACAAGTAAAAGCTTGCTCTGGGACCCGGCGCATTCGAACCTTTAGCGGTGCGTGTTTCATTCGTGAGGAAATGTCACTATTGAAGGCTGTTACTGTGCCTTGTCATTTATTACGGACTCAATGACCACGCTATGTCTGGCACGGCTTTTCCTGAAAGGTTGTAAGAAGGATATATTTCACTGATACGTGGATTGAAAACCAGCTGTACAACGAATCGTGGAATGCGTCTGTTTATTTTCTGATAATCTGCTTTAGTCAAAAGAAATCGCAGATCGCCTGATGTGTGAATTGTACATGGTACACTTCTTTAGCCTTGCTGATATGAATGGAAATGTTAATGAGCGAGCTTTAAGGCAATATCGTGTTTACTTTCATGCAGAAGTCGTGGAGGCTTTTCTCGCTGAGTAATCGGGGTTTTTAATCTACTAGTATAAATTTACGGGCCGCTGTTCTGGCTCGTAAGCACTGCAACTCTACCTTTTTCCACGGCGTCCTGATAACCGTTATTTTTCTCTGTTGACAATGCTGTTTCTTTTCTTGTTACTTTGATTAAAATATAAAGGAAATCCACTTCTATAGCCATTGAACACAATTATTGCTCGAGCAGATAATTGTTAGCACTTGTGTTTTCGTTTCTAAGTCCGTAGAAGACAACAGCTAAAGCGTGAAATTATTGGTTAACTATGTCCGGCTAGGAATAATAAAACTCTTCGATCCACATCGACGAGTGTATATTTGGAATATAGGCCAGGAATGTGCATGTACTTGAATTCATGAATATGGAAATTATTTAAATCGTGAATGGAAAGAGATTTACTACAATGTCATTTATCTTCACTTCTGTTATGGCTCCGAAATACCACATCAATATGAATTGACTTTGATTAGAGACTTTTAAAAAAATCTATCCTGCTTGTGTGTTAAATGGTTGATTCTGCCTCCCTTTTTTTTTTTTTTTTTTCCTTCTTCTAAATAATCCTACTGAAAATGAAAATTCAGCGGTTAAAGGGTGTTTTAATTTTTTCTCTAGAAGAGAATTATTAGAATTATTTTGTTTTTTACCTTGAATGACTTCTGGTAATCAAAACACATGCATAAGTATTCTTGAAATGGTTTTGTTAATTAAGGACTCTGCGATGAGATAAAGGGAAATATTGGGCACTTCCCCAGAGAACCTAGATGTTGTGTCTTGTTCCTCTCTAAGAATGTCTTTGAACACTTGCTTTTGGCCTTTCAATTAGACCTTTCCTAAACCTAATTTCTTTTTTTGTTTTGTTTTCCTTTTTTTTTTTTTTGGTGAATCAGTAAGCACCATCGCTTGTTATCAGTCTTTTGCAAAGAGGTACATTTTTTTTTAGTCAGGTAATATTTCCTTATATTTAATCCACAATATAGTTTTGACCACAAGGAATGCATTCTGAAAACAATGTTGTATTGAAATAAGTAGGGAAGATTTCCTTTAAGATGATACATAATTAAGCTTGGTGCTAACACTACTGCAGTCATTCAGTCTAAAGAAAAGCTTGCTGTGTATAGGATGCTGGGACAAATGGCATTACTTAATCATAAGAATCCTTCAACCAATAGAAAGTCTGTTTATTTCAGACTGTTCTAAATTTGCATTTGTCTCAGACTTTCATTTGTTCAGAAATGTTATTTGCTTATGCTTCTACCATAGAAAATCAATATTCTGTCATTTAGAAGGATCTATTAGGTAAACTTAAAAATGCAGTTGTACTCTCAGTAATTATGGCCCCCTGGTTAGAAATAGTGAACAAGAGAAAGTGAAATTATTCACATTTGTCATGGTCCACGGTTAAATGGCCTTTAATTCTTCCAACTTATCTGGAACCAACGTTTTCGTCAAGACCATCAATAAAATTTGTGACAGCCCATTATATAGCATTTGACTTGGGAAGTTGGCTCCTTTAGTGAATAGTGCAGGTGTTACCAATTTTGTTCAATTATTTTTATCACAATTTTTTTTTGTATACTATTTGGCCATTACTTTGAATATCTTTTAGTCTTTTACGTAATGAAGAACATGTTTAAGGGGAATATACATTCTATACTTGCTGCAAATCTGCTAGAATTATATATCCAGTGTATAATTTTATTATTATTATTATTTTCATCTCTCATACCCAGTACATAATTTTTTATGTAAGACCTCATAAAAAATTATTTCTAATATCCAGTCTTCTGACATGTATCTGAATTCTTAATTAAAAGGAAGCTTTATGTGACTGGTGTCTGCTCTAGACACTTTGCAAATGCGCCAGTTAAAAAAAAAAGAAGTGCAAGTTATGTCTTAATTTTGCTTTCAAGACATATCATTATTCAGACAAAACTTTGGCTGTAAAAATTGATTGCTTTTTGAGCAGATGTTTCTAAAGCACTGATTTGATTTGTAGCTCTGTGATTGTTCATGTGCCCATTCAACTTCCATTTATTGGATAGAAATGAATACTTAGTGATTTTATATTTAAGTGCCAAATGCTTGCCTCAGGCAGAAAAATGTTTTTTAGGTAAAAGTGGATTTTTTCTTTAGTGTGTACAGTGCTTAAATTTTAATGTTCTCGAGTAGCCTGCAGAGAATCTAGATGCTTTATACAGCTGTATGCTTGTTGTGGTGGTTTCTGCCAAAATTACAATGCAAGTCATCAGATCTATAGAATATTATGAAAACCAGAAATACACTTGATTACAAAATCCTGTTATTCAGAAATATTGTTGACTCTTTCTCAGAAAAAAAAAAGCTTACTGCTTAGTCTTCTTTTCAGAAATAACAAGTTGTCAACAGATATGTCTTGTTCTTGATCAATGTGAAGACTTTTGCATCTCACTGTACTGCTTACTTAGTAATTACAGATTTGTGGGGATTCATCCACACAGAAGATTTGAGTGTGGCAAGCAAGATCTGTATGTATTTAGTTTTCATTATTTGAGCTCTTGGGTTCATAAATAATTATTGCACGTATTTCTTTTCAGACTATTCATTATCTCCAAGCTCATCTGTTTCTGCGCTGACATCAACTTCAAGTCTCAATATTCCACAATCATTGACATTAAATTCTACGGCACATCACAATACACCTCCTTCGCGTGTTATTCACTGTAGAGCAGTTGCAGACGGTTGTAAAGAAACAGACTTGATAAATGTTCTTCAGCCATTTGGGAAAATTACGTAAGTATAAAGATAATATTTTATCCAGTAGATGTTCTTTTTGTAGGAAGTTACTGACAAGGAATGTTTTCATGGTATCAAAGTGTTTCAAACTGATTATGATGCGGTGAAAATTACTTTTTGGCATTTTTCTATGAGTTTATTTTAATCATTGTTCATTACAATTGTTTAATCAAAGTTTGGGTTGTAATCCACTGAATATTTCTGCTTTTACTCCTGCTTATAGAAGGTAGACTTTTTCAATGAAAAAGAAGTCATTGAATATGTCTTTAATTTATTGTGTTACTAATAATTCTTGAATTTCTTGCCTAGTAAAACATGTGTCTCCTCCTTTTGATTGCACAATACTTTCTTGATGTTACATTAAATGTCACCTTTTCATTTTCGTTCTAAATTTAGCATTCAATAAGGGTTGCATGTTTTTTTCAAGTGAGGCGTCATATTAAAGTATATTTTGGCAAAATTGTGAAAGGTTTTGCTGATATATGGCATCAGGAATGGGAAATATTGTGCTATATAGCCATTTATGATGGGGAGGTGGGAGGGGGGTAAGGCGTTGTTATATTTCCAATCCCAAACAATGCTGCATGTTGGGTAAAGCTGGAAAAATGAACTGATCAAAAACATAAGTTGTAGGTTACATTTGAAACCATGTTTGATATTACTTCAGTTTAGCACTTTTACTGCTGGAAAGCATTTCTTCAGCATTGAAATCATTCTCTTTGCCCTATTCATTACCAGTGGAAAGAAAATTGAGAGTTTGATATCCTTTTAAGGCTGAAAGCTGACAGAGGTCTGAATTTCATGGAAAAAAAGGGTCAAAGATCAGACATTTTACACTTTTCTGAAAAAAAAAATTATTTGCCTTCTGCAGAAATGCATTTGACTCTTTAATTCTGATAAGCAAGCTTACCTTTAACTCTATACATTATCCAACAAAAAGGGTTGAGTATGTACAAACTTACCAACTATCATGTTTTCTTGTGATGTAGTACCAAATTCTCAAGACATACTCACAAGGAAATTTGTTTGAGCTAGACAGGAGAATTGCTGTTTGTGGATAAGATCCTGGGAGTGATAGGGTCATAGATTACTCATTCTCAGGCTAAATTTTTCAGATAGAATAATCTTGCAGCCTTAAAGAGTTTTCAGGTTGATTATTTGATAGTGTTTATTATGAATAGGTATTCTATGAAAAAGGACTGTTTCGTTCTTGATTCCAGTGTGCAACTAAATGAAATTTTGAAAAATCCGGAAATTCCTTGTCAAAGGCTTTAAAATGACAAGGGCTTGTTCAGGTAGCAAAACATGAATTTTAATACCACATGGACCTTATTTGAACCAAAATGCCAATTTTCTGGGCTTTGCTGAAATGAGAACATAAATCACTTCTCATTTAGTTAAAGTTATAGGTATAATTTACTACTACCCTTCAGACTTCTGTCTCAAGATATAGTGCATGTAACTCCTTTTTTGAGCCAGATATATTTTTGAAATGGTACCAAATTGTCTTAAAAAATGTATTATGCCTTGCTTTTAAAATGTTTTGTCAGCTGCAAGCCTTTGGGTGAATGTAAGTTTTTCCTTTTGTTAATTGCTTGTAAAATATAAAACTCTTCTGTTGTGTTTTGATCTCCTAAAGTTGATTCCTCTCTGTCTGTTCATTCCATGGCATAGACCTATATTCTGAGTATTATGAGAAAAGTTTTTACAGCTAAAGGATAATCTAAAAAGCTTTTGAAGTGGTGTTGGTCTTTCTGAAAGCTTCATGTGTGTGTCATAGATTCAAAATAACAATCTTGAAACTAAAGTGAGAGAACATTTTCAACACATAGCTAAGAATAAGAATTCTGGCATTGCTCCAAGGAAGGCTTTAAATATCTGTCCCCAATGCTTGCTCTTCAAATAATTTCAGTCACGCTTCAAATAATTGATTGTATGCAGCTGTCTATTTCAGTGATAGCTGTTTTTTCTGCAACCAAAGTTCATGTTAATCTTCTAAATACCTGGAATTGTCAGAAAATTACGTGAGGCAACTGACAGACCCTAATGGCTTTCTTATTTCACTACTCCTTGGAGATTAAAAACAGATCATTATCTCACTGTCAAGCCAGTATTTGCAGCTACAAGATTGTAGTTGGAATATTGTCAGTGGATTTTTATCAACTGGCAAGATCAAACATTTTCAAAATGTAGAAATTTCAAATCTTTGGCATTAATGCAAGATTCTTCCAGAATCTCAGTACATATGTATGTTTACTTTTTTCTCACACTAGGGCAGTTTTTTTTGCTCCGAAAGCTTGGATGTCAATCACCACTATAGTATAGCAGACTTAGTACTTTGATATTTGTTCTTCTGACCTTTGATATCAACAGAATATTATTGTAAGTGGCCATGCTGACCCAAGGAAAATTTAGTAGCTATATCATTATTTTGTCAGGTTTTAATGGCTGTAATACTTCAATCTATTTGAACTTTTTGTTATTATTAAAACTTTTGTTCATGCAGCATATGATTATTATAGTTTGTGAATTCAGTAACAGGATATGACATGCAGATGTTTTGTTGATTACAAGATAATGTACATACGTCATTTACATGTTCATTTGCATGTAAAAGGTCACGCCACTCCTTTGCATATGTTCAGACAGATGAAAATTTTTGCCACAATTAGAGTTGTAAACACAATGACTTAAAGAGTTAGCAATCAGATATATTTAGACAGCCTTTAAACTTATTTTCCTCATCTTGGCAAATTTAAGGGTGGCATTTTGCCTTTACGTGTCTTGTTCTTTGTGCCTTTTGAAGTACACCTTAATTTCTAGTATAATGTAACTTAATGCCTAACACTGAATGTAAATCTGTAGTAGGAGTACTTTAGACACTGCTGTTCTCTGTTGTGATGTGAGAAGTTCAATTGTGTATTTATTTTTCAATTCTTATTTTGAATAGTAAACTTATCTCAATTAGGAAATTTGTTCAATGTGGAGATGTTACATTGTTCTCTTCCATTGACCTTTCATGTTGTGTCCAAACGGGCGCCTTTGTTTTCTTTCATCTCAACCGGAAACCGTAAGGTGCTAGGGGGGATGATGGAATTGCCAATGCCTTGGAGAATGTCAGCTTTTGAGGATGGGTTTAAAATAATCTCCAAGTTATCTTTGATTAGCTGAAAGTGCTAGAACCCTCCACAATTAAAAACAGATCTGACTACTAAATGACGTCTGATGCTTTGTTCTTTTATGTATACATGTAGCTTCTCTTTGTATGCACATGGCAGTTTTAAATGTGTTCCTTTTTCTCACCCAGGAACATGTTCCTGAGAATAAAGTACTAATGGACTCGCTAATTAGTCTGACACACTTTAAAATTGTGGCTATCATGTTGTTGTATTAGCTGAAAGTCGGTGAATTTATGTGGTATGTGCACCCACTGCTTATGAATTTTGGAAGAGACAAAACAAATTAGACAAGGCAAAGGTCAAGTTCTATTTTCTGCTCATATTTTTGGGGTTGATGTAAGATCCAACTTCATTTAAAAGGTATTTGTACAGGATTATTTTTGTCTGAAATTGGTTGTTTTCTGTTAATGAGAATATTTCCGTTGTGGCGCCGGGTTAAAAGCTTAGTAATTAGCAACTGTAGTTAATCACATTGTACAGGAGCCTCCTGCAGTAAAGATTGCTCATTATACACAGTTAAGCATAAAGTCCAAGGATTCCGGAGTAACAATATATATTCTTTCAATAACTTGTTACCATTCTCAAGAAATGGCAGAGGAGAAGAATGCTCCCATACTTACATATTCAGCATAAGAAGGACTCTCTTTTAGTAACAAAGTTGAAGGAAACTAGTCTCTGTGTCTGAAAAAGTAATGGCTCAGCACACTGAAATTTAGCAGTTGAATTTTGTGAATTAGTAGGTAGAGAATTATTAGATCTCCAATGTCCATTACGAACACCTTGCCTCCCTGCCAAAATTACAACATTATTTGCCTCTTCCCTGTCTGACTTTCAATAAAAGCTGGTTGTTTGTAGTCAACTGCTCTACAAGGCCCACTTGAAAAATTTTGAATTGGTACTCCCAAACTTCATAACTGGCATAACTGGAATTTTTTCACATAAAAATTATGGAGGTCAAGGATTGATTCAAATAATACTTTTAGTGACTGCCTGTAAGAGCTCACATTTGACCATTACTGTCAGGTAAAAATTTATACCCTAAATGTCCTTAAAACTTTTTTCCTGAGTGAAAAAGACAAAATGCCCTACAGCATTAATCGTGCAACTTCCACTATACATAATTGTCTACTTAATGTTCATCACATGGTGTCAAGGCATGGTATCTGAAAAATTAGTGGAGTGGACTCTGCTCTGAAGACAACTTGCGCCATGGCTGGGGTTTTCAAAACAAGCGTGGTGACTGTTGGAGTTCCGCTGGCTACGTGATAACATGTTGTCAGTTATTCTGGTCAAAATAATTACCTTTTAGCCCTTAGTGAACTATGCACAGTCACCTACTTTTTCAGAGTCTGAGGTCTAAAACAGTTTGAAACCCCTGCATGGATTTAATAACAGGAAAAGTTACTTCACTCTTTGAGTAGATGACTTCATCTACTAACAGTGGCTGCCAACATATTGTTTGCAAAAGGCAGAGGATCACTTACAAGTTACAAATGTTACATCCAGGGTATAAATGAGCTCAGTAAAAGATATTTTAACTATCCTGAGTTTCAAAGAGAATGGGACCTTCAAGAGTTTGTTTCCTATCAATGGTACTGTATTTATTCAGTTTAGTGCCACCCCAGAATAACTACTGCATGTTAGAGCAATTCATTAACAAACATCATTGTATAGGTTTGGAAAAATTTTATGAACACTTTGGGGCATAGTCCACAAAGAGATAGGAATAAAACCTTAGAGGACTATTATCATGTCTTACATAGATGATTCTCTCATCTCTGTAGGTGTGTCTCTTAATTAAGACAACCTTTATCTCCTAATTTTTGTGTCACAAGCAGAATTTGTTTGGTTGTGAACTTGGCAATTGGCCTCATAGTTTCTTGGAAAGTTGAACATTAGATCAACAGTTTTGTCCTCTCACAAGAGGAGACTTTTGGCTCTTGAGCCAGGAATCATTCCTAAAATTACACATGTAGATGCTGCTTACTCAGGACAAGATTCACCCCATGTATTTGGGTGGTTACTTATTTTGGGGAACATTTTATCTCCACATGAATTCCCTGAGGATTTTCTTTTTTCTTTGTCAAACAACTTTTTAGGGTAAGAATCTTGTAGAAAGGAGTTTAGATTGAAACTGAAGGCAGGAACCATTTGGCTAAAAGCATTGGATAGTCATTAAGCAAAGCCCTCACCTGAAACTAAAATGGCATGATGAAGAGAATTTCATTTTGATTCACAATTTCATTTCTGTTCGACAATCTCAATGTTGCCTGCAATATTGTGGTACTCATCATCCTCTTACTTTCTACAAGTAAACTAAAACTACCTGTGGTCCATGATGTCCAGGTTTTTGAAATGTTGTTCTGAGGCCAGGGGTGGGGAGCTTGAATGGTGATGTGGCTTTTTAAGTTGTGAGAGACTTAACAGTAATAAAGGGAGGAGAAAATGAACCTATCCCCTTGACGCCTTGGATGATATTTGACAATTGTCATTTCTTACCACTTTAAATGTCCTTGTTTATAAGTTTTGTAGAATTTGGTCTGTTATCATTAGTCGAGAATAGTCTTATTGGTTTGTCAATATGTTCACATCACTCTTTAAAGGGAAATTTACATATGCACCCTTAACCCTAACCCTTAGTCACAGACCAGTAACATCTAAGAATTCCTTTGAAGTGCTAAATAGTTTTCTCTTTTAACCTCTAATCAATGCATTGCATTATCTAATGATGTATATCATGTGACAATGCCTGATGTGTATGTTTTTTCTTTTTCAATGCAGATATGTGACTTTATTGCCAAAAATTAGACAAGCATTGGTGGAATTTGAAGTAAGTTGGCAAAGCCAAGTAATACATAATTTAGATACTTATTAAAGGCAGTATACATTTAAATTAGGGCTCTCTGCCCCCTTTAAGGTAATGTAATGTTATGTTATGTTAAGGAAATTAATGTGCGACAAGTTTGATATTTACAACTATTCTGTTGATATGGTGAGAAGTACATGTAAATTCAAATGAGCAGTGAATTATTTCAATGTCCAATTTAAACTCACTTTCCTTTGTACAAATGAAATAAATTACCATTTTGGCATAAAAGCAACAGCACTGTTGCCAATGTATTTTTAAGTTAGGAAACTGAAATCTGCTATGTTTAGAATTGGTTGCGGACTGTTTTTAATCTGCCTAGACTGGCAATAAGATTGTGAGCATAGAATTTCCAAAGGTGGGACTGATAAAGAGGTTGAATCTCAGCAAGGAATTTTGTGTAAGTCCACTAAATCCATTTTGGTTTGTCAGCCATAAATGTGAAGACGTCGAAGAAACATTACTTCAGCATGTATTGTGTAGATTTGATGTTGGGAAATTTTTACCACATTTTGACAAATCCATGTAGGTTTGCCAGCCTTAAATATCTAGACATCTTAAAAACCTTACTTAAGCATGTAGATCTGTATGTCTGGAATTTTTTCTACATTTTGAGTTCCTTGTGGTGGAAAAGTATGGATGAGGGTTGAAAAGTTTTCTATCCTTTTAGTTATTGGTGGTTGAAATTTTCTAGGGCCAAGATGTATTTTTGATCAAATTTTATTGTTTTCTTCTAAATTTATTCAAAATTTAGGAACTCAGTTGTGAATATTAAGGCAGGTTTTGTTTGATAAATTTCTTTTCTTGTGAAAATCGGAGTACAACATGTTAAAAGGCACGACTTCAGCAGTGAACAGAAGTCAAACAATAACAAAATAAGTTTTTGTATTTACTCCATTTTGAACCACTTGCTCTTGCATCTAATTACATTCCCGGTTGACGGAGAAATCGCATGACTAAAACTGGCTTCCTGTTCATGACAAATGTACATACACCGCACCTTGTAATTAAGCAACTTTGAGATTATGCAGGTAGGTATGTATCTTTACCTGCTGAATTTGACATTCTGCTATGTAAAATGTTCGTGTCTGGCACCAACCCAAGGATACTAGTGTGGTAATCTTCGATACCTGTCAAAAGATATTTCCTTTGTGAGCAGTCACTCCCAAGCCTTTTATAGCATTTGCCTTTCATATCATTTGTCATCGAGAGAAGCATTGAGAAGTGGCAATTACTTCAGATCTAAGTATATTTCTAGGTTTATTTTTACGAGGAAAAATAAGCATTTTTCTTACTTGATAAGTAAAAAATTTATATCAATCAATTTTGGTAAAAAATAGTATATATTTTGGTCAAAAAGTTTTTAAACCAGTTTGATTTTGTTCTCTTTCATTTAAAAACTGTGATTATGAATTGAATAATGTACTTTTGGTTTGAACCACAAAATACACACCTCAATGCCTAAATTTGTGGAGTTTGTGTGTGATTTTTAGGCGAAAGATGTTAGAGAAAGCTGCATGTAACAGCTCAAATATTTGTATTTCATTATTTCCACAGGATATTGATTCTGCTGTAGCTCTGGTTTCATTTTCGCAGGTGAGACGTATGTGATTGTGTACATTTTCAAGGAGGCAATTTAGCAATGTGCATTCTCTTTACATTAAAGCATTAGTAACTTGTGTCTCTAGGATTTAACTCTGGTAAAATGAGTGAGGTTGATGTACACAAATGGAAAATGCCTTGCTTAACAGAAGCTCAGTTTGACAGTCCGTAGAAAAAGACACCCATATCTAGAAATGCCTTGTCTGATAGATTTATTGGAAACTTCTTGGAAAGATTGTGCAGATTGCAGGGAAAAAGTTTCTGCCCTGTGACAGTGTGTTGAAAGAAAGGAGTTGCTTGCAAGGATATGCTTTTCCCTGTGTGGTTGGTTGATGCCAAAACATTTTGTTTGAATCAGAATAATCATAACTATGACCATCTCTTTCTTGTACAGTCAAATACACTCACTGTACTTGGTAGACAAATGTTCGTGAATTACTCCAAAAGTCAAGAAATAAAGAGGTAAATAGTAATTGTAATAATATATTTTTTAATCAAATGTTGCAATCCGTAAGGTGTAAAATGGATAACAAAGAATCGTTTGTTACATTGTATCCAAAACATGAAACCAAAACACATTAGGGAAACTTTGCACCTTTCTCCTGTTGACTCAGTAGTCTCTATTTCCTTCAGTCCCATATTTTAAAGTTTTTTTCTCAGGGATTGTAAAATTGGCTGTGTGCAACAGATGTAGCAGCATAATGCTTAGGATGGTGGACTCTGGGTCAAAGGGTCCATGTGCGATATCTGGTCTGGTCATAGAGTTTTGTTCTTAGACAAGAGACATTACTCTATCAGCACCTCTCTCCATCCACATGTACAAATGGGCACCAGTGAACTATCATCGAAACCTGTGGAAATACAGGGGAAGGGGAGAAGGCGAGGGGGAGGGGGGTGGTAACCTGGGCTGGACGTGTACCTCATCTAGGGGTACTAGCAACACTTCTGACTGCTTCATGCAACAGAAATGGGGACGAGCTCAGGCTGGATGGGCCACTTGCAAAGACTTGACTTTTTTTCTCATAATCCTTTTAACTCCCATGAGTGACCAAGACAGAATTTTGCCTTAAAATATCAACACAATATCAAGCAGACACTTGATGAGAATAAAGAAAAAAAATATTAATGAGGGAATTACAAGTTGACCCAATACAAATTCTCCAAACTAACATCACAAGAACTGTATGGTAGACAGTAAGGAGAATTATTAATGAGATCTTGAGAGTTAAAGGGATAAACAGTGGCTGAATAGTGACCCTGGGCTTCCAACCTTAGATTGAGAGGTCTGGGTGTGGTCTGAACCTACAGCTCTAGTGTTTGGTTTATCTGACACTGTTAAAATGTGCGCTAAATCCTACTCAAACTGTGTTTAACCTTAGAAACTTTGTGTGCATATCATGCCTGTGACTAATCAAGAATCTCTTTCCTTTTACAGGGATAAAGTTCTCAATGGTGAAAGTAATGGAGCCTCTTCAGAAGCTAGTAATATTCTCCTTCTCACAATAATCAATCCTTTACATCCAATCACAGTGGTAAGTGTCATAAAGATCCAAGAGAAAATCAAAATTGAAGATTGCAAAGTTTAAAAATTGTGGTGCATAGATTTTTCTTTAAGAATCATGAAATTTTTAGTAATTTAATGTCTTGTGGAATGTGTTGTTAGCATACATGCAAAAATGAAATTTTTTTTGTTTCAGGCATGCTGGAAGATCAGTTTTCCTTCATTATTATTTTCTAGACTTCATATATATTGGCAAGGTTACTTGTCTATAAATTAATGTAGTTAAGGAAACTAGTATGGGTAATCCACGCATATGTCTTTCTAATAGGCTAAATTCTGGTCAAACTTAACCATACTAACCTTTTGGGCTGATAAGGTTACATTCCTTTAGTAATATGATCTTCAAAATCAAAAAATATTTTAAGGCATTTACATGTAAGAGCTCATAAACACCTTTTCTGCCCAGACATTCTGCATTCTCTGAAGGCTAGTGGCTTTTTATTTCAAGTATTTGACAAGAGAAGCTTAATATTGCATGGACTGTAGTCTGTCAAGCTCATGTAGCATGATTCTAACTTTATATGTCTTTGAAACAAAACTTAAATTTCACCAATAATGTTGGTATACTTTTGGCAGTACAATTCATGGAAACAGAAAGTTTAAATTTTGCTACAAATGGAGGCTACACTAAGCACAAAATAACCATTAAATTTTTCTCATTTTTGCATGAAACATTTAGAGTGGATAAAGTGGCTTTGTGCCTATGTCTTCCGGTGCAGAGATAGTGGTGTGATTTTCTTTAACTGGCTTCTGGAATAGACTTAAATTTATGGAACACACAGTTGATATAGTACATGTTTTTTAAATTTCTTCCCTCACTGATGGTGAACAAAAATTATTCCAATTGTTCATCAATTATTGATTGAGTAAATTTAATGAAAACTGTCTGATTGACAGGTGGTGGTTATTTCGATAATTAAATCTGTTTACAAGCTATTTTAATCACAATAACTCTAATTATTATGGGCTTTATGTTGAAAACACCTTGAGCAAAATAGTATAATTTAATTTCTTCCTCTAGAAAGCTTTTGTGTACTTGTAATAGTTTTCACAGCGTGCATTTCAACACTGATTAGCATATTTTTTGGATATCTCTAACTGTTTACTGCAACAACAAGAAAGTGTGTAGGTCCAAAGAACAACACAAATTATTTGCTTTTCATGATTTTCAGTAGATTGTAGTTAAATTTGGAAATATTCCAACGAAATTTTTGATAAGGACTTTCCATGTTAATTCTAAGACAGATTTATTTCTTATCTGAGCAGGCTTAGTTGAAATGAATCCCTTCATTTTTTTAGAAATTTTATTTCTCAAACCTCCAGATAAAAGATGTTCTGATCATTTTTGACAATAAGTTGATTAAACTGATCACAGATTATAAGAATTATCTTTATCAAAGAAATCTTGGTGTGAAATTATTTTTTTGTTTTGCATAACAGAAAAGCAGTACTCTAGGAATGTTAGACATTCCACAGATTATGACCTTGGGAAACTTAACTTACTGAGATTTTAAATTTATATCTGATTAGCTTCTGAACTTTTATCAAACACAATGTAGAGAACATCCAAGGTGACAACCTGATTTGGCCAGAAAATCTTAATGAGATTTTGGTGTTTTATTAGAATTTCTGTGGACAGACAAACATGTTTGAAAAGAAAACCATAAACAAAAAGATTTGCATATTTGCTGAAGCTAAGAAGATTTTTATTTTTCAGATTCAAAAATTTCTACTCAAAAACAAGTAGAATTTTGAAATTTGTTTTTCAGAAGGTAAAATAACAATTTCACCAGCACAGCCTGTGTTAGGGTGATCACTGCATTCTGTGCTTTGTTTTGTAATCTTCTTTCCTTTACTGTTTAGAGGCACTTTATTACACAGAGATTCCCCTCTCCTCCAGATTCCACCTGTTCAGTTTCTCTCAAATGAGAGTTGTGCAGTGGAAATGAAAATTCAGCTTTCAGGTGTGACTGCTTTATATTTACCAGATGTTTGATGTATTTTTAACAACATTTCTCTCCTTAATTTGTTTCTGTCTCTAGAAAGTACTTCATAAAATATGCAGCCCTCATGGAAAAGTTTTAAGAATTGTGATCTTTCACAAGAATGGATTGCAAGCTTTGGTTGAATATCCTTTGATAAATTCCATTATTTCAAATGAAAAAATCTACTTTATCTGCCCCAAAACATAACTGTGTTAAAATTGATGGATAAGGTCATGTGTTGTTCACTTAATGTGTTAACTCTTCAGCCCCTAAGAGACTAACATCCAATTTCTCCTTACAATATCACCCCTGAATCTAACATGAAAGTCACGAGAATAGAGGAGATGATCACCAACGAAAGCAGCTCTTGATTGTCAAACAAATTCTCCTTGTCAGCCTCTTTGGAAATGTTTGGAGGACATTATGGAGAATATGCATACTTATGTTAGGGTTAAGTGTGGGAGAGATCTCACGGTCTCGCTCTATTATAGATAGAGATCATTAGGAATTTATATGTTAAGCTGAATTTTTCTTTCATTTTGGTTGGTAGTTAATTATGATCTATTGGAGGAAAGTTGCATAGATTTATCTAATAAAATAAGTAGACTCCAAAGTGGGGTGTGTCTTCAGTGGAAGATCTCAGAAGGCGTCAAAATTGAGGTAAGAACATTGGTGACATTTTCGTGGGTTGTATTTTTTGTTTTTACCCCATTTTGAGATAATCATCGATCAATTGCTGAACAGAGGCACTGCTATGTGGAATCTATATATTTAACAATTATCCTATCCTTGACCATTTTCACATTTGACAACGTCGAGGCAGCTCAGCGAGCTCTTGCAACACTCAATGGACAAGATATTTATGCGGGATGCTGCACACTGAAGATTGATTATTCAAAGGTAATTAGCTTTGAATTATGGGTCCTTCTGGGCTTCTTCACATTTCAGTGCACATCTGTGATTGGTTATAGAATTCAAATTTAACTATTTAACTTTTTAACTGCATTTTTGAAAGATGATTCTCAACCAGTTCAAGTGATGCAAAGATAGTGAGGACAAACTGGATACAACATCCTCAAATACTCTTTAGTGCCAGATGACATATCATGGATTTTTTTCCCTTTTCTCAACAGAAAGCTAAAAAATTAAATGTTTTTAAAAATGATGATGAAACATGGGATTACACTGGAGCACTGAACAATAACTCAGGTTTGTAAAAGCAGTAGAACCTTAAACCTTTGGCTAGAATCCTGTTACCACTTCTCTGAGTAGCCAAAGAACTGTAAGATTTTAACTTAGACAAGTGATCAACAGGTAACGTCTTACAAAGAGACCTACCTGACCCATGTCAATAATTTTCCAGCAAGAAGCTACTTCCTTAAGGATCTCGTAAGAGCAAAATTTAGAAGCAAACACAAGTAATACACAAAGAATTATGGAACCTCATGCAAGGACAAGTTGCAGGCAATTTGCTTTTGGTAACATGGATAATTTTTGTGTACTTCTTTGTTCCTCGGAGTTAGGTTTTCCATGAAACAATCACAAGTTAAGAAGGATATGCACAACATTATCTGTCCCTGTGAATTAATGCTTAGTGTGGTGACCTTATTACAAGCACACATTTTTCATTTGAAATAATTGGTAGGATAGGAAATGATGTTACCTGCTGACCAGAAAAAGGGAAATGATTTTCGGTCACCTTCATACTAACGTATTATTTTCTACACTTACAAGGGATCCCAAGCAAGACAGCTCTTCTTGGGTCTGGGCTCTTGTCTGCAATTTCAGGTAAGCACTGGTAACTGCATTCATTTGTAGCTTTTTACACAAGCATAGAGGGAAACAATTTAGGGAAAGAGTGAGGAAAAAATTAGTAAAACAAATAGAGGAAAAGAGAAAACAAGAACTTCAAGGGTTAAATAATATTTGGGTTGAGAGGCTTTAAAAGTAAGTAATCACCCCCCCCCCCCACCCCACCCCCCCATCCTAAAGTCCTAAAGAAAGGGGAATGGTGAGTTGAAAGGAAACCTGGGGATGACGAAGCAAGACAGGATATTCTCTCACCTTTTTTACCAGTCCCCTCATTGTTGCAAGTGTTGAATGTGGACTGGGCTAGTTTTAACAAGAGGTTATATAATGTTGACAGAGAAGAAACTTTCCTTGCCCATATTCATCCCTTTTACAATGAGTATCATGGTATTGCCCCCCTTTGGTTATGCAGGATTTTCACAGTAGCTGGAAACTAGTAGTAAAAAATTATGACAAGATGTACCATTTTATTTTTCATAATCAACAAACATGCCAACAGAGGCAGAACTTTCATTTGCATTTTATGCATTATCATGCTACAAGTAAACTGTAACGGAATCTTTTAATTTTACAATGAAATTTTCATTCATTTTATGATTCCAGGAAATGATGCCAGTGAGACGCAGTTGTCAAGTTCACCACCGAACACTGTCACTCTTAATGGTAATATGACTGAGTAACAATTGTACACATGCCATCAGTCTTGTTTAATGATTTGCCGCTACGTCAAGGTTCCTGCAAATCTCTGAAAGTTTTAATTCAATAATTCATTTCCCAGGCCTTTTAAGTCTTGGTATTGGGTCATGGATTCAAGGAGGGATATTAATATTGGGGGAAGTATAAGTAAGGAAAACACATGTGTTTATCACATTCAGCGGTCTCATGTCATTAAATTTCTCCGTCAGGTGTGAATGGATCACCAATTTCCATCAGTAATGAGGCTATTGCAAGAGCAGCGCAGTTTCCCACTGTACAAAGTGAGATTGATTTAATTTTATTTTATAACTTATTGTATAATTAGACCACGCCTCACATAGGTGATCAATGTATAGGGAACTTTCACATGTCTGAGTCAAGCATCAAGTACAATTCTGCCCAAATATCTCAAGTGTCCGTGGATGGTCAGTGTAATCTCCTTCAACCATCCTTAGACTTGTTTACCCTTCATTGTGAGTTCTCATGAGATGTTATTCTAGATCCACGGAGCATGAATTTGAATGTCTGAGTCTGGTTGGATTTAATTTTATACGTCTTAAATAGCCCTGGAAATTTTTCAACAGAGCCTCCTTCACATCAATAACTTTAATTTTAAAGGATTCTTCCAGACAATGGTTGTTGTGTATGCTCCTCTGTGTCTGTTGTAAGGGTGTACATAGACAGATGCTGTTACATATCGACTAAAATAAGGAATTGCGTAAATAAAAGAGGCAACTCATTGGAATCAACTGTCTTCTCATTTCTCAGGTATTCTAGCCAAAGTTGCATCTCTTCATGGGAACCCGCCTAAGAGTCCAACATCAGGTATGAAGACAGCAGAATTTATTTTTTCTTATTTGTCTTTTCCTTTTATACTTTATGCGTCAACACATTTTAAAATGAAAAAATGTGAGGATAGATTGTGTTCGAAGGATTCCAAATAACGATTGCTCAGAGTGAGATGAGTTCAAGATTATGATGATGTCAATTTTAGTTCAGTTGGTCGTAAGTTAAAGCCTGAGTGGGGTTTCATACTCTTGTGTTACCTCTCCTTTTGGCAGTGAGGGTGGATATCGCTTGAGGACTGAATCTCAAGATATCTGTGGTCACCAGTTACAATGAAGATTTAAAATAGCAACGACAAGCTGTCGTACTCTTGATTCGTAGAATTACAACTATATTGTTTGCTGAACCTACTTTTGCTTTCTCTGTGACATCAGGTAGCAACTCACCTGTGGAGAATGTAGTGAAAAAGTTGGGTATCCTTGGAAGCTCGCCGTACCAGTTACCTCAGGGTGGACTCTTAGGAGCTCTACCAGGCCTGGCCCAACAGCAGCAACAGATGAATGGCATTTCTAGCGCTTTGAACGCAGGTTTGTGAGACGCTTCCTGGCAATTGTTAGCTGAAACCCTCCTCTTTGCCAAATCTGTCTTAATCCACTTTCCAACGGCCATTTTCTTTGCATGATGTTTAGGGTCACTTAAATTATAAATTTAAGTTTTAATTACTCAGACTGACAAATTCCAACTGTTTTAAGGTGGCACTGGCTGTGTGTTGATGGTTTACGGACTGAATGCTGAAAAAATGAACTGTGAGAGAATCTTTAACTTGTTTTGTCTATATGGCAACGTCGTCAAGGTAAATAGATGGCAAATGAAGTTTTAAAATTGTGGGAAGTATGGCTCAAAATGTGTCTAATGTTTCAAAGTCAAGTTTTTCGAGGAAACCTTGGGGTATGACAAGTCTGGTAATCGGGGTAAACCAGGTGATTCTATCGTCAAATCCTGACGTAACCACCCATTCAGAGTACATGCTCAACAAAAACTACACACGCTGCCATTTTCTTTTTGCAAGTGAACAAAAATAGAGATAAAGTTTGGAATTGAAGGAAAAGTTTAAAGTTCCCTCTTGTTCCGTAAATAGCACTCAATTACTTGGCTGAATGTCTTGTAGCCAGCGTTTTGTCTGGGTTAACCTCTGTTGCAGAATATTTAAAACGTTGTCCAACCTAGTTTGCATTGCTACCTTGTTGGCTGCGTTATGTTCGTGTTGCAACTTGGTCAAATTTTGAGTCTGGAAAAATATACTTTTTGAATGGCAAAAGCCGTCCATTTAGGGTTCAAAAGCAGACAATAGAAACTTCTTGAACTAATCTTAAGGTTGTGTTTTTTAGGTTAAATTCCTCACCAACAAACTAGGAGCGGCCATGGTACAAATGTCGGACAAAGTTGCTTCAGAAATGATCATCCGAAACTTGAGTGGTGCCGTGCTTTTCGATTCCAAAATCAACATCATGTAAGCTTTTTGTGAAACTTTTCTATCACTAGTGCTTTCCAACACGGTCAACGGCACAATAAGAATTGTTTATCAGTCTCTACACTGTGAAGCAGTGTCTTGAGTGCACTACTTTCAAAAAAAAAAAAGGTGTACTTAATGCAACTTTTGTACTACTTGCAGATTTTCGAAGCATCCTTTCATAGCAGATTCATCGGTGGTGACGACTTTACCCGATGGTACGCCTTCGTCCATGAATTTTGCTGACAACCGAAACAACCGGTTTAAATAGTAAGTTTTCACTTTTTTATTCTTGCGGACTACTGACAGATAAAAATAGCTTTCAGCAGGCTCAGTCTTCACATGATATCTTTCCAAGTGTGATAGTAATAGCAAAATCTTCAACGTGCGACTACAATACCGAGAGCAGCGAACTTGATTCATATTCTCTACAGGAGTGAGTAGTTGATACCGCTACACAATTCCCATATAAGGTGACGCGTTTGGCTTATGGTTGGCGCGTTAAACTTCAGAGAGGCCCTGGTTCGAGACCTGGCCGGGTCATTGTGTTGTATTACTGGGCAAGACACCTTAATTCTCATTATGCTTCTCTCTAAACAGGAGTATGAACTCTTTACACCCTAACATCAGTATGCATCTTCTCTACACATTTCCTAAGTTGCTGACAAGGAGAACGTGTTTAACAATTAAGAGATTCTTTAGTTGGTGATCATTTCCGTTGTTCTCGTGTAGACTGCCGCGCCTTGTAGTCCTCTTGACTCGGGTACAACTTTACCTTACCTTTCTCTAATTTTGTTTCTTTGTTTTATTCGTAGTCTTCCTGAGGGTCAGAGTCTCAAGAATAGTATCCTTTTCAAATTCTCTAATGATTCTTTCCAAAACAATCAGATACCAACCAAAACTAACTCGCGATGAAGTTACGGCTCTTTTCTGCGCTTGGCACAGGTTAAAGGGTTTTTGCTGTGAGCTCCTATTTTAATGCAGAATTCTGGGCATTCGTCAATTTGGAAGTTGATTACGCGTGGGTTTAACTTAGCGATGAAAAAGTCCCATTTAAACTCCTTTCTTTGGAACGTACTCGTAGCAAAGGGGCATTCGATATTATAAGTCGTTTGTTGGGGATGTGAAAAGTCTCTTGTCCATTGAGATAAAAAGGTAGTTAGTAAATTCCTTAACTTGTAACTAGGATACCAACCACCAACAAGAATGCTTCACTTCTTCAATGCCCCTCCAAACTGTACTGTGGAAACGCTTAAGGAGGTCAGTCTACAAAGATTATTTACCAGTTATTTGAGAACAGCTTTTCGTTCACTAATGCCGAAATTTGCCCAAGAATTTCCAACTCTCAAAGCGTGAGCGAACCTCCGACTCTAAGACAGGGCTCGAGTCTTATCTGGTTTAAATTTGTTGTGAGTCTCTAGCAACAGGTATACGCTACAATGAGCTGATTTGCTGCGATTTGCCCGATAAGGTTTTGGGAGTAAGGTTAAAGAAGCATTTCCTGCTATCTGGCAAGGGGTCATGTTTCATTCAGCTTTTTCTCGCTCCTTGCCCCTGTTCTCTTAGCCAGTCTTTGGGAATAATTGATTGGTTTATCTATTTTGCAGGTCTTCATCACTGCCGGATCTTTGTCTCCTCTGAAAGGCACATTCTTTTCAAAAGGCAAGACCGGTTAAGATGTTATTGGTATTGTATTTAAACATGCTCTCTTGAGCTCTGTCTTCTTTTCAAGAACAGCTTTTTACCCTGACCCTGCCACACCTACAGTCTGAGACAAAATGTGGAGGAGAAACGTCCAATTTGGTAGAAAACTTTCTTAGTAAGCTGCAGCACCTCCAGCCTCCCCTCCCCACCAACCCTTTCTTCCCCCACACACACACCGGTGTTGGTTATCACAGAATTGTGAACAGATGTAACTCGAAGATTGCTCTTTGAAGATTTCACGGGAATGGGTTGGAGAAGATCTGTGGAATGACGACATTTTCAAAATCTCGCGTTCACTTGAGTCAAAACAACTGTTCCTTGTATTTATAGTAACAGACCCAAGCAGAGTGACAACTTACAAATATTTTTTCTTCATTTTTTGTACAAATTTTAGCGAACGCCAAATCATCAGCGGGGTTACTGGAGACGCCGGATATTCGTTCAGCCATGGAAGCGTTAACTCTCACTAACCACTTCACCATAAACCCACCAGGTAACAAACTTAAGTCGCCCTTCAGTGCACCATGTGGACCCCCTAAAACGATCTTCCGTTGGGTGGGGAGACTGTACTTTTAGTGGTAGTTGTGAGGTTGTAAGACCCTTACCCTCCGCCCACCCCACGCGTGATGGGTTTGTATAGGATTTGTGTTTCGTGGTGTGACTTTCCGCTGTCGTCATCATGACAGACGGTCTTAGCATTGTGCACTGTATAATAAAAAGAGATTAGTAAAGTCAAGTCCTTGTCCCATCCAGGTTAGATGAGGCGATAAAACTCTTTGGTTGGTTATTTATTTATTTTACTTTTAATTTATTATTGGATGGAACTTTTTCCTCCTGGTAAAGGTTGCCTTAACCCACCATTTATAGTTTCGAAACAACTTTGTAGAGGTAAAACATATTTTCATTATAAGCCCCATGCACCAAATTGTTTTTAAGGAGGGGATTTTCCTTGGTTTGTTGTATTTGAAGTTTTTGTGAAGGTAACGTCGAAAACTGTATGGTGTAAAAGAAAACTCATTCAAACATTCTTTATTTTGTTGTTCTTAGGAGGCGGATCCTATACCCTGAAATTGGCCTTCTCCCCAAGCTCCTCAATATCTCCAACGGCTCCGACCGTTGCTCCTGCAGTTGCTGCGGCTGCAGTCGCCGTCAGCAATGGTGCCAATCCTTTGGGACCTATCGGTTCGCCGGTGCACCCTCGATGTATGGCGGGAAGCCCCATCAGCATTGTGACGAATGGTGTCAAGGAATTAAACGGTGACTCCGAGAGGAATGGGCTGAGTCCAGAGCATTTATCAGGTACCAGTCCTTAGGGAGGGAGACTGGCACATAGCATCAACCAGCTGTGATAACGTACAGCGGTAATTTCTGATGCTTAAAAGGACTTCAAATGAAAACACAGATTCAACTTCGAATGAAGAGAAATCTCCCAGGTAAATGAATTATTAATCAATGGGAAGAGTTAAAAAAAAAATACATTAGGTCGTTATAAGTCAACAAAAATGTTGTATTGTCGTTCGCCGACTGCTTTGTTTTCGCTCTCCCAGAACAGTTGGTGATGAGCATGCTTAGAAGTTGTAAAAGTTCGAATAACAATGTTAGTTAAAGGCACCTTTTCATGCATTAGGTTTATGGTTCAAATTTGTAGTTATAGGTTTAACAATTTTCCCTCGTTACATTAAGAATTTATTGAATGCACTAAGGTGATGAAAGCCTTGGTAAAAACCAGCGTTTAATAACCCAAGGTTGAGCGGTTGAAATGCCAGCCCAAAATATATAAATATATTACATAAATATTTACAACATGAATATTAGAGTAATTTTTTCAAAACTCGTATGCGCAGTGAGTCTAAACTAAGATTCCTTTTGTCTACATATACAAAATTTTCCTACATCATAGATATATTAAATCTTAACTCGTGGAGAGAAGTCAAACTTCACAGGCTCCTGAGCAAATGATATCGTTAAAAACAAGTTATCTGTTACTTATGGTAACTTTTTTTTCCATCTAATTTACATTTTTCCACTGAATTTTATTGCAACCGTAATTGCTACCCAAAACTGACACATTGTTGACAACTGTTCAAGGAAATGTTTTCCTTTTCGAGAGAATAAGTTTTGTTTTTGTAGTTGTTGTTGTTGTTTTTTTCATACTTTGACTCAGTATTTGGAGTATTGATTTATCTGCACGATCTACTTTTGTAGTTAAAATTTGTTCACCTTATCTCAAAAGCGGCAGCTTTCAGATAAATTTACCTTCTCCCTTGGCATGTGCGTCAACAATTGTTATCAGGTTTTAAGGTAGCAAATGCGACGCGTTGTTTTGTAAAATGTGTATGCCTTACACCAAACACATAAGTGGTGTCTTATTTTACATTTGTTAGTAAACTTAAAACACACCAAGTCGGTATTTATAATTTAAGATGTTTTCCACAGCGTACGCACCCCCTTGTTTAATACTTTTACTGTGTTATCAGTACGGAAATTCTCCTGACCTATTTGCATACATGTCTTCTTTAATTAGTGGGGAGAATTTATTTGAATACTACTACTGTTCTCGTTTGGTGATTATGGGCGTAATTCCTTTTACTTGATCCCAAAATTTTGAGCTTTTTTCTTCTTTTGAGGTAGCTTCAATTTGTAAATGGCTAGTGCAAATTAGGGTTAGGTTAGAATGTTTGGCTACTGCTTTTTTTTTGCCACACTCGAGAGATGTTTTTAATTGATATTTTTGTCTCTAGTGTTTTGATGTTCCAGTGAATATCAGATACTCCTTGGTACCGCTGATTTTTTTTTTGTTAGAGCTTTTTTTCTTTGCAGTTCTGTGCAGCAACTACCCTTGCAGGAAGCAACGGGGAACTTGAGGTCGTTAAAGGAAAATATCAGAATTTTTATTCACATTCAATTTAACCTCGAATGACTTTTAAAGAAATTTTAGACTTATTGAAATTGCTTTTATATTTGCCTTATTTTTTCAAATAATTTGTACTTAGCGAAAAAAATATATTGTTATAACGTACAGTTATTTTTTTCCGGTCAGATTCTCATCAGTTATGTTTCCTAGCAACGGCGGTTCGTCTTAAACTGTAAAGAGCCACCTTAATGTCTTTAACGCTCGGAAAATTATGAAAATTCTCATCCGCGAAACAAAACTATAATTAATTTCCTAAGGAAAAAGAGGACATACATTTTTGTGTGGACCGACAGAAAAATAATTGTTCCAATTTAAAAAGAGAGAGAGAAAGATGTTAGGAAATATTTCAAATAATCGAATCCCACACATTTGTGAACAAACCACATAAAAAGAGTCAGATACAGAATTGTTAAGCTTACATTGAATTTTTGTTCTTTCGGACTTTTTGTACGGGGTCCTGAATGCATAATTTTTAATTGGAAATAATTTAATTACATGGTCTGAGTCAAAGAGGTTTTTAATATAATTCGTCGCACATGTTCAATCACTCATAGAGGTCAACTTTCAATAACGTTGTACATACTATAGGTTATAGAATTTAAGAAAAGAGAGAGGCAAATACAATATCCCCATTTAACACCACAAAGTAGAAGACAAATATTATGAACTTAAAATTACCAAAACATATTTTAGTGGAGTTTGGTATAACGAATTGTTATTTGATTCATTTATATGCGAACGCTAAGACAACCAAACCGCCCAGTCAAGCTCGTACCCAGACTCACTCTTCCGCGTTACCCTTAGGGCGTGTGTTTCAGGGAATGGGAGTTTCGGCCTGGTCACGTGTATCTAAGGAAATAAGAGGAAGAGACTGCCTGGGAACGAGACTGCTACCAAATAGCTAAAAAGTTGCCAGCAACAACCATGACATCTGATTTTATTTAATTAATTTTCCAAAAACGAAAAAAGAAAAAAAAAATACTGTTATAAGACGCAACGTTCATGTTGAAATGGCGATGCCACGATTTAGTTGAGTTTACCATGAATTGTTGGGAATTTCTGCACGCATTAAGTTTTATTCCCTGTTGTCCACAAGTGTTATTTTAAGATTTTGACATCTTTTTCTTATTATATTTCTTATAAATGGATTTTCAATTTGTTGCGACTATAGATTTCATTACTAGTGAACGTTATTCAACCACGAGGGTTTTTTCTTTTGACAACTTTAAATGTAACGTTCTCGAAGATAGAAGCTTTTAAAGATACATCCACGGAAGTTTGATAAGTGTGAGTGCAATTGGAACGTGCCAGCCTGCACTTATCGTGTTCAGCGGACATCTTCGAAAAAGCCTCTGCGGCAGAAAGAGAGCGGGAGAGAGAGATTCGGAAAGCTCTCATGTTGTGAGGGACAACATCTCAGGTCATCTTAGAGAACTTGTTGCAAACATTGGGTTTGAAAGAACTACTTATATATTATTTTTGGTAATGTTTGTTTTGTTTTATTCTCTGTCTCCTTATTCATAATTGCTTTGCGTTGTAGTTTAGAGGATTTTTCATTATATTCAGAGGTCGTTGAAACAGTCGCTCCGTCCGTAACTTTCATTTTAGTATTAGCTGACACTTTCATTTTAGTATTAGCTGACACTGGAAACTTTTTCCAGGGTCTGGTTTAAGTTGTTGTCCAAAACAAGTTGGTGGCTTGAAAAATGTTTGAAGTAAAGTTAACCTACGTTAAACTGCACACACACTCGTTTTTATGCAAAATTAAAAAGTCCTTGTGTTGGGTTAAAGAGCTTAATATTACAAGGCTGGTTTGTCTTATTCACTGCAGAATTTGTTGCATTCTAAAGAGTTAGTTACCTCGGTTCGGTGATCTAAGCACCGCTATACTGCAAATAGGAATAACATGGAAAAGTACCTCATATTAAAGCTGCATTAATTTTGATTTTGTGGTTGTTATGTTTGTTGCTCTTTGCATCCATCTACTATTGCAGCGCTATGCTATGACCTCATCTAACAGTTAAGTCTAATTCTTGTCATAGGAGATTGGAGCCGAGTCGAGTCATAACGCTATAATAGGTGCCCCCTCCCCCTCCCTCTCCCCCGTTTTGGAGCTTCAAGTTGCTAGTAATCCCCCTATCCTTGACAAGTGTATGTGAAAGCTTTTAATTATGTGGGCTTTCCGATGAACGGAGACGGTATTGCTTGATGCAGGGCCACATTATGAAGAACATCTTCTGTCGTAGCATTAGTGTGTCGGGCCCTCGATCGAAAAACAATGAGAAGGAGAGGAAAGGAAAAATGATCAATTAGCGCTTTCCCAAACTTTCTTAAGTTGTCGCTCCGCTGCATCTCTGATGTTTAACCCCGACTGTGAGCAACTCAAGGGCGTTCAACCCCTCCCTATTTCCACTGCGCTTTTTTAAGTCCTACAAATAAATGCACCAGCCCCACCTCCGGGGTAGGTTTGCACAGCGTTAAATATGGACTGCCAAATGATTGGAGAAACACTCACATTTTTACGTTATTATTTGACAACATTTTGGGCCTTAATAAATCTCTAGTCTCATCTAAACTACCATTATTCCGCTGTGGGGGAATTCCTAAGATCTTGCACATTAGTGGGTACAGGCTGACCGATTCAAACGGTTTGCCTGTGAAATTGACTTTGAATGCGGGCCCGTGTGCAACAAAAGCAGTAGACATTGACTTGCATTTGCAACTAATACCGTGGTTAAGTTCTACCCAGTGCATGTCCTTTGAGATTTTTATAAGCCTGCCCTTTTTGGAACTCACAAGCCAGCCCTCTGATGGAATGAGCACAAGCGATGAAATGCGTTGATTATTTCTGCAGTGTAAATCCATGGGAACGTCTTTCTTGTGATAAACGTGCAAATGTGGGACATTTTTTAGCCGCTCGTACACCTCCTCTGTCTTGCCAGCTTTCGGCGCAAGCATCATATTAAACCAGGAATCCCAAAACTCAAAGTTGTCTGGGTTGACGTACTTGTCGAGATCAATCACTTTGTCGCATGACGTGTTAGCCATGCCATGATCCGCTGTGACTATAATATTAACTTTATCGAACAGATGATGTTTTTTTAAACCTTGCACGACCAAGCCGATGGTTTTATCCACTCGCTGTATAGCAAGAGGTAGATCTGGCCACCCTTTGTGATGACAAGTTTTGTCTGGTTCTTCAAAGTAAGCAGCCACAAAATTCGGCGGTTTTGGACCAGTCAACCAGCTAATTAGTTTCTCCACGCGTTTTTCAAAGTTCATTACCTTCCCTGTGCTGTTCGTGAAGTCAATATGTGGCGAGGCAGAATTAATTTTGTATTTAGGATACATTCCCTTTATTTTGACGCGTTCCCCTAGCCAGTAAAGCAATCCACTTCTTCCTTTGTGTCTCTGGTTCGTTACCCAAATGGGCTCTGCTGCACTCCACCATCGTGGATCTGTCTGAGATGCCCCAAACCACTCCTTAAGAACTGGATCGTACATGGTATTGCTGACTATTCCGTGACTTTCTGGGTATAAGCCGGTTACTATGCTATGATGCCCTGCATAAGTGACTGTCGGAAAAACAGATCTAACATAAGGCACTGTGACGCCTGTTTTTACCAGCATATCCAGGTTAGGAGTTTTCGCCTTGCTTGCAAAATCCCAGCGGAATCCGTCCAGTGAGATCAGAAGAAGGGTTTGAGGATCGCAACAGATTCCTTGAATCATGAAAAATAACCCAGAGAGGGTAAACCAAAGCATTGTTCACCGCTTAGAAAACTGTTAGCGGAAATCATATTAATTAACTGGTTGACCTTGTACGCTAATCAACCTGCCAACAGGTTTGCAGATACCATAAATTACCTGCAAAATTTAAAGCCCTCGACACTCTTGTTTATATTTCTTCTTGTTAACTATTTGGTCGATCTGATCATAAAAAAATGTCCCAAGAAATGATCGAAAACTACTCTTTTACTTTAATTTCTTTCAAAAATACCTTCAAATAGAGACAATTAACGTTCAACGAGTCATGCAGGCATGGTTGCACGCTTCGGCGGTTGCGTGACAGTTCTACAGACATGCTTCGGCGCTTCTTCAAACAGATGGAACAGCTATCATCATTAGAATCATTAACTAGAGTATCTGCGAAACTGTTAATGTTTCAGTCGTATTAACAGCTCACTTCATCTTGTTTTCGGCTTTCGGTTTGTCTGAGTGAAAAAGCCGTTTTTCGGTTTTTAATGTCTGATATCCTTGTTCCAAAGCCAAGTTGTTTCACTTTCATCAAGATCCTTATTTTCGACAGCGTTTTTTGGTTTCATTAAACATTTCCAGCTGGTTTTTTTCGGTTTTTTTATAGGTCCCTTGTCTCATACTTGATTGGTCGATGACATCTCAACATTAATATTGAAGTAGGGAGGTGTGGAGGGACAAAATAGGTGCACCATAAATGACATGAACCCAGGGGTTTTTCAGGTAATCAAGCAATCTTTTCGAGTGCGCGACTTCCCCCAAAAAAATGTTTGCTGAGGAACTTAAAATCCCTGTCTTCTTCGCACGCGTTCATCAAGATCTCTGCCAGCAGAGAATCCAGTCCATAAAAAGTTGTGCCGTTACGTAGGTTTGAGGATTAACTCACATCTTCAAAAAGAGGGAAACAAAGTGTATTCGCCTTGAACAGGTTCAGAGTTCCATGGAGAGATGCTACTGCATTACAAAAGTAGCCCACCTCACTTTCAAACATTACCCTGCTTTAATGGGTGTGGTTTAACACAATTACTTGAGGACAAGTAAGGTTTGGTTTGCTGAACGAGACGTAATGAAAACATCGGCAGAATTTCGATTGACCTCCTTGAAAGTAAGCACTTCACATCAGACTGTTGTCTCAGCGCCGCATCAAAGAATTCTTCTTAACTATACAAACAAAGAAATACATGAAAATACTAGAACACGGTGGTCCAAATCAACTGGAAAAAACAACCAAATGATGTGGCGTTAATGAACTGCCAACTTTTGTTAAGTTGCTTTAAAGCTACTTGACTCGGACATCAATGACATCCTCGTGTTCCATGTCCAATTGTTCCGGTGTTTCACCTCCTTTCAGATCCTCTCCATCGAAGAGGAACTTAATTCTTGAACGTGGAAGTTTTCTGTATTCACAGTACGCTGTCATTAGCTTCTCTAGCGGGTCAGTCTGAGATACGAATAAAAGCGTCCAACACAAAGGTCAGTTATAGGTTGTTACCACGCCCAGTTAGCCCTAAGACCGTCAAACTGCCTAACATCAAATTTCTCTTTACAATATCACCTCTGAATAACACATAAAGGTCATGAGAATAAAGGAAATGATGGACAATTAAAAAAGCTCTGATTGTTACATAATTTCTCCTTGTCAGTATTTTAGGAAAAGTATGGAGAACAGTGGGGAGAATATGCAGACTGATGTTGAGGTGTTAAAGGGTTAAGAAATAATGGTTTTGATTTCATCACCTGCAAACTAACATTACAGAAAGTTAAAAAACATATGAGCTTCTGGGTTTTTAAAACAACAGTGCAAAGCTCCTACACTGAATGCTTCCTCTGTACACACCTTTAATATTTGGAAAGCTTTCTTTGAATCAGGTTCTATTCCTTGAACTTTTATCTCAATTGAATTTTTATCTTCTTCCTCACTGTCTGTCAATATTGGTTTATCAACAACTACACATTCTAGAGAGAGAAAAACTGATTTTCACACAAAGCTGTAAATCTCTTGTAAGTCACTGGTTATAGTAAAATGTGTAGGGGTGTTGGCTGGCTTTTCCATGAGGAGTTCCTATACTAGTGTTTTAGTTGCTGGCAATAGGAAAAATTCAGGTTTTTATGCTGTAAATTGTCACTTTTTCATGCCAAATTGGGGTTGGGGGGGGAAGAGGGGGGGAAGAAGGGGAGGGAGGGAGGGGGGAAGGGATCTGCCAAATGTGCCTTGAGAACCAACCCTCCACATCAACTATTCATGGCAGGCCTCTTCATCTGGCATGTTCAACAGGTAACTGAATGGACACAGTGCATTGCAACAGGTGTTGACATAAACTTACCAATGATGTCTGCTACACTGAGGTGAATGGAAATGGGTGTATCATAGCCTAAGATGTTGATATCTGCCAGACTTAGCATGATTTTATCTTCTGTTGTACCTTCCAGTTGAGCAAGCTGAGATATGATCTTACCAAATGGTTCTGCCTGTAAAAATTATAATTCATGATCAAAAGACATTTCTACATTAATATCAATGAAATTCTATGAAATCATTTTGAATACTACATTAGCCATAGTTATGGAAAATGTTCAACTTAAAAGCTCTGAACACTGACTGTAAAATTGACAATAAAGCATTTGGTTGTGTGGTTAAAAGATGATTTAGTTTTATCAACTGACTTGATAATGTGAACTGGCCATTGTAAAGAGTTTCTAAAGCTGATGTTTGATTGTTAGTCCTACTCAGAGGGAATCAAGGAATTGTTGGTTTTGTGTGGTTTACATGACTTTCATTCAAATAGTTTCTTTTTGTGGTGTTTTTCATGTTACCATGTTCCTACCAGTACTACAGCTCCATCTTTTTGTATATAAATCACATACAACCCCAAATCCATTGACCCACTCTGACAAAGGGCTAACATTTTAAAGATCAGCATAAGACTCCCTTTATAGTGGCCACTTTACACATCATTTCATAAAACCAAATTATCTTGTACTTCCCCAAAACTGCAGCATCACAGTTTCTTTAGAAACTTGGGGAGCCTTGTTGGAGCAAAGTAAATAACACCACTTACAGCCTTCATAGTGAATCTTTTTATTCCTGATCTTGTTCTAACTTTAACAACAATATCCCGTTCTGATGGACTGGGAAAAGCATCACTGTCATTTTCACAAATCACACTGTTTGACAGGTGACTGTCAGGTGAGGCCCAGCTAGTATTGGTTGATCTTTTGAGTGAGTCTAAAACATTGTCTAGTTCCCTGAAAAAATAATTTTAGAAAAGGAAAAAAACAAATACAGAGTCAGAAAATTTTCTCTACTATTTATGTACAAAGAATTACTCAAAAAGATATTACCTACCAGAAGCTGTGTTCTTTTAACTTACAAAGATCTTTATAAATTCTCTGAACAATTTAATCAACCCATGAAACTTTCTTGCTTACCTAAGCTTCTTATTTTGACGCAAGTTTATCCTCATTTTTGTAGCCTCACAAAGTTCTGGAGACCATGCAGGGGGTGGTGTTGGTGACCTTGTAAGATGTGTTTCCTTGACATCATTTTCTGAGCTGTTTATTTCTTCAACAGACTTGTCCTTTATAGCCCTAAACAATAGCACAAAGTTCTCCGGAGTCAACTTACTAAATCATGTCTGTGACATAAATTCAAGACTCTCTTTCTGACTGATGTCGTCTGAATCTGTTTCTTAAGTATTGTAAGATACCCCTTTTAGGTTCCAGGCTTACGGTTGTCCTTCTTTCCTTGTGCTTCAATTTCAATTGTCTCAAATTGGATTAAGATTTTCTGTTTACAATAAGAATCGCATATATACCTTTCATATGACCTTGGGTATGCTTAGCGTAAAAATGGGCCCTTTTGGACAGGCCATCTCTCGCACAGAACATCAGAGGAAGTACCCCCCTCCCCTTCGACCTTCACTATTACAATCATTTACAACTTACCAGTTATCTTCGTCGCTGTCACTGTCCTTTACTTCAGAACACTCGTTTTCGGCGTATTGTGCTGAGTGCACTCTCTGAAAAGCTTCGTCATCATCCGACTCGGAGCTGTCAGAGTCTGGCAATTTCATTTGTTTTGCTTTAAATGACAATGCCATTTTCCCTCTGTAGGAAAAAATATCATCACGACTTTGTCGTTTCCTCAATACTTTTCGTGGACGGCTAACGGCCGACTTTGAGTTCTGATCTTCATTTCCAGACATTTTAGATCAAGAGAAACTTTTTATAGTTATTTTTAGGATAAGACTGCTGAGGATCGCAACTCAAAATCCGCGCCGAACTTTCCACACCTGTAGCTTTTCCGTTACTACTGTTGCTATTTTTCACTTAGAACTTGGTGACCAGGCAATCATCAGTGACCACGCAATTGCAACTTTCCTTCACCAAGCGACCAAAGGCCGAGCTCTGTTCACTTCGTGATCAGGCTTTCAATTGTTTTTGTTTGCGTGGAGCTGGATTTGAGGCTTAATTTGTTGTCTAATTACTGGTAAGTAACTGGAGCTCACTATTCTAGCCGTGATTTCATTTAGAGCCACAAATCGAATATTCAGTTAACATTATTCGTAACGTAAGCTTAAAATAAGTGTACATTCAACTTTGTTCAGGTGTTTGTTAAGGGAATCTTAATTAACACCTTCATGTAAAATATGTTTCTTGTAAAGAGATGAAATATTCTTAATTTTGTTGTGTTATTTATTGAAATGAAAGGGGAAAATAGAAAATTTTTTAGGGTTCGAACATCAAAGTTCATCAGATCAAGGATTGTGGGAGGAGCTGTTAAATGATGTTTTCAAAAACCATATCCCTTCAGCAGTAAGATTTTCCTTAGATACGATTCCAGGCCAAAACATTAAAGAAAATTCAAGGTGTACTTCTAAATTTCTTTTTTTTTCCTTTTTATTCTCAGGAGAACAATCTAGTCGATTTTTATTGGCCATGGTAAGCTGTCTCGGGGTAATTCGTTTCCTGGCCTGTGTTGCTGGTATAGCTTTGTCAGTTTATGCTCTCCACGTGGAGATATCAAAGGAACACAATAAAGAATACAAAGCTTTCTGTGACATCAATGAACACATGAGCTGCTCAAAAGTATTTTCGTCAAAGTATGTGACTTTTCTCGTGTCAATTTTTGACAATTTTTTTTTTCTGTATGAAACTCGTATTTGACATGTAGAATGTGCATTACTATATTACTAGAACATTGTGTAGTATTATTCATTATGGAATCTTCTTTTGGATGCAAATTCTTTCCTCCAGGTATGGAACTGGTTTTGGCTTAGTGGAGCCACTCATGGGGAAAGATTCACCTCTCAATGTTCCTAACAGTATTTTTGGGATTATTTTCTACCTTTTGATGTTTCTCCTTGGTAAGGATAGTCATTACTTAACCCTTTAAGTCCTAAGGGTGACTAACATCTAACTTCTTCTCACAATATCACCCCTGAGTCAAACATTAACATCAAAAATACTGGAAATGATTACAACTAAAGAAGCTCTTGATTGTTAAATAAATCAGGAAATGTGTAGAGAATATGCATAACAATCTAATGGTGAAAAGGGTAAATTCAATATTACTGCCAATTAATTTCAACACTTTTTTCCATCAGTGTACTCTCTAGAAAAAGTATAGACTGATTATAAATCTGTGCTCAAAAATTGGGCCAGTAGAAAATTAAAGTGGGTTGATAGATTTAAAGACTCTAATTGCTATACCAATCTACCAATATGTAGAAGAAGAAGAAATTATTTCTGAAAAGGAAGATGTCAATTAACCTACTTTTAGTGGATTACTTTATAAAAAGAAACATATTTAATCTTTAATCTGCAGTTGAGAGAGATGAAGTAAGCTTCTTTGATAAGTTCTCTGAAGTGCTGGTAAAAAAAATAGTTTCGGAGCGGTGATTTTCATAACATTTATAATTTCAGTACTAGTGTAATATGCAGTAATACATGAAGTTCATTCTCTGAAATTGATAATTCTCCATATTTACATCACTTTTTTCAACATTACCAGGAGAAAATTTACCTTGATTAGTCCTAGTACTGAGAGGGTATATTTTTTGAATTTTTGCCTCAGGTCTGTCCTCCAACAAGTTTGCAGCCTGGCTGATGTTCCTATTTTCACTAATGTCTTGTGCAGGATCAATATATCTAGGCTACATTCTCTTCTACATCTTACATGACACATGTGTTGTGTGTATTTCAACATATGTGGTGAATGCAATCCTGTTGGTCATTAGCCTGATTACAGTAAGGTCTGCAGGGGAAAAAGGAGATAGAAAAAAGAAAAAAGAATAAATATTATTAACCCTTTAACTCCCATGAGTGACCAAGAGGGAATTTCTCCTTACAGTGTCAATTCAATATAAACAGACAAGTGATGAGAGTAAAGAAGAATGGTGATTAGGAGATTTTTGGTTGATCCAATACCAAATTCTCCAAACTCCATGAGATCTTGGGAGTGAAAGGGTTAACAGTTATTTTTTTTAATATAGAGGAATTTTGTGAAATGATACTTGCCCTTCAAGAGATGATGTGTGTGTGATCCATTGCAATATTGATAACAAATAAAAAAATTAAAATTTCAGCACTGTCTTTTAGCATTTTAATGATGAGAATATTGTTGTGGTCATCCAGATGAAGCCTCCTTTAACTTTGTGGGGTAACAACCTATCAACTGGCCTTCTTGTTTAATGCTTTTATTTCGCATCTCAGACTGACCCGTTAGAGAAGCTAAAGACAGCAAACTGTGAATACAGAAAATTCCTATGTTTACAAGTTAACTTTCTCTTATTTGTCCCCTTTGCTTCTCTGAAATTAACCTTCTGGCTTCTCCCTGAAATGAATGAAACCTATTCAACAAATTGACACTAAAGATTATTTTGAGTTAAATGGAAAATGTTGTCTTTGTTACCCATAACATGCATTCATGCCTTTCAATTGTTACAAGCTTTTTCTTATGCATTGAAAATCACTACTGCCTATTATCCTGGGTGCAAGAGTGATTGCAAGAAGCACATTCCAAGTATTTATTACTCTAATTATTGATATCAATTATGGCATAAGCAATTTAATTGTAAGGGAAAGTATGTGATTTCTTCACTTGATATCTTTTTCCGGCTTTTTTCAGATATAAGTGGAACGAAGAGGTTTTACGGGGTTTTCCCATAGAGTTGTTAGTTTTCCGGTCGGAGTTTGATTGGTAGCTGGCTACGTAATGTGTTACTATATTTAACGTCATCCGCTTTCCATATAAATGACGAAACGTAGCTTAGTAACCGCTCATTATTCCGGTCACTCCGACAAGTACCTTATATATCAAACATGTTCAACGATGCCTTAGTTTTGCGGAGTTCAGCGAAAGAATGGCCACTGGAACGCGCACCTACAAGATAAAAGACAAAAATTTCGAGGTTAAGTTCGAGCTTGATACTCGCTACAAGCTGTTGGAGAATATAGGCAATGGAGCCTATGGTGTTGTGTGTTCCGCCGTTGACACCAAGAATGGCATTAAAGTTGCAATCAAGAAAATTCCCCGAGCATTCGACGTGGTGACTACAGCCAAACGAACTTATCGAGAGCTCAAGATCTTGAAGCATTTTAAGCATGACAACATAATCTCCATTAAGAATATTCTTAAACCTCCTGAAGATCTGGAGCAGTTTGACGATGTTTACGTAGTTCTAGATTTGATGGAAACTGATTTACACCATATTATTCATTCTCAGCAACAGCTGACCGACGAACACGTTCGCTATTTTCTGTATCAGATTCTTCGTGGATTGAAGTACATTCACTCTGCAAAAGTCCTGCACCGAGATCTGAAACCTAGCAATTTGCTGGTCAACCAAGATTGTGAGTTGAAGATTGGAGACTTTGGAATGGCCCGTGGTCTATCTTCCTCTCCTTCAGAACAGAAGAGGGTAATGACAGAGTATGTAGCTACCAGATGGTACAGGGCTCCTGAACTGATGCTATCGCTAAGTGAATACTCGGAAGCAATCGATATGTGGTCTGTGGGTTGTATTTTCGCAGAAATGCTCGGAAGGAAACATTTATTTCCAGGGACGAACTATCTCAACCAGTTGCAGGTAATTAGCACTTTCGGATTTCCTTACAAGGTTTTGTTTTCTGATTTATATTTACCAAATGCAGGAAGTGACTGTGTGGAAAGAGAAATTAAAAGATAGAGATTTAAAGAATTTTTACCATTTAGAAACAGAAGAGAAAGCCGTCAATGCAATTATTGCAGGAACTAACATTTGTCTCAAGGGTGGGGAGGGTGAGAGGTACGACCTCCTTCATTGCAGTTTCTTTGATGTCAGTGGAGGGAGGATGCAGGATGGAAAGTTATCAGGAAAAAAGGCAACAAATAGTGCAAACAAGTAAAAGCAAGCAAACTTGCACAATCTTTCCATCCTTTTCTTCATTCACAGGAAGCGAAGGTGACACTTGACAAGTAATTTATTGAGTGTTTTTTTGTTATAGCATGATTGAACAGCTAAATTTTATGTTTTAGATTCAACAGGTAAAATATCCCTTGATATTACTGCTTATCATAATTGTTCTCTTAAATTACCTTTATTTCAGCTTATCCTCAGTGTTGTTGGCACTCCATCAGAGAGTTTCATTGAGCGAATGGGGGCAGAACGAGTGAAGACTTATCTTCAGCGACTTCCAAAGAAACAACCAGTCCCACTGGAAAAGCTTTACCCCGAAGACAAATGCCATCCTGAAGCACTGGATTTGCTGGGGAAAATGTTAAAACTTGACCCAAATGAGAGAATATCAGTTGGTGATGCACTGGCTCACAAGTATTTGAAAGAATACCACTGCATTGACGATGAACCAGTGTGCTTTCCACCATTTGAATTTGACTTCGAGGACATTCCTTTTACTAAAGATGATCTTAAAGCAAGGATACTGAAAGAAATTGAACAGTTTCACAAAGAAAAGTCATTGATTTTGTCTCCCGTTTCAAGCCTTCCAAAAGAATTACAGTCAAGTCAAGTTTCCTCAACACAATTAAAAAATGAAAATGGTCATGGTGCACTTAAGAAAGGTAACCTTTTGCTGTTAAGATACAAATATTTATTTTCCTGGATGATTTTTAACCCTTTATACCCTAACATCAGTACACATATTCTCCATACTGTTCTCTTTACATTTCCTAAGGTGCTGATTAGGAGAATTTGTTTAACAATCAAGAGCCTCTGTAGTTGGGGATCATTTCCTTTATTCTTGTCACCTCAATGTGTGATTCAGGGGTGATATTGTGAGGAGAAATTAGATGCTATGCTTTCTTAGGGATTAAAGAGTTAATAACTAAAGTAACTGTCATATCCATGGGAAAATTAAAGATGGCAAACAAGTATTCTTCCCTTGTTTCTTTCTTCACCCTCTAAAAACCTGGCTTTTTCGGTGATTGTCCTAAGCACCCCTTGGTTCATGTTTTGATGTCCACAGTGAACCTTCAATGCAGAAAGACTGATTACTATTGATGGCAATTTGCCCTTCTTGCTTCCCTGTATTATCTTTTCAGTTCCTCTTTTTCTTCTTGCATCAGTCTTAAGCTCTCAGTAGGTTCACTTAACTGTAGTCACCATGTCAAATGCTCAGGGAATTTTCTTGATTGCAACTTTGCTACCATTCTTGGTATCATGTCAAGTAAATTTTCACCTGATTACTTGGTCTTTTCTCATTGCTTGGTGGTTGGATAATGAATAATTGTGAATTGGATAATTATAGGGATAGGTTACAGGTTCATGTAAGTTGCTTGTAGTAGTTTGCTGGATAACATATCTTTTGTCTTGGTTCTTGGTTTCAGGGAATGGCCCAGTTTCCTCTTTGACTCTGGTGGATGTTAAGCAGAAGATGGAGCAAAATTTGAAGAGGAAAAAAGAGAAAGAAGAGAATAAAAAGAAGAAGGCCAAAGCAGCTAGAAGGCAATCTGAAAATAAAGAAATCAAGTCAGATGACTCCACTGGGCTCAGTGACAAAGATAAAGAAATGTTAGCTAGATGGGAAAACATGAGAAAACAAACCAAACCATTTATACACCCAATCAGAAAATACATGCAGGACCTCAAGGAATTAAAAGATGAGGTCGCAGTTGGAGATCCTCAACCAGGTACTACAGTCACCTCACAACCAGTTGTACCCCCTGGGAGTCATGCACAGCAGCAGTTTCAGTTCACACAGTTTGTACCTCAGAACCAAAATGGCTGTGTGACAGGATTGAAAGCTGTTAAGGTCCCAAATCAAGGGTCAAATGCGATGCAAACTCTACCAGGAAGTAGAATGGCTGCACCAGGGGGTAAGTCTAACCTTGTACATTTATTTTTTTATCAATTGCTGTCATAGGATGGAGAAGTGGCAGTTGTGGTTTGTGCTCTTGTTTTGGGATCGTACAGTCTGGGTGGAAGCCTTGGTTAAGTCACTGTATTGTGTTCTTGGGCAGAATACTTGTCTCTCTCTACTTTTTAGTAGAAATGGGTATCAGAAAACTGTCATAGAAACCTGAAAAAAACTGTGGTAACCCTGTAATGGACTGGCATCCTGTCCTAATTTTATAAGAGATAGTCAGTGTCATCTGATGGTTAATTCCATTTTTAATATAATGTAGTTCATATCTGTTGTTGCAGGAAAGATTGTTCTTCTAGCCCCCTGTGAAGTGGCTTCTCTACCACAGTCCATGCTAATAAACGTTCCTGTTCCAATGGCAACTAAACAATTGTATCCCGCTTCTCAGAAATTAACAACCCATGGTCCGTCTAAACAAGTTTCTCTTACAAGCATAAGCAGTCAAGAAAGTGTGGCTAGTGTGCAGAATAACAGCACAACAAATTCTGTTAGCATGCCACTTCCGGCTAAATCTGTTCTCACTTGTGCAAGCAGTACAGGTACTGGAAAAGCTGTCGGTAACAATGCAAGCAATCAAACAAATAGTACTGCTGTTTCATCTGCAGTAGAAATATCAAGTGCAGTGACTGGTGTCTTCACACAACTGCCAACAACTGCTGTGTCATCAACCTCACTGTTGACAAGTTTGTCATCTTCTGTTCCAGTTCTTTTGCAACAGTCATCCAGGAGCTCTCAAACATTTTTGACTCCCACTGTAGTTGGTCAGCCAGGATTACCTTTAGGGGCCAAAGTCAGTAACCAAGAGGAAATTGTGTCAACAACTGGAAACAAACCTGACTACAATGCGATGAGTACTCCCTCAAGGAACATTCCTGTGGTTCTAAACAACTTGGTAAATGCAGCAACTGTTGGTCAGGAACGACTACCAATAATTTCACAAACCTCAGCAATAACTGAATCACATGTCAAAGTTTCTGCTGACAAAAGTAATTCCTTGTCAAAAGCCTCATCTCAATTCATGTCCACTGTAAATGACTACTCTTTACAAATACCTCTATCTGTGTCAACTCAAGCTACACACACAGGGAGTAGCACTGCTCTTTCAACTGTAAGCAATATCTCTTGGAATAATGTTGCGCAAACTTGTACAGGTCAAGCAGTTCAAGCTTCTGCTATAACACAGACCACAAGTGCTTTCCCATCAAATTCAACTTTCTCACAATATGGTTCATCATTTTCCTTGAGTGATTCAGCTGTATCAAATGCAGCACCTTTAGAAACTGAGTTAAATGTGTGCGGCATGCCAGCACCTTCTCTTATGAGTCCAAGAAGCCTTCAAGCCATGTTACAAACCATGCTGAGTACCACAGATGCCCAGCTTCTTTTGAGTTCAATGCTTAACTCTTCAGTAATTCCACCCCCCATCTTTAAACAAGCTGATACTGCAAACAGTACAGCAACGATGACCTCCACAGCAGCAGAACCCTTCCCAAAGATATCACCTCTTGAAAAAGGATCAGAACAGTTCATATCACAGCAGAGTGAGTTCAATACACAGGGAACTGAAGCATCACAAGAGGACAATGAGCTTATCCCCGAGAGCATCCAAGATGCATTTAGCGACCTCAATGTTCATGGGATCACTGAGCAAGAAAGGTTATCAGAGGAGGTAATCTTTTCCAGTATGCTGTCTTCTAAAGCAAATGCAACTGGAAGTGGCTATGGTTTAGGAATTGATTTTGAGGAACTTCTTGATCAAGCTGGAATTGTTCAGGATCCGGTACTCAACAATTTGTAAGTATCATCTCCACATGCCACTGTACAAATGATATGTCCTTCACTTCAGATGAATATTGTGGGCCTGTTATTTAAATGAGGTGATTAACCCAAACCATGGTTTTATGCAATCAGTAGGCCTCACTGGCTTTCTCTATAAGAAGGTTCATTTTATCAAATACCTGTACATGTCCTTCCACTGTTAGCATTTTGCCCTCTTGACACTGTTCACCAAAATAAATGTTCACTCCCACATGGTGCTAACAATTTTCCTTATAACTGTTCCAAAAATTCTCTCTAAATATGCTAGATGTAGGTAGACCTGGAAGCCCTCCTTCAAGGGAGACAAACTTTGGACTTAACTTGTTGTTATGCTTTCTAAAGAGGCACCTTTCCTAGTCCTGAGGGTGTATCCTGAGTGGAGGTACCTTTTTCTTAATTGCAGAATCATTATCAAGAGATTTTTCATCTTCTCTTTGCAGATCCAGCCCTTATAAAGATTCCTGCTTGACGCTTCCAGGTAGCTTACCAAACAGTCCTTCACTATCTGCTTCTCTGCTCTCTGACTGGTTGGATGGCAAGGATATGCTTCCTGTTGATATGGATGAGATTCAAAAAGAGCTGGAATCAAACTCAGTGCTTGCACTGTTCCAAGAAATGGATGATTCTTGATGTCTCTAGATATGTATCGTTGTAATAAATTAAATAATGATGATAATAATAATAATAATAAACTTTATTCAAGTGTCGTGTAACTTTAGCATGGTGTTGCTAAAAAAATGTAATATTGTGTAAATAATTGTCAACCATGTGGGAAACATCACAGTTATGCTCAGTTGTCATTAATTTAAAACTTATTGGTGATTAGCTGAACAGTTGACATGTGTTTACGGATTCATGTACTGTTATCATGGATTGTTGTTTTGGTCCTCACTGTTTTCAAAACACTGTGTCTGTTTGAATGAGAGTCACCTCCTCTAAGTTATGCTCAATTATGCTTAATTATTATTAATTGCAGGATTGCATCCTCATTTCTCAGATATCCCTTAATTTCCAAACTGTCCTTGCACTATTTTATTGATTTAAAGCAAGTTTTTAGTATATGAAGAAGTTCGAGGTACAGCATCTATGGGGATAAATAGTTTTTTCTGCTCTTACTTGCTTCATTGGTGAAAAGGAAAAAGTGATGTGTTTCACTTTACTTGATCACTGTAATTCTTGATCTTGATATACATTTATAGATATATCAAGGCATTGGGGGAATTACGCTGAGGGTAAGGAAGGTGGTAATGCATTAGTGTTTTACTGGCATCATATTATTGACAAAGAGGGGGGTCACATACAACCTTGAACTACTCCTCCTCCCCTTAGATGCCTTTTTGAATACCAGATTGAGGCCTATTAAAGTCAGAAGTTGAACTTTACTTTAATTTGTGGATTGTAATATAAATGGGTTACAACAAAGGATTTTTCAAACTTGCAATTAAATTTTTTTATCTTGTTTAGACTGAAGTTTGATCTGGGATCAAGGTTCACTCATTTTAGCAAGAATTTAAAAAATTAGACTATTTTTAACAAATAACACTTTTTATTATAAATATGTCTGACTAAACAATTTGTACAAGTTACAGCTACAAGAGAAAGGACAATAAATCTCATTTCCCAGGAGCAGTGTTTTCTTTCTTTTTCTTCTTTGGTCTTGCTAGAGGAAGTGCTGGAAGTTTGAATCTTGTCCTGCAGAAGAAATGAGTACAAGAGATAGTAAATGTAAAACAAACACATCTGGAAGAAATTTCTTAGGAGTCCTAACCTCTGATAGTGGAGCTCCTGTGGAGCCTCAACACCTTAGAGTATTGCAAGAAGTGAAAATTGGCTCTCTGCCTGACATCCGCAAAAATTGTACTGTCCTGTGATAATGACTTGACAGTGGTGGTTTCAACTGTGTTTTTCAAGTGAGCATTATCAAACCAAAAAAGATTATTTGCAGCCAATCAAAAGTTGGTCTTAGCTTTGCTTTCTGATTTCCCTTCATTACTGAACCACTCACAGAGTACATTAAATCAAAACCATTGCAATCCTTGTTAAAGTTTTTTCTCTTTTTAATACCTTGTTTAGTACCGGTACATTTGTTTACAACTTTATTCACAAGGCACTTTGATCAAGAATTCAGGTAAACTTACTGGCAAGTGAGACAGACAGGAATGAACTGGCAATAAACTGCAATGCAAGTCAAATGAAAAAAAATCTAAGAAGCTATCCTACATCTGTAACAATAAAATTACAATAACTAGTTCCTATGTATGTTGGCTACTGCATACAGTCACCTTTGCAGTGGTTCCTTTGAATGTCACATTGAGCTCACAAAAGTGATGCCAGACATTACAAAGAACAACTGAAAAGAAGACTGACAGCTGTACTCTTTGATGTGTCTTGATTTTTCCTGCAATCTGAAGGTAAATCTCCACTTGAAAATGACAAATTTCCAATGAATGCTCAGATTAGTCAAAAAACTAATGATATTACGAGCCAGTAAACTTATAGAAACTGGAATATCAAATAGCTAGATGAAAGTTGTAACATCTCTATTTATGGGCTTACTGGCACAATTACATCCTTTGTGTTTTAGGAGACCCCACTAGTATCTTAGTTCAATTGATCATTTCCCAAAATCCTGCATGGGTTTTTCTCCAACCAAACCCATGGGAAATGCACAAAATGATACCATTTTCTGAGACCTTCTAAAGACTGATTCATAAATGTAGTCTTTGAAAGATGAATATGAGTTTTTACTTAGTCTTACTTGATAAACACACTGAACAAACAAATCCAATATCAACAAGTCTTCTGTGGCAGAAACAAGCAGCTCTGTAGTCAATGTGCATTGATGAAGGAAGGATTAATTGATCACGGACTGTTGGCTCTGGAAGGAACACCCACTGAAATGAAAAAAAAGATGTGTGTAAAACTAACTTAGATGAAAGATGGAGTATTTCTGTGAAACAAGATATTTCAAGAGAGAAACTAACAGATTTTCATTATGAAAATCAGTTGGTGATGGTATCAAGGGTAAGTCATTGACAAACTCCTGTGAGTTGCTTAGAGTTGTCAGCAAGCTTCTCTGAGTTGTTGGTAGACTCCTCTGAGATGTCCCCACCCTACTATGGATTGTCCTTAGACTTGTGAGAGTTGTAAGGGAACTCTTAGGAATTGTTTGTGGACAGCCTCAAGTTGTTCCTGAACTCCTTCTCGTTATCAATGAACTCTTAAGAGTTGTTGGGAACACCTCTGAGTTAAAGGTTGTCTACTAATCTCTCCTGTTGGGGAGCTGCAGCTGCTCTGATTTCATACCAGAGCACTGATCTCTTTTTTTCTCCCTTTAACCTAAATATTCCTAATTTTCCACCTGAAAATGTGTCTATGTCATCAGTGCACTTATAAATAGATTTCAATCACACACGCACCAGGAGGTATTGAAGCAATGCAAGAGTCTGTGGCACTTTTAGGTACATTCCACCTGTAATGTCAGCAGCCTACATAGACAAAATAACCACAGTGACTACTTCAATCAATAACAATAATATTACTAGCTCAAAAAAAAACTCATCTATTAGTTTATTTTCAGTGCTGCACCACACACCTGCTGCAAGAATCCTGAGTGCTCATCCACTACACAAGCATCAATCACTGTATTCTGGAAAAATCAGTAAACAATTACAAACAAACGAAAAAGAAGGTTGAAAATATGCATCAAATACTTAGAAATCGCACTTGGATATTTTTAAAAAATCTCAAAACAGATCACTTGATCAAAGAAAGATAAATTTCAATGAAACTATGAAAGAATACAATTTTTCACTCACACTTTTTTGAGCAGCAAATATGCAGTTCATTATTGGCATATATTGTGTAGAGACATCGGGTGCAGCTTTGAGAACCTACAGGAGATGAAAGATTAGAGTGATGGTTAAACTTTAACTTGCACAATCTGATTCATAATTTTCCTTTCCCCCTGTTATGCCTTTTTCTTGGTGTGGGGCCAAATCAAGATAACTCTTGTTACAAAATGTATTGATATTACTGGCAGATTGAAGTTACATTTTTCTCACTTATGGGAGTAACAGTGTAAAAGATTTTGGAAACTTGAAAACAGAAAAATGCAGATTTGGTGCAGAAGGCACGACTGCATTTAACAAAACATATTTTAACCTAAATTATTCATTTTTCAGGTTATTGCCTTGTTGTGCTTACCATAATCCGAGACTTGATCTTCTGTCCAACTAATTAGAAAGAAATATTTTTTTAAAAAACAATTTGCATCAAACAGCTAAACATAATGAACTAAAAACTAACTATTACTTGGGCCACAGCAGGCTTTAGTTTAAGATAGAGGGGGTCTAAAATATACCCAGTAGTTTATTAAGTAGCTGTGGTGTTTCCAAACAGGTGTATTTATTGGGAAAAGGGCTTAGTAAAAGTATACATGAAAGATAAGAGTTCATTTAGCTCTCAATTGCGTATAGGTACATTTTTTAACTACAAAGCCATAGGAGAATATTATAGGCCCTCTGGTTTGTATCCCCTACCAAAGTTGGTCACAAGAAAACAAAAATTGGGTATACGGGTATAATGATCCTAAAATCTGCTACAGCAAATTTCTTGAGCGATACACTAAAGCTTACGAAACACATTTTCCTTTGAAGAAACTTAAGCGTCGCCTTCACTTTAGGAAACCGTGGATATCCCAGGGCTTACTTAAATCTGTCAAGCAGAAAAACAAACTATACAAGCAGTATATTTCAAACCCCTCTCTCTGGAACGAAGCGAAATATAAAACTTATAAGAACAAACTGAATCACTCCCTACGAATCGCGAAACGTTTATATTATGATAAGAGGCTAAGCGAGTCAAAATCCAATATAAGAGCCACTTGGCGTCTGCTTAATGAGGTACTAAACAGCAAGAAATTGAGACCTAAACCCAACTCTGTGTTTAAGGTTGATGATCAAGATATTTCTGACCCAATGGAGATTGCTAATCGATTTTGTCATTACTTCAGCAATATTGGACCAAGCCTCGCTAAAACGAATTCAACCTACGACCTCGTATAAGAATTTTCTTCCTGGTCATTTCCCTCAGTCAATGTTCCTAAATTTAGCAACTCAGGAGGAGATTATAGATATCGCATCTACGTTTCCGGCGGGAAAATCGGCTGGGTATGACAATATCCCTATGTCTATCATAAAGCGATCTATATGCAGCGTTTCCTCTCCATTAACACACATTGTAAATCTCTCCATTACTCATGGTATCGTTCGGATGATTTGAAAATTGCTCGTGTCATACCTATTTTTAAATCAGGTGACAAAGCTCTCTTCAGCAACTACAGACCTATTTCTGTTCTACCGTGCTTTTCAAAGTTTTTGGAACGAATAATTTACAACCGTATTATGAATTATCTCAATGACTCCGATGTCTTATGTGATAATCAATATGGCTTTAGAAAAATCGCTCTCCCTAGCCTTGCGCTTATCGATTTGTGTGACAAAATTTCTTCTGCATTTGATAGAAAAGAACATGCCATTGGAGTATTCCTAGATCTTTCGAAAGCATTCAATACGGTAAATCACGACATTCTTTTTGGAAAAACTCAATCATTATGGGATCCGTGGTCTGGCACTAGAATGGGTCAAAAGTTATCTTTCTGAGAGGACACAATTTGTCGAATTTAATAACGTTAGATCTGCCCCACAGGGGATTCCCTGTGGGGTGCCTCAAGGTTCTATTCTTGGTCCCTTATTTTTTATCCTGTATGTTAATGATTTGAACAATGCTTCCCTGCTTGATGCAATCTTGTTTGCTGATGATACAAACTTATTTATCTCCCATAATGACCCTGTTTACCTAATTAACACATTAAATAGAGAATTAAACAAATTGTCAACCTGGTTTGCAGCAAACCGGCTCTCCTTGAATTTAGCCAAGACTAATTTTATGGTATTCAAGCCTTGGCAAAAGAAGCAATCCTTTGAATTTCAAGTTTTCATAAATGAGCAGCCTATTCTTCGTGTTTCTGAGACCATGTTTTTGGGTGTTTTATTAGATGACAATTTGACCTGGAAATCGCATATATCCTTAACAGCAAATAAATTATCCAAATCTATAGGTATTATTCATAAATCTAGGTTTTTTCTCTCTACTCACTCCCTTCGTACTTTATACAATTCTATGATCCTTCCATATTTGTATTATTGCAATTTAGCTTGGGCTGGTACCTATAAGTCAAACCTTCAAAGAATTGTAACCTTACAGAAACGTCGTTAAGAATAGTAAGCAATTCTACATACATTGCCCATACTGGCCCTATTTTAAAGGAACTTAAACTCTTAAAATTTCATGATATCCATTTGTTTCAATTAGGTACTTTTATGTTTTCATTCAAGAACTCTACACTCCCTTCCAAATTCAATAACTTTTTTTTTTACTGAATAGTCAAATCCACAATTATAATACTAGGAATGCTCAGTCCTTCCGTTTGCCACTGTGCAGAACGAACACCAGGAAGTTTTCAATTTACTTTCAAGGTCCAAACTTTTATAATTCGTTAAATTCTGACATAACTAGTTCTCCCTCCTCCGCTTCTTTTAAAAGAAAGCTTAAGGAATTTCTTCTCTCTAAGTATTAGCTTCTGTAAGGCAGTAATTCTTAACTAACTTAGTTAATATGTGTGTGCGTGTGTGTGTGTGTACGTGTGCGCGGTCAAAGTTAATTACCATAAGTCCATATTGTAATTCTAATATAAGATTAGCTATTTTAAGTGAGAAAGCCTGACTTGTTATAAGCCTCATGGTTTCTTTCAGGTTTTCTCGCCATTTATTTTCTGTCATCAATTTTCTTCATTTTTTTTTTTTTCCATGTGTAAATGTTGTATATGGCAAATAAATATTGTATATTGTATTGTATATTGTTACCTGGGCATTCTTTTTCAGCTCTGTGGATATCTAATTTCTGTTAAGTTTTATATATAATTTTATCTCTTCTGAAACACTTTAAGGCCAGTAAAATTGGGGCACACGTTATTCACACCAATTCAAAAGTTGTTGTGCTATTACACTTTTCATTGAAAATTAGTTAGGGTTTGGAGAATTCCTTTTGGGTGTTATGTTAAGTTCTCACCAGCTGATAAGCTCATCCCTTCACATAAGTTGTTGGCAAATAAACAAAGTAAATGTGTTCATAATGAGGATAAATAATATATCTGACCACTTCTTGGAGTTAAAGAGTTAATCCTCTTTAAGATAAGGATACAACACAAGGCCATTGTTAAGGCACTGGCAAGAAGTGTTGGAGGCAATTCAGTGGTTTGGTTATCTGTTGGTCAACAAAAGCAGATCTCTCTAAGACTGCTAATTTAAACATTCATGATTACTTTTGATTTACATTGTTAAACAAAAATATAGGGAGTAGAAAAGGCATAAGTGTATCAGGTATTTTAAGGGTTGAAAACCTTATGCATAATAATCAGATCAAGAGAACACAATTGCATGTTCTTGTTGAAAATGATTTCAGGTTATAACAAGTTTAGACTAATTTGATTGGATTTAATCATTCTGACCTAAACAGATAATAACTTTTATCAACATACTGGGTTTTGTACCTGTTAAATCTTCTGTAGACAACAGACTCTTCATTTCTGTAATGATGGCATCATTTACTTCAGCGAAGCCTTCATATTTCCCATCTGTTGGAAGCTCTTTTTGATCATTATTACTGATTTCCTCACCAGAGTCATCTTTCGGAAACACAAACTTACTATGTGAGATACAAAATTATTGCAATTATTAAATATCCTTGGCATTAGGGATCTTTAGCAAGTCTTTGACAATCTTCAAAGATCCTTAAAGATCCTTTGAGGTTTTCCTCCAGAGATGATCCTCAAGCCCAAAACATGGAAGTTGGCAGGTATACTGCTACTACTCATGTACCTGAAAATTACGCCATCAGCTAGTTGAGTATGAAATTGACTTGTGCCTGCTCATACCTTGTACTAGTGTGTGAAATGATAAAAGAAAGGCAGTTGTTGTGCTGCATCATCAAATGTGCATTACAAAACACCATGAGGCTGTCCACACAGTGTGTCAAACTGATCTGAAATGCAAAATAAAAATCTGAAATTTAAAATGAGACCTGGTTCATGGAAAAAAGTTTGACTGTCACTTTTTAAAACTCAATAGGCCATCAATTCTCTGGAACTTGCCAAATGCACATGTAAAGTAAGCTTAATCCCACGACTCCCTTGACGAATCAAGATAGCATATATGTCAATTCTCCCTACAATTTCAATACAAAGTAAATCAGATAGAAGATTTTGTTTGGATATATCACAATTTTCCAGACCAGCTCAGAAAGAAATTCACGATCCATAAATGAGAGAAAACTCGCTCCAAGATCTTTAAATGGAGTGAAAGGGCTACAATAGACTATCTTAAAACTACAGCGTCGAAGATTGTACTATAAACACAAGTTTCCTCTCAGGTATTTGATAGAGTAGTCTTTCTACGCTTATAAGTTCCCTTAAAGTTAGTTGCTAGAAATCAAAATTAAGCTAACCCGCTGTTGATCTTCGTTACCAGCTCTTCCCCACCACACTGGATTGGCGTCAAGAATAACCACCAGTAGATTTGAAATATTTTCTGAAAAAAAAAATATCCCCTCATTAGTTTCTTAATCGTAATATTTAGATACAAATTTGGCATATACATTGAGGTGTCTCACCGTCCGCCATATTGAAATTTTGATTGATCCTCGTGTAAAAAGTCACGCTTTCTCTCTCGTGATCGACATTTTGCGTGACCAGTGCGTCACCCTAGGAGCATTAAAGCGAGGCAAATTCAAAGATCAGCAAAAGCTTAGCTGCCATGATGATCACCGCTTTCTTTTTCAGGATCGAAATGAATGAAACATGACAAATACGGTTACAACTGACTCTGATGCTTGGTCTTCTGTCACTGAACAAAGTATTTTTCTTGACGATGGCCTTAAATTTCTTGTGGAGGTTCTCCAACCGCCTGCAATCTCCACAGAGCACTCCACATTCGTGGAGCGCATTTCGGAGCACAAGTTTGAAACTTCTTCAAACGCGGAACTTCGCAAACGCCTTCTGAAAACATGTGCTCTACAACACAGCTCATACTACAAGCTTTTTGATTATCGTCAGCGTGCTTTGCTTGGCCTCTGGCAGTCACAGAAATCCAAGATAATACCATTATCGTCGAAAAATTCTTGCCCTCCTGCTGTTGATTCCAAAGAGGGAAAACCGAAAGTTCCTTTTCAGGATGATTCTTTTTCGTCCCATGTTAGCCTTCTTCTTCTAGTTCCTATTTTAGAATCTCAAAGCCGAACAGATCCTTCTTTAGCTGGACAGTGTTCAGAATTGTTACTTCAGTGTCTTCAAAATTGCGCTCCAAACTCTCTCGCAGCTGAGCCTACAAGCTGCATCAAAGGTTTGGCTAATTTGTTGTGCAATTGGCTCCAGCAAGCCAACGATGAAGAAAATATCAGTAGACAGGAGGAACTGGCTCGGTGTGGAGTAAAGCGAGAGAGTCTAGTGGCGGCTCTTGTCTCTTTAGCTTGCGCGAGGTAACACGTACATGTAATATGAAGTGGCAATTGTCCGTTGAGATATTCTTAATTAATGTTGTTTATTATTATCGGTGTAAGTTTTTATCATTGATAACCTTTTGACCCACCCACATATAGGAGATTGAGGCCTCTTTGAGGGCTTCACATTACACATGTAAGTTCTGACAATCACAACTACAGCAATACTCTTCAAGACTTTTTTGGCCTTTATTGTCACCAGTAATTTTTATTCTTGTACATTTTCAGTTACACACATTAAGAAGGAACATATAGGAAAGCGAGAAAGGTGTAAAAAAAAAGTAATATCTTTCTTTTTCTTTGTCAGAACTTATAAATACTTTCTCCAAGAAAGCTGTCAATTTAATTCTTGTGAGAAGTTACTCAAAAATAAACAAAGCATGGGAGTCTAACCCTGCAAACATAAAAATATAAATATCTATGAAATATTGGATATTGCGATGGTGGTGGATCAAGGAAAGGGATTCTGTAATGAGATAAGCCCTAACCAAAATTGTCTTGGGACCATTTTTATTGTGATTATTATTTTAGTGTAATTTTTATCAGTATTAGTGTGAATGCAAGGCTTATGTAGAGGGGGACTGGGGCTGGCATGCATAGTGAGTAGATATGTTTTTGAGAGCTCTGCTCTAGTTATCTTGAAAATAATTTTCCAAATTTATGCAACCAAGGGTTAACAGGAGTCTATGATGTTCCACATATATTGCATACAATAATTAACAAAACCATGTTAGGCATTGAATTGATATAGCACTAATTATTTCCAGGTTGTCTGTTCATCTATTTATTCAAGTACTTGACATCCTTCTGCAGCAGAGGACTCCCCTGACCAAGCTGCCTGTTGGTGCTGTACTGAAGAGAATGGTTGAATATGAAAGAAAAGGTTTCTTCAGTGAATCTAGTGTGATACAAACTTCCAGGTTTATCTCTAGCTGGAAATTTGACACAAATTTAACTGAATTTGATGATTCAATAAACAACAGTGACCAGATTAATACTCTTGCTTGTGATGGAAAGTTCTTGTACCATGTTAGTGGAGAAAGTAAAGGGCTTGTCAAGATTGGCACTGGAAAGTGGGGAACTGTTAGGTGAGTGTGATACACAAGTTTATTCTGCACCACCATCTTTAGTTCTTTTAATAAAGATATTATTATTGTGAATATATGTGTACAACTGTACTCAGCAGTGCTATAAGGTTTGGCTCTTAATCATTCTCTTGCCTATAGGGTAAAGTCAGTTTATGAGCCTGGTGATACAACTGGTCAGATCTAATTTTGGTTTCTGTGACATGATGTAGCTTCACTCCCATCCATAATTAGTTTGGATACTTCTCCAGAACAATGTCTATGATGCTTTTTAGTCCCTTTCCCCCTTCTCATGTTGTTAGTTTCCAATCTGTCCATACCATTTGGCAGACCAACACTGAGAGGACCTTAGTAGGGATTAAGTGTTCCATCAAACATTTCTGGGAGTGTGGGAGTATTGCTACTTCCCCAGCTATTGTCACGCTTATATAACAGTTTTTTGTGGCCTGTTTGTACTCCTGGGTGGAATGAGGTTCTATGAAAGTTCAGTGTCTTTCTCTTTGAACTCCACAGAATACCTGGTCAGGGCTTAAATGTAGAGCTTGTGAACCTGAGAGCATGATATGCCAACCACCAGGCCTTTGCATCTTTTATAATTTCTGAGTAGGTTTACCCAAAGTAGCTTTGCACAGGACTACTCTACTCTACAATTGATATCCATAAATTATTAAAATTAAAGACAGCCTTAGTAAACCATCATGGGAACCTGAAAGTCACCAAGAGCAGCTTGTAGGAACTTTTTTACTGAAATGGGACATATATTAACTCAGTCTCTGATTTGATCTTAAGGGTTGAAATGTTTATTTTTTTGGTGCCTACAGGAGTGCTGTTTATGCCAGAAATGCTGATCTAAAGAATGGGTGGCTAACCATTGTACAGGATAGGTTGTTATTTCGACCAAAGCAGTTTGATACCCAACCTGCAAACTTATGTTATGTATTGGATGTAGTGTCCTTGAAGGTAATTTTATCCATAAAATACTAACAAACCTAGGTTTCAGTGTATCCTGTTATCAGTTTTGACAAATTTCATCCTGGGTAAAAGCTTGAAGTAAGTTCTTCCTTACATTGTATTAGGTATGGGTGATGTATTGACAGAGAGACCTTTTTTGAAGATTACATGATTACGTTATAAGGAAGAACAAGCAAATGAGCTCTAAAACAATGTTAAAGTTACTATAAATTTCTTAATTTAGGGATCCTGATCAGGCTGTTCATATTATTTGAAAACAAAGTAAATTTAGCCAGGACCAAATCTTCAGGGAAACAGCTTATTATTAACCCTTAAACTCCCAAGATCTGATTATAAATTTTCCCCTCTAGCTGCCAGACATTTCCTTGTAAATTCCTTACAAGAATTTGGTGTTGGTAGATAAAGATAACATTTTCCACCTGATAATCTTGAGTACTCTCATTATCTGTTTATTGGATAGTATAAGGATATTGTAAGGAGATGTTGCATGTTAATCACCACTGGGAGTTTAATGGTATTATAACTGCACTTTATTTATTAGAAGAGGAAATCTCAAAGAAAAAAAAAACATAAATGGAAAGTATAAGTGAAAAACCAAATATTTCAAGACAGTGTGAACAAAGAAAAACTACCAAAGAAACGACCATAGCCTGAAATCTGAAAAAAGCCATTCTCCCCTCTTAAGTTTGGTTTTCTTTTTATTAGGTCTTACAGGCAATAAAGTTTAGGGATGCAGTTGAACCTGGAGCTGATGAAATGCAAACTCTGCAATGCAGAACAGTGCAATTACTGAGTGATCAGGTTCATTTATTTTGGCTGTGGTGTTCAACGCCAACAGAATCAGCCAGTCAAGAGAATAGAAAAGTGGATTTGTGGTTACAAGAATTCAAACTAGAAGCATGTGATGATAAATTAAAAGCCTCTCCTTGTGGTGAACCAGTTGTTGTGTCAAAGAAGGAGGAACCTCCTTCCTGTTTGTCACCACCATTGCCCATCAGACATTCACCAACAACACCTACTGGACAAAAAGATGCAGAAGGTGATTCATTACCTTATTTTGGGTGGGGTTTTAATTTACCAATATTAATGATAAGTTTTGAACTAAGGCTTATTCAACTTAAATGTAAATGAAGCCACTTTTACTTGTAATGTGTTTTCACCTCCTCATCTTGGACCTTGTAATTATAATACATGGTGCAGATGGTACAAACTGCAAATTTTATTTTAAAAAATATTTTCAGTCTTTTCAGTATTTCATCTTGCTATCTCACTCTCTTTTCCAAGGCCCCAAAACATTTTTGAGCTCACCAATCACTGCCACTTCATCATGCATATAATTCTCCATATATTACTTTGATAAACATGCACTGTACCAGGCTTAAAAAAAGATAAGTCAAATTGTCATCATTTTTGAAGTCCAATAAAGTGTGTGACATCTTTACTTTTACTTTGTTGTTTGGTTATGGATGAACTTTAGATATTGTCAGTTGTGGTGTATCAATGGGCACTCTGAAGCAGTCAGCCATGTTTATCAGTGGTGAAACATTGGTTATAGTGGTTCCACACCTTACCAGTCCTTCTGGTCCTATGCTGCTGACACTTAGGGGACAGAAAAGTAAGGCACATAAATTTGTCAACTTACATGTAGGCATTGACCTCTTTTTTTTAAGAAAATAGATCTCTTTATGAGATATTTGTGTGTTCTGACAAGGTACTTCTCAATTCTTTTCAGCTAGAGTGATGTGAGTCACCTTTGTGCAATTTTCAAAAAATAACAATTATAATAATAATTGCAACAATAAGCAAGAATTATTCACCAAAGTGGAGGTGAATAGTGGGGGATGTTTACCAAGCCATGAAGTCGTAAATATCCACCACTTTCAGCAACACTGTGGTGAATAATTGTTTTAATATATACTTAGCACAGATACCAAAACATTAGTTTATTTCTTTCAATATACTGAAAAAATGATTGGAAATTAAACTCTAGATGCACAACTTTGTCAACTGCTTAGAGGAGCATAAAGCTTGCTATTTACCTCCAAACTAGCCATGTGGGAAAATTACTAGTCACTTAATGTGTGGTGTATGCTAATAACAATTATAATATGAAAATATAACCAATAGGCTCTCTGTTTAATGACATGTGTCTTATTTTTTGGAGAGAGTTGAGTGACAAACTTTAATGATAATTTTTGTCTTTGGAGCCTTTTTTTTGCATCTGAATTTTTCTGGGTGTCTTTTTCTTTCCCAGGTCCAACAAATTATTGCTTTTCAACTGTGGACGGTTCTTGTGTTAAGCATGAGAGTGTTGTTAACTCAGCTTCACCAAAATGGCAAGATTTAGTAGCTCCAGGACTAAGTAAGGACAGCACATATAGTAAAACTTGTGAGCAGACTTTATATTAAGTATTAAGCAGGAATCAGCTAAAGTCCTGATTTTGTTTGTAAACCCATCCTGACCTGATTATAAAATGAACCTGTATTTAGTGGAAAGCTCTATTAAGAAGACATGGATACTCAGATCAAATCATCTTGTGAACCTGTGAAGTCATCCAAGCTATTGGCAAACCAACTTAAGTTGTCAGTGAACTAAACTAGGTTGTTAACAAACCAACATTGTTGTTAGGAAGCTTGCATAAGTCGTTGGCAAACCAACTTAAGTTGTTGGCAAAATCATTTAAGTTGTTAGCAAACTAACTAAAGACTTACCAAGAAAAAACTTGAAACATGCTACTTTTAATGTAGACTTATTTTGAAAAAAATCAATTTACAGGTGTCTGTCATGATGTAGTTAACAGTAGGCTGTGGAGTTATTGCTGCAGTCATATTGGTGAATGGGTGTCTGGAGGACTTCCATCCTGTAATCAAATCTCTCAGCTTCTTGGAACTTCAGGCTCTCAAAACTCAGGTTAGAAAATTACCCTTAATGGTTTTTGGAAATTCGTTTCTCACAAGAGATGTTTAAAAGACAGAGACAACAGGAATAAGTTCAATAAAGCAAGGGGAAGATTATCACTCACTGTTAGGATTTTAGTTTTTGATAAATTAGTTTTTATTTTTTATTTCATAGCTGTAACCACACAAGGTTCAGTTGACCCGGTGGAGGCTTCTTCGCTCCTGGCACATCACATAACATATCTATGCAGACGAAAAGATGCTAAGACTAAGGTGGCTTCAACGAAAAATGAAGAGATTCATTTTGGTGATACTTCAGACTTTTGCAACATAAGGCATATCAACAATGTTTTAAATGCTGCCATTACCAATGGCCAACAGGATGTTACAATAGCCATGCTAGTTGCTCTGCAAACTCTTATGATACAAGTCAGTGAAAGGGCAAACAAGCTTGATGACAACTCTGTTAAAGGAACAAAACATCTTGTTTGGAAACTGGTTCAGTCTCCTGCTGATTCTGTTGGAGCTGAAATCAAGCTTGAAGCTTTTAAGGTGTTGACAGTTGGTCTGGAAGTGTTTTATTCCACTCCATCAGAGAGGAGGGCTCTACTAATGCTACTATTGTCTGAAGGAGAGTCTTCTTCAGACATGGCAATGCTGTTGAATTTTTTACTCTCAAATTTAACTGAGAACTTAATGAGTCATAAACCTGGGGCATCATCCAACGAAAGGTAGAGTGGTAGTATTTGATAGCCATAAATGACAAATAGTTTTAAGGATCAAACATTAGAAGTGAATAATTATCAAAGATTGTAGGAATAGACAATGACCTCACAATTTTACACAACCATGTGTGTCTGTCTAAGGATACCTAATTTAGAGAAGAGGAAGTGGTAAGGGTCTTCTCACCTTCTGCCCTTCCCCCTCCCCCCACATTCTTAATTTTGGCTTTGCTGAGATGAAATTTTGTTCTGGTTGTATGGATGAAGGTGTAGTATAGGACTGACTTTTAATGATATTAAAAACAAAAGGGTTTCTTGAAGACGAGTCTGGAAGAATCATGTTCAGAGGTAGATGAAATGTTTTTCATAGCAGGTAATAGTTATCTTGATTGGATTATATTTTAAGAGAGAACTATATGAAATTCCTGCATTGCACTCCATAACCTGTTTCTGCATTTGTTGTAAACCTGTCAGAGATATTTTGTTGGGTGTATAACAAGTTGCGTTGTTTCCTTAGGTTAGCAGAAGATGTGGTCTTTGCTGCTCTGAAAGGATCTGTCAAAGAGTCATGTCACTTGATCACGCAGTGTTGTAGTCTAGAGGATGAACCATTCTGTGCTCTGGTTGCCAAACACCCAGTTAGTCACTTTATTTTATATTACATATAATATTCAGAGGATATCTCTATAATTCCCATTCTTTTAATGAAAAATCTTTTGGCTAGAAAGCTAATTTTGTCAAGTATAAGATTCCTTTTTCAGAGAAGTGGATAATGCCAAAATTATGATCTGACTATTGTACAGATGTAAGTTGTCAATAGAAGTGTTTTTAACATTTCTGGAGAGTCTGCCTATGAGTCAACAGTAAGAAAACCAAGTCCAAACTTCTAAAGAAATACATGACAGCAGTAACAAGTTTAATTGAATGAGTTATGTGGTAAAATGAATTCTGTAAAAAAAAAATTAAAATTGAATCAATAGGTTGCATTATATGCTCCAGCTAGTAAAACTATAATTAGGTGCTCATGTAAGCTGGGCAAAGGCAGAGAATAAAGATAAACTTGCATTATGGCTATGAAACTGTTTCAACTGACCTGTTTTGTTTTATACACAGGACCTTTCTCCTGTTCTGCACTATGTAACAACTGTCTTTACAAGAAGCTGGAGAGATTTTGTACTCCCTGAGGAGCAGGAATCAGATGTCAAGGTTAACCATGTTTGTTTCATGTTTCTTTTTCTATCAGCTAACATAATTGTTAGTGGAGACATACATTCATGATGAGGATATCTTTGATAGCCAGATGAAATTTTACAAGGAATATAGTATTATTGCATGGATGGTCAAAGAGTTATGATAGTTTACTGCCATAATTGATTGTGTGTTTCATTTATTCATTAGGGTTTTGATGACGCAGTAAAACCAGTTGATTGTCAGAAGCTCTCATTAATAGTCCTAGAAGCTTGTCAACAGGTCAGAATGACCACCAATACTTTTTAATTGAGATGCAAATTATAAGTGAGACTTGGTGGAAGTTAGTGGGCACTGAGAGATATGATGAACTGGGTCCAGGCTCAACCCCTGCCAGACTCTCGATCATTTCCAAGCCTCTCTCCACCCAGCAGTATCAAAAGTATTGTCAGGGAAACAACTGATGAAATGAGGGGGAGGGAATCTGTTATGGACCAGCATCTCATCCAGGGAGAGTACTTGTAGCAATACCCCTTTCTTACTTCATTCAAATTAAACCAAGATAGGCTGCAACAGTATTTTGGGCCAGCAGGGTTGTAAGACATTGATGTAGAGGAGTTCAGTTTCCCCATAGATAGATGTTCTATTTGAAATGATGGCTTAAACTTCCCCCTATTCCAAACTGAATTTTTCTCCCTTTATGTCCCATCATTTTTAAGTTGTTAGTGTAAAGTTCTCTGCAGTTAGATTTAAATGATTTCATTCATATCTTTTAATATGGTCTTTGTTTTCTTTAGATTCTTGATGTTGTTTTAGAAGTTCTTTCCAAGTTGTCAGAGGAGTGCAAAGGAGGAGTAAAATCCAGAGTTGAGGGACTTGAGCATGTAATGAAGGCCACCCTTGTGGGACAGACCCTTCCTATGCTGGCATCAGTTTTGTCCTCTGATAGGTGTCTCACTCTGTCCATGGCTAAGAGCTTTCTCCAAAGTGTGACCAACGTAACGGTGACTGCAGCAAGGGTGAGAAAATGAATGGATGTTATCCGTTTGGTTTTGGCAGTGGTTTTATCAATTTTATCCATTTAGTGACAAGAATGGTGATCTGTTAATCAGCAAAAAAGAAAGTTTTAAGATCTTTTATGACTTATTTTTCTGGGTCTATACTGAACATACACGCCCTTGATTTGTTCAATCCAATTTTTTATTTCGTTCTATGATTATTTTTATAAAAGTTTTTTTTCCCTCTGTTTTCAATTCAAAAGCTATGGACAGTTTAATTGTGTTATGTTTCCCGTAAGGTGCATGGGTCGTTGGGTCGCTAGTATGACGGCTTATTTCTTTTAAACGATTTCTCTCATGGTTTGTCAGGGAATTCAGTTACGTTTGAAAGCAAATTTCACAAGCCACATCATTTTTCGCAGGTTGCTCACTTCATATCAGAGTTGAAATCATCGTCACAGGATGATGCTAAAGATGAATGTCGGGCCCCCTCCCCGGAATCCAGTACTTTCTTTTCACCATGGTTAAGACCCCGTAAAGTAGAGAGTCCACACCCAGTTAGAGATGCCTACCAGTGCTGTGAAACCGTGGTGTTACCAGGCGCATCATGTTTGTATCTTAACTTTGATCTAAGATGTGCCACTCAGTATGATTACGATAAGGTAGGCCGAGTCACAGAGGTCTGTTCTCGTGCAAAATCCAGTTAAAATCCTTGCTATGACCCCTTCGCTTCACATAAGCAAATTTTAGAGATTTTTTTTTTAGAGTGGAATATGTCGGTATGTTGTTCTTCACAAATGTTTGCTTTCTGATCGTGTTTGGTCGAGAAACAGTCGACGATGATGTTTATCTAAGCTTAGAGTTGTACAGAGTTTGATTGGGTTTTATTCCTGGACGCTTGCGCGCTTAATGACGCAATACTTTAACTTTCAATTCAAGAATGTTGAGAGCGTCTTTTTTAGTAAAAAGATGAAAAAATGTTTTTAACCGTCCTTCTACTAGGTACTTGTATACGCTGGCAATAACACAAATGGTCGCAAAGTTGCAGAGTTTGGTGGCAACTCGCATGGCGCAGGCAGCAGAGGTGTTGTGCAGATGGGATGGCCAAAGGAACCTCTCAAGTTGGAGGGTGATGCAGTCACTATCTCATTCCAAGTGAAGAGTTCACGGGAGCGTAACACCCCAGATGTTGCTGTGTGGGGGTTCAGTTGCATTGTAAGCACAAAGGTAGGTCAGTTTTTCTCACATTCAGTTACATAGAAATGCGAAGGTCCCGTAGGAACTTAGAGACCCAGGAACTAACGCAAAAGATCCGGAAGCTACTATTAAAAATCTGCCATCCCCATAACCATTCCAATCTCTCTGGTCCTTTCAACTTGAAACTTGAAGTTACAGTTGCGAAGATGCAGTTGATTTTAGTTTTTCATCCTATCGGTTTAGAGGGTGGTGCGAGTTTTCCCAGAACAATGGAATATCTCTTCCACATCAATGCCCTTTTCTTTTCAGGAGTATAAGGAAGAACCTTCCACGCTGTTGTTCTTTGACGACCTGTACCTAAGCCTCTCATTACTCACTCACAGTCTGCTGAAGGTTAGGTACCAGGGCCCAGCAAATACGGAGGCCGAAGATGCTTGCCAACATTTACTCGATTCTAAATTGTTACAAAGGTGAGAGGACTCCTCCAGATATACTATACTCCCTGTTGATGTCGTGTAACCTAGTTGTGAGAATGATTTGAGAATCGTTTCGAGAAAACCGATAAGTGATGTAGGTCTGTTTGAAAGTGATTCGATGTATTACTTGACATGCAAATACGGCATACTTCTTTGTTTTGTGTTGCTTGGAGCGGCCCAATCTGCGAAATCGTGTTTGATTTGACACCAACTTTGTTACACCCCACTAACTATGGCACCCGGCCCCCTGTTCCCCAAAAATGTGGAGTTACACCTGGAGCTTGATAGCCGCGGTTAAACAGGAGTTAGGAGATTTGACACCAACCTTGTAGCCCTGGGTAACCGTGATACCCCTTGTAAACTTGAAGGTATACCCGGACTTTGAGAATTAGGAGGTACCCTAGAGTTATATCAGGAGCTCAAAGGGAAGCTTAACATTAACCTTGTTAGCCCTATACGGCTTAGATGTAATAGGACCTCTTGATATACTTGAATGCTTTTTCCTGCCTTTCCTGCAGGTGTGTGTGGCCAACCTCAGCTGACGCATCGACAGCATCAGGAACGTGTGGTACAGCCATTACAGTTGAATCAGAGAAGAGTTCTCCTTCTAGTCTTGAAAGTGTTTCATCGAAGCCGAGCGTCAAATTGTCTCCAGACCTTTTGAAACGTCTGAGAGTTGCCTCAGGTAAAAGTTATAAGGAATAACAGATTTTAGAACGAAACAATTTCGCTTTATTTCAAGACATTTTTCCTTGTCTTATTGCGATATTTGTTTGTTTCTCAATTTCGTCGGGAAATTGATTTATTCAAGCAACTTTTCAAATATGTGATGTAGGCTTTAAGTCCAGGAGGTTTTAATGTCTTGCCTTAAGCACGCATCCGATATTCTCCAAAGCCAAAAGAAAAGGGCCGGAAATGAGTTAAAAAGAGAACTCGGAACGTTGCAGAGCTAAGATCAAGTGTCACTTAAAGCAAATAATTGTTTTTCTTATCCTCTATTAAGGTATTCTAGCCCCCACTCTCCGCCCCAGCCTACAGCAAGCCATACTACCAGAAGCCATCGAGGAAGTAGTGGTTCGGTGTGCGATTAACCATTTAGGACTCAGTAAGACTGTTCATGGTCTGGAGCTTCTTCAGGCGACGGAGACAGATGGTGAGGAGTACAGTTACCTATGTGACGTGATGCGGGAGGTGTACAATCGGCTGAACGGTCTGATCAGACAGCTGCAGACTATGGCGGAGATGGAGCAGAAGTGGGCTCACGAGATGGAAGATGTACGTAGTGGAATCCTGCAGCCGAGTGCTGCCTTCTTCGATGAATTCCACCTGCAAGAGGTATCATGCTCGGTGTATCTCACTTTTGATTTGTCAAAGCGAAGGTGCCTCTTTTAGTCAAAGTTATTTAAAATTCTCAGAGAAGCGTGATGGCCTACTTTCAATCGATAAAGTAGTTGATGTACTGTTTTTAAGTGAGGCGTATTTCTCATTTTGTTTCACAGGCCAAGAGTAAGGAGCTTGAGTTACTGTGTTCACTGAAAAAAGTTGAGTTTGATCCCATAGAGCAGGAAAAATCGGTGGGCAAACTGATGTGAGTAGAAGAATATGATCAAGATAGAAATTTTGATATTCCTGTTTTGGATTTCAAAGATAAAGAGAAAATCAAAGAGGATCGATAGGATTTCTAACAGGTTCCTACACTGAGAAGTGAAGGAACCTCCTCCTCTGTCCTACAAGAAACGGATAAGCACCAGAGCATGCTTCTCGCACCTGACAGTTGTCTTAGTTGGCTGTCAGGCCTACGAAGTGTGCCAAAGTAACCCAGGATCTAAGTGAAGTTTTATAGCGTTGTGCCTTGATAAGACTTTCATTTAGACCTGGAACAATTCATAACGTCGATCGAATACTAATTCTAACCCCCAACGTCATCAACGTAGTCTTTTGACCCTTTAACCCTTAAGAGTAACTGGTTTTTAACTTATCCTTACAGTATCACCCATTGATTAAATACAACTGTCATGAAAATAACTGAAATGATCACCACTTTAGGAAGCTACTGATTTTCAAACAAATTCACCTTGTCTGAACTAGAGGAAATGTAAAGAGAACAATTTGGATAATACGAATGCCTGTGTAAGGGTGTATAGGCTTATTCTTGTTTGGGGAAATGCGACCTAATGATGTTCCCCTGTCGGGTCACCGTGTTGGCAGGAACCCTGGGTGCTTAACTTTTCACTGTTGTTTTGTATTTCTCTCTTCTCAGAGAGCGGCTGGATACAGAAGCAAGAGCAGAACCCCAACAGGCTAAAAACGGTCTGAATGTGATGCCAGTCACCAAGAAGTTTCTGTTTTCTATTATGGAGTGTGCAGAGCTTCTTTGTAATGTGACTATTGAAGCGAACCGGAAGAAACCTGTTCCAGAGAGAACTATATCGCACTGTAGCTTTGCACCGGATCACGGTCAACAATCAAAACAAGGTACGTTTGTCAACCGTTTTAATCGTCTCTGTTCTTAACTCTCATCGGTATTTATGTTTTGTTATTAGTTACCTCCAAGGACGAGAACCTTGCTCCTTCTTCGCCGCTTCTCAGTCGCTCATTTTCAGCACCATCCACCCTGGATCAATCTACGTCACTTCAGGAAGGCATACATGACATACGTAGATTGCAGCGCTGGAGAACGAACGTTCAAAAGAAGCACAGTCGGGTTTCATCTGAAAATCAGACGGATTCTGATGCAAGAACTTTTGTTTCGACTGTGGCCGAGATTTTCACTTTTATTGGCAGCAATCCAGACAAAGCTGTAAGTAGGGGAATTTCTTGTGAAGGCCGAGTTTACTGCATTCGTTGATAAACTGTTGTAAAAGGCAAAGGGTATTTCTTTTGAGTATCGAAAACCAAAACCATATCAATCGCATCGGTCTATCAGAGCGAAGAACAATGTTTCAAGGGGGCACAGAGAACTTAAAAGTAAAACAAGCAAACTTCTTGATGTGGGGGGAAGCTCTTCGAGTCAAACTGATCACAGTGTACAGTAAAGTGAGCTCAATGCAGTCCGAATTACTTTCGATTGTAAACTGGAAATTGCGTGAACAACACGTTGATTCCTTCGCGAGCGTTTATGATCGGGTAATGATGGACGTTGAGAGTTTCCATACCCCGAAAAAAGGTAATAGTTTATTGATCCCTACCGACAGAGTAAGCCAAGTCTATCAATAAGCTCTGCTGATTTCAATTTTTTTGTGGTATTTGCGAAACTTATTTCCTTACTCTTCGTCAGGTGACTTGTTCCAGTTTCCTCGCTGCAGCTCGAGTCCGGAATGAGCGAGGGTTGGACCGAGTGCACGCTCTCCAGTGTATGATAGAGCTGGTTACAGTTTGCTCCCGACTCGGTTTGCATTTGCCTTATGTGATTACTGCTGTGGCTTCCATTCTTGCTCAAGGTCCAAGGTGAGCATTGATATATTTCCCTGATAAAGCGCGCTGTAGAAAGTATTCACTAACTCAGTGGGTGCTTAGTGAGTCTTGAAACATGGTTCGTGACATGGCTAAGTGGCCTTCAATCGAAAACCATGCCATGAGTTTTTTAGGTGTAACAACCTAACTTTGTGCAAATCAGATGTAGACTTTATTTTGCGCAGAATGTACAAATCAAGAACGAAGATATTGCATCGCCAAATTTAAAAGTCGTAATGGGCAGAAAGATAGATTTTGTAAAGTTATTTTGTGCGATTATGTCATGGTACCGGAAAGAAAGGTTGTTCAGTCGTCTTTTATGTGATACACAGCAGTAATTTTGTACGGTCCTTGCCATCAGTTTGTGCCGTACTTTATTATCATTTCAGGGGGTCATCTTTTCTGCGTAGCTTCGCATGTGTTAAAAGAAAACAAGATCTGCCCATTCTAACACTGCAAACCCCCTTGCTGCACTCAAAGTTGTTAAAATTTCTCTAGATAAACCATGCCTTAGAAGTGCGCATCCTCAAGCATCCGTGTGTCAATTTTTGTTTCAGGCCTGAGGAGCTTAAATGCGGAGGCATGGTGCGAGAGGTTCGCGACATGTTCTCTGCTGCAGTCCAAGCCGTGGTCCAGAGGGCGTCCTCTGAGCCAGAAGTGTATCGTGACAGCGTATTAGTGCTCTCTGTCTGTCCGTTCTCATGGCACGAAGAGCGCTGTGTAATGAGGAGTGGTTTAGTGTATCTGTTGGATAAACTGTGTTCTTTGAGAAGCAAAAAGACTGACACAGCATTGAATTTATCAGCTATGGCTTGGGCTGGCTTTCAGGTGCTTTTGGATCGGATAGTTCAGTGGGAGAATGGTAAAGGTAAGAAGTTAATCTTCGCTTATGTTGCAAATTGGCCTATGATGGTTTTAGTTTCCTTGACATCCATCTTTTGGACTCGTCATTCATCATGCGTAACCTCCCTCTCCCACTCCCCTCTGCTTCACTTGAAGAACAATGAGGGTGACCTCCTGGCTTCAACACTTATCGCGAGGCAATGCCAACTTTGCTGAAAGTACGTTGTATAAGATCAGATAAGAAATTTTCGGTAACATCAGTTGGTATGAACTTTCACAAGGAAAGTAAAACCCAGTTGCAAGGGATGGAGAGAAGGTTAAACCACCCATGTCTTGTCAATCAACTGCAAATCTTGTGTGAAACTGCACAATGGTTTCTATTTTTCTGTTTAGATTTCTGCCTTGGTGCTATTGAGTGGTCTGGCTTAGCCCATCAAGTGTCCAGTCTGTTGTCGAACTACCTCAGTTGTGTATTGGAGGAGGGCCGTAAGGACGGTGTCTCTTCTAGGGACGCTCTGCAGTACGTCATGGAATTGTTACACGGAATTAGCAGGTCAGTTGATTACTCGGTTAATTACTCAATATCTGAGGTTACAGCAAATTTCAGTCGAGTATTGTCAGTGTAATCCGGTATTGTGATGGTTTTTGTTTACTACGTTTGACGGGTGGTCTCAAAACTCGCGCTACTTTCCCTACGATCACGCACTCCTTTTCCGGAGGGAGCGTCTGAAGGAAAATAATTTTATCGCAGGTTATGTTCTGCCTCCTTAGCTAATCAAATGCAATACTATAAAAGATTGGGCATGCGCAATTTCGTGTGAAAGTACCGAAATGACAAACTCACATCTTAAAACCTTTTCAACTCTCAGGAGCGATTCACACGTTACATCTTCCGATATTAATATATTACTCAGCGAACAAGTAGTGTGAATACACCAAGATATCTTCAAAAGGGTGTTCTCTTGAAATGACAACAGATTCTCTGAACTAATTTACAAGGAACTGTAGAGCTGGTTGAGGGGAGAATCTCCATTCTCATCGTGGCACCTAAAGGATTAAGCTGACTGGAGTATCACAGAGTGATTAAGATTACTCAATGTTTGTTTTCTTCTGGAAATTAGGAGCAAACTAGGAGACGGGATTCTTCGTGAGCCACGCACCATCTCCACCCTCCTATCGCTACTACTGGATCGCGAAGCGCCTCCTAAACTAATACTTATTGTGCTCAAACTCTGCTGCTTGGCCTTACCATTGATGAGCGCCAAGAGCTGCGAGGAAGTAGAGTTACCCTCCTCAGCCAAGCTATATTTTGGAGGGAAACATGAAAAGAGCCTTGAAGGGAGCTCAGTGGTTAGAGTAGCTAAACTGTTTCTTGCTAAGCTGGGTGACTTTTTGCTGCCTTCACTGAGTCCGGAACGGGAGGAAGATCAGGAAGAAGAAGTGGATGAATATGACGACAGTGAGATCGCACACAAAGATGAAGACAGCATGTGTGTGTATGTACATAAACGAGATGATCAACCGGCTCATGAAATTGTTCGGAAGGTTCTCAGGTACAGTATAAAAACAACTTTGATTTAAGTGTCGAAAGAAATCTAGGATTTGAATGGAAATGTACTGATGCAACTGACTGACTTTGGAAGAGTGTTACTAACTAGATCGCTAGTCTAACAACATTTGTATTTTCTCACTCAGTATGCTCAGTATGGGCTTTTTCTTTGTTGTTGGACACGGTTCGGAGTTGGAGCGCGCGGTCAAGCTTGACCAAGAGCTGACCGAGTACGGACGAGGTGTTCTTCTCACCGACACTTTGTCAGAGTGTTTAAAGAAGGCGGCTGAATGGGCTCAGAAAGGACTTGTGGTCAGTATAGGCCCTGCTGCCTTGGCAGAAGGAGATGGAGGACAAGGGATACCTTTAATGGGATCCGGAGACCCAGAGAGAGTCTGTAAAGCCAGGAACAGCCGTTTGTCAAGGTTTGTCTGATTTACTCAGCAGTTCAGGAGTCATTACTTGCCAACTCTCTCGTTAACAAATCTTATCTTAAAGAGAGGCATGGCGGAATGCAGTAAGAAGTAAGAAGAATTTCGAGGTCGTTTTACAGTCATGAAAAGCGTTTATTAACTGTTAAGGTAATTCCATTGTGTTGCATTGCGCATCCTTTCTCGGTCGCACTGGTAGCACTTGCACATCAACGCCGAAGGGGAAGTCCGTCCTTTTCAATTTTCCTCCCATACATTGTTAATGTCTTATCTCCCAATATTTATATGTATGCTTTTCCACTACTGGTTGGGTTCTGCAAAAAAAAAAAATCATTTTTTTGTAATTGGCTTCTTTTTACCTCCCAATGACTTTGTCTTTTTAACTCAGAGTTTTTTTTACAGAACCGAAACCAGCCGTCCATTCATCAGTGGTCAAGTAGCTCACACCATGGCTTCTGAAGTGATCTCTCTGTTGCACGGGTTCTTAACGCATTCTACCTCTGAGACCGCTAAGATATGGGCCTCTTCTGTGCGAGATGTGTTGTGCGAGGCGCTTAATTACGTGCCCGACTTGGTTAGGACCCTGGAAGCGGAAGGAAGGATTTCATCAGACGGGGCCCAAACGGCTCTCAAAGAACTGGATTCTGAAGATGATGAGAAGACTGGTCATGAACAAGAGTGGATTTTCAAAGCTAGGAGCATTATGGCGTCTCTCTGTGCACTGGGTGGTTTTGGCCAAAGTATCCACCCAGGGTGCACAGTTCTGGTAAAGAATTAAGCTCGGAGTCGTAACTTTCCCCTCTACCTTTTTCACATTTCGATCAAAGTTAAACGTGAGAGGTTTTCGTCTTATAACGATAGCACCTGTTTACTGGATACTGTATCAATCTGGGATTTGAAGGTGAAAGGGTTATGATATTACTAGTTTATCTCATTTGATTGAGACATCAATAAAAGATAACACAAAATTAGGAGGCCGGATTATGCTGTTATGTGATTTTAAGCTGTTTGCAGAAGTGTATTAAAATTGTCTCTCGCTGGTGCAAAAGAGTTAGAGTCGTGAGGGCCTAGAAGTAAACGCACTGGACTCTAAAAGTCCATCAGGTTTGAACTTGGGCCTGGGACGTTGTGCTACGTTCCTGATAATTCTTACAATGATTCTCTCCACGAAGGAGTACAAATTGGAGAACACCGAACTATCATCAGCCTTCCTGGTAGCCCAAGCAATTTTTAGTACGAATGACTTTATTCTAATTTGACTTCTTGTCGATGTTTTGAGCATACAATTTACTTGCTCTTTCTTTCTTGCAGATCACCGGAGAAGATATGGTACGTACAACTGGCGAAGTTGTCAGTGTGTCCGAGAGACAGGGCGTGGCTACGGTACTTCTGGACATGGGAGGGGAAAGCTACAGCGATAGGGTACAGGAGATACCATTGGCGAGACTCAAAGTTGCCAACGCTCAGGTATATCTCCGTTCTTTACAGACTTTCGAAGCAATTTAAGTTTCTTGCCTCGAGAGACCTCAATTCAAATCGGTTTGATGGAGTTTTGTAATTTTTACTGCGCAGCTTTTATTGAAAGCTATCAAAAGTTTAACGCTCTTTTTGATCTGCGTGCTCTTTTTAACTAGAAAGTTCCTCTCCGTTACTAGGTTGTGTATCTTACCGAGTTGTCCATGGAACAACAAACTGTCGCTGCTTTGCTTACTATTTTGAATTCGAAAGAAATAATTTTTGATCAGCTTTTGGAAGCAGACCAAAGTGAGAAAGTTGTCCCTCCCTCACCCGCAGCAAGAATTCTGGCGGAAATGAAAACAAGGTCAGTGAAGTTGTCTTCTTCTTCTTCATTTCGTGTTTATGATGCTTGCAATTTTGTAGGGCGCAGTCATTAAGAACTCGTGTGAGTTACTGTTTATTGTGTGATCCTTTCACACAATATGCATTCAACTGTATGAAACAATTTTCCTGTCTTAACATGCCTGCCCGTTTTACATTCCTGACATAATGTAACGCGTGTGCCAAAGGTGTCATTACAATTTTCTTTTCCGCCATGGTGTGCTGCGTGCGTCACAACTTTTAATTTTTTCCCGCCATGTAATAGTGATTAAAGTTCCTAAAGTCGCCATTAGATTGGTCACTCGTGCGTATAAAACCAATTTCTCACGCTTATTTGTGAGATAATGACCAATTATTGAATGATGTTACTCTGTCAAAAACTTGACACGTTCTTTCTAGTGTTTCCCTATTGATTACTGCCTCTCGATCTTTCACTCTTCAGAGCAAGTATGGTGCTATCTTCCCAAATGCATGACTCATCCTTTATCACGGCCATTTTATCAAACCCGTCATTCGAGATCATCTCTAGATTATCAGGAGAGTGCGATCCAGGCTTAAGACTGCCTGTAATACAGAAACACTGCCAGCAGCTGCGAAAACTCTTCAAAGACTTCGTCAAACCAGAGCCACCCAAGAAAGCAACCAAGATCGAAAAAAGGATAGTGCTCGACGGAAGTCAGGTCTTCCCTCCCGTGCGGGGATGCGTTTTTACCGAGGGACACACCTGTGTTCACTTCATGGATGACCCTACGGCAGGTTCCGGACTTCCGAGGGGGTTGTTTGTTTATGCAAGTTCTCCGTTACCTCAAATGGTATGTAAGGTTATTTTCAATTGCGTGTCTACAGTATCCAGTGTGCTTTTGTAATGATTGGTCATTTGGATTAGTTTGGTTATGGTGTTACTTCGTGGTGATCCTTGACTTCTACGTAGAGGCCATCTTCTTTTCCGCGCATTTCCTTATTATCACGAGCCTCTCGAGTGAACGAATTTCAAACGATGAAATTCGAGGTGCGCAGTATAGTTGTTAACCTACTTAGGTACACTAAGTACTCGTGAAGTTATGTGCACTATAGAAGAGCAGAGTGGAACATCAATGTTCAGTGGAAACGGGATATTTTCTCGTTTTCCGTCAGTAGTGTTGTTGAACCGCTTGGCTAACTACAGCTTTATTTTTTTTAGGCACCATCCTTTTACTGGGAAATCGAACTTTGCTCCCTGGGGGACAAGGAAGAACCGGAACCGGGTCCTTGTATTTCCGTGGGATTTGCTCCTAAGACAGATCAGCCTGCTAGTGGCTGGGTAAACCCCGTGGGCTCTTGCCTCCTACACAGGTTTGCTCTATTTGAGTTACTTTTACGTCTCGTGGGGTACTGTTACCTGTGGGTTTAGCTTCTGTTTTTTTTTTTTTGCTTTGTTTAGTTTTTTTTTTCAGTTATGGTTTTTCTTTAATCAAACATACTTGCAAGAACTTAATGTCGTCTCGTGGTTTTGAATATTAACAGCAATGGCCGTGCAGTGCTCTACAGAACAGGTGGGCTCCTTCAATGGAAAACTGTCTCGCTAAATATCGTGATGAAAGAAAAAGACGTCATTGGGTGCGGATATAAAAGAGCTGAAGATCAGGCCGATCGGGGAATGGTGTATTTCACTTGCAATGGCGAACGGTTGGCAGAAGGCGTAGACGGGGTGCAGACTGGTCTGTGGCCTGTACTTCACATTCAGAAGAAGGTAACACACCGTAACCCTTTGACCATCTTACTCCCAAGATCTGCTTGTTAATTCTCCTCTCTAGAAGCCACCAACTTCCTTGTGAATTAGTTACGAGAATTTGGTGTTAGATCAGGATAAAAACTTCCTCCTGATAAGTTTGATTATTTTCATTACCTGTTTGTTGGATAATGAATGGATATCATGGGGAGAAATTGCAAGTCAATCACTTCTGGGAGTTAAAGGGTTTAATGATAATATAACGAGGATACTCAAATCTATCAAGTAGAGGTTGTTATCTTGATCCGACACCAAATTCTAGTACCTAATTTACAAGATGTGTAGCAGCTAGAGGAGAGACTTAACGATCAGATCTTGGGACTTAAAAGGTATCTAGAACCAGCATCTAAGTTCTCCTTATAATATCAGCCCTGAGTCACTTGTCAAGGTCACAAGAATAAGAGAAATGATCACTAACTGAGGAAGTTCTTCATTGTTTAGCAAGTTCTCCCTGTCTGCACCTTGGGAAATGTATAGAGAACAGTATGGAGAATATGCATACTGATGTTAGCTAATGTTAGCTACTGATGTTAGCTAATTCTCTTTTTGAAAAAAATGGCCTATTTTTATAACATTTGCATGGAGCGAAACTTGAATTTCGGAATACATTTCATTCGTCACCGGTTGATTTCCGCAGTGAGCAACCATCCAGGACAAGGAACAATTGTCGAGGCATAACTCCAGCTTAAGTGGAAACTCGAGAATCACATGGAGTAATTTTAGGAAAGAATAAAAGATTCATCCTGACAGGTTTTTGTTGTATTTTTAATCGAATCTATTCCTCTACTGATTGGTTCCAACCATTACCCTGGGTCATACATATTGTCTAACTTTACTCTCCATTCCCATAGAATGTACGTGTTCGTGTGAACTTCGGTTCTCGGTCGTTCTTCTACGAAGAGGGTTCTAAACACCGTTTGGCGGCCGACTTGTGGAGTGACTCGTTAGTGGACGTCAGACAGGGATTCACTGAGCTTCCGTTTGCTCTCGAACCTGACCAGGATGAGGAGATAAAAGGACAAAAGCCTCCTACAGTTTGTAAACCCTCGCCACCTGCACCATTAGATATCCCGAAAGACTCAGCTAAAGGTTAGTTAATGGTTAGTGGAGGTGACATTTCTCGGTTTTTGTGTAGCGCCCAAGTATACATGACAGGCAAGTGCAGTCACCTTCAAAGTTTGCTAAAGCTGTTACACAGCGTGCGCATAGTTGCATCGTTAAACAATGCTACACTGTCAGTAGTCAAACGTCTATTACTTGAACTGGTTTAGTCTCAGCCAGAATTAACACCGTGATATTGATGTAGACTATGACTACGACGATGACAATGACGAGACGTTAACAATGACGACGACGATGACGACGGAAGTAACGGTGATGATAATGATGATGATGATGATGATGATGATGACAACCGTGACGACATCAATATTATGACGAAAGTGACCATAACAAAAACCGTTACGTGTTAAAGGTGACGATGACGATATCAAATTTGGTTAAGATGATAATAACAACTTAAACTGAATAAAGACAATACAGATAATTAATGGTTACCTAACGACATCCTTTCATCAAGCTTATTCAAACATGTAAAACTAAAATAAACGTGTTTGCGTGAAGTCCCAGTTCCGTTACTTCAATCGAATCCTGTTAGTACGTTTCAATGAATATCTTAACATTCAAAATAGTAATTCAGGAAAACTTCAAAGATTGATTCAAATTGTTCCTCTTAACAATCTCAGAATACGACCCACTTGCCTGCCTTCAGTACAAACTGACAAGTAGTTACAACAGAATGACGGATGTAGGACCAGTAACACCTCTCCGCGCGAGTGAAGAGAGCAACAGCCAGTGGGGAGAAGCCCCACCAGTAGATCCCTCTCGCTTGTTGGTGAAAGCGTGGGAGGACAAGGTTTTCCCCATCATCAGAAGACGATTTCGTTCAAACGCTGACCGCCAATCGGGGCTTGAGCAAATTAAGGGAGCTCTACTTGCAGGTATCATGGTGTATGATAGTTCGCACACTTTTGCAGACCTGTTTTGCATCTCGTTATATTAACGTGAATAAGTTAATTTTGTTGAACTGTTGTTAATGATCATTTTGAGGACACTGCAGCTCCACCTGACCGATTGCTTCGCCTACTTCTGCCCAATGCAATCTTTTTTCAAGTCTACGTGCCACTTGCGTATTCAATAATTCTGGTTTCTTTTTCCTAGGAATGACGGAGATCGCCATAGCAACAGTAGCTGATTTGTACGAAGATAATGGCGGTATCCCTTCAATCCTTCAATTTCCCACGCTTGATGACGTCAAGGCCGACGTTAACAAGGTGAGCGCCGGGGGACTGAAGCCAGGTCAGGCTGTAATCATTAATAGCCCTACTCTGAACCAGGCCGCCTGTGTACCTGGCTTTGCTGTCCCAGATATGAAGAAGACATTCGGACTTACAGGGGTGGTGAAGAGTGTTGACAAGGTAAGTATCTGTAACATGCATTTAGCTTTATTCCACAATTAAGCTTAGATTTAACATCTTTCACCAAACACCACGCTTTCAGCGCTGTTGACTCTAACAATATGCAGCACAAAAGGCATACAAGAAAATAGCTTGCATTTGTACTTGTCTTTAGGGCCTAAGACTTTGTGGTTACGTAATAAATGCGGTGGAAGTTTAAATCCTTATTACTTAACTTATTTTTCTTGAAGCATTTTTTCAAACAGCAGCCCATAGAAAGCGAGTGGCTTGAAAAGATCGACATATAAAGCCTTTTTGTTCCAAGCCAAGTCAGCCAATCCTCTCCTTGCATCTTCGGGGACCCATTTTCTCATATTTTCTTCCAACAAAATTTCTGGATCAGGCTTGGCTGACTCTTGTGTTCCGTTTTCCTTTCCGTATTTCTCCTTTATGGCTTTGGATCACCTTCTCTTCTCTTCATTTTCATTTTGACTATTAAACGTCACTAGAGAGTAGTAGCTGTTGGGGTTATAGCACTGACTCGTTCACCCTATTTTGACTCTGAGCTGGAAACGTCGTGTGTGTAAAAAGATTAGAAAGAAGGTACAATATTGGTAACGAATAAAGAAAGTTGTTTTAAACGTCGTAATGGCTCATTTTCTTTATGCAGCCTCAAGGATTAGCAGAAGTAGAGACATACAACAGAGAAGAAGGAATACTTATGAGATTCTGGTATCCTATCTGTACTCTTGAGCGGCCGACCGCTGGTCTGGCACGTTCGTCGTCGCTGGCATTGTGCAGCGAAGACCGCACTCGCGCCGATCTTTATTGTGAGCTGCTCCGAAATGAGGCTTGTGTGACCCGGATGTACTGTAGAGAGGCGAATGCCAGGTTGCTTGCAAAGCTGGCAGAGAGTCATAACCAAATCTCAGGTAAAACTGTGGTGGAGTTGGGTAGGGTGGATACCATTCGTTTGCCCTCAGGGATCCAATTTTTTTCAACTCAGTTCCATTGATGAAAACAGTAAGTTCTGTTGTCTGTGTCGGTGGAAATCTTAAGCATGTCTGCGTTTTCTTTCGATATCTTGTTTATTTGACACATGCACCTCGTTTACTTCATATTTTTTTGCCCAAGTTGTAAATAGGCCAACTTACAGCTATTTTGATATTAAGTTAAACTATATGTAAAATACTTTACCAGCTTTGCCTGCGTAAGGAAGCTTGTTTCTAACTGATCTTTATCTTTGCACGTATGCTACTTCCTCCATTCATGTTCATCACTCCGAATTTAAATCAATTCACTCTCTGTCTTGGACAAAGCGGCCTCATAGTTTACTATTATCGTGGGACACCCCCTACTGGAACTTACCCCTTTTGATGTAGTCTTTGTATCACAAGGCCCATCCTTCTTGGTATGAAGATTATTGACCTCCATGTTGTCAATTTCTAGATGTTTTATCGCTTCTCCAAGCTCTTACTGCCCAATTATTGGCTGTGCCTCAGTCCGATGGCTCTATTATCATGACGTCACCTCACTCAGCCCCAGGCCCCCGTCACTGCCTCACGGCCAACACCTTGCAACCAAGCACTATCTTCTTCAGTGAACCTGCGAAGTTAATTTCCGAGGTTCGTAAGTTGCTGTCTTTGGCAGCCGATCAGGACGAAGAAGAGGTCCTTAGGATGGTAAGTACTGTTTGTGAGGTGCTGAAAGTTCCCCCCTTGGGCGGCCACCACCGGGAAATGTCGGTCACGGCTGGAAAAGCGGACGAAGAGGTGTACTTCCCAGGCGCAGCGGTGACAGTGGTTTCTTGCAGAGAAGATCCCGGATGTTTAAATGCAGGGTGTGTATGTGCTTATGGTTTCACGAGATAATACAAAAGCTGGTCTGGGTTATCCTCAACACTATCTAATTATTGCCAATCAACAGCATGTGCAAGCGACAAAGCCTAGCGTGATTAATCGTAATCAAGTTCTATCGTTTCGTTACCCTATTTCTTAAGAGTGCGGCGCAGAAAGTTGGAACACAAGCGTTTGGGGCAAGAATAGAATAGAATAGAAGGGGCGTACATCCTAACTGACCCCGTACACACTGACAGATTTTGCACTCAATAGCTCCTTACAGAAAGATATGATGCGAGGCTATTTTCTGTCGCTGGATTTAACTATGTATTGACCAATTTATTTATTTGTTTCAGGTGCTTGTCAAACCCCAAATCACCATGTGTGTCAATTTCATGTTATCATGGAAACCAGAAAGTCAATAAAAATGGCCAAGTAGCTCGGTACAAAGTTGTTCAGTATCCCAACACAGCCGAACCAAACAGCTCAGCATCAGCGGGAGCCGACCTGTTTCCAGATGTGATTCTTCCATGCAATCGTCTTGACGTTCGCTTCTTCAGCTCCGCTACGGAAGGACTCATGCTCCATTTAAACGCCTTTCCTGCGGAGTTCTTTATGTCACTTGTCTTCATTGAAGTCTTTATTTCATTTTACCTGGAAAATTCCTTGGAGGGTTTCAGAAATTCGAAGAACACAAGTACTAGTGGCGTCGAAGATGTAAGCAGCCGGAGAAGTTTGAATCAGAGGACTATTGTCTACAACTTGATTGACATTCTCAGTTCGTTTCTTATGAAGTCGGATTTGCCCGCTGTTGTCAAGGAGATTATTTATCACCTACTGGCACAGCTTATCAGAGCTAGTCATCTGGTGGAGTCACAGGGAAACCAATCTCACAGTGCCGATCATTGCAGCACGTTGGACTTGGCCCTGTCGCGATTGAGTCCCTTGCGAGTTGAGCTGCAGAAATTGCTAGAAAAAGAACTCTCGGCTACGAACACAGCAGCGCTGGATTTCATTCTCAACTGTAACTTTGAACACAGTGAGTTCTCGTCTTACTTGCAGGCTCTTCTAGGGTTGGTTTCAGCAACCAATGAAGTATCATCAAGCCAAGGAAAATCGGGCAGAGGTATGTCCATGAAGGAAGTCCGCGAGGCCTTACAAGTGAGTACAGCTTTCCTAGTAACTACCTCTCCTCGTACTCTGTATCCTAACGTAAGCAAAAGGACAGAGAAGAGTGGGTAGTCTGAAATTTTACCCGACTCCGGGTAGTATTAGATAGGTTTGACTTAAGAGTGGACATGAGCTGCGAGAAACTCCTTTGTTTGGTACCAAAGAGAGGGATTAAAAGAAACTCAAAATTGTTTAGTAAGCGAGAAAAGCGTCGCTTACTCAAATGGGTCCTAAACACCCGACTAAAGAAAGGCAAAGCGTAAGGATTTCGACTCTGTGGCTGTTGAACTGACGTGTCAAGCAATCAGCTTACATTCAACCGGAAGTCGATTGTACCAAACACGAATGTCTACTGCAACCGATTTGGCTAAAAGCGCGTTATAAAAATATCTATTCCATCCTCTTGATGCAAAAATCCATGTTTGGTGAGGGAGGCTTTTTATTTTCATGTTCTATTTGCTTTTTGTAACGAAGTAAACGATGATCTAAGAAAACTTGGAAGACTAGGAGAAGAAATGGGGGTAACACTAACCTACCTTTTTCGTTTTTGTTTAGGCTGCGGTCTCTTTGGATGAGACTGACAATGTAGTGCGGTCTGCTCCACCAGAAAGTGTTGACAACATGTTTAATTTTGAAGCGGAAGCTGTTTATCCTCCTTCGGCCACGGAGACTGCGGCGTCGTCCGTTCCTCCTTCCCCAAAGGTGAAGGCAAGCGAAAGGCGCGGTAGTGTTCGTCGGCGTAAAAGAGGTTTCGGACATGGTGTCACGTCTCCCACAGAGAGCATGCCTTGGTTTGATAAGGTCGTCGGCACCACAATGCTGCTGAGAAATCTCATTCATAAAGATTCAAGGGGATCGTCCCAACTCTCTGATAGTTTGGCTGCGGTCATTGCTTCAAAAAGTACAGCGCTGCAACGACTTCTTATCATCACCAACATTTCTACCTCCTTGAGTAAGAGAGAAGCTCTGGAGGCCATTAAGAAAGCTTGCAGACCAAGTGGAGGCATCTACGAGAGCGTACTTTACATTCCAGTGGTCGAGTCGCGCAGTAAAACAGAGGAGCCAGGCAAGAAGAAGGAAAGTGAAGAGGTGGATTCCAGGCTAAAGTCAGTGACGGAACTTCTACCCAGTGCCCAGAGAGAAAAGCCCGACAAGATACTAGGTTACGCTGTGGTGGAGTTGAAGAGTTCAAGTCAACTTGAGCTAGTGTATCAAACCTTAATGTCTAGTAAGACGTTAAAGGATCCGTCATCGACAGACTCCACCGTTGGTGTGGCTAAGGTCAACTCTGAACTACTTATGGAAGGAACTAACGAGCTCGCCGCTTTTTCGGTTTTTGATGAGTTTTTAAACGCTAGGTTGTATACCGATGCTACAGCCAAATCGCTCTCTGAATCGGCGAAAACAGCTCTGGCAGAAATTTTCTCGAGCTGTGCTCTCGTTTCTAGAGATGATTCGTCAAATGCCGCAGAGGCTAGATCCACGAGTGTGGACAGTGTAACTGACACAGCTCTGCAAACTGCTGCTGTGGAACTACAGAAAGCTGATACCGTTAGTGAAGGCAGCACAAACAAGACAGAGGATACTGAATCTCAAGGTCTAGTCGAGACAGAATCAAGGTCACAGGAAATTCCGCGCCGAGATACAGATTCACTCAGTAGTAATGGTGTGCAGAGCGAGACGCAGTCTAACCAGAGCAACTTTGCCTCCATAACAAAAGTACTGCTGACAAACGATCAAATTTGTAGGGTTACACCCGGAAACTTGCTGTTATCATTTTTCAACGCCGTGCGTCACGCTAAAGAATCAACCACACAACTTGTGACCCAGATCCTAAGGAATTACGGAAGCCCTGTTGAAGGAACCGATGAAAGAGTGCTTGGACTTGATGGCTTTCATAACTGGGCGCTGTCTCGTGGTAGTCAAGATGTTCGATCGATATGGAAAGGGCTTATTGCCTGTGGTTATGATCTGCAGTTCAAAAGGTAAAGTCTGATTGACTGTTCTTGCTTTTCGCTGTTATGGCATGAGTGGAACACCCTTAGCTGATTGCTTAGTAATTCTCCCTACCTGTTTTGCTAACTGAAATGTTAATGTCATAAGGAGAACTGACTATTTAATCACGTATGGGAAGTCAGAAGCAAACGACTGACTCTCGACCTTGGACTTACGACCCCAGTGCTTAAGTTTGGATTTATGTTACTGTACCATAGTAACAAATTCAATTGTCTCTAGAGGTAGCAGGCACGTAAAGGCCATTTGCCAAACCAGCACAAATGATACTGCAACAAATTCTATAGGACCAGAGATAGTAAGGACTGAATCTACTGCCTTTTTCAGAACATTCTGTACTTTCACGCAGTAATTTGAAATAGAACGAAAATGTTTAAGTTGTTTGAAGGATCTTTTCAAAAGCATTACAGAAACCTCATACCATTTGTGTAACACAGAGGGCTTGTGCTGTGGTCTATTGCTTCATTTACAGTGTTAGATAGCAGTGCTATCGATTTGAATGATTCTGTGGAGTTATTACATGATCTAAATGCTACCACTATGTTTATTGTTAGGTGCACTTACTTTCTTCCGTCTGAGATGGAATCAGATCATGCTAACTGGCCTTTGGCTCGTGACCACGCCCTTGTCCTGTATGTGGATACCCTGTGTCGTGCGTGGTCTACCACTCCGTCCCGTCTTATGCCGGATGAACTCCTTCTCTCTGAGGTGGGCCTGGCAAGCGAAGATTTTCGTCAGTTACAGGGTGTGGTGTTTTTTTGTTTTTTGTTTATTTCTTACCGATTTTTGTTATCTCTGCGTTATCTTCCTCTATTAAAAATGTTATAATCCTTGTCAAAAGTTGGTTAACGCGCGACAAATGCAGCCAGGTTTATAGTGTTTTCCAGAAAAACCAGGGGCAATTTTATTACAATGTGATCATAGAAAAAGAGCAGAAACACATGTCAGCTTGAGGGTGTTATCTTAATTCTCTTGACCTATTTGCAAGGAAAAGCTTAGTGATCGGAAGTGAGAAATGCGAATCGAGTATTAGCAGTTGAAGAATTGACGTGCCATGTTCCACTGTGTCTTAGGTGTGTCTTTAAGAAGCCTGAGAAGTCGTTTTGCGTTCCTCAAGTCATTAAACGCAGACGTAGAACGCCTGCTGTTACCTGTGACCGACTTTAGAGCCGCTGAGACGTTCAACCTTAGCACCGCTGCCCTTCTGAGAGATGCCCGCGGGCTCCTTTTTTATCACACCAAGGTAGCATTGTTGAATCACGTGCTTAACCACACTGCCCATCGCGAAGCCGATGATCCGCCGCCCGAAGTCTCTATAGATCCACTACAGTCCTTAGAAGGTTTGTTCCTTTGCCATAGCATTAGGATGTTATTTGAGTTGCACTAGAACTATCAAGAAGGCTCCTTTGATAATTTTTGTGTAGACTAGCTTTCTTTCTTAACATTGTACAATGTTTCCTTGACAAGTGAACTTGCCAAGTGTACATCTCAACTTTTAGTTCAACTGCCCCTTTTTAACACTTGATAGTGACGCGTTGCATATAACACTGGTTTTTGGCGCAGTTTGTAAGTTTTACAGGCGCAAAACGTGAAAAAAAAAAAAGAATAAATGTGGGGTTATCTACTTCCTGTTTCATGCCGCAAATTTTCAAGCCAGGTGGAGCATGCTGAATGATAGTTGTCCGTCCCCCCCCCTCTCTCCCTCTCTCTGCGATTCTGCAGGGTTCCTGATGGCACTGAGCGTTGATATCAGTCAAACAGTTTTTCAAGAATTCTCATGAATAACTTATGATGCAATGCGGCCACCTCCAACACTTTTTCTAATGATATACAGAGTCTATTTGACTCATATATTGTTAATTTTACTCTGCTTTTCGCTTCAGTGGATAAGGTGTCTTCAGCTGGGCCGCAGTTCTGTCTGGCCGCTCATAACATTACTGCAGTTCCTTCCAGTGGACTCAGAGTCAAGGTCGCCACGGGTGGAGACCCAGTCTTCCCTCTGAAAGTTGTACTCCAGGGAGAGCAGGTCCTGGGGTCAGGTAATGCTAATGAAACATTTCTCAGCGCGCTGTGACTTATTTTTTCATATATCTTGTTCATTAGCCAGGGTTTAGATATGCTCAATTTCCCATGTGAAAACTACAGATGCTTACTTGAGTGGTGATTGCCACTCTGACTGACCTTCTGATCGCATGCCACTGGGTTTTTCTTTCTTGTGTCTTTTTCTAGGTGGTTCCTTCCGTCACTTTATGTGGCTGATGGCGCGTGAACTCCAGGGTAACCATGTGGGGCTTTTAGTGCCATGCCCCAGCTCTGCTGCCAACAAGAACAAGGTGCGTCCTCTGAAGTATTGACAAAAATTACTAAAATCAGCACACGAGGGACTCCACTAAGAGGACTTGAGGAAGGAACCAGTTAGCTAGAAAATTCAAGGCTTTACCGTGCGTTACACTTCCTTCCGTTAAATCCCTTTCTTCTTGCTTCAGTCATATGACACAGTAACTAAGTATATAAAGGTTGTAAAATTGAAATTTATGTTTTTCCTTTGTGCTTATCATAGGGAAAGTTTATTTTGAAGCCGGGTCCTATGACATATGCGGAGGAGGAATTGCTCATCTTCTTCGGACAGGTGAAGTTCAACTGTACATAATACATTTTTAAATTGTGCATTCAGTTAAGAGAACCTCACTTCTTTAACAAAACCGGCATTTTATCTTGAACATGGTAGTCCAAAGCACTTGTTGCGAGGAAAATTGGTAATATCGCAGTTTGTTCTGTTTTACGTTTATATCCAATTTTCATGACTGTGTTTCCACACCTTAAAGCGCTCCAGAGCTTCTCCTGAAAGTTTGCTAATTTAATTTTTAGCCTATCTCTTTGCTGTGCTATAAGTGCCCTTGTACCAGTAAATGATATAAATTTGTGTAATAGTAATATAACACTCGCCAGCCAATTGGTTTATCTACCCTCATCTGGATAACGTCTTGATACTATTAGAAGGAGTTACGTGAAATTCACTTTTTCCACACAGCTGCTGGGAATTGCACTGAGAGCTGATATTCCACTCGCTCTGGATCTGTTGCCTTGCTTCTGGAAAAGCTTGTTGAACCTCCCGTTGGACCCGCAGGACGACCTCAGAGAAACTGATATTCTCACTTACAACTACTTGCGACGATTTTCGGAGGTAACGTTAACTTTTTGGGTGGGTTGTTATTCAAACATCCGTTTTCCCGAGTTAGTATTTAGCCGGTAGAGGGCTCACCCTCTTTACTTAGGGCAGTAGGAAGAGTTCTCCTGTTGTAGGTCTTAGGCTAGTGTCTTTCGGGCACCCAACGATTTATTGTTTATCCCTGACGAAGACTGAGGTTGCATGCCGCATTGACGCACTGGTTCTTCCTTGTCCGCCCCGCCCTAACAGGTTGTCTATCGTGAGTTGTTATTGTCGTTGTAGTTGTCGCTGTTTGTAGAAAATTTCTCTTGAACTCTAGCGATGCATAACTTGTGCAAGACGCCTACGGCAAATGTCTGCTTCTGGTTGTTTCTACTCTTGATTTAAAATCCATTTTCATGTACTGATATACGTTTTTTTTATTGGAGTAAAGGACATTTTAACAAAATCAGACTTAGTTTTGCGCTATTTGAATGGAAGTGCTTGATAATACCCTTTCCATGTTACATTCTTTCTAATAAAAAATTTTCAGCTGTTAAAAACTGTTTAGCGTCAAAATCAATGTATTTAAAAGGATACAGGCGACCTCGGATGGTATGTGTGACTTATATTTATTGTGTTTAAGGTGGAAAGCGCGGAGGAATTTCAAACGTTGTGTGTTGAAGCTGATCTGTGCCCATACCGATTTGTTTACACCTCCCTTGACGGCGAAGAAGTAGAACTGTGTGAAAATGGAGCTGATGTAGCCGTTACGTAAGTAAAAGATGCACTGTGGGGATATGCATTCTGTGTAACCAAACAAAGTTCAGTGTAGACTGAATACTTCAGTGAATCAATCGATAAGATATTTCTTTGCCATGATAAATGTTGGAGAACTATATCTTAATTTTAAAACATAACCGAGCAAGACAAAAGTTAAGAATCTGTCACGTATTTCTTACAAGAAGTGGACATTAGATAACGAATAATGGATGAGTTTTTAATAGATTGAGCTAAAAAAATGGTTTTTGTAGACTATGAAGTTTAATTACACAATAATTTTCTTTTTGTGGATAAGATAACCTTAAAATCTGCACCCTCTCTTATTCGCTGGCGTTGGCAAAAAATTTTTCTTTCTCTCCTGTAGATGGGAGAATCACAAATCATACGTACAAGCAATTAGGGATTTACGACTGAAGGAGCTGCGATGTGAGTCCCGTATGGCGGCTGTTCGGTGTGGTTTGTCTTCAGTAGTCCCTCTGCATGTACTTACAGTCATGACTCCACTGGACATGGAGATTCGAACGTGTGGGCAACCCTCTCTTGACCTAGGATTTCTCAAGGTTTGTCACTCTATTTCATCATTTTGTATGATTAATAATCGCACTAATACTTGAGTACAGTAACGAAGTGGAATTCGAGGGTTTCGCTTGTGATTTTCTTGTCTTTCACGAGCCTTTTTTTTTTGTGAGTATTACGATGTTTCTTGGCGCCTCATGGGTCTATAAACTTACTAACCTTTATTAGAGAAATTGGAATTGTGCCTTTTGATTGCCAGTCGTAAACCGAGGCAAAATTATCAACACAGCCTATCAGAAAAAAGGTTAACATTATAAGGAACCACTCAGAACTTGATTGATGAAAAAATGCATGCAATAGATTAAGGCGCCGCCTACGTGGTTTTAAGGAACGAGATCGTGAACTACCAAATTTGTCTTTTTTCCCTTTTCTTTTTTGTTAGGCGCACACTTGCTATGTAGCAGGAGTAAAAGATACTGATGTGCACATTGAATACTTTTGGAACACAATGGAAAGTTTTTCTCAGGTTTGTGATTCAACCCTCAAACTTTCAAGCTCTGATTAGTAAATCTCTGTTAGCTGCTTCACGTTTACTTGAAAGTTAGAGCCTGAGAATTGGTATTTACATCATCATTTCTCCTTTGACCACGAGATTACATGTCAAAATTGTGAAGAGAGGTTACTTGTTGATGAAATTTGGGAATTATAACACGAAATATGCTATTAGTGCGTATACTTTTTTAACGTGCAAGGGCGAATATCTTTTGACTGTGTTATGTCTGCTTCGTGGTAAGCCCTGAGAAGGAGAAGTAGAGAGACGCTTGGAAGAAATGATTCTGGTCTTTTTGTGAGAAAAATGTTTCAAATGAAAGAAGCCAAACTCAAGTCCCTCTTTTTCCAACCTCGTTTAGCCAAGAAACAAAAAAGTCAAACAACTATAAAAGCAGAACAGAAGGACAACCATGAGATGACATTAAGAGTGTTGTCGCAAAGACAGCGGTCATCTCAGAGCAGTTCATATAACTTTGTTCCCTTCCTCGCTTTCAGGATCAGCTGCGAAAATTTGTGAAGTTTGCATGTAATCAGGAAAGATTACCAAGCCGATGCACTTGTCAGGATGGCAATCCTAACACAGCTGATGTACATGTCCCACCATACCCCATGAAAATTGGTCCCCCAGACGGGAGAGGTGAGGTGCAACTTTTGTAAAAGATTTTGTCCTTGTGATTGGATAACAAAATTATTTTATGGTGACTCGCGGAATTTCCACCTTTTTTTTTTTCATTGTCGATATTAATTTATTGTTAAGGAATAACTGCCCCCGCAGGGTTTTGGCCCAGAGGCCAGCATACAGTTAATTGTAGTAGCATATAGTAACTTTTCTGACTACCATCAGCTCTGAAAGAGAGGTGTGGAATATCAAACGGCAATTTTATCTGAGATAAGGGAGGCAATTATATATATTCCAAGTTATAGAGCTTTTGAAGAGGACCTGGGCTGGTGAAAGACGTATTGATCCGAGTATATGATCCGAGCTGAACTTGTTGTGGGGTGGGGAGAGGGGACTTTTCGAAGTAGGGGTACCTTACAGGGGAACAACTGTTATAATCGTAAGGTCTTTGTTTTTAAGTTTGTGCGACCAAGGCTACGGTTGGAGCGAGATTTCTTCGTACATCAAGCGTAGGGTATAGCTATTTTTTTGCTTTTTTGTTTTGGTGACAAAAACAAAAAATTCCGGGTTATATCACATTTCAGGTCCTTCAGACGCGCGGTACATACGGGTTGAAACTTGTATGTTTATGGTGAAACTGCCGCAGTACTCGACCCAGGAAATTATGACTGAGAAGTTGTTATATGCTATCAACTGTCGTGAAGACCCTCTGACGGATATCACCTAATACTGTTTAAAGGCAAGTCTGAAACCAGGGAAAAAAATCTCGTCATCAACTCATAGGAAGAATTCAATTACAAGTGAACCGGAAGCTACGTATTCGGTTGTTTTTGCGCTAAGAACCACGAAAGACATTTGAAAGAAAAGACAATGACTACATTCTGTTTCTTTTGTGGATTAACTGCACCTTCTTGCCTTGGATATTATGCCATAAAGACATGCCCATGCATCAGTTTGGAAAGAATTTTCTACGATTTGACTTACAGGTTGCAAATATTTTTTAATTCAAGTTGTTTCCACGATGAATTGAAACGAATTTGAAGCTCTCTTGGATCAGATATTTATGCTTGGCTTTTGAGCAATCGAGATTGTTAATGTTTTTAACGTAACGAAATTAATCGTAACAAGCATCTGTTTGCATCTGCCTTTTACGGATCTTTTACCCCAGGACAGTTGATATATTAAGACTTAGTCCATTCCCTGTATAATGATTCCATTATGCATGTGGGAAGAAGTAAAGAATTAACTTTAAAACAAGTCTTTTCAAGGAAAATAATAAAAGACTGCGAAGAGTAAGGAGTATTTTAAGATCACAAGATCACTGAGTTAAGGAGTTAAAAGAATCAAGTGAACATTGTTTTGAATTGATAATTTCTAGAAGAAAAACAAAATGGATATTTTTCAAGTATTACTATGATAGAAAAATAAAATTGAAAACTGAAAGTTATTTTTCTTGCATTTCTCATTCTGTTGTAGCTAAATTATTATTTTCAGGGCCACTTTTGTTATTGTCTCTTGCTAATTTTCCTTTTTCCTGTCCTGACCGTCGGTATAAACGTGATTTTACGAGGAGAAGGAGTCAAAGAATGATCGTGAGCGTGTAAACAGGAATATGTCAATTAAAACAGACATTTTAAGGCGCAGTTTACATTGAAATGGCCTTTTGACTAGGCGGCTCTTCACAAAAGAATGTTTTTTCTCGTTTCATAATGCTTCCACCTAAAGCCGAGAAAATTATTTGAATTGCAAATTCCAACATGAATATTCAATTTTCCAATGCAACACCCAAACGGAACGTTCAAGAAGCTATCTTCGAAACCAACAACGTTCTGTAGTTTCGATGGAAAAGAGTTTTAAAGTCAACGTTGCCATTGTTATCAGTGGTTTATACGGTCAAGCTTCGAAGAATAAAGAGGAGGGACATCAACTGGTGGCAAACAAGACTTCCACGTTGAGGTAATGGTCGCCGACACGTGCATCGCATGTAAATTGTTGTCGTGGAGTATTTGTTCCTAGAAACATTTGAAGGAAGGTAATAAAACAATTTTTATTCTTATAGCTATTATTTAAGAGGCGCAGGATCGATATTTAGAATAAATGTGCTGAAACTTTTTACCAATAACGATTTAACCAACGGTTATGTCGGGGTGGAGTGGAATAATAATTTGTGAAGGGAGGATCTCTTGACTTGCAAAAGGTTTCATTGCCGAGAGGATGAAAATTCTTCACTAAATTCTGTGTCCTATCAAAAATTTATTCATTTATTTAAGCATTCAGTACAGTACAAGGTACTTTGCGCGAACAAACAATAGGACTCGGGCCCTACGAGGTCTACGTTATACACATTATGAAAGAAAACTTTCTCGATGCTTTTGTCAAGTAAAACTTGTTAAAATAGAATTTCTCCTGAATCAGTTCCCTTTCCCACGGCAAAGGTCGAGGTTGTGCCAACTACACTTGAGAATCATGTTTTGACCGATCGAAAGTAAGTTCTTTGAAATGCGGTTTTGTCCGACAAAAAAAAAACTAGTTTTCTATATGTCATCCAGAAAAGACATATAACAGGAGAAGTGCATATGAAAATGAGTCACGTATTATTCAATATATATTTAATATGCATTCATCTTTCATCAGGTAGATGTTGAACTCGGGATAAACAAAGGCGAAAATTAGCAGCAAAGGGAAAAGTAGATGAAGAGAATCACAAGACAGACGAGGGAGGAGACGTTATTGTAATCAGGTAAGTTAGTGGTATAATTATGTTGATACCAGCAGTTTAATACATTTTGCGGGTTACAGTCAGTGCATGCAGATTGTCATATTACTTAGGGGGGGTTTTAGAAATATTTTAGATATGTTTTTGACCGGAGGTTTACCTAAATTAAAAAGTGAAAATTCAAAAACTCAGTCTAATAAAAATTCACAATAAGAAAAAGACCAGAATACAGCGGAGAATGGTTGCACGAGCTTTTGACCAACAATTCTTGCCCATTTTTGCCCATTTTTGGCGTCTACAACCATTTCAGTTACCACAACATCGTTTTCCAATTAGCATTGCTCTGATGATTTTTTGTCTCCGGGTTCTGGCTTTCAGACTCTGAAGCTTGTTTCTTAATGGTATTGATTTAAAATTTATAAAAAAGCATGTCGATAGTAGCTTGAGCTGTTCAGGCGGTTATACATCCATAATTTTAATCAACACTCGAACCTTTTTTTTCCATGCCATCGTTTAAATTTGTTGATAAAAATCGACGCAAAACAGTCCAGGAAAAATTCGATTGATATCTGAAGGATATGCAGCCTGGGTTAAGCCAATGAGCTTTACTCGTATCTCAATAATTCTTTTGACAACTTTTAACTTTTGATGAAGCCAAACAGATTTGTTCAAATCTTTGTAGTGCTTTTGTCGGTTTTTTTCTCTCCATTACTCGGTATTTAACATTCACGCTGTTTCCCGAGTTGGCAACCGAAAAGGACGAAACGTCTCTGATTTTAGAGAGATGTGTAAGCTATTCCTTTTAAAAAAGCCAAGAGAATTTCAGTCAATACGACATGAACAAACTTATTATCATTGAAAATCTATGACATCTACTTTTTGCGCCAACTAATTTCAACTTTTATTTACCTTTGACTTTTCGCGAATTCCAAGATTCTTTTGCAAGATTACAAAGGTGCACGTTTCACTCGTGTCAGTTTTTCACAGAAATTAAACGAAAAGTATCGTTGAGGGATACAGAAAGAGGCGTTTGGATTTTGCTTCGTTGCGTAAAAACTCAAATGAGAATTGAAAAGAAGCAAACAAACTCACTTCATTATGATAATTTCGTTTCCGAATTTTTTTTTGCTCGTGCTTTTGGTGTTATGCAAAGAAAATTTCACAGCCGCCTTTTAAAAGGATAATATTATTTTACTAGGCTTACGGCAATCTGCTTGTACAGGTTATAATTATTTATAAACTTTTTATTTTTTTGTTGTTGTTGTTTTGTTTTTATCTAAACTTTTGATATCTGCATTAAATGTAAGGAGAGGTAAAGACTGCGACTGCTTGACATTCGAGGCCAGTTTGCCTGCGATGTTTAGCACGGCTTTAGGGAACTCGAATAATGATGAAGTTTGCAACTTGGTTTACCGTTTAAAGGATTCAGTGAATATAACATTTGAAATAGTAGATGTATTTATCAATTCTGTTTTTCTTTGCTCCTGCAGATCGCTGAATGGATGACAACTGAAGCCAAGATCAGGAAAAAACACCTGAAGATAATTATCTCGTCAAAAAGAGATACTAAAGGAACTTCACTCTCTGGTGTTTGAATTTGTAGAGGAGTTTTTAAACTGAATTCTTTCCGTTTGATTTCCAAAAACCTTCCTTCATTCAAACAGTTCCTTTGCGACTAGGACCATCATTACATTTTGTATAATGACATGTTATTTACAATTCAGTGCTTAGTAAATTAAATGTCTTTTTTTTCCTCGAGGTTTTTCCTCTAATAACAACTGTTAAAAAATTATTTTCCCCCCCAAAAACTTAAAAAATACAGGCGCCCAAAATACGCATGCGCCGCCTTTTTTTTTTCTAAGTATAATATATTCGCTTTTATATCTTTCTTGTCTGTTATTAAATAAGTCAACGAAGTTATTTGTTATTTCATTTTGTGATCTTTATTTTCTTTCTGTCAATCAACAATACAGATATTGTCTTTTATTCTCTTCTAAAATTCTTTAATTAGTTAAGTGACTTTCCATTAAATAATAAAACACTTATACTAAGACTTTTGGCGGGAAAATTTGGAGCAATTTGCACAGAGTTTCCCCTGACAACATTTTCGACAAAAAATTCAAAATGGCTACCCCTAAAAATTTCCGCAAAAAGATATGTGAACATCACCTTGTGCAAAATTTTCTTCCTAGTCATTTCTAAACAACCCTAAGCTCTGAGTTCATTAAATTGTATTTTCCTTTTTTTTTGTTTGCACAAGGTTATATACACATTGCTTACTCTACCAATAAGCAACATGACAAGCCACTATCTACTGTTATATAAAATTTGTGAAGTTTGTCATGCCGAGACCTTTTTCAGCCGTTGAATTTCTGTTTGTTGCGCAGGAAATACTTTGACTCAAACTGATCAATATCTGTGACCAAATCATTTAAATTTTCAGTCTTTCTTTGTGGCGGAGTTAGCTGTTTTTTTTTCTTTTTTGGGTCGCAAGGTTCAGACAATCTGGATAACTGCTTAGCTCTTGGTATCTTTGAAAGTCACCGAGATAAATTTTGGTTGAGTTCATTTACATAAAATAATCTTCAAATTCTCTTTCTCGTGGGCGGCCAAATTAAGTTTTCTTTTCTCTTTGGTTGCAAAGTTCATGCAAGAAAATCTGATATCGTGTATTTGAAACTACTGAGACGAGATTTTTTTTGTTCGAGTTGCCTTTTATTTTTCCATCAATGAATTCAGATTCAATCTTCAAAATTTCCTGTGTAACATTAATTTCAGGCTGAAAGAGATCTTTCTACATTACAAATACGATAAAACCCAATGTCTGGTTCAAACAATATTATTTTAAGCAAACATGTTTTTATTTAATGTAACATTCAGCGAAAAACCTTAGCAATAAGTTATACAGACCAAGACCAGAAAAAAATCCAAACTTAATCCATTTCTTCACTTTTCTTTCTTCAAGACAGGAAAATTTGAATTCATAACAATCCTGACAATATCTTAAGGGTTAAGGTCACTGGCATTTCTCATGGGAATTCTCGTTTAATTTACACGGACAACTGTATTTAATAACAAACTATGCGAAAATTTTCTCTTTCAAAAAGTTTCAAGTTTGTTGTTAACTAAAGCCTCGCATTGAATTTGTCTAACTTCTTGTTTTCTTGCAGCTTGTGCAAGACAAATTGAGTTCAACACAAATTCCACTTTTTCCTATTTCTTGAGTTTGTCAGGCAAGTCTGTTTGCTCATAGCTGCTACTGCACGAGTGAACTGTGATTTGAAAGATCAGTCTTGATCTTAACCCTTTGATTGAGCTCGAGGCAACTACTGTTGGATTTGTAACCAGGTGTTCTATTTCAATTGCCGTGTCTTTTTAGGTTTTTTAAGTGATAAAATGCCCCCAACTGTTTGACGTATTGCTCTTTTTTTTTTGAATACAGGACAAATTTTACTGGTCTGTAGAACTGCTAAAGTGATACGTTTTCATGAAAATTCTAGTAATCCTCTGAACCAGACAATTAGGATTTATATACTTAACTTGCAAAACGACGAGAGAACGTAGGCAAATAAAATTTATGTAAGACATTAGTTTTCAAAAGAAATCTCATTTTCTCAATACACTATCTTACAGTCAATGCAAACGTAACAGAGAACAGTTCTTTTCACTAAGATTAGGGTCGATTTCTTCGATATATAATTGGCTGTAAGAATCACAGGTCTTTCTCATTTGTAATTCATGAATTAAGGTGGTTCCGTTCGCATCATTTGTTATGCCATGTCGTGTTTACGTAGTTTTGTAATATGTCGATAATTGTTAATCGTTGTTGATATCATCCGTGGTCTGTTGCAAGTTAATAGACATGCAGCAGTCCAATTAATTATATAAGTCCATGAAAAAAAAAGGAAGTGTTATGGTTTAAACGTCAAGCAGTGGTACGGCTCGTTCGTCGATGTTTTCTGTCATTTAATTGTTTACGTTACGATTTCTCGTATCAGTTGAGCTGGCTCGCGTTTCGGTTGTTTCCGAAGGTCGAAGCGAGTTTTGTTTTCGTCTGATGAACTCATACTTGTAGCTTTTTTTCATAAGGAAAAAAAACGTTCAAGGTATTTTGTTTTACGCCGGATAAATTTTCAAGCGTGTGGTCAACTTTATAAACTCGTCACCCTCGTCTCTTAATATTCGTAACTTGGTGTGATGTCACGAAGATGATACGTCTGATTCACGTGATCTTTCCGTTTCATGAAAGGTTTGGAGAAGGGGCTTTCCTTTTTCTTCATCTTTTCTAATGAACTTAATGTCAAGTGTTCTGTTCGTTCATTTCGTCATTGTGAAGGGCGGTAAGATAATGATAACGTAACGACACCAAAGTGAAATTGTTTCATAACAATGAAAATTTAAAAGGATATGGCTATTCTTTTACGCCAATCAGACGAAACTCAGTCGAATAAGTTTCCAAAGGATTATATGTTGCCAACGTTCTTTAGTCCATTGCAAGGAAACTACAAAGAAAATGTGTGAATCTTCTAAGGCGGCACTGATTATTGAATTGACAAAGTTGCAGACGATTTATCCTTTAGGAAATCATAGTTTTTCAAATAAAAAGTTCTAAAACACGAGAACAGCGAGTTGTTTCCAGACAAATTCGATTATTTTCCTTCTCAGTTCTAGTTTTACAACAAGAGAACCCAAGTTTATTTTTATTTTTTTTCAATTTTTTTTTCTTTAGAAAGCCATTTGCCTCACAGTGCCACCTTAAAATATTCAACTTTTAATGGTGGCTGCCATCTCACCTTCTTCTACTCCAACTCACATCAGCTTAGGTTCGCAAGAAAATGTAGAAATATAGGCAGCCACCATTTACATACTAGAACAATGTAACAAACTTTAAAGTTCTTATCTCTGTAGAGTTTCTTTTGCATTCATTGATTCCAGTTTGTCCTCTTGAATTCTTGGTTTTGCTGTCCTCTTCATTCTCTCAGTCATCCTGTAAGCAGAGATAAGAAAAATGATGTTTAGTGTTTGGCTGATTTACCAACAACTTTTACCAACACGTACAATTAAGAGAAAATTCGGGTTCAACAAATTTTAGTCGCAAATACGTGTTTTTGAAAGTTTTTGCCGCATTTCCTCAGCGCATTTAGGAGGGCAACCAACAAGAGATGAAGCGCACGTGGCTTCGATACACTTGCACTTCATTTTCCTTCGTGGTCGAATCAACAACTCGAAACTTAAATTACGGTAAGTAATTTCTCTCGAAACCTTGACGAAGGCAGTAATTGTACTCTACAGACATGATGAACGAAATTTGTGCGAGTCGAAGGCGAAGCAAGAAGCGAACAAAAAGCACGTTATTTTTCCCTTGCTCGGTTAGTTAATTACCCTGCACAAAAATAACGACAAGATTATTTCAGCTGTTTACTAACAGTGATGCTTACCTTCAGAAAACTTTCAAGCAGACTGCATTTTCTTGGCACAAACACAGAGACCTCAGAGTAACACGTCCTCTCTCGTCCTTGACCTGTTTGAGAAGTTTGAGAAAACTTCACAAATTGTCATGAATATGGAATGAGAGAACAAACCAATCACTGATGAGTACGTCACAATTACGACGCCTGTGTTGTTGGCACGCCTTTTGGAGCGCATCAGAAACGCCCCTGAAGAAATAAAGGCATTTCACGTGCTACTCAGTCGCAAGATCTTGTATTAAATAATGATGACAGAATACATCTGATTTAAGTACGAATTCCTAAACAAAAAGCTCACTGACGCAAACAAAATATTCTTTTCACATCGGAATACAAGTAAAAGAGATTAATTAAATATTACCGAAAAAGTATAAAATAGGAAAACAGACAAATGCACAAAATAAAATCAAAAGACATTATTGAAAGTAAAAACACGAAGATCAATTCCCCTGACTATGGGGCTGTCCTGGTGTACCGGTACACGAGGGAATTTCTTTTGTTTTCATAACCATACATGGAGTTATGACGCAGTTCGTTAATGTTTCCTTCCTTTGTGTACCGGTACACGAGGACACAACCCTGACTATTGAGTAGTTCCGAGATCAACTCAAGCGGCATAAATGTACCCCCATACGACGAGAAAAGAAATTCAGGCTCTATTTACAGATTTCCACACGTTAGGTTGAAGTCTGTGACTTTTGTAACGTTTTGCTAAGAATTAGCCATTTTAAAGTAACTTTGACAAAAACAACCAAACATACGCTGAACTTGGCAATTTATTATAAAGTTTCCGATTTACAACAAAAACACACAAAATCAACAGACTAGTTTCCTGAGCTCGCGTTTGGAGCCTATGAGGTTGTCATGATGTTCTGCCCACGGAGCTGTGAGGAGTTCGACCGTATGTACACAGCAATCCAGACAAGTTGTCTACGCACCGATATAACCTACTATGGCAGCATAAACATGTTATCTCATAAAACGAGTGGAAGATATTCGCCAGAACATTTTGATCATGAAGAAGTCTATCAAACATTTTCATTTAACTTTTTAGGGGTGCAGAAAATATTCATGTCATCTATAAGAAGGCATGACATAACTATTGTCTGAACTACAGTTTTCAAGGACGAGTGCAGAAATTTCTCCCCATGTTTTGTAATCGATGTAAAAAGAAATCAGGCTTTTTCTGTATTCAATTTTAGCAATACCCATCAAATGTTACTTTTTTTGGCGCCGAGGCGGACGTTTGCCTGGTACTGATGTGCGCCTGATGTTGCTGGGGTCTGGAACTCACTGGTAATGTGATATTAAAGGATTAAACTCAGAATTTCCTCTGTCACGTAACATTTCCTTTCGTCGCTGCTCCCGAATCTAGAACCTGAACTTTTGAAGGCGAATGTTCGCCATGAACTTCCAACTATTAACGCTCTTGGCGATTGTTTCCCTTTTCTCTCAAGCCACAGGATATTGCGGTAAGATATGGGTTACTGTTCTTCTACAAATCATTTGAGTAAAACATAGAAATACATGCTAAATAACATTAATGCTAAACTCAGCATATTTCATCACATCTGACGTGTGCAATTTTCAAGGCAATGAACTTTTCCAACCTTTCTCCGCTCTTTGGGCCTAACAGCTAAACATCATATGGTCTATTAAATTTGGTTACGCGATACGCAGACCTAAATTAAGGATAACGGAAGATCCGAGTATTTTAGAATGCCCCTTTGTGTCCCCTGCAGGTCAAGACATGTTGTTCGAGAGGAAAATTAGATTTCTCTTCCCTATAGTCTTAATATGCCCGGAGATGAGGTCGTACAAATAGAAGAGCAGTTCAGTGAGTTATTCCTATTGCCCGCTGGCTATTCGCCGAATCATAATGCTAAAAAAATATGTAATTAATTTTTTGCGCACATGGGTATTAACTTCCTCACAGTCGCAGTGCTTTCAATCGGCTGATTTTGTTGACGCGAGCGACTAAAAGAGCACCTCTTCGAACTCTCTTTCCCTGGATATTGATCGCTGGGATGCAGTTTTCTTACCGTGCACAAAAGAAATTTTGTTAGCTAAATCTCAATATGACTTTTCTAGTTATTTTCCATCTCCGCGTGTGGCAGTAACCTTTGTTCTCTCATTCTGCCAAAAATGAGGAGAATAAAATCACTTGAAAGCGAAACCGAAAGATAAAAAAAAAATAAATTGACAGACAAACACAAATTAAAAAAAGGGAAAAATAGACTCTGAACTGATTATACTAAGCGTGAAGTTGGGCTGTTAAACCCATTATATGTAAAACAAAGAATTTGTCCACTGTCTTTATAACATAATTAATATTCTTTCTCTGTCACGGATAAGAGTTGCGTTACAGCTTTCTTTCTCGCGCCTCAGTTGGTGTTAGTTTACTCTGGCAGGTTTCCTTTCAATTAGCATAATTTTCAGTAACCACAACTCAACATATTGTTAGTTATCCCCCTATGGATTCCTTAAACACGCTTTACCTTCTAAATCCTAAGAGTGACCAGCATCTAATTTTTCCTTACGATATCACTTTGGATCAGTAAACAAATTCTCCCTGTGAGCATGTTAGGAAATGTATAATGAACAGTATGGAGAATATGCATAATGAAATTAGGGTGTAAAGGCTTACGGTAGACTCCATCACAGCTTGTTTTTCAAATCAATTTTGCCCAGTTTAGTTCTGAGTGACCATAGGTCATAGTGCTCAATGTTCGAAGTTTTAGAAGCGACTTTTTTCGAACAGCGCAGAAATCAGTCGATCGTGATATATAGCCTCATTTCTAAGCTGTAGCTCATTATTGACACTTGACGCGTTTCAGGTACCAGACTCCTGCGAACAAGCATCACGCGCGCGGCCGTCAGAGCTGCCGAATGGTTAAGGAATGAACAAGACGAAAATGGCACTTACGGATTGGGTCACGTGAGTGCGTTTGCGTTCAACTCTCTGCGTCTTACTGGTCACTCTGTGGAGACTGGTGCTGAGCATCTGAATGCGGAGATCATTAAAGCTGACATTGGTTCCCTGACCGGGGGTAGGGTGGCATTGTATGTTCTCGGCGCGTTGGCTACGTGCAAGGACCCCAGCAACTTTTATGATTTCAATTTGATAAAAAGTCTTAAAGACAAACTAACCAAGTTCCCCCAGTTGGGTTTTAATCACCCTTTTCAGTACAGCCTTGCTGTTATGGCTCTCTGTAGCAGCAACACACCTCTAGAGAGGAAGACGCTTGGCCATGTGAACGAAATCCTGAAGAAAGTAGAAAATGAATCTCACACTGCCAGTTACCATGCCGACACGCTTGCAATGCAAATAATGGCGTTAACCTGTATCAAGAATTCCATAAAAGGGCAGAAAAAGAAGGCACTTGAAAAGAAGATCCAAAAAGCTGTTAATTTGGGGTGTAGAAAGTTGCTTAAGGCTCAAATCAATGATAGCACGTTTGGGGAAAACGAAGTCACGGCAGCTCTTGCCTCTCAAGTACGTTACTAATTCTCTATCACGCCAATTGTCTTTTGTTTTGTCACACAATTCATATTCTGTGATTTGAAGGGGCTAAGTCACGAAATTCCAAGAAGTTTGAGCGTCGTAGAGAATTGCCCTTGAGCTGCTTGAGTCTTACTGAATATGTATTTTCTTCAAGCTCTGAAACGCAAAACTGGAATAAGTCAACAAGGAACCGAGATGTTAAGGAATGAGAAGACAAACCTGGATCGCAAATGACAATTGATTATTTTTCTCACTACCTATCAATTAGCTCCATAACATACTGTATATGTAGGGTGAATTTCTACACTGATCATATTTCTTCATGTCTAGGCTCTTTTAGCCGCCGGATGGAAGACAAAAAGGTGTTCGACGACTTTACGCTGGCTCGTGTCTCGTCAAAAACCCGATGGATCCTTTATTAACTTGTTGAGCACACTCTATGTCACACCAGCCTTGATCGGAGCGCTGCCCCACGATGTCAAAAACATAGCGTGTCTCAGAACTACAGACGCATTAGGTAACTGACAGCTGTGTTTTACAGGAAAAGTTGTGACCTTTTTATACCCTACATACCGACCTTTAGCAAATCCCCTGTGAGTGCCGACGCGTTAGCCATCTGTCCACCTGCAGTTACACCTGTTCTCCTTCCCAGTGGAATCTCCCCAGAAGTTTGTTTGCTTTTGTGCGGCAAGAGTGATAAAACGCACTGGGTTTCTCTTCTCTAAATTAAAATGGGTTTTGTTGTGTGAATAACTCAAGTTTAAGTCTCTAACGCAATTGAATTTTTCCCTTTCAGGTCAACAAGAACAACAGGTGAGATTGGCAAAAAAATTCATTTCGTGTTTATTAGTTTGAGTCGCAGAGAGAGGTATGACAGGAGGGGTTATCTTTGTTATGTCCCCACCATCACCTTCCCTCTATCGTGATATGGTGACCGCTTATAACTAAAATTTAACACCTCTGAAATTACGGTGACATATCATAACTCACTCTGTTGAAATTGCAACCAAACATTTGTAGAATATTAAAAACAACTAAGTGTTTTTCCTTTGATTGACTTAGAATATAACCGTCTGCGTTGAGCTGAAGTTCGTCAACACCAACAAATACACCAAAGGAAAAACAGCTCCAACCACTGAGTGCGTGACAGTAGCAAATGGCACTAATGCTTATGACATCTTGAAAGAAGCTGCCAAAAAAAATTCTTGTTACGCATTCACCACCCAAAAAACCTCCTACGGCAACTCGGTGACGTCTATCTGTGGTGTCCAACGCAGACCAGTCGATAAATTTTACTGGATGATCTATGTGGACGAAAAATCGGCCACTGTGGGTGTGGATGATCTAAGGCCTGGTGACGGATCCACACTCAGTTTCCGGTATAAACAACTGCACTGGCGGTAGACGAATTACACAGTGCGAATGATCTAACATGTTTCAAGTTTTTCCAAAATTTAGAGCGCTTTCATCCACAGAAGATAATAAACGGCTAGCTTTATTTTTAATCTGATTTTTGTAAGGTGGATGTTGGAGTTGTGAAACACCAAATCTTTAATTGCTACCTTAAATTTTCTATGACCGGTGGCTCTGAACCTATGCTACGTAGCTACGGATAGAGGAAGCTGAAATAAAAGATGTTTTAAAGAGCTTGTAGAATGAGGGTCAAACGTTTGTCGAATACGTTTAGGAAACTTTAAAAATAAAGGCTTTTTAAAATGTACCATTTGCACAAGGAAATAAACGCATTGACAGTTTTTGAAAAACTTTCTTGATGTCTTGATTTCGTTTAAAACAACGTAGCGTAATTAGAAGCTTTTGATGAACTGTTCGTAAACTAACCCACCTTACACAAACAAAGAAATAAACAAGCAAAACAAAAAAGAGCCGAGAGAATCATTCGAGAAATCTCCCGCGACATTGATCTTTATTTATTATTTACAACTAATACCTTTACAAATTTTAGTATCAACCAAAACTTGGACAAATTTACACTTCTAATCGTGATACTGAGTTCTGCTCGATGAAATATTGACTCGTGCATTTCTGCCCAAGTATGATACAGTTAATAGTTATGGCGTCCCTTTCCAGTCTTTGATGCTGTTTCATTCAGCGGTTACTATTTCATGATTGTGTGACAAAAGCTGTTGCGAGACAAACTGTGAAGAAGTCGGCGAACCACTTAAAAAACACTTCCTTACAACCATATTTACGCTGTTACCTCAGACAGATGAAGTAACAATCCATTTGATCCGAAGGAGGTTATTCTATTCAAATGCTGTTCTCCTTCTCGGAACAAACTACGGATGCAAAAACAAATACGAACACACCCTAACATAAGTATGCATATTCTCCATAATGTGCTCTTTACATTTTCTTAGGTGCTGACAAGGAGAATTTGTCTATATATCAACAGCTTCTTTAGTTGGTGATCATTTCCGTAAATCTCGTGACCTTGATGTGTGATCCGAGGGGGATATAGTAGGGAGAAATTAGATGGTAGCCAGCCTTAGGGGTCAAAAGGTTAAAGTGACCTGACGAAGGGACGGGTGGGTAAAACAAGATAGAGTAGAATACCCTCCAGGGGTGTAAAAAGAATTCGTAATCGCTTCACGCTAGAGAAACCGGGGTAAAGTTTGGCACAAACGGGGCATAGTTTTCAGACAATTTCAACACATCCCTCAATCAGGTGAAAATGTCACATTGATTTGTATCTAGTTGATACGTTTAGCAAATCTCATCCCCCATTTGTTGGACAATGTACATACAAATAGTAAGAAGTAACACAAAGTAAGCACAACTGGTAGTTAAGAAACAGCACATGTTATACTCACCCTTGCATGAGGTCCTCTCGCTTTCATATGATCTGCCTCGTGTCTCAACATTCTATCATATGCTTCTTTCTCTCGCCTAGTACAAAAAGTGCAATTTACACGTACAGTGAGGCTATGTGCAAAACTATTGTCGTAACATTCCACCCACAGTAGACTTCTTAAAATACCACAACAAAAGCGTTTGAAATTGGCGAAAAGACAAAAGGCAACTGCCCATTTCAACAAAAGGCAGCTTTCATGAGTTTCGGGGAAACAAAGTTTCATTAACACTGAAACTCGTCAATAGTTTATTGATGACTATCACACTCACCTTTCCCTTTCTAGCTCTTCTCTTTCAATTTGTTTCATTTCGTTGGCCTTTTCTCTACGTGAAGTTATCTGTTCAATTTCAAAAGATCAAAACAAATACAGTGTTGGAGGGAGAAAGTAGGTATAAAAACGGAAGGTTTCTGTGAATGAAGATAAAAGTGGGAAGTTAATTATAAGCAGTAAAACAAACGTGTATTTTCAGATTTCAACCTGTGCTTGAATTTCTTCTTCTCGTTCCCTCCGTAGTCTTGCCTCTTCACTCTTCTCTCTTGCTGTCATTCTCTGAGCTTCCTCCAATTCTCGCAGCAGTTGTTCACGACTTTCAATTGACTCCTCTTGGCGGCGTTTATTCTCCTCCATTTTGTCATCCAGTTGTTTTCTGCGAACGTCTAAAACCTGGCAGAGGACAATACAAGCCTCAAAAAAAAGTCTCAAAAACAGATGTATACAACAACGTGTTTTCCTTACTTCAGCCATCAATCTCTCTCGGGCCAGTCTTTCCCGTTCCCACTCTGCTTCTCTCTTGGTCCACATTCGCGCTGCTTCATCTCTACACATCACAAATTTACGATTAATAAAAGATACTTCAACCCTTAAATCCCTGAGGGTGACTAGCATCTAATTTCTCCTTTCAACATCCCCCCTGAATCAAACAAACATTAAGGTCACGTATATAAATGAAATGATCACCAACTAAAGAGGCTCGTAATTAAACTAATTTTCCTTCTCAGTACCTTAGGAAATGTATAGTGAAAAGTATCAGGGCTCGGAAAAACAGGCGGTCAACGGACAATGTCTGGTCCAATAAAGGTTTTATCCACTCAACTCCAAGGAGAGCAGGACATTATGTCCAATACTTTGCACTTTGAATGAATTTTTAATTCCAATCTAAGTTGGGGTTTTAAATATTTTAAAGATTCAAAATTGTTGACGTTCTTAAATAGAAAAAGAAAAAAAGACATATGCACTGTACTAGACCAGTGCACGAACCTTGAATAAATGTTTAAGTACTGATCAAATGATTGATTACCATTGATAACAAATTTTCCTTTCTTATTCATTGATTTGACACTAGTGTATAAAATTAAACATTAGTGTCTAACTTCAGACTTGAGTGTCTAAAAATCAGACTCTAGAGTCTAATATCAGACATTAGTGTCTAAAATCGGACACTAGTGTCTAAACTCGGACATAAATGTCTAAATTGGTCACTAGTTTCTAACATTGGACAGTACTGTCTAAAATCAGACACTTGCGTCTTAAATCCTATACAAATGTCTAAATTCGGACTCTAGTGTCTAAAATTGGACAGTAATGTCCACAATCAGAGACTAGTGTGTAAACTTCATAAAGGATGTTTTCTTTTTACTAATGATGGGTTGATAGAGTGATGGAAGTTGGCTGGATCAACCTCCACCACAAAGAAAAGTTAAACAAATCCATCCCAATCCAGGATTAGTCTTCAAACCTTCTCACAGCTTTTGTGAACTTTATATCAGGGCAAGCCAACGATGGCTACATGTGAGATTGTTATCATTACCTGTAGAGCATGTCCAACTCAGCCTCCCTTTGTTGTTCAAGCTTAAGTTGTTGTTCAACAACCTTTAAAAGAAACAATATAGACACATGTATCTCAAACTTCTGCACATGGAAAACATTTGAAATAAATTTGAAGATCCATTACCTGTCTCATGTATTCTGCATCAGCTCTGGCTTTCTCTCGTCTTGAAGTCTCAACTATTTTGTCTTGATCTTCCTGTTGTTACAAGAATTGAGATGAAAAAAATTAGCTCTCCACTTGCAAGGTTTATTAAATGAGTCTTACCTTCTGATTTCTGGTCAATAAAAATAAATTATACTAACTGAAATCTATTTCATAAAAAAAGCCACTTTGATAAACCAAAAAGATGTCTACCTTCTTAGCCAATGCTTCTAAAATCTTCAAATCCAGCTCCTGCAAAAACCAAGGGTCACATATTTGAATTACACAGAGTCTAGAAATTCATGTTCATGTAGTCATTGAAAAATTCATTTTAAGAGTATAGGACAAACTTTAAAATTTAAACATGAAGATCACTGTTTGTATTGGATAAACCCTCAAATTTCTTGTGAGCAGTCGTTTCTTACCAAGGCCTCTTGTATCTCTTTACTCTTTCTTTTCATCTGTGCTTTATGTTGACGAATCAGGACACGCCTAAAAAATGACCATCAGAACATGATTGAAACATCATCTTTACACATCACACAAAAATGGAAGACTGTGAGGCTAAATCCAGTGCCTTGTTTCCAGTATTTGAAATTTTGAAAATTGAGACTGACAGAGTGCCTGACCTACTAATCAATTGACCACCTGACAAACTGAATTATTGACTGAATGACTGAGCAAAGACCCCAATAACTGACTGACTGATTTAGTCAACTGGCTGACCGTCTGATTAATTGCTTGAATGGCTAACTAACTGAGTGACTGATTCACTCAGTGAATGAATAAGTAGTGGACTGACTGATTGATTTACATACTGATTGACCAAGTTGACTATCAAACTGACTGACCAACCCTACAACTCATTAGTTAACTCACCCAAACTCTCGTTTTCTTCTTGCTTCATCCAGCAGCCTTCGATCTTCCTCCTAGGAACAAACAAGAAGTTGTAGTAATCTTGACCACTTTTAAAGATCATTAAAGATGTTTACAGTGGTAGATCTATCGAATTACACAATCCTCAATCAACCACATGAGCTGGGGGCTGGTAAAATGGACAAAGTAAACAGCCAAAAAATCTGACCATGAAATTCAACTCTCTGTATTTCTTTATTGATTTTAACACCAAACAGTCTCCATAAAAACAATCTAATTAAAACAATCTCACTATGAAAACTTACTGCCTGTTCAAGCCTCCTTTGTGCTTTGAGCAAATCCTCTTGTTCCTGTTTTAGCATTTGAGCCTGCCAATAAACACAATAACATTTACATTGTTATAGGATGTTTGCATACGGTAAAGGAAAGACCAATGATTAATTGAACAAATATTTTTTTCTAGGTAATAATAGGTGAAAGTATTTCTTCTCCACTGAAGGGTTTAATTTAGCAACAAGTACATGTACTTCATCTAATCCTCCTTGCTGTAATTTTAATATTTGGTTTATCAGCTTGATTTGGCCTTATAGATACATTTATTGGCTCAGTGACCTCCTCGAAGTAAAATTAGTCGAGGAAAAAAAGGTCAGTTTAAATCTGTATGCATCAGTCATTCATCTAAAGGGATGATTTCACTCGAAGTAAACTGCGTGGCTGGTCAGGGTTTTTGCAGGGTTTCCATGTTGTCTTTAGAAGTCTTCAAGGAAAAATCTTCCCCCCTTCCTCAGAAAGAAAAAACTGTAGGATGGCTACCCACACTAGACTGAAAATATGACAAAGAGTTCAGTTTACAAACTATACCTCTTCATCTCTAAGTTTAAGTTCTTCCATTTGTTTTCTCAGATCTGCAGCAAGATTTTCTTGTTCTCTACAATTAATAAGTAAGAAAAATTAAACATTATCATGCCTGAAGGAGAAGTGATCAAACAACAGTTATATGGAATTGAAGTGTTTACAAATGCAGAATGGAATGTAGTTCTAGAATGATGGAAGAAAAATCTCTAGCATATGTAGAATTGGGCAACACTAAATAAAAAAGACTTCAGCATTTATTTCTCCTCGTAACTAACATACAAGGAGGGTACAGCTTTTATCTTTTTTTTGTTTCCAGGACACATTGATTTTTACAGGGCTCCAAATTTCCCCTTAAACCCTTTCATTCCCTAGATTTCAAAATCAATTCTCCTTATGGTCTACATACATTTCTTATAACCTAAATTCCAACAACTTTCTTGCTCAAGTTTAGGCAATTTTAGGACTTTCCAAGACCTGAAATCGTTAAATCTTGAAATCTTTAGGACTTTAAAATCCTGGAAAATTGCAGAATAAAATTGCAGGATTTTTCAGGTTTTCCAGGATGGGTACAAACCCTGAAATAAGTGTAAATAGATTTAAGGTTAGCATTATTTTAAAATAAACCTCTTCTTTTCCTCTTCCTTAGCTCTTTCTTTCTCAAGAGCAAGTAGCCTATCTTTTTCCATAACAGCATCCATTCTGTGAAACAATAAGTGGAAACAAAATTAGTACGCATTTTACATGTGAACCTGTTCCTTGGTTGCACTTGAATTTCATGTTTTTGACAGTTTTGAAAATTGCTTAATGATACATGTAACTGAGAATATGTTCTTGCCTCACCTTACCAAAAATACTGTGCACTTTCAAGTAGCTTAAATACTTGGTGACTTGAGTTACTAGTATTAACTTAACACACACCTTCTGTCTTCTTGTCTTGCTGACTTCAAGTTCTAAATTGAAAAAGAGGAGAGCCATTCAATGAGATAAGAAAAGAATGAGACTTTTCAGGAATTTACCTATCCATCACCTGCTTTTAATCTCTATTTCTTTCAAGGCCCATCCAGCTGGATGCTATATGTTCATCCACTGAAATTTTCCTCAGCTCCATTCCTGACAATTACTTTTAAAAAATGTTTTAGTTGGAATAGAAATTCAGGCAAAGTTACATGACAGTCCTTACCTCTTCCCGGTCAGACACTTGACCAGCCCAGCTGTTCACTACATGTTCTCTGAGCTGGTCAGCTTCAATCTACAGCGACGGCGATTGGAAAAGACAATAAATTATCAAATAACCAGGATTTTCAATAGGAAATGAAGCATCAGAAGTACTGTGTAACGTATAATGAGAAGGCCATCAGATTATCACCAGAGAACTACATAACAGGGTATAAAAAAGAGCATGATCATCACTTGATCTTGTGTCTTCAGTACAAGCAGACCATCACCATGTTCAACAGAAAAATATCACAATGGTGCAAGAAGTTGTTGAATTTCCAATTAAAATGATCAGTATTTATTGATTAAATATCTCTGCATTCAACAATCACTATGAATGCTCACCTCTCTAAGTTCTACAGCATTTTGTTTCCAATGATCATACAATTTTTGTTCAGCAATCTGAGAAGAAAGTTCAATCAGTGCATCGTCAAAAATAAATGATACCGCTTGGTTTCTTGAGACCCTCATTCATGCACAGAATACAATAATGGCTAAACATAGCTAAATCAAAAAATAAGTATACATATCTGTACAAAATAATGCAATCAGAAGCAATACCTTGGAGCATTGTGGGGGAACTTCATGCTGTTGAATGATGTCTTGTAAGTGTCATTAATCTGAGTGTATGACTTATCTAATGTGCAAATGTTTATTCCCCAACCCTAACATACACTATCCAAGTTATAATAATGATAAAGCTCATACTTCTTTTCTTCTGGCTTCCTTGTCAGCTTTTAGCTCATCAGCCCTGGGAAGAAAAGTGCACTTCATGAAAATTTAATCCAGTGACAACATAGTAAGCAACTTTAAACAGCAAGACATGTTTACTACAAACATCACAGATGATCAAAGCAAGTTTTCTTTTTTAACATTACAAACCTCTCTTTCATCTGTAACAGTCTACCAGCACCACCAAGTCTTTTTGCCTTAAGCTCTTCCTAGAGATTCAATTAAAAAGCAAATGAAAAGCTCTATTGTGGTTGTTCAATACACAAATGACCTTTAAGATCAAAATCAAAGAGTTGACAGTTTTCCAAGTCTCATGGCAAATGTTCATATTTCTCCTTTCTCTCAAATTGACCACCAACTAGACTCTTAAATACCCTGTGAGTCGAATAATTGATTTGGTTTAAATCTACTTTAAGTCTCAATTACAGAAAACCAAAAAAAAACATTACCTTACAGTCAAATAGTTAAGCTTGTTTTACACCTTACCTCATATTCTTTAGTTTCCTTTAACAACATTTCAGACAGTCTTTTTTTCCTCTCATCTAATCTTTGCTGTTTATCTTGTTTCGTGTTCTCTTTGTATAAACCATCCAGTGCTTGCATGCTGTTAAAAACAAAATATCATTCACTCATGTGGCCCTGGAGAAGACTTAAATCATCCTTGAAAAGTCTGACATTTCATTTAATTCGACGACCACATGAATGACTTGAGATGTTCATCCTAAGGACATTCCTTAAGCAGCGACTAGTGATTGACTGAAAAGTATACCCTTGAAAGAATGTGATACAACACAAAGAATGTGATACTACCCAGGGAATACAAATTTCTCTAACGTATTTATGTAAGCTGGAGTGACTAAGTGTTGAATTATGTTGTGGTAAAGTTGAAATGGCATGAAATGTTACCAAGGAGATTATATAAATATATGACCATGCATGATCGACACATACCAGTTCTCAAAGAACTGGATCTATGAGATAAAGGAAATACAAGGGCAAAGACTGAAGTATGACTGATGAAATAGTCAATCTGGGCAGAAATAAAAAAACAAGGTTCGTATTTCCGCATTCAAGTCATAAAACTTGCAATATCCTTGCAGATCTCACCTGTCTTCGTAAGATTCTCTTGATCCCCACACTCGTTGTTTGGTAGTCTCCACGTTAGATCTATTGAAATATCGTGCGTTATTATCCCAAGCTTCCCTTCTTTCCGCTTCGAATTGTGTTCTCCGAACAAGGAGTCCCTCATTCCTGTTTTTGTAGTTTTTCAGCCAGTACGGTTGTAATGTCGGAAGCGCCATTTTTGTTTTTTTGTTCGTTGTATCAGAGCGAGGCAAAATGTGGCGCAGACGCAGTAAGGGCGATATTATTTATTATAGATATATTTATGCAAAAATTACCATTTCAATGTCAACAGCCGAGATAGCTCAGTTGGGAGAGCGTCAGACTGAAGATCTGAAGGTCCCTGGTTCAAAACCGGAGAGTTCGTATGAACTCTGAACAATCCCGGGTCTCGGCAGTCTTTTTTACTTTTTTTTTTCGTCAGAAATTCGAAATAAACTCAATCAATGACAACACTTGTAACACATAAATTTGGAAAAAACATTTCTACTGTCGTATTACTAGTAAATAAACCAACTTGTGATAACAGCCTACCAAAAAAATTGTTTATTATAATTACAGATCCTGGCTTGGCCTACTACAGTGTACTTCAATAAAACTTGCGTAATTATTGTGAAAATACCATGAGCCATTTCTACACAATATCAGTTACAAATTATACATTTACATTTAAGGGTACCAAAATGTCTTCGTGAACTTCGAGGAAAAGAGAACAGTTAATGAAAGAGGAAGAACTGCGCAAAGTTTTTACTGGATGAGTAATCTAGTGAACGGAGAGATGGAAAATTGAGTCGAGCACTGGTTGAATAAACGAAAAATACCTTTGAAGGAGGAAAGTCAGGTTTTATTTCAAAGTCTTCTTTCTCGAAATTTAAAAAAAAAAAAGAAAGAAAAAGAAAAAACAAGTTGTCACTCTTCCCTCAGCTTGTTTTAAGATATTGGACACGCAGTGATAGTTTCTTCGTAAAAGTCAGTGTAGGCTAGCTCCTTAAGTGGGACGAAAAAGAAGTGTGCCCCTCCCTTCTATTTCACGCTGGCCTCTTTTCGTATCGACATTCTAGTCATGGTATAATTGTGGATACCCGTGGATAGACATATATTTTTACATGAAAACATCTATAGCATACATGATTTTCTCGTTCCGTCAAGAAATCAAGAAAGGGTTTTACAAAAGCTGTTGGCTATTACCTTCAACTTGAGTTGATTCTCCTAAGACATTTTATTGAGGGGTAGTGGGCAATGATTCCTGACTATCCTTCAGATTTATCGAGTAAATCCTTATTTGAGTAAGAGGGTAAGTCATCATCGTTCTCGTCATTATTAAGGTCCTCCCTTGATGCACGCAGAGCCTTCTTAGAGGGTTGGCGCCGCAAGGATCCTGATGAGCTTTGAGCTGAGGAACGTCGACGGCCCTTATTCGATGAGCTCGACGACGGTTGGTCATTAGGCTCCTCTCCTTTTAAGGCGTCCTTAGGACTGAGTCCCCGCGCGGCGTTGAAACAGAAGCAGAATATGATGCAGCACAATAGGGCGAATAAGTTCAGAAAACCGAGAGCCAAACCTACCCCTCCCACCACTTGCAGTTTGTCATCGTAGGCGAAATTTAGTCCCGTACATCCTAATATATTGATGAAATCCATCGGGTTCTTTAAGTCCATATCATTACCACAGGTGGCTGTCGGGAACTTACAGCATGACTTTGGTACCCTGTTGTTCACCCCCTAAGGAAAAAATAGTCACCGACTTTATTGCACACAACTGACACAAATAAGGGGTAGATACAAATCTGGAGCAGCGGGACTCCTGGATGAGAACGAGATTACTTTTCCGATCTAAGAGTATCGGCTCCTCTGCACAAAAGCGCTTTACTGCTTAACACTATCAGAAACATGCGGAAATTGATGGAAAGGATGATACGAGTCTAAACAAAAATCATTCCACACCTCAAAAATCTCGTGCTTACTACCAATTATATTGGCCTATTTATAGGACATATTTCGGACGCATTTAGTAGCCATAATTTAGATGGGAAAATGCCTAGTGCCTCTTGGGATGTGATAGGAAGTTGGCGTATTTCGGGCGTGCACGCTTCATGATTACCTTCAGCTACAATTCCAAAGAGGATAACATGTCCTAAACTTCGTCTTAATACTGGGGTTACATTTTAGCAAAAGACACGTCTAGAAAACAAAAAGCAAATATTTTCACCAACCTGAGCTGCTGCCCATTTTGAAGTAAACCAATCACGATAGTCAACAATTCCACAGCAGGCGTAAGTCTGCTGGATCTGATCGAAGGCCTTGGTGACTTTCTCGTCCTTCCCATACTCGGCCAGCATTTGCTGCCCATTGCTAAGTTTCTTTTTACCAACAATCATTTCATTCTTCAACGTGAAATACACTATTCCCATGATGAACTCGACAAGAAACAAAATGATGAACAAGATGGCCAGTAATGTTAGAAGTCTGTTATTTTCTTTCACTACCGCAAAGACAAACAGCCCAGTAATGAAGAAAAGAAGGATCAGAAGACCAATTCTGAGTCCATAATTCACCGGGAACGCGGCGGCTTTCATCGTAAGGTAGTCTCCGAATGGCGTTGATACGGTGACAGCGAAAATGAGCAGAGAGAGGCCAGTCAAAAAAAAGAGGATGAAAAAACCGACCATGGACCATTTTACAATATCTTTTGTCTCCATGTTACTTTATTGATCTCTCTGATACCTGAGCAAATGAAAAAAAAACGAACATAAGAATAGTAAAAATTAGTTTAAGGTGCTACAGGACACCTCTGATGAAAAATGTATTTTATCAGTGAAGTAACCATAATGGTGTTCAAAAGTATTGCTAATTGTGACTTCTTTGGCTCATATTTAGTTCCAAGGTTGTACAAAATTTTTGCGAAAGGTCGGCTTGCTCTCTGAAAGTACCATTCAATCTTGATTACTGACAAAAGTAGCACGACTCATTCAAAGCCGCATAAGTAACTTAACTGTTGCAATATTTCCGTTACTATAACTGCCTCTTATGTCAAGTGTGTGTAAAATACACTACCCTCTCTATATCAGGACAATGGTCAGGCTTAAAACGATACTCTACAAAAGCCAGTTCAGTTTCATCGATCTCGTGTTTCCAGCCACAACTCGATTGGCTCCCAAACTTTAAACGAACAGAATAGAGGTGAGTTTAATCAATGAAAACCTTAAACAGACACTTTCCTTCTCTGAGTGAACCAAAAAACCAAATAGATTATGTTCTCGTAAGGCAAGCCACACTTCACCCAGTCCGTGAGCCATATCAAGTTAACGCCCATTCCTTTGTATTCCGAGCTCAAAATCGAAAACTAGTTATTTACTTTAAGACCGACGAGAACAGGAATGGATTCAGATCAAAAGATACAGTAAACATTGCAGTAAAATGGACACCTGCCGCGAAGCAGTTTGTTCTTTTACATGGCTACCACTTGGTAGGTCGATGGAAGCTAAATAATTCACCACAACCTTAAAATTTCTCGGCAGTGTTGTTCCCAGCTGAAAATTTGATTTTAAAAGCGATTCGGTGAAGTCATCTGTGATTAAATCGTGATTTTTTCGGTATCAAAACATTAGTTCATTACATTGATTCTTACCTCAAGTTTAAGTCCCTGTCACTCATTCTTGATTCGCGACGAGAACCTTAATCCGTTGGGGAGAAATTCCTTTCCATTTCAAAAATCCCACACAAGAGAACTGAATCTTTTTGACAGCCACAGCAAGACGAAAAACTATTCGTTGTGACATTCGATGTGATGTGATATCAATCCGCCATATTTCTAGAAAATTCATCTAATTTTAATGATAGCTAGAAGTTTCAGACTTGGAAACAGGTTCCAGAAATCTCTTTGTGATCACTCGTGCGTAACATCTGTTTTGAAATCAATTTGTTAAGTAAACAATTCTTGACAATAGTCGTGACCTTAGACTATAAAAAGCTTTTAGCAACAAGCAACGGGTACCGGAGTTTATAACACAAAGTCAAGATTGACTTCTATAAACAACAAAGCAAAGTAGTTCAATTCTTGGGAAGATTTCACAAGCCGTTTACCCTCGTTATTTTTCCAAACATGTTCGAGGTTGATATCATTGATCTTAGGTCAGGGAGTGTAACCAAACAGCCTTGCGCCTTCTGTGATATACTCGACTATATTCGACAGAACTTACAATTTGGAAGTTCCGTGCAAAGATGGCCTTTCCCGCTGATTTTCGTGCAGCAATAGTTAAACATTCATAAAGATGAAATATGAAATGTCACTATACAAAGTTGATGTTCAAAACTTCAAATTCATTGCTCAGGCTCGGATCATATTTGTATAAAGCACCCAACATTTTTGGTTAGCAATATACAATTTCATAGAAAAGAAAAGAAAAAGCCAGACAAAACAGAAAAAAGCGCTTTCTCCCACGCTCAAAGTAGTTCACCGATTTTAACTTTGAGCTCATGTTGGCTGATGATGTTAAACCTCATTCTGACTGGTCGACGTGATTACTGCTTTGGGCTTTTCGACACTAAAAAGGAAGACTACCCGATTCCACAGCTACAAAAGTAATTGACCGACAGGTTTGCGGGATTTTTAGCTCGTAATATTTTTGTCCCAGGTTTTCCTCAACCATGGTAGAGGACATCTAGTCTCACTGGAAGTTATAAGTCAGACCTGGCTCTGAAATGAAGGTTCTACAATTTTACCTTTCATAGAAAATTGACTAATACTTTTTCGAGAGAAGTGGAAAGTCCCCCCCCCCCCGCCAACCGCCGGGGGGGACACGAACCATCATACGCAGATGTTATAAAATCCTGATTTTATTCCAATTTGGTAACACACGACCGGTCATTGTGACAAGTGGAGAGTATAAATAACAAAAAAAACTCTAAAGATTCCCCGACGATTGGTTTTTGCACGTCAGTAACTTGACGCTTTATTACAACTGTTGATAGTCAGCGCGTGCTTGAGTAAAAAGGGGAATGAAAAAATAAATCTATTTACAATTCAGCGGTGTAAGACAATGTGCTTTGTTCGAGTACTAAATTCCCAAATTACCCATCTGGTTCCCAGAGCCACGCTAACCACTTCGAGAACTGTTTATCTCAGGTTGAGTCGAAACTCGTTTTCTTCTGTCGATTTTCTAATGTTTTTTGTTGTTGTTGTTGTTGTTGTTGTTTTTTTACCAGCCGACCAAGTAACAAGAATTATCCATTTCTCATAAAGCCTTGTAATTCCTGTACAGGCCAGGAGGTTCGCAGCTTTAAGGAAGTGAGTAGAGTCATTAAAACTGAGAAAAATTATACGCGGTACGACTGCAGTTGCGCCCATTGTTTCGTTTTTTCATTGTGAACGACCTGACAACTTTTCCTTTAAAAGGGGAAAAGCTGGTGCGAACGTCACATTCGTAAATGTCACCCAAGAGGGAGAGGGTGAGGGTGAACAGACTGACGCCTGACCGCTGACAGAGTTGACACGGGTGGAATCCACCAAGATATATTCACAGGACGGTTCAGCTTGCCACAGGAAGCGATCAAATCCTCCAAACTTGGTACATGATAAAGTTGCTGAGAGGGAAGGAATCCAAGCTGCTACAGTGCTCTGGAAATTGCCCAAGGACAAGCAACGACAGAGGCGAACAACTGTCGTTTTGTGCAATCTATCTTTTCCAAAAGGCTTTGGCTATGATAGAAGGATCTCGTTCATGTCTGCCCGCTTCCTTCATTACTTTCACTGATTTTTCTCATGAGGGTGGCAGGTAGAAGAGTGAACCTCATGTCAGATGGCAAAGGCAAACCAACGTCTAAATGAAGGAGTAAGGCCTCCAACCACTTCTCCAGGTCACAAAACTCGGGTCTGTTAGAGGAGGACAAAAGTACTTCAGTCAAACGCAAACATATCGTGGCCACCCACTAAAGTCTAGGCAATCTCAGAGTCAAAAACCGCACATAGAATTTGTTTGACTTCTCTGCTTCCCAGAAAGCGTATTGCTGTTTTGATCACAAAAGACCCAAAGTGCTTCAAGCGAGGGAAACCCAAGACTCGAGGCAAAAAACGTGTACAAAAAACCAAGTTACCACTGTCGTTAATTATTTTCCGCTTTGGTTAAAGAAACAATATCTTTGCTTGGATTAATTAGAGTAAAATTCAAGACTTTTTCTCATAACCAAAGAGCCTAGAGCCGAAAGAAATCTCCTCAATATCCTTGGCAAACTATCCAACATATTATGGCATAAAAGCTGTAATATAACGAACTGATTCAATCAGTGGTTTGATAAACATCAGAAGAAATGTCACCGGGTAGTTCGCCATAAAAATGATTTTATAGCTTAATGTTCTGAACCCTGTTGTCATTTGCTACACAAATAATTTGTGTGTACGTACTTTGAATCTGTAATTCCAAGCAAGGAAACCTTTCTTTTACCTCTTATCTGAGTCCAGATCACAGCAAAGGAAAGCTATTTTGTAAAATAACTCGGGACATCCCTCACAAAACTCTTTACGGAATTTCTCCTCATCAATTCCAAAATTCTGTGGACACAAAAGCGAGAACGATTAATACGTGACCGAATTTTTTAAGAAAGCAATGACACTGATGGAGTTGATAGTTCTCTACATTTCCCGCAACCCTATCACGCAAAATCTTTCTTTCGCTTCAACTCTAGGAACCAATTGTTTATTTCCCCATGAAATGCAGCGAAAAGGACGTTGAAGTTATACCAATATATCCACAGCTTATAACTTTGTCTATTTTCAGCACCTTTGTACCGAAACTTGTTATGAAATTTGGAGAAGATCTGTACAGATCACTTCGAGGATCAAACAATTAATTTATGAACTCCTAGCGCTTTTTTAGGTGTAAATAGAAGACAAGATTTACCCAGGCATAGTCAAACTAAAGCAACTAGAATTATGAAGTTAAGGAGTATAAGAAAATTCTTACTGATAATCGAGGGAGGAAGTCTGGATCAGCCTTTACTCGGCCAATTATCTGAAACAAAAAAGGAAGGAGGTGATAGTGGAGCCTCCAGAACGTGTAAATATGGAGATTGACTTTAAACAGGAATGACATGAAATGACAAAGCAAATTGATCCATGGAGGTAAAAATCATACCTCGCATGTTAAAACCCCAAATGAGAAAACGTCGACCTTTTCATTGTACGTCATTCCTAAAAAGATAAATGAAACAGATGATGAAAAAGGCGCTACGTAACAAGCAAGGCAGCACTCGACCCAAGACGTCCAACTTGCCAGAGCACAATTCCACAATCCCTTGCCAGAGCCCTAACTCCCTCCCCCTTCCAGCGAGGTGCGGGTAACCCAGCAATTTCAGTGAGGCAATCGTTTTCTCACCCCCATCCTGGCATTTCGTAAGGTTTTTCTGACAACCTACCAATGTCCATTTATACTCCTGGGTTGAGAGAGGCATTGTGTAGGTACAGCATACTGCTTACTTATACACTTAACTCACTGACTAAGCCAGAGCTTGAACCCAGACCTTTCGATCAAAAGCTCAGCGTACTAATCACAAGCCACCGCGTCTCAAACAAAAAGTGAAGCCCAACCGTTTTTGCTCGAGCAAATTAAAGTAAAAAGTCAACTTACCCAACATCATTTCTGGCGCCATCCAATACGGGGAACCCACCACAGTGTACCTAAGAAACAACACTGATTTACTACGTTATAGTTAGATTCCGGAAGTAAATATAATAGTTAGCATTCCGAATTAAGAATCATTTTCTTTAGATAAGAACCATCACAAAAGCATCACACCTTTTCTTTGGAGGAGGCGGCTTGTTGCCGGTAGGGCTTCGTGTTTTTCGTCCTGAAGAGGGAGTTATGGTCGATGATATCTGATCAAGAGGCGATAAGGGTTTGTCTCTGACCACACGAGCCAAGCCAAAGTCGGCCACAACCACTGACATATCGCCTGACTCCTGCACATGATGAAAGAAGGAGGATTGTAGTAAAACTAATACATGGAAACTTGTGCAAACTCGATCTGAGTAACTGCTAAACACAACTAAAAAAGTGGGCCTTAAAGCTGCTCTAATAATATGTTCGTTTGAGAGAAAAGGGATAGTTTGGTTGTGTGACTCCCGTGAACGCTATGTATCGAAAGCAATCCCCGTTGTTATTTCTTTATCACGTTTTGTGATTGGTCCAGAAAAATCGCGCTACCCTCTCAACCAATCAGATGCAAAATAAAATCGTTTTGCACGCTTCAAACAGTTCGCATTTCATCACTGTGATTTTTTATTGGCTTTTGCTTTCTTTTGATTTGCCGCCGTAATATCTTTAGTTTAGGTTTTACGATACTCCTTCTGAGTGCGCTCCTGATGGTCCTTGGTCCTTCCTCGATGCAATCAGCGTAATTGTTTTCCTCAGCCAATCGCAAACTTCCTAATATTTCCAACACATGATTCCGGTTGCAGAGTTACTACGTTATGTCTGAGCTGGTGACACAGCTTTGGTTTTCGTTTAAAATATTGCATTCATATGGATAGGAAAATAGGAACAAAAAAATCTCCTTTACAAACAAATCATCAAAACAGCCAATTTACCTCGTCCGTTTCAACCAGGCAATTCTTTGAGGTTAAATCTCTGTGCATGACGTTCATTGAATGGAGGTAAGCCTGGCAAAAGGATTGAAATAAAGGAGCTAACAAAAACATTTCACCATAAATAAAAACAAATGAACTGAAAAAATGAATTATTCTCACGACCCTTAGTAAAAGTACACCATTGAGTACAATCTCCTGAGAGTAATAAAGGTAAAGTCTTCCAAACTTTACATTTGCACATGTAAATTAGAATCTGCTTTAATTAAAAGGGTTTATATGTTCTAGCGCATGATCTGAAAGCCTGTTCTCCCTTGATTGACAAGCAAGCATTTCTTCCTTGACTAGTTGTGGTACTTTGGCATTAAATCACCTTTTTAAATTCTCATTACTAAACTTCTAGACAAAGTATCAGGATATTAGCATTACAGTTCATAAATCAGAACCTTCTCCAACTCACCATTCCAGCTGCTATATCTTTGGCAAATCTAATCCTCTGCAACCATGGCAATTGTTTACCCTACAAGGAAACCAAACCTCTGAAATAAGTTTGAGCACAAATTAATACCATCACAAATAGAGGTTTAAACACCTGAGTTCAGTCAATACAAAACTGGACCATGTGGAAATGAGAACATAAGCACATAAAAATTCTCACAATAAATCACAAGGTCCACACATATCTTACAAGTAAGTTCCACCTTTCTTCCTAAAGTCAGTAGAAAAAATAACAAAATTTCATACCTTATCCTTTAGAACTTGGCGCACTGTACCACCACCAATATACTCTGCAAAACATCAATGTTTTAATCAACAAAGACCTTATCAACTCCTCCTGACTTTCCTTACATTATAAATGTATTTAGCAAAGGGCTTACCAGTAATCAAGTTCAAGGTCTGGTCTCTGTACAAAATGCCTATGAACCTCAGTACATTAGGATGATTCAAACTCTTTAGCAAAGCAACCTGAAAAAGATTCAAACTATTATTTTAGGAGCTAACAGACTAGCCTCTCTTTGGTACACCCCCTCTCTAAAAAGGCCCCTCTCTAAACGCCCCCTTTCTAAAAAGCCCTCTCTTTACAAAGTTTCTTCTCTCAGAAGCCCCCTTCACAATGTCTTCTTTCTGACAAGCCCCCCTCTAGCACCCTCCCCTTATCACCTTAAATGGGTTTCCTATGGTTTTGAAGAGGGCAGCTGTTGCTGAAAATTTGATGGCATTGGGCTCCAAGTTTCTGGGTAGTCCTATATATACTGTGCCTGCTAAAAGCACTTGTCCAACCAAGCTTTATAAAGAAAATGTAACTTACCTCCTTCAAGAAGCTCACTTTAGCTGTTTCATCATAATTTAGAAGCTCCTTCATCACCATTACCTCTCCACTCTGTCTCTGTGTCACCTTGGAAAAAAAAACAAAGGCACAATTACTATGCATCCATGAAAGAATGTACTAGATAAGGTCTTAATTTAAGAAAAATATGTATGACATCCTGACTGAACTTTACGTTTGATTGTGAGAGAGTAATCCTGAAAAAGACTGTTTTGGAAATAGCAACTGACATTTCGACCAGCCAAGCAGAAGCCATTATCTGAGTCAGGTTAACTGAATGAAGAGTTGACTCAATGACTCATCAAGGTCATCATTGAGATCCTTCTGGTTGTTGCAATGTCAGTCACTGTAATAGACACTGATCCCTTTTGGAACTGCCTTTCTTCAGACAATCACACAACTGTTCAGATCAATTATTACTCCTGAGATAAAGTCACTTGCTGCATACCTTCCTCACTTGTCCAAAAAAGCCTTTTCCAATCACATCTCCAAGGACCAGATCACAGGGCCTGAAGACCCTTTATAAGAAGTCAGTTATATAGCATTAATTTCCTTTAGATCTCTATGTAACACGTCTGTCATACTGAAAGTTACACACTGAGTTCTGTAACTTACACTACCCCCTGACTATGTATTTGATGGGTTTGAGAAATGATTTTTAATAATTTTGATTTTCTCAATATGACTGATGAGTCAAAAGCAGTCAGTCGTAGGAAAACAAGACAATTAATCCTTTCACTTGCTCATGAAACTTAAGAACAATTTCTGGAAAAAAAAAACATTTAAATAAGCAAGTCATGCAATAGAGTTAAGCCCGCAAGACATAAAAAAGGGAAGTGCTTTGGACTACAGTTGAAAATTGAAAATTTTCAAGGAGTTAAGCTACAAAGCATTTTGACTAAACCACAAATTGAAGTCAAATGTACCTAATGTAACCAGCAAAACCTGAATTGGGCTGAAAGTTTTTTTGAGGAAATTTTGGCAAATAAATAAAGAGATAAATGAACACAACATTGCTGAGTATTACCTGTTGGCAGCAGTCTCTGACTTGAATGACTGAGCTCTGTGAATTGCCGATCGTAACTTGAAATTGTCAGACAATGAATTACTATTGAAAAAAAAAAAACCAAGGAAAGAAATTAGACACCAAAAAATTATCAAGGGCTTGTCCAGATCAAGAGAAAAATAAACCACCAAAATTTGCTCAGAGGTACAAAAATGCACAACCAAGCTGAGCATCCACCCTTGAACTTGCAAGAGATTTAAAAGAGGCTTATTCAGCTGAAAAAGATGTGGTTAAAATATAAAAGTTCATTTTAAAGCTTAAAGAAGTTATCTTGTCATCATTAAATTTTTGTGACTAGCTCTCAGGGAAAACCAGACCAAAGAATTACCTTCTTGGAAGTGAATTTGATCGCATAGCAGGCTTTGTTATCTTCTTTCCACTAGCATCTTTCAAAGAATCTCCCTCCCCATTGATGAGTGGGGGGTTTTCTGAGGATGCTGATGTTTGACAACGTCGTAGTTCCCTTCTGGAGAATAGAGATATTGACCTGTTACGAAAGCTTTTATCTTCTGCAGTTGCCCCAGATTCACCATCAGAATCAACACTGAGTAGTCTGCACTGTTTGGGTTTCAGGTCAAGTCCACTTGCATTTCGTTCAAGGGTAATTTCAGTGATCTCATTTGACTGGGACGTCAGGAGAGAAGCAACCTACAGGGGTTAAAAAAGAAATTGCATCTTAAGTTTTTCAAATATGATTGACATTTGTTTCCTGTTTACAGCCTAGAGTTGAACTTGTGTTCAGCCAAAACCCAAACAACTCTTGCCAGCATTAAATGACACAGGATATCCAACTGAAAAACCATAAGAAGCTTAATTTTTCTAAGTCTGTTACAACCATACACTTCATTCAGGCTACTTCTTTAATAAGTCATTCTCAGCCCCCTTCTTCTTTGCAAATATAAGGAATTCTCTTGTTGTATATCCAGTGTAACACATATCCTTAGTGCAAAGTTTCTCTACAACAGGTTTCACAATATCTTAAAAGCAAATAGCTAATTCTAAACCACCTCAGATTTTGCCTGGTTATCTAAACATTTCCCAATTGACCTCACTCACTGCTCACTAGATCAATTACCAGTTCTTTGTTTACCTTATCAAAAGTAGAAGGAGACACAAAAACTTTGTTGACCTCCAGTACCACATCTCCAACCATGACATTTAATGTATCACAGCTCAGTGACTTTTTGGTTGTTTTAAACCTTGTGGTGATAAAACATTTCTAATTTCATATATTAAAGTACAGGTAAGACTACCAAGTACAAGTATTTCAGGACAATCATAGGATTATTATGTTCTCTCTGTTTACCTGTTCAAAATATAAATAGACTTAAAAAATATATTTGACATTCATCCAGTTGTTTACATTTTCTTCAATACAGGTTTAAGCCTCTCAAAAAGTTCACTTTCAACATAATTTTCAATTTTGTACCATTGTGCATACCAAATTTAAAGTAAATTTCAGAGAGAAATTAATAAACAAAACGTACCAAATATTTTAAACCTCCATAATCTGTTTCAAAATTTGTAAATGCCACATGGGTATTAAAATAGTAGACAAGTTAAATACCATAAAAAGTTTTATACTTTGCACCCAAAAAAGATATTTGAGATTACACACAGGTAGATAATTTATTTGTATAAATCAACAAGCTATATTGAAGCAGAAAAGTTGTGTGACAAAATAAGAATACCCTTTGATAACGAGAGACATCTCAGGTTCTTTCTCCAAACTTCTAGATTTTATAGACCTCTTTCTTTCCCTCTTCACAATTTCTACTTCAATTTTATACTTGCTCAAAGCTCCAGGAGTCAGATTTAAGTGATAAACAGCATTTAAAGAAGGATTCCACCAAGACTCTTCTTTTCCTTTCGTGAAACATGTACAGCTAGGGTTAAAAGTATTTCAAATATGGTAAGAAAAAATGTTTGGATTATTGTTGCACTGTAATACAATTATCAAAAGGTACATGAAATTGTTTTTTGTCTCTCAGGGTGAAACTAAGGGAGGCTTCCAAATAATACCCCATACCTGTGTTTTTTAGTAAACTTTTTGTTTATTAGAGGAAGGAGAGAAGAGGAGAGCTAAATAGAGCATTAGTTATGGGTAGATACTTGTATAGAGAATGATCTTTGAGTCACTTTTCATGTACTCCAATATTTGCAATTTTACTTTACAACTACACAGACTAAATCGCATGAAACATAATACCATGTCAATCTATGTTGTTCAAGAAGGACGTAATCATCTTCTTCTCCCAAAAATTGTTGACAGTTTCCACATGAGAAACATTCAGTGTGGAATTTATGATCAGCTACAACCTGATTGAGAAAATTTAGAAGAAACATATTCAATACAAGAGATTTGTTCTATCTTTCCATATGTGTAACTACATGTTCATGTATTCAACTTCTGAGTACCATAGACTTGGTGGCACTTGCTGTAAGAGGTAATAGTACACCTTGATGGAGATTGCAAATCACCAACTTGAAAGATTTTGGTTTAATATACCAAGTTTTCAATCTTTAGTGCTGCCCTTTCAGTTATCAGTAATTAAATGACTGATTTCTGTTCACTAACCAATACTGATATTAACAAAAAGATGCAAATTACATAATTTTGTACACATTAAATTCTACTGGCTAGTTACAGAAATCCTGTTCTACACCAAAATCTTTTTTATAACTCAGCAGGTGAAGAAGTTATAACTTCCTGTTGTTGTTATAAAAAATGTATATTAATTGAAATTAGGGAAAGTTCCTGAAAACTGAAATGCCACAATCTGTAGCATTCCTGGACAAAATGAAAATTTGATGTACATTCACTCTATGATGCGGAAAATTATAAAGATTAAGAAGAGTTAAATCGGTAAATTAAGAAATATACCAAACATTAGCGATAAATTGCGATGGAAAGAGTTGGATCAGTGAATGAAGCTCAAATGAAATATTCGCCCCTCTACAACGAAGAAAACTATTGCCGATGAATGGTTTACAAAATAATTAAAACCACAAAAGCAGTATCAGATTTACACTTAATTGAGCAGACTTAAGTAACAACACGAATTAAATGTAACACGATAGATTATGGCACACACCACTACAAGTCCACTAATTTTTTGCTCGCAGACGTGACACTTAGATCGGAATTTTTCCGTGTAGTCCTTTTTGCAGTAAAGCGTCTTTCCACGGGCATAGTACGTCGACGAAAGTTGCCGTTTACACTCTGAACACCTAAAGAAAGATTGTGTTAGGGAAAAGGCATCCGGAAATAAAGGAATTCAGTTTTCCGACGAAAGAAAACTTACTTGAAGCAATTGCGGTGCCAGTTGCTGCATAACGCTTGTATGGGTGTATCATCCTTCTGTAGCAGACTACTACAACTTACGCACACTGCGTCTTCCATGCGAAGCAGAATGAAATATATAGGGCAGACTCAAGAGAAGAGTAAATGCGTCATTGTATAATATTGTCTACCCAGTCATTTTTTTTCCCAACGTATTTATATCCTTGGTTGCCCCCTACATTTTGTCGACGGGTGATATTTTCCGCACTTCAATCAGCAGCCTGGCCTTAAATCAGCGGCCTGGTTGCTGGGCATTCCTCGATCACCACGGAATCCCAGGAACTATGAACAAGAGAAAAACTGAAAACAACAACCACTCAGCTGAGTATCAGAAGTTTTATAAATAGCGAAGATGAAAATAGGGCTATTTATAATGATGACTGCTTTGAATCGGAAAACTCGTGGTAGCGATGGGGAAGGAAACGGTAATCATGAACCTGGAACAATTAAAGTTGGACTAAGGGACGGGGATCAAGTTATTCGTGAAGATCAGCTGTAGCGTGCGGGTACAGCTGCACTTTCCACTCAAAATCAAGAAGAACATGCAAGTATGAAAATGTTATTTTTTCGCAGATATGACAGTTGCCGAGTGCTCTATTTTAATTGCCTTCTCGAGTCCGATCTTCGTTCCTCCGCTCAGTTCCCAGACAGTGGCTTATTATAATGCCTAAGCCCGCAAAGAAAGCAAGTTAAGGGGATCCGTTTTTGCGAAAAGCTCAACACACTCGTCACAGGGGTTTGTTTCTCGTCGGAACCGATCTTTATTCAGATAAATTAGGTACAAAGTGTCATATTGGAAGGCCAAACATGAAAGGGATAGAATATAATTTTCAGTCGGTTTACCATCGGATTGGCGCCAAAAGAAAAACGCCACTTTATGCGTAAAAAGCTGGTATTGGCGAAAAAAAAATGAAAATGCTCATAAAAAAATTTGCTTCCTAATGTGAAGGGAATATTTCTTCAACGTCAACTGTGACAAAAGGAATGAATAAGTAACTGACCCAAACTCAATCTCCTGGGACTGATGGTTGGCCCCTCAATGAAATCTGAAAAGTCACAGCGAAACTGGAATAGCCGTAAACTGCAAAATGATTTATGAGAACAGAAGCATCCCCACAAGTACGGTCATCCTCCCACCCCGGACAAATGCGTTCCTGGTAAAGTTCAAAACTATTTATAGCGAGGGATCGAAGGATATTCCGGGGGAGGTGCACCTTGGTTCATTTTCTGCGTCGTCACTCCAGAGGGCTCCACAACAACAACTGTAGTCGCCTGATAAAAACAAAAAAAACAAACATCAGAGAAAAAATTATCAAATTCGTCTGTTGACAGAGAACGACGTTATACAAAGAGCTTTCGTAACCAACGGTCATAGAATGTCAAAGAAGCCGTTCTTGAAATGTCACGCAATGTAAATCCTACTCCAGTCCTCACCACAAAAAGTTTCTCTTTTGAATGAGTGAGGAGGGGAGGGGGGTGGTTATGGGGGGAGGGGGGGGTTTGACATCCCAAGAAACAACTGTACAACTGTCTAGGAAACATGTCACTCACGACTTGTCCAGTGCAACAGACTCCCATGCAACCAATGATAGAACCACCCAGCGCAAGGAGGGCTCCGATGCCGTCCAACACGAAGATAGCAAACATACAGCGCTGGGCTACTGTTACTTTGTCGCAGTCATCCACTGAAAATTGAATTGCAAGAATGGTAGAATAAGGTTAATCAGTTATTTCAATACATTTACCATTGCATATAGGGTCTGATGTATTTTATTTTTTAATAACAGCACTGGCCATAAAAGGAGCCGTAATGTCCGTCGACATACTAGCTCGTCGAAGTGTTGTTTGCTGTAACGTCAACCTTTCAATTTGGTTGGCTTATTGGCTCTTCGCTTAAATAGTGTCAAAAGTTTTTGAGTATTTCTCTTCGATGCGCAAATTTCTCTCAAGATGGAAGAAATAAGCAAAAAAAAATCATTTGGGTTAATGAACAAAATATTAAATTGAGAAGGCTACACCTTACAGTATGCAGCGAGGAAGGCGTAGATTCAGATCAGATAAAAGCGATCGATTTGAAAACTTCACGTTATACTTGTTGCTCAAATTGAAATTACATGAAACCTATTTTGTACATCCTCCACTCACAGGAAGCCACCCTAGGGCAACCTCCCTAAAAAAGACGCGAATGCTCGTCGGACATTATGTATTAGAAGCTTACTGTTCATTGGGACATCATATTCTCCACTGCAGTGGCATGTTCCCTCCGCATTCAAGCTGCAGTGTTCTTCCATCAACCCTTTTAGAATGGTGAGTAAGGTAAGAAGCCCAAATGAGACTCCGGTCCCAGCCGCACACACAACAAACCACAGGATGTCTAGGACAAGGAAGAACGCCATCTGCAAAAAGTAACGAGTAACACATAACTCCCTCTTTCTTTCCACAGCGATTATCAGAGAACTTATTGCTTGTATTAACTCTCAGCAGTATCATTTATTTGCCCGTGATCGCCCCATTTTATTTTTAAATGGCATCTCAGCGTGAAGAAAAAGCCAGATTCATCAGCCAATCAAATTGCATAGGGACAGTATATCATGTAAGCTCCCGTCAAATGTTTCGATGCCAAGGTAAAGAAGATTGAAAGAACCCTTAAAGTTGTTCAAAGTTGTAAGACTGGTTAATCCAACGTCATTGAAAACCTTGTGGTTTTTTTAGTTTCTTTTTTTTTCCCAGGAAAATTTCTCTTTGATATAGGGTCTCTTGTAACTGTTTCAGACAAATTGTAATCCTTCCCCGACCACAGAACATTTGCATTAAAACGATTCTCCGCACTTTTTTTTTTCAGCTAAACACTCACTCAAAACAGAGAAAAGGAAAACAGCAAACATGACAGAGATCAAGACTATGTTATAAACTGAGCTCAGTTTATAACCTCTTCATAAGATAAAATAAAGAAAAATTTCGAAGCGGCTTCAATAAGCAGGTTTTTTCCTGTTGCATCTCTGAACGGTAAATAAGTTTTTTTTTAATCTACTCTAAATCACTCACAGCTGTTTTGCTTCTTCTCAGCCACGTTAGGAGACCAAACACTGCACAAAGTAGTAACTGAACAAAAGAGAAAAATATGTCAATACAGCTTCACTAATAATGTTATGTGAGTTGAAATGGTGACGTTGCGGCAAAGTATAATAGAACTAACTGAGCTACGTTAAACATAAATTCGTTGAACTGAACGTAGAATTACATAAGCAGTAACTGTATATTTTTGATATTTTTCTCGTATGGTTCAAAATAGACGAGAATTCTTTATGTAACCAACGTTTTCCGTTGTAGTTTTCCTGAGAAAAGTTTTCACACGGTCTTTAACATGGCAAAATTTAGGAAAATGTATTGAGAGACTAGCTACTTCTTAACTTTATTTCAGCCCTGCCACCCCCTCTGATCAATGAAAGTTGGGATGAATGTACATTTAACTCTTTGTATGAACAATTTTAGATTAAAAAACATCATTATTGGGGTTAACTGGCGTCCAGTATTGAAAACGTAAAGCAGATTCAAACCGTTATTTTTGTTTACCAATTTCAATTGACGTTTTACAATTCCTTTTTATTTGATAATCAAGACACACATGAATAGATGCCATACCCCGAATCCTGTCCAAAGTCCAGATCCATGTATCCCTCCTATCAAAGCATAAATCGCTCCACATATCATGTCGGCGACTGCGGTAATTAAAATGAAAATTGACATGACGCCAGCAGCCATCGCCTTGCCACGCTCGACAAGATCAGTCATTTTCGCTCTCAAGAAATAATCGTCAAGTTGTGAGCTTAGCAACGAAAGCACAAAACGTCAGGAGAACTGTGAATCTAAGGAAAATGATTCACGTTCACAACTGATGAAAAACAGTTAGCGCGAAAGTTAATAAACTTTCTGTGAGCTGTGGCAGACTGCCTCACAATTCTTGACCACAGTGTTGACCACAGGATCCCAGGCTCTCTAGTGGCCGTAGATGTACTGTCAGTAAATAAAATTTACAAACGCCAAAGTGTGTCATTTTGAAAATAATCCTGATAAGAATGACGTACTTGCTTGCGTCTTGCTGTAAGGCTCGCTTCTGCAACTGCTTTGAAACCGTTTGGCTTCTTAAATGATACTTCAAATCAAACGGTCTTCACACTACCTGGGTTACCTGTGTCTTTGCTTTGGCGCCCTTTTTTAAGGGTTAAAATATCTCTGTGAGGAAAAAAGTAGGGGGGAATGTCTGTGTGGCGAGAGAATATATCGCTTTTAACGAACTCTTTCAAAATGCACTTTTTAAAATAGACAGAGAAATAAGCGGGGAGAGAGTTTATATTGGGTAGTTGCGAAAAGATTATCTTGCACCTGACTTCTTAAACAACAACCGTACATGTTTCTGATGTTTTGAGACCAGAGTAGTACGAGAGAAACGCTGTAGGCAATCATAAAGCTTAATACTCGTGGAATCTTCCAATACTTCATGGCAATCAAATAATTCGATCTTTTTTCTCACAACACGATTTAGATATACAGCTGTCGTTCGGTTAGGCGGGAGACTGCGGCGTTATCCAATGAAGTCAAACACTTACAAAGCGTTGGTTGTAGACAAGTAAGAGAAGTTCTTTATTGAACATAATTCACACCTTTTTACAACGTTCGGGATGTCATGATCCTTTAAACTCAAAAGACCCAAACTTCTTTTTGTCTGAGAGACAGCAAAAGACTCATAACGTTGACTAGTTGGCTTGTAATCTCTTAAGCCTTCACACAGATGCAAACTCCTAAAATGTGCAGGTGATACAAGCCTCGCAAAGAAACTCGTTCCCAAGGCCATCGCTCTACCTCCCTGGAGGAAGGAAGAGAGAGAGGGCCCTGAGGCAGAAGTTGTAAAACTGAGCACCGAGACAAACACGAAAACTGCAGCCGTCGTCCATTGTCAAAGCGCGCTGGCCAACTGACTTTCGCTGTGTTCAGAATGGCTGTACATCAAATACACTGAACTGTAGGTAACTATAAGTATGATATATGTTAAAATTTAAGCAGCGAAATTTTTTGTAATTTGTGCATTGAACTTTTAAGTGCATTGTATTTCCCCTCTCCTGTCTCCTTTCCTTTTCTTTCTCCGCTAGCGGAGACAAGATCACTTAGTAACCTGGCTTTTCAGGGTATTCTGGTGGAGCTTGACCTTGTTGTTGAGTCGTCATCACCACAGCAGGCTGTTGCACCACAACTACGTTGGTTTCCTGGTTAAATAAAAATGTTATGAATTCGGATAAGTACAAATGGGTGCTCTAGTTTTCCGGCCAGGTGAAACGAGATTCGAACAGGTAGACAAGACCACTTCAGGACTAGCCCACGGATTTTTCCACCGGGAAAAATCAAACTCTCGGGAAGTTACTACCTGGTGTTACCCATACAGGTAAGTGCCACCAAACAGATTATGGTTTTCTTATGTATTATGCCGTGTACTAGCATGGTTAAGTGCTTTGGTCAGAAAAAAGTTTGAAAGTCAACAAAAAGTTACAAGGGTAACTTATCAACGTCCCGTAACTAGAGTGATTTCGTAGTTTTTCTATCACTTTGATGATATTTTAGGTTTCTCTGAATCATCTTGACAAAGATTGAAACCGAGAGATACTAGACTTCCATGACTAGACTTCCGAGCTAACATTACATTTACTAACATAACACCACATTACATGAGATTTTGGTATCCTATTAAATGAAACCGCAAAAGTAAGACGAAATTAAACTCAGGTCTATTGAAGTTTTAATATTTAATAACTAAGCTGCGTGACTTACAGATTTGGCGCAGCAGGTTCCCATACAGCCAATGATAGAGGCAGCAAGAAGCAAAATGGCTCCGATGATGTTAACGAACGTCATGCAGGCAAAACAGCTTTCAATTGTATTGATGTGACTGCATTTGTCAACTGTTGACGAAGAAAGTAGACAGTTAGAGCACAAAAGTTTATAATGGCCACCACGCATGCCTTAGTGAGCATGTGTTGTTTACGTAAATGCTGTTTCATTAATTTCAGACCCAAAAATGTCTTGACGAAATTGAGAAAACAAGGCCAGAACACTTTTCGAGATTGGAAAAGTACAAGCGAACTTTGATACTAAGACTTGCGAGCAACTGCTAATCACAGATGGAAGCAATTTTTTTTCATATGTGCTGAGTCGCCTCTGTTAATGTAGCTCCATCACGCCTATGATCCACGGGTCGATTCTCTAGTCCTCCCTTTGTCTCATCAATTCCCAGGTTTTTTCAGCTTTCAGAAATTGCCGTTACATCCAAGCATTAATAAAATTCTGTGTTCTTCAAACATTTTCTTGAAAACTTGCTAAAAGAGTCATGTGCTTGAAGTGGGGTGCCTTGGCAGCTAATGATAGCTGTAAGAGTTGTCGCTCAATACCAAGAGCATTTTAGAGTTTTCGTTTTACCGACCTGGGATTGGAACCTTCTTCTCAGCATGGCAAACGCACTGGTCTCCTTCTTGTGCGCATTCTGACTCCACCACCTTTCGGATTATGTGCCAGATAAGCCAGGCAATCAGACAGATAATCACGAAAACAATGGTCACAATTTGCATTAGAATGCTCAGTACCAGGTAACCGATGAACTGAAATTAAAGAGCAAATTCATCAGTGACTTTCCTGAAAGGACTTAGAGCATATTTTTCCCTGGGAAAGTAAAGACATTGGCACACCCAGCAACGTGAGGGAAATAGGGAGTGAAGCGGGGAGGGGTGGGGGAAATAGGGAGTGAAGCGGGGAGGGGTGGGGGAAATAGTGAGTGAAGCGGGAGGGGGTGGGGGAATAGGGAATAAAGGGGTAGAGGTTGCATTTACAACACTCTCTCCTGACCTTTCCCAGAAAAGATTGCCTTAGCAGAAATGAAAACACTCTTCGCTGCTCATAATTACAAACTTCGTTTTCACCGTTGAAAACCGAAGAAAAAGATCTCGACAATGTAGTCTTATAATCCACAACTAAATCAGTGGATTAATAAAAAAAAAGAATATTAGTGCTTATAGGGGTGCTCAATGTTATGGTGGAAAAATCAATACAATATTTGTGAAATGTTCTCTCACCGCTCCTTTGCTCAGTTTGAGCCATATCACCAGTCCCAGGATGAAAATGATTATGTGCTGTAAACAAATTGAATAAATAAAAAGTGTTAGAAAGATGAAGAAAAAAACTGGACAAGTTTTAACTGTAATTCGGTTTTTACGGAGAAAAAGGAAAAACCTTCTCAAAAAAAGCCGTTAAGTAATCATAATCTAGGAAAAACATTCCGCTTTTTCTTTATCCTTGTCTAGTTACGTTTCATTCTTCATATACATGTACCCATGTTTTTTGGTCTTTGGAACAGAGAAGCAGTTATTTTAACCATTCCGACTCGAAAATTGAGACCAATCAACAAAATAAAAACTCATTCAACAAAAAGTGATCCACTTTCAGCTTTCATAGAAAAAGTGTCTCTGAAACGAACACTATTCAGTTTATTTTCAACGTAAAAGGCATTAAATATTAACATCAAGAGCTAACTAAACTCGTAATTGAGGTACATAAGTTCTAACTTGAATAAACCGCTCTGGTATATACATTATGTCCTAAGCGATCACCAATTCAACGGGAATCCTTCTCTTCTAGACCAGATTCGTTTAATTTGCGGAGATTTCAATAAGTGTCCGACACATGATTACACAACAGCCTTACATTTGACAAGAAAATATTTCGTAGTAGCCATTATCGAGATCAGAGGGAAGAATTATCAGCCTTCACTAACCATCACATAGTAAACAGTGTCAACTTATTGAACTAAACAGTGTTAAAAAGGCCATTGTAAATTTTTTTTTAGAAAGCAATCAACACGCAGTGATGTGATTTAATTAGCATAACCTAAAAGGATGATTTTGCATAGATATGAGTCATTTTGCATATACATTAGTGAAGCAAATTGTTTTGAAATATTCCATTTTAGATATATTTTCATGTTTGGAAAGAACAATGAATATTTGATTTAGGATAAACGACCGACATTCGCGATTGCTTTGTGGAAGGAATAGGATGAGAGGAAAAAATAATTCTAAGCTGGCCAACTCAGCGCTAGTCGACTGAGAGCCTCATTTTGAACTGTGCTGTAAGTTTACAATTCCTAGTAAGGGCGTTGCTATGCAATATTTTTGAACTGCTTACTTGTGGTGTAAAAAAACCCAATCGCGGGGGCAATTTCCGAACAGTCTACAAATCTAGCAGTGAAATTACTCATGTTTGGTTGTACCAAAAGAATTTTGATTTTTTGAATTAGTATCAGGGAAATACTTATAAAAAACACTTCCACGAAGAAAAAAAGAAAAGGATTACAGTTGACTCGCGGTATCTTTATGACTTAAGCGATCGAATCTGAATATTCTTTGATTGAAAGTGTGTCTTGTTTGTGGTCGAATTATCTACTTAAACAGACGTTCGATAATAAGCCTGTATTCAAGAAAGTGGCCCAGTATTCGAAGAAAAATGGCTTTTATGTTCTCTGAATATGAAACAGTCTGTTGTCAAGGCCCTTATGCAAAACAAACCTAGTCTATATCTATCTTATTCAGAACACAATATGGTTACGATCTGATCTTTGCATGTATTTCCTAAGTACAATTGGCGTAGTCAGGTGATAAGTGTTGAACTTACCGGGAATCCTACCCACAGACCAGAACCATCCTTTCCGCCAAGCGCAGCATAAATGAAACCACATACGAGATTGCAAAGACCCACCGCTCCTATAAGTATGCCTACAATTCCGGCTGCCTTAGCCTTGCCTGGTTCGGCTTCACCTGCCATTATTCTCCAATACTTTCACTACAAAAAAATTGCGATGAAGAATCTGGAAAGACTTGCAACGCTCCAATCTACAACCGTTTCACGTGGTCTCGATGCCAAACTAATTCTCTGCAAGGAAAATGGTCGTAAAAGACTCTTTGCCAAGGCCGTCCCCTGAGATTCTATTGAAAACTTTGTTTCCTAGGAACGAAGTAAATAATCGTCCAAACAAACCATCCCAACCAATGGTACAGTGCTAAGCTCTACAAAGCGTTAATGAAGCCCGATTCTCCAGTTTGGTTGATAAAAAGAACTCTTTTGTTTGAGCAAAATGATTATCGCTTGTTGTTCACATACTGTTTTCGTGGCTACATGGCAAAAACAAATGAAACGATCTGTGATTCTATTTGGTCGTTTGGTGAGACATCCTTTGCACGGGTCCAAAGTTAATTTTAGGGACAAATCAACGTTACTCTCATTCTCGGCACCCGCAGAGCACCGCGAGCGTAATTGCTAAAAGCGGCAAGATAAATGCAATGCTTCCGCAAGGATGTTTGGCGCAACTAATATAAAATTTAAATACCAAAGAAAAGAAGATATGCATCATTTCTCTAAGAGAATATTTGTTGAAAATATGGAGAATGAACTGAGTTGGCGACTAACTGTGAGGTGCAGTCAAAATCTATTTTTGATGTCCTTGAACAATAATAAAATTTCCAAGCGATGGAAAGCATTGGAGCTGCGTTGGTTGTTTTGATAGCATCAGAGAGTACCCATGGCGATCATCTGTTTTACACTATTTGTTCCAAAACCTTCATCAACTTATAGGTTTTGGTGGTGTAAATGTAAGTTTACAGAAAAAAGAGTTGAGTCAAACACTTCGTCTCAACAAAGAAAAGCAGGTGTTTTCAAACGTTTGAAGGTAGACTCGGGAAAGAAATATATTCAAACGGAAAATGGGAATATTCATGTTATTTTCAAAACAATAGGCGCATCTAATAAGATTCTTTGCAATCACACATAATGGCGAAATATGCTTTTTACATATCAGTAGAGCAACTTTTGGCGCTGAGTAGTATTTATTTCGTTCCTAAGAAACAAAGTTTTCAATAGAATCTCAGTAGCGCATAAATTTATTTGAAGTATTTTATTTTATGTTCTTAATTTATCAGTCCTTGCATAAAGGAATTTTTGTTTAGAACTGAGGGAAGAAAATAAAACCTGGAAAACTGGGTGATCAGTCAAGTTTGACTGATCGTGGTAATTCTTTTTGTTTGTTTGCGATCAGGTTCTATTTTTCTAATAAATTAAGTTTGGTTTGAAATACTTGAACTCAAATGTCAAGGAGAAGCATATAAGCACCATCATAGCTCCGACTGTGTTAATAGGATTCAGATGTTTAAGTGAAAACCATGAGTGAAAACAAAATAAAGGTTTACTCTTCAAACATTCACACCACCGAGTGGCAAAATGAAATAAAAAAAACTTGAAAATCATATAAGAGTGACTGCTGGAGGCATTGCAAACCGTCTCGCAGAATCAGCGTGGTCTTTGTGCTGTTGTCATCGCGACTAATTGCCAAACAAATCAGTGTTTCATTATCTGCATTTGAAAGAGTGGATTTAGGTAAGGTTCCTTTGTTTGTCTGGCCTCTACATTCGTTTTCTCAGGAGAGACAGTCCTTTCATTTTGACCCTGAATTGTGCGGTCCATCAGCAGAAAGATAGCTCCATCAGAAAGATACTTCCATCAAGATCGTAACTTCAATCCTACAAGGTCTCGTGTGTAAACTTGAAAGCGGCGGATCAGAATTGACATGTTTGCAATCTTACAACCCAAAGCCTTACTTAACTCGAAATTGCGCCGGCTAAGAATATGCACCGCTTTTTGAAGCAAAGTTTTCATTGATTTTTCATCCATTATTGTAAGCTAATAACCGTCAAGTCTACTGAATTTAATTTGATTGGTTAAAGGGGAAAATGGAAACGAGGCGTTAAGTTTTAGTATCCGAGAGTCTTTACCTCAATTTATATGAAGTAATATTTGCTGTGTACCGTGTTAGCGTGTGTGTGTGTTTCTTGTTATCATCTTTTTATACAACTATGCTAACGAGGTAAGTATGAATGTATACACTAGTAAACAAAATGCTTCTACAAAAATAGAAAACATCTTTCAACCCCGAATAAATTCCTGGATTCGAGTCGGTTAATGTTGTCTTCACAGGGCCCAAGCGAGGAGCATAATCTGATCAGTCGTTTGGTATTCTATTCCGCGCCATTCCCGAGGGCCCGCTTAAATAAATCGCTTCGCCGCAAAAAGGTTGTTTTCTATTCAAGTTTTTCAGTGTAACGCCAAGAGTATAACCATCTTTCGTAAATGAAGCAATTTAAAATTTTCAGTCATTATACAAAAATTTTACCATTCTCTGAGAAATATTTCTTTCAGAGTTACCAGGTCGGCCTGGCCAAATTAGGTTAAATAACCGACGCGCCAATGGAACTTTTCACCGCCGTGTGTAAATTAACTCGGCATGTCAAAGTCCCACAGGGCACAAGAAGAATGAGAAGGAGTTTTGTTGGTCGCATTCCGGACAGACCGTCCTTTGAGTGCGCCGCTCTTCGATGAGCGTTACAGCAGACAGATAATTAAGTGCCGCCCCCATGATAAGCGCTGTATCTAAAGAATACGACACCTGTTAAACAAGTAGCCTGATGAGCGCGAGATTTCAATTGCAGATGGTTAACGAGGGTGACGCCCAATTCAACAAATGCGCATAGAAATGGAAGCGAATAATCTAATTATTTTAATGAAACTCTATTATTCACCCAAAACTGAACAACAAGGCAGGCTCTTGTTTTCACTCTATTTTGTTTCCAACTGCACACTGTTAGCTACTCACTCACTTTCTACCACACAATAGAGAGGGCTAGGGCGAGTCACGTAGTCAATCACGTTGCAGCGCTTGAAGTGGATCGTTGGTAAATTTGTACCAATAGAGGATATTACGGTCTGACGTATTTATTTTCGGAATTTCAGCAACATGCAGGTTTCTTGTAAAAGCTAAGAGCTTCATCGGAACAACCGTAAGCCAGGGCAAAGCACAAGTTTTTATCTCCCAACCAAACTAAGCAGTTATGAAAAAGTTATAGGTTTCACTGCAGGAATTTAGTCATTATCATCTTTAGCCAGATGTTGATTAATCAATTAACGCCGCCCTTGAATACGCACTACATTCGAATTGCCAAATAAATTTAGTAAAAACTTTTTTAAAAGTTTTTACTAAATTTATTTGGCAATTTATCTTAAAAGATTTAGTTATTCTAGCAGGTGTTTGATCTTCCTTCTTCCGATACAAATAGCAAAATAGGATCAAAATTTTAGTTAGAAGAAATGGCCTCTTAATATTAAAATTCAAATATTCCGGCGTCTTCACGTTAGTGATAAACTGGTTTTCTTCTACCACACTGAGCATGCGTTCTACAATAAAAGACTTGCTTTAAATTTATACTCCATCGTCTGAGTGGGCCGTGTTATTCAGAATTTGCAAAAATGTCACACAAGTGTTCAGATATTTGGTTCCAGCGAATCATTTGGAAATCAAATATTAGATTCACCAGGTTTGTTACTCTATTGTAGAATGTAAAAAGAATACTGACTGAACGTAAGCGCATTCCGTGTTTCCGCTAATTACTAGTGGTGTTTTGAAAGTTTTCTTAAGACTGTAGTCGGGAAGAATTAGAGAACCTTGGGAAGCATCGAGAGGAACTATGATTCGTGAGATGTAGGTAAATGTGTGAGCAGTTTAGGTCGGTTTTTGTTTGTCTTCTTTGAACAAAATAACTTGCTACACTTCTTTGTGTGTCCTGCATGGATGCTTATCAATTGTTCAAAAAATTGCGCATGTTTTTATGGATGGATCTCTCACAATGATTTTGAAAGGTAGACTAAGCATAAATGTCTGCTTTCTGCATAACTCTAAAGACTTATATGCGATGATATGATATGATAATACCAAACTGACAGTAATGCATTCAACAACCAAGCGATCGATGCATTCGACGTTAGTCACTCAGAAATGAGATATTTAGTGGAGTTTCTGATAAGAATTCGTATCAAGCACGCACAAGAATCTTTCTTAATGCAGCGCTTCGAATCACTTGATGAACCAACCTCTTTCCCACGCATTCTGGCTGTATTTTTAAGCACTTTACAATCCAGGTGATGGATTTACTCATGGCGCCACAGATCACGGCATCAGTGAAATGTTTTTAATCCAACAACAAAATGGCAACCTTGTGAAGCCGCCTTAAATACAAAAAATACCAATCGAACGATGGCATGGAACGGATAACATGTAAGTTGTAAAATAGCGACAACAACTACCTCAAGCTAACTAACATAACAATGGTTTTTGTAAATACCAGTAAACAAGGAACTCACCATCTCCCATAGCACTTGTGTCTATATTTTACTTAAACGATCTTAAAAAACAAAGGGTACTTCAAATGAATGTTGTGAAAGTAAGCAGAGGCGCACCAACTGAAACTCATAGGTAACGCCAACGACCTATTTTGCGTCTAATCATAACCATTACAATTTCCTCAAATGTGATTGGTGCATCACTGCTTCATTTTTCACTAATCATTATGAACAGTTGTAATCGGACAGTGTAATCAGACAGTTGGCTGTAATCGGTCAGTTGAAGCAGCCAATCATACTATGTCCACTCAGCTAGATCCACTAATCACAGAATTGAGCACAATAACCATAGCAACAACCACTCATCCAAAGAAAAAAAAGGCAATTTCCAAAATGGAGAATATTTAACTAAAGACATTGTCTCCACTGGAGATATTTGTTCTAGGTTTATCTGTTTTTTCGGAAATTGAAATGGTTATGATTAATTGGTAACAGGATTTCTTGTCGTCCAATTCTGTCAGTGATCATATTCGTGGTAAACAAATCAGACTCCCGCTTCGCGGTCGTCCGATTTTGTTAATCGCTCGTATGATTACAGACCGAGTTGGACTCCTCTCGGTCCTATTATCATTATTAATTGGTCAACAGGGTAACAGGAATGTTACAGATCAATTAAAAAAAAAACATAGCGAAGACAACTGGAATTCTGGATTAGTTTTTACACAGTAAATCGAAGAAATTATCATATAAAAATATTTAAACTAAAACAGCTATGGGATCAGGCGAACTCAACACTTGATGTTTATTGCTTTGGTGGCAACCCATAGTCAGGTGGGGGACCCCCGGCACCGGCTGGTGGCTGCATCATCACCTGTTGTTGGCCTGGGTATGGCTGCTGAGCAGGATAGCCCTGAGCTGTGGTTTGCTGTATCACCATGGGATACCCAGTAGGTTGCTGCATCACTACCACGTTCGCCTGCTGTGAAAACGAATTCGTGCATCAAGTCAGGAACTTACGGCCTCAGTAACCTTCGAATGAAATACTTAGGCACGGTGGGGGGGGGTTTTTGACAAGAAAAGTAGTTTTTTTCAATCATGACACCCCGGCATGCCCTCGAGCCCTCATATGAGAGGAGAGCACTAGATCGGAAACACTGTACATAGAGGGTGATAATTTTATTTTTCTTCACTTCTTCGGAAGGGGGGATGAAGCTATTTTCAAATTAAACCATTTTTCTTTGTCTTTGGCTGTGCAATGTGGATGCATCGTTACGCCTACAGTTTCTTTTGGACGAATAGTTTTTGATTTTTCTATTTGTTCAACACTAGTGGAAACTGAACTGAGAAATGCCCAGCATGGAAACTAATGAAGTCCGGGTATCGAGTATCTTCTCCGTAAACGATGTTAACTTCCTTGTCGGTGAGAAAATACTGCCCTGACCTCTTCCCTTCCCTTGCTACAAACACTCGTGACCCAAAAATTACTATTATGATAGGATTGCGTAACATTCATTTCAGGATTACGTGACTTACAGCTGGCCTAGCACAGCAGGTTCCCATGCAACCAATAATTGAACCAGACAGGGTCAGGATGGCAGAAAAGGCACTCATAATCAGAATTGCTAGGAAGCAGCTCTCGATGACTCTGATGTCATTGCAGTTGTGCACTGTGAAAGGAAAAATGATGGATTTCATTAGCAAACAGTGTCTCTGTGGCCTACAAACTACAGTCGACAACCGTTATTGAGGACACCCTCGGGGGAAGATTTAGTGTCCGTATCAGCGAGAGTTCGTAATAGAGGGGTACGAGATGAAAGAAAAAAACAACATACGAAATAATATGTCACTACGCAAACATAAGGTTTCTAACGTGGCCTTACAAGCCAGAAAAATATCCGGCCGCCAGCAGGAAATTCTCATGCTCGCACTTAATTGAAGAAAGGCTTTCACTCCTTTATCGTAATGTCGCTTCGTATTATGTGAGTCGGACGAAATACTCAAGTGTCCGCTATAGCAAGAAAAAACAAGAAGTGTGGCGCTGGGGGGAACATGGGAGTATCACATTTCCGTAATAGGGGGAGTCTGTACATCGCGTAATAACGGGAGTTTGTTTTATTCATCTCTCTATGCGTTTCGCCGGGGGACTGGCCTTTGTTCGCAATGGCGGGGTGTTTGTAACAGCGATGTTTCCGTAGGGCGAGAGTCAAATGTATATACTATCGTTCTTTTAAATCATATGCAAAACGAATAGAAACACGAGCAGTCGCAACAGCGGTAGCAATAGTCGAAGTAAAAGTAGCAACAACGCATGCAACAAAATGATCTTAATCTCTGACTGCACGACCGACAATCCATCTTCGCTCCCCAGACTTACCTGGCCATGGCTCTTCCTTATCGGTTTTACAATGGCATACGTCTCCACTTTGATTGCAGTTCGTCTCAACCACCTTCCTTATGAAGTGCCAGATCACCCAGGCGATGAAGGCGATGATGATCTGGACAAGGCACACAATAAACCACAGGATGTTCATCACCAAGAAAAACACCATCTGGAAGGCATAAAATCACCGTAAAAATCAAGTTATCGCCTAAATGTTGTGCACTGTCTTTGCTTTCTTTTCTGAGATGGGGAAGAATGAAGGGGGTGGGAAACTTCGACTAACACTCACGCCACTCACTTCAGGCCTGGAGGATTAGTTAAGGGAAGTCATGGAAGGGCTTTTCACGTTGTTGCCTCGTTAGTGGAAAAGAATTATTTTCATTATGCCTACCCACTTTGAGAGAGATGCAAGACCCTTAAGACCACACCCTGTTTTGCGGCATATTCCCCCTATTCCCCCCGCGACTCCTAGGTCTAGGGGAATGTATAAATGACAATGCGGAGGTGACAGTGTGTAATGAAAACGTGAGCATATTTACGCATCTATTGTTTTTCTACTTACCGCTGTTTTATTTTTCCTCAACCAAACGAGAATTCCGAGACCACAAATAACGGCAAGCTATGCAGTCAGAGAAAAATACGTCAAAATTAACCTATGCAGCAAAATACATCGGAAAACACAAAGGTACAAGGTAACTAATTACTGATCTGATCAACTGAAAAACGGATCAGACGAACCGGTGAACTTAAGAACTAATGAAAGTGTGAACGAAGTGTTTTTTTCTTGTCTGTTTGGAGCTATTTTTTTGAACCTAACCTTGTGAATGTTTCATTTCAGGGCCAGACGCGTTCGTGCGCTAGTCGGCTCCTTATGACATGTAGTTGTCACTTGAAAATCAACAACTGCGATTAACGACCAATTGAATGTCCCCCTGAATTCTTCCTTAGTAGGTAGAAAAGTCCGGAGTCCAGTCGCCGCGACGGATTTTGAAAAATCGATCACTGTTGACTGGGGGCTTTTCTTCGTACCGGTAGCCTACTGATCTGAGGAAGATCCTGAAACTGGTTTAAACTTAAGCTTTTCAAAAATTATTCTTTGCCCCATTAGGCCGCGTCGATTTTTTCGTCGACCGCTGAGCGGTTTCCTTACCTCTGAAGTCAATATCTAGTTGATAAATTTTTCTCCTGCTCGCCGAGGCCAACACCACAACTCTTTCAAAACTCATTACTTTATACTACACTTGTGGCGATTGTGACTCCACTTTTTACGTAACTTTGAATAAAACAAACGAACCCCTCGGAGAAGACGACATTTTGTATCTTTATTACTTTGTTATTCCTTGTATTGTAAACTTCGAGACGTAATTTCTTGATTCCTTTTATTGATTCGTACTTACTACAACATCTAATTCGTATCGTAAAACCTAAACTTCGTAACTTCGCATAAACACTCGTCTTCGCTTCGAAAAGGTACTAATCAAAGTCTATTATGTACATGTGATTATATTACTTGGCTCACGTTTCCGTCAATCAACAAAATCACTTCTGCACTATACAAACAAAACAATATATCTCGTTACGTCAATCGTTCTCGCGTGGGACGTCTCGCGTGGGACGTCTCGCGTGGGACGTCTCAATGTTTCTTACACCTTGCATAATATTAACTCGCCAAAAGTAATTAAAAACACAAACGAAACAATGGAAACAGATATTGCTGTTCGTTGAAAATTACCTCTGAAGTCAATATCTAGTTGATAAATTTTTCTCCTGCTCGCCGAGGCCAACACCACAACTCTTTCAAAACTCATTACTTTATACTACACTTGTGGCGATTGTGACCCCACTTTTTATGTAACTTTGAATAAAACAAACGAACCCCTCGGAGAAGACGACATTTTGTATCTTTATTACTTTGTTATTCCTTGCATAATATTAACTCGCCAAAAGTAATTAAAAACACAAACGAAACAATGGAAACAGATATTGCTATTCTTTGAAAATTTTCCCCACTGTAGCACTGCCTCTTATTACAGCATAAAGCACAAATTTTGCCATGAAACAAAACTGTCAGACCATGTAATGCATTTGAACAGAAGAACGTTACCAGGTGCTCTCCAGGTTTAAATTTAAAAAAAAAACCGCTTTTCAAAGAGGATTTAATTCCTCGTGAGCAAAATATGTCAAAGAGGAAGCTCATTTTTGTCCGTAGAAGGAAATCTAGTTTAACACAGTCTTAATTAAGTGTACAAGAAGGCGAGAATTAACTCGACGTGTTATGTATAAACTAGGTTTATCCTCTCAGCTTTGCCAATTAATTATTACCTATATAATTACTCGGGTTCCCAAGTCTATCAATTTATACAAGATTTACATAAGCTGGTAAGAATTAAATTTGACATAAGCGTAAAAAGGCATCAAGTTGCCTTCATTTTAATTTCTGATGTAGAGGTGGACTTGAAATTTCAGCAACGGTGAGTAAGTTACTGTTGTCAAGATTGAAGAGCTCACGTAAAAAGTGAAATTCGAAACGAGTTCGCTGTGTCAATCATTTTTTCATGCATTAATTCCGTGCAAAACTCATCATGTGATCCACTTTTTTTGCGCTAGGAAAGAAATTACCTGTAACGATTGTTACGGTGCGTAAATATTTATTTTGGTCTAGCTTTTCGAGACACAAAAAATAACAATAACGCCGATCTTTCAGTTATGATAGTAAAACAAAATCCTAACCCCTCACACTGGTCTTAGAAGTTTGGTGGAAATGAAACTTTGCTCAAAATAAATTTTGACTTTGCTGATTCATGAATATGAAAGCGATTGCTGATTCAATCAGTGGCGCAATTGGAAATTCAAATCTTCCCTTGTTTAAATTTTATTTCGAATACAGTACACAATACAGGAGTTCATTCAGTACTCCATAATTTACCGAGACAGTTGCTCTGGCTGTGTGGCTAAATTTTTTTTTTTTTCGATTGATCATACTTTCTTCTAAGCGTTGGACAAACCAAGGAAGCATTTAATAATCATGATTTCAAAGGCTGTTAACCTCTAAGTCACTGTTGTAAAAATAGACATCAGTGAGGACTATCAAAGGCAAGGTGTTTCAAAAGACTTCTAAGCCGTTATTGTATCGCAATCAATTCCTCGGTTGGGGTTGGCTCTGAGCGGTATGAAGACAATTACACGATGACTTTCGATATGCTAAGACTACCACATCATATTTCGAGGTTTCACTCGGTTTTAAAACAACATTGGATATTGATTTTAGTTTAGAAATAAGGTCGAGGAAATGCGAGTGAGACGGACCAAAGTGGCCGGGTATTTTGAAGTTTAGCCGGAACGAAAACACCTGAACTGCAAAGCGATTAACGAACGGGTTGATTGAAAGGTCCTGAAGCTGCTAAATTCACGCCTATCGTTTTCTGAATAGGTTTCGTTGAAAAGAATGCTGTTCAAAAGTAATCAGCAAGGGTCACTATTTGGCTTATATCTTTAAAATCAACGCTTAACATGATATACGAAGAGTTATTTACCCCGATTCCAGACCACAGACCAGAACCTTCGGGTCCACCCTTGCTCAAGTAGATAAATCCACATATTAGCTGAATAAACGCTGATATTCCGACCAGAACGGAAATTATTCCTGCTGCCTTCGCCTTTCCTTCTTCGACAAGATCACCGTTCATTGCTGAAAATTTTCAATTAAGCACCTTTACAACAGCGAAACTTTTCAAGCAGCTGCAGTGGGCCTCGTCGTGTTCGTCACACCTCGTTACAAGTACAAAGAAATATTTGTTTCTGCGCTGTGATTTGCATGTAACCATGTCAACTTTTTATTTAGAAATCATTTGCCGCATGCAAATATTGGTATCAAATTACGTAAAGGGTCATACAATGTGAATGCCTGCCAAGAACCCGTGCACATCTATTTTAATTTTTCTTGAAAGCAAGATGTGCAAATTTTCGCTTCGTTTACCCCACTGAAAGTAAAATAACCCGCAATTTTCCGTCTCCTATATGGATCCAAATGTTATCAAATTTCTTACTCGACCTTTACATTATTCTAAACATCTGCTTTACCTTCCAAAAAATAATAACCAGAGGAACATCTTTAACGATAACCGTTCTCAGACAACTATGAATTTTAGATGTTCCTGTTAAGAAAGTCATCACCACCTGCTACACATTTTCCGTATCAATTATTTATCCAGCCATTCTAGTGAGGGCCTACAAGCTAAATTGTTTTCTAATACTTGCGCGAAACCCAGAACTTTCGCTCTGACGAAGGGCTAACGCTCGGAACTTCAGCTTCGGAACTCTTCATGGTGGCCAATTTACGTTATCAACTCAGTTGATAATACTAAATTACCCTGTCATATTTTCCTTCTGACGCAGCACCACAGTTTCTTCAGAAACTTACCCCCTTTATTTATTTATTTTTGTGTCCTTCCGTTTTTACAATCAAATTTATTTTTGGTGATCCGTCATCTAAGATAAGAAGCTCATTTGAAGCAGATGGCTTATCTCTCGGATCTGCGCATCATGAAGGAGAGAGCCGCTGTCAGCACATCCTCTGGTGACTACTGAAGAAATGTAAAATGGTTTCCGTGCTTACATCAGGCCATGTAAACACGGAAACCATTTTACATTTCTTTTATAAAATAACTAATGAAAGAGGAACGAAAACCGTGTTTACATACGCTCATGTAAAATGGTTTTATGGCTAATCAGAGCGCGCGTACTATTTGAATTATTTTATAAAGAGGGCCTATTGCTCAGCTGGACACTCTGATTCCGCTGCACAAGGCAATCCTTGTAAAAAAGGATTAGTCCAAGAGACAAGCCTAGTCTTTCTTGGCCAAGAAATAAGATGTCAGTGTTGAATGTGAACGAAACCATTTTAGCTTGGATCGTATCCCTCGCAGTTTCCGCGCGTGGTCATCACGAAGTATCGCCTCGCTAGGAACTGTGGGAATCTTCGTTGTCAAAGGTGAATGGGAAATCTACTCATGAAGTCATCCTATTAGTCTTGAATTGGCCTCACCCGAGTGAAAACCGTCACGTACAAAGTCCTACCTTCTGTTGAGCATAAGGTAAGAAAATGAAGCAATGTACTTTGATCAGAATCATAAGATATATTCCTTCTTGATAGACTGCACGAAAACATTTTCGAATGAGTGCGCACAACATGCATCGATCGCGCGCGGGAAATCTGAAAACTGGAATAATTTCAATCGAAACTAGCTAACGCGATTTCTTGTTAAAGGGGTTGTTTTAAATTGGTTTTATTGACTCATAATTGTGAAGGAATGGGCAGATCGCTCTCCTTAACGGTTTGAAGTACCTGATTCAAGAATCCTGTCTGACTACAATTGCAGTTAATATTTATATTTCACTATCACTGAAGTTTGTGATTTCGTGTTTTCTTGTCCTTCATGCTTCTGGCACTAAATTTGCAGATTAAGGAGTATTGATGATATGAAATGGATACAGTCGGCGGTTTGTTTTACATGTAATGGATCTGACTGATTTGACCGAGTTGTTCTTTAGAATTAACACGATGCAAAGCTGTCATCTCACATGTACTGTGTCATTACCAAATCAAACTTTAAACCGACCCCCGCTGTCGTTATCTGTCTAAATGAACTTAAATTGAAATTTTGAAAACGTCTTTTTCTAAAATCTATCAGGGAAAATGCTCTCTAATTTTGAAAATGGGCTGAATGCAGCAATTGATAATTGATCATATTTTACATGGTTCTTTCTATGATTTCAACTTATTTGCAGTTCTAAAATCCAGTATACATTAAATAATTAATTATTGTTTTATGATTATTGAATAATAATTTTTTCAGCGGATAAAGCTATTTTTTGAGTTATGTTTGGACAATTTAACCATAATCTGTTACTTTTTATCTTGAATTCATTACAATATTCATAATTTGTGAACAATATTGATATACAGGAATATTGCATTTTAGATATTGAGAACACTTTATGATATATTTATTTATCAACAATATGAAATATTTGTGAAAAACTTTGGGAAATGTTAATAAAAATTTAGGTCACATGTCATTGTTAACAAACACGAAAAACAGCTAAAGGTTATGGGGCTTAGGTGTAGGTTTCCTTTGCAAGAATAGAAGTGAAATAAGTTGTTATGCATGCTTTCTGTTGACATCATGGACTGCAACATGACTCAATAATGATATTGGCATAAGAAGTTTATTTAATGGTTTTCATTGATTGTAAATCTTTCCACCAAGCTATTTTAATAATTCAGGCCCAACCTTATTTATTTCCTCTGAAAGTAGACTAATGTAACTGAGATTACTTTAGTTTTGTCAATCTATTTGTGAAAAAAAAGGATTCTGTAAATTGTTTGCATGGAGAGCTGTTTGTTCAAAATAAGATTTTCCATTTTTTTTTTCAATGTACTGGTAAACATTTTTTTGATATTGCCTTGATATTACTAAATTTCAAGATAACATTCAAAGTTTTAAATTTAAAAATATATTTCGACACAATTTCTATGTATCAAAGATAAAGGGACATAAGGTTAGTTTTGTAGATTTTGCATCAATTACTTGATTACTGTTTTTAAATTAGGTAGGCCTATCAACATTAAAACCATTCCTCTTTATGAATTTTGAGAGTATTATTTTTTTAGCTTATTGTATTCTTGAAAAAAGGTAATTCAGTTTCTTATTGTACTTTCTAAGATGGCTCCTGCTTTTTACATGTTTACACAAAAGAACACAGAGATTCAATCTTCAAGAATGTTGACCTTTTGGAAGGTTACACCTCAAGATGACCATTTCAATTTATATAATCTATTGAGACCAACATAAACAAACTCAACAGATTAAGTTATCATATGACCTGTATCTTATTGGTTGTGTTCAACACCTCACTTCTCAAGCCTGTCTTCTATTACGGAAAAGTTTTACTTGATAGACTAATTCATGGCATGATCTCAGCCTTATTATGTCAGTAGCCTCATTTTTTTAATGAATTTTTACAGTTAAGTATTATTTATGCTGTTTAGAGGAACAAATTAGAATTTGTTTCTATTGTGCAATTTTCAAAATGAAGAATTGATTCATTCATTTCCTGTTTATTGAAATTTACATGTAGGCCTTTCCAATTTGAAGCAATTATTGTTGGCAATCTTTATTTCATTTATATTTTCATGTTTCTTTTCTAAAGGAATTTAAAGCCATGGCTAACTACGTAGGTTTTGCTAATTTACCAAATCAAGTCCATAGAAAATCTGTCAAGAAAGGGTTCGAGTTCACTTTGATGGTTGTGGGTAAGTGCCTTCACTTGTGCACTTCTGATAATGTTAACCTGTTGACTGAATAGGATTTTTTCATTTCTCCTAAACTGATACAAGTTTCATTATTCAATCCTTGTAGAAGCTTTTACAGGATTGCTTAAATTTTATCTTTGGGTCTCTGATGAACCAAATTGAAATTTTTGAATTACTGGAATTTTTGTGGGCATTTTCAGTTTTGTTGACCTCAGTGGACAAGTTTCAATTTGTTGCCAAAAGATTGGCATAAGGAAATAAACGAACAACATTCAGCAAATTAACAAAGATGAATCTTTTGTTAGAAGGAAATTATTGGGGTTATTTAATATGTCACACATAGAAAATACCCTACAAACAAAGTGTGGGATTAGAGGCTGATGGCAAATATGATATGATGAGAGTGATGTGTAATTGTTACAGACTTGTGAGTAGTTATTCATTCATTTTTCTTACAAATTCTGTCCCTGTATATGCATAGTCTGAGTGGGAGCTGATGTTGCAGGCAGGATAAATAACTGGTTGAGTTTCCTATGCCTGCAACATATATAGTATGTTGGAATAAATACAACAGCTTCAGAGTAGTTTATTTCCGATATGATTTTCATGGAAATAAATGTTATAAACCTGGTGCTAAAATCTTAGGGTCCATTCTACCCCTTTGATAATTGTTTAATTTGTTACCCTCGCATTACAGGTGAATCAGGGCTGGGGAAGTCAACACTCGTCAACAGTTTGTTTTTAACAGACCTTTATGCTGACAGGAAACTACCCAAAGCTGCTGGTGAGGCCTGTGTGACCTAAATTTTTAATTTCATACTATTTTTTTTCAAAATCTTTGGGCCTTCTCAAGAAAATTTAGTTTTCACATATTATTGACTGGCCTGACTCTAAAACCTGATATAATATCTATCATGCATGCACAATGATTGGTCAATCTAGCAAGCTGTATTTCTCTTTATGGCCCTCTAAATTAAAAAGTTTGTTTTAATTGAAATCTTCTTCCTCCATTTGAACTCAGATAAATGATAAATATCTTATTAACCTCAATTTCTTGGTCTGTTCTGTAAATTATGGAACCTAACTTTTTTCACTTGGATTTATGGCCAGTGCGCTTCACACTTCGACCATAGATCCCAGGGGGAAAAACTTGAACTGTAACTTACAGTACTGACCTCAAAGTCAGTTGTTAAGAGGTACATGTATTAAATTTGCAGATTGTGTAAAAAGAACAGTGAAGATTGAGACATCAACCGTGGAAATCGAAGAAAGAGGGGTCAAGTTACGCCTGACTGTTGTAGACACTCCTGGATATGGGGATGGCATGGACAATAAAGACAGGTTACATTTTGTTTACAAAGTTACACTTCACAGCAGTTACCTTAGGAAAGTGCTATTATGGAGAGATGGCTGTAATAGGGAAGGAGAGATGTAAATTGTCATCAGTCTTTTTCAGATGTTCATTTTTATTTGAAAATATACTTTTTGTGACAATCAAATATGGGACACAATCAAGATATATCAATGAAAAAGACTGTTGAGGTATGCAAAAGGGTCATAGAGAGTAAGTAACAAAGAAGGTGACTGTTTGTACTCATGTAGGTTTAATATTTATGAAATATGTTTATGTAGTTTGGAATTAAAATAATCAAGAGTTAGCTGCTTAATGCAAACAACAGACCAAAAGACAGTGAAAATGGGCCTGACTCTAAGTGTTTAAAACTCTGTATAGCTATGTTCATTATCTGACCACTCTGTGTTTTTAAAAGTAGAATTATTCTAACCTATTAGATATTTAAACAGAGTCACATGTAACTTTTTTCTTTATCAGTTTCAAACCCATTCTGGATTATGTTAAAGAACAGTTTGAAAGTTACCTTAAAGATGAATCAGGACTGAATCGCCGGCACATTGTGGACACAAGAGTACACTGCTGTTTTTACTTTATAGCTCCAACAGGACATGGGTTTGTTATGTTTTTAGCTACCAGTTTTTAAGAGGAATAAAAAAACATTTTTGTAGCTATTTTGTCAACTTGAGTATTCTGAGTTTCATGGTGAATTTGGTTTCAGACTCAAGCCTCTTGATATTGAGTTCATGAAGCAGCTTCATGACAAAGTCAACATTGTTCCTGTCATTGGAAAGGCTGACACCCTCACTCCAACTGAACTGAACAGCATGAAACGAAGGGTAGGTTCAAGGTCCAGCAAGTTTAGGGACAATAAATGATCAACCTCTAATATTACTATTGCGAGTGCACTGTAACTACTTGTGTAAATATAATTATGTGTAAATATAGAACTCTAGTTAAGAGGAGTGACTGACAGAGAAGTTAACTGTTCTGTTACCTTTGACTGTTTTCACATTTAGACTTCTTAATTGTAATTTTTACTCTCATTACCTTTTATGAAATTCTCTTCCATTTAGGTTTTAGATGAAATTGAGGAACAAGGTATCACAATTTATGAGCTCCCAGACTGTGAAAGTGATGAGGATGAAGAATACGTCGAGCAAACAAAACAACTTAAGGTGATGAATTTAGATAAATTCAGCATAATTTGTAGAACAGTTTGGCATCCTTTCTGTAAGGTAAGGTTCCATGGGTGAGAGAATCACACAACCCCCCAACCCTGACACAAGTGCGTGACCACGAGGGTAGTCTAAGGGTGTACACACATGACCCCCCTTCCTGATCAAACTAATGTGAAAATTGTCCATATTTAAACAATTGGCATGCCCTAAAATGCCTGTAAGATGTTTGTAGAGGACCTCCCTTCTAAAGCCTAACTAAATTTCAGTGGCCAACAAGAGAAGTAGATTGGCCAGGGACAAATGATTCTACAGATAAGGCTCCAAGAACCACACAGTCCAAACTTTAAGCTTGACCTCTTAAGTGTGTCGTTTGCTGATTGTCACTTAGAGGCTATGGCTTATACACACATACATTTTTACATTTCAGAACATTATACCTGACATGCAGCTAAAGAAAGCTTGTTTTTAACAGTCATGATTACATTTCTGTTTTTTTTATTATCAGGCTAGCATGCCATTTGCTGTGGTAGGAAGTAATACTTTGATAGAGGTGTGTGGCAAGAAGATTCGAGGACGGCTTTACCCTTGGGGAGTGGTTGAAGGTAGGACATGTTAGTGATATGAGTGTAGTCAAGTACCAAAGTGCTTATAGGTATTAATATGAAAGCTTTCATTGCTGACAGAGTGTTTTTTCCCTTTTGTTTCAGTTGAAAACCCAAAGCACTGTGACTTTGTGAAGTTACGCACTATGCTTGTGTAAGTGTCTCTCAAACTTTTTTCTTTAAATGTCATTTGGTAAACAGTCAAACAAACCTACACTGTAAGCTGACAATTCCTTTAAAAATATGTCTCCCTTTACAAGCTTTAAGATTAAACTCAGGTAACTGTTTGATGGACCAGCTTCCCATGGGGGGGAGGGGCAGGGTTAAAGGGGGAAGGGTCAGGGGAGTGAGTAGGGACAATCATAGTAACTCCATGCTACTGAAAGTGGGCTAGGCTCTAGCAGGATGGACAACCTGGGTCTTAAGCTGATCCTACAATTGATCTTTTCTCACAGAACTCACATGCAGGACCTCAAGGAAGTGACACAGGAAAGTCATTATGAGAACTTCCGAGCAGCTCAGCTGTCAAGTGAAACTGAGCTCTCAAATGGGAATGTTGAAGATGCTCCAAGGAATGGCAAAAGGTGCATTGAAATGTTTGAAATGTGATGTTATGTGTCACTTTGTTAAAAGGTGCAATCATTCTAAACAAATGCTTTTTAATTATCTTGACTTCAGAGCTCGTAACATCACAAGTGCCATGATGGAGAAAGACCGTGCCTTGTTGGAGAAAGAGGAGGAGGTAAGTAATTAGCCAAGAGGGACAAAAAAAGTGGCAAACATGTCTTGATTAAGTGATTGACCTACTGAATGACTCTGATTGTATTGTCTGCCTGTCTGTACGTCTGTACGTCTGTCTGTTGGTTTTTTGATTGAATGAATTGACTTATTAATTGATTGATTGACTGACGGATTGATTCACCAGCTAACTACTTTCTTGACTGACTTATTGACTGACTTATTGACTGACTGTCTGACACAGTGGCTGATGGATGAATATATTCAGTTATTAAGCAAAGGGAGTGACAAACTTGATTGAATGATTGATTTTCAGCTTCGGCGAATGCAAGAGATGATTGCAAAGATGCAGCAACAGATGAAAAGTCAGAGCTAGTGGGCCAAAATGATTCAGCACAATTGTGGAATGACTCCCCAGTGATCAACTTTATTGAGCAGAAACAAGAAAGTAATTGTATGGTGGTCTCATGGTGACTTCTTTTGGATAAGATGGGGCTAGCTATAATCAAGCTATTTGACAATTGCAACATGAACAAAGAAACAAATTAGGTTACATTGTTGGGAATTATTTAATGCTACTAGTTAAGATGTTTTTACTAAATTCATAGAATGAAGGTACTGTAACTTTTAGCCCCCTGCGCTAAAGTGCAATATTAAAATCTGATATTTTTACTGAAATATTCATTGTTACCACTGTTTTTTTTTTATGCATAATATTCCTTTTTTAATTGTTATCATTTTCAAACAGTGGGAAGCCTTTATACTGTCATATTTTATTGATAAATTTCTATCACTGCATATGTGATGTTTTTATTTTACTGATGTCTTTTGAAGTAGAATTTTATGAGGGGTTTCATTGTATTTTTATTTTAACACAATATGTCTGCCGGAGAAGCACAGGAGATTCCCATTACTAATTTTATTTGTTATTTTTCCAATTTTTATGGAGTATTCCATGGTAGATAGTATAATTAAATAGCTGTTAACTTTTACACAAGCCTAATGAAAAACTGATGTATTAAAAATTTCTAGTAATATATTTATTAGCGGTTTAAAGTGTATCGTTAGATGTAGTTCTTTATGGCAATGGTTCATGCTTAAAAAAAATATTTTATCAAGTGAAAGTTGAAGTACTTTAGTGCTTGTTTATAATATTGAAGCCCGATTTCTAACAATTTTTACGTAGATAGCGTAAGTAGAATTTACAATGAAATATTTCAATAAAATAAAAAAACTTTCATTCAGTGTTTGTTTCCTGTATTTACGACTGAACATACTAGCAAAAAACATCATACAGATTCTGGGATTTCCGGTAGAGGATTCAAATTTTGTAAACCATTAAACAAGACTTTAAGTCTTGTTAAATAGTTTACAAGTTTTAATGTATGGAAAAAGAGGGTAATTTATGTAAAATTATTTTAAGTCTGAAATCGTCGGAAAAAGTGCTTCATTGAAGAAATGTAAAATGGTTTCCGTGTTAACATAGCCTGATGTAAACACGCGGGAGGTTGGGAGAACACGAGATAAGCGTAGGAAACCACGACGCGAAGCTTATTTGGTGTAGAAGACACAGTATACGTCAAAATAGAATTTTATCACAACCGGAAATAAGAAAACAATGAAAACAATAGTGTGACGTATACTGTCTTCTACGCCTAGTAAGAGCCTATAATGGTAACTTTCCGCGGCATTATATCACTGTGCAACTACCTAGTACACTCTGTGTCATTAGGGTTTTTCCTCTTAACACAAATCTTATTTCATTTGCCTTTTGCACCATAGTCTACACGCAAGAAGAGCGAGAAAAGGAAATAGAGGATGAATTTCCCCGAATAAAGTGATTTTTTTATATGTAATGTATTTATTTGTGCTTTGATATTTCTCTGATGAATTTAATTTGAAGAGACATTCAAGAAGCGTTCAGATTCTACGCGTTTCTTTTTTTGAAAATTACTCAATAAACAACATAATTTTTTACAGATATTTTCTTTCTGTTACTTCGTATTGCTGAATAATTGCCTGATAAAAATCTTTTTACAAGTCTTATTTGTACAGCAAAACCCAACAGGACTTCTAAAATCAAGAAAGATTTTAAAGTTTTTTTTTTATCAATATTCCCCAAGTACAACTACGAACTCCAATTTTCTGGAAGAACATATCCATAGTTGAATTGCATCAAATATTTTTGCTTGTGCGCCATTGATTTAGGACGTGTCTCGTGACCAAATATTGTAGAACCACGTCATTCCTCATAGAGGAATAATGTTTAGCTTAAACACATATTATATATATATTGGGTGATTTCTAATGGCTGCCGATGTTAATCTTGAAATCGCCCTCAAGCAAAAATGCGATCAGGCTTCTACACATCTTCCAGCTAATTAATCCATAGGTATATAGGAACCTAGAACGAAGAGACAGAGCACATAACAGTTGAATAAAAGTCCACAAAGTGATTCTTTGGTTTTCGTGTTATCTTCAGAATCATTGTGAGTTTTTTCTCGTGTGGTCCCAAGCGCCAAATGCGTCAAGCATCGCCTACATTCCAAACCACTTTGTGTCTGTGTGGAAACTAGGTCTTTGGATCTCTGTGAGTGTGTAGAAGGAAAATCTGCCATTGACATCATCCCTGTTGGGTGAAAGAACTCTGCTCAATGAATTTATTTGAAATATGTGTTCTTTAGCGACCAACCTCTTTTCATTTTGTTTACATGTAAATGCACCTTGTACATGACCATCGACGCAGAAATTGACGAAATTTCGGGAACAAAATGTTGAGAATATCATGGCTAAGGCTGAGATTTTCTTTCAGTTTTTGTGTGTTGATGGAAGATAAATACCAAGAAAATCACCCAAGGTGTATTTAGGCTTAACTGATTTACAAGATAGGCAACCGCGATGGAGCTATCAATCTGTTTACTGCTAATACATCGCGTGACAAAGACACCCACGCATTACGTGACAATTATGTACAAATCAAATCAAAAGGAAGTGAATCGTATCTCAGCTTGGCTGTTACTCTTTTACAAACTATGCGTGCTTCAGCGGGTAAACTTATTTCCTTCCTTGGCTTTGATCCACCATTCACTTTTTAGAGTGTGTGGTCGGATAGCCATCTTTATTAAAAAATTACTTAGAACTTACTACCAACTTTTATCTATTTGAATTCAGTAAACAATAATTCTCTGTCAGGTTCTGAACCCTTGGTTGAAGTGTATAACTGGTTTAGACATCTGTTTATCCCGGCAGAGGAGACGACCACAGATTCCTGTTTAATTCTTTGATGGACAATTTAGTAACGAAGATCCAAGTAAATATAAAAAATTCTGTAGCCCTCTATTGTTCCCATGACCCGTTTCCGTCAAGGCTTTTAAACTATTAAAACCAGCCCAATGTGCCAATTAGAGTAAAGCCGATACAAAGGAGCGATGTGCAAAAAAATAACTAACGATTAGATATACCATAGAATAAATATATATCTCATCAGGTCACTGGTATATAACAACAACCGCCTATCGGTGGACTGTTTCTCCTTTCCTCCCTTCTATTTTATTTCCTCATAACAAAAGTACACAAAAAGTGAACGCTTGATCTTAACTTAAATATTTATGATTAGACTGACGGAGAATGTTAGAGACAACGTGTGCGAAATAGTGTAACACCAAAAGTATAATCTGTAAGAATGATGAGCAAAAATGTTCTTCCACCAGGCTCATAGACGTAACTAAAAAGACTTCGATCTGATCACTTTACCTGTAATTGCGAGTTCATTCCTATGCAAGCCCTCTCCGGGGTTATTAATTTCCTTTTTCTGGAATCCTGTATCAGTAACCTTGTTCGTGTTATGATAAAGTGTTCTTGAATTCGTTGAGGTAGTGAACTTATTTCTAACCTGCATCGCAGACAAGTATCTTTGTTTGTTCATTTTCAAAATCGCTTCGCGTAATAGCGTCCAGTTCTTGGTAGCCATGGTTCCAATGAAACCTTGAAAATAATGACTTATTTCCTCTTGCTTTCTGTTCCTTGATCTCAAAACAGTTGCCTGAGGACGAGTAATGAATTGTCAAGACCACAACTGGTTGTCGAAGTCGACCTCAGTCGCTGCAAACGAAAGGCGAATAAGTTGAGTAATAAACTTGCTATCCTATCCTCTGCTACATCGGATTATATGACGTCACGGTCGTGTCGTAACTCACGTTTTTGCCCGGGGTTGCCAATCACGTATCAATCAATTGATTTGTCTTGGTGCTGATTTTCAAACATTTCAACAAAGAACACTTGACTTCGCCAGTCGCCAACTTTGAACCCTTAACGTGGCCTGCCTAGGGAAACCTATTTATCAGACAAGTGTATACACTACTGATTACATGTCTGAACCCATCCTATTCCACGGTGTCATATTTATTGGTTTGTTTTCATTTAAAATTCTGAGATTGTTCTGTCTTCCTTCCTGGTCTGCGTTCATTTTATGAATTTGAACGAATTGAGTATGATAAGGATTATTTAAAAAATAGAATATTGAGTGAATTATTAGTTTTCGCCCTTCGTTATCTGTATCATGCTTGTGTTCCTAAAAGCCAAACGGATAACACGTCGGGTTATATTACAAAATAAGTTACGCTTGACTTCGCTAGTCAAAGGAATTTTTCGGGAAAAAAATTTTCCATGTTTCAGCCCATTTCTTCTCAAAGAGAACGCTTTCGCAATCTCTCCACCGTTTCCTGGCTAAAAAACGTTTGAAGCTTTCACTTTTTTTCACTCATGAGCTCAAAGTGAATGTTGAGAAAGATGTATGTAAGAACAAAACGTAAGATGTGTTATGTGCGTACTTTTTTCTTCCCTTTGAGTTCGTCTCCGTTAAACAGGAACTCAACTGGATGAATAAATGGAAAGGTTTCAAAGTACTTGTTATAGTTATTATTTTGATGCCCAGTTGGATTTAATTTGTTCAGCCCGCGCCTCCAGTATGCCTCCAACAGTACGAAACGTGACGTGGTGACCATGACCAGACAGCAAAGTGTGACTTATTTTCTATTGTGTTACATAGAAGTCGTACATGACCGGACATAATCAAATTTACGGATTTTTTTTCGAGAAATTCTAGGTTCTACGAAAAAATATCCCAAGTGTGATGCTATTTTTGATACATAACTTTTCATTACCAGTGTATTAAATCAAATTTGCTAAGTCACTTTGTTCTCAGGCATCACATCACGTATTCTAACATCATCCTTGTGCGTCACGTATCCTTTAGTCGCTCACGAAGAAGAGGGTGAAACCAAACTAGTCACGTTTAAATTTGAATCAACTATATGTTTTTGTAATCTTTGTCAGGCAGATGTCACGTCACATGAAAATCAGTTTAAATCAAGACTTTCTGACGTATCTTGGTGAAGAGCCCAGTATTGGTGCAGGCCTATTGATCTGCTTCATCTTGAGTAAGACAACGATGTGTTATAGCTATAGGAACTGTAAACACAAAATAGTTTCCTTGACCGGAATATAATTGATGACCTAATAAATGCACCTCTGATTCCAAAACCGTCCATCTGGCGGAAATAAGTGTGAGTACTTAGAACACCCAGTGTTCACGTTTTCCTTAGTTCTAAAGAACTTTACGATACGTCGGGCTAATAGCTACCCGCAAGTTTAGGTTCTGATGCGTTCCTCTGAACCTAAACCTGATTTGCACCTGCTCAGTTACACGGTTATAGTCAATCGGGCCGAAAAGGGTCCATCTGTAGAATAATACCAAAATTCGTTTCTCACCTCTCCCCTAACCCAAGATTACGCGGTTATGAATTACTTAAACATGTCAGCGAAATATCTCTGGAAATCCCTTTCATGAAGGAATGTGAGTCCATGTATTGACTAGGTTTTTTTGCCCATTTTCCTTTATTCAAGTCCATCAAACCAAAATGCCGGGCTGTACCGAACTATTTTGAGAAAGAGTGTTTTCTTTAGTGGCGTCTTGTGGTTTCTATGATACTGCTCAGTCATGGGCTAATAATGCAGGATGTCAATATGGGAAATTGTTAATTCCCGTTAGTCATACTAAACAATAGGCTGAACAATGGGTCATGGTCACGGTTCCATCACCTAACACGTACTGTTCTACACCACTCCAATTTGACTGCTTACCCCTAAAATGTGAAGGCGAAGGAAATCATACGAAGCTAACATCGCTAAGTTCTAAGCGTGATCATGCCCCTTTCTGTTAAGGTAACCAGACGGGTCGAAAGTGCACTCGATGATTTTTAAAACTAATTACAGTTCTGTACATTCAAATGTTTGATTGACAACGTGACGTCAAATGATGACGCACACGTACTTCCAAATAAGCGAAGTTTTTTCACGTTCGATTGATCAGGGAGGTCTGTTGATGAGTATAAAGAGAGGAAAAAATCATCTGCTGGGTTAGTATTACCAAGTTCAATTAGTAGCTTTTTCCAGGCCCTAGACAATCTTCTCACTTTCAACCAGAATGGCTCTTAGTAAAGGTCTCAAGATGAACACACTGTTAAAAATTTGCACACGAAAATACGGATTTACTGCTATTCGACGGGACTATGGACCAGAAGCGGTGGAGAAACTCCGAGGATCTTTAAAGATAGAGTACACCTTAGCCACACGAGGCGCACAGCGGCTTTGGAAACTGATAAACCGTGGAGAAAACTCGTATGTGAACGCTCTTGGCGCCATGACAGGTAGTCACAGAAACTTTTCTTTGAAAAGAACTCCGTAAGGTTTTTTACAAAATAAAAATGCACTAGGAGTGTTTTAGAGCATTTTAACTTTGGCTTTCTCTCATTAGAACAACTTGTTGATGTTCGCATCATAATAGCAGATCTTTTAAAAGTTGTTAAATGAACTTTGCGTGATATTTATTTTCAACGTATATTCTCGGAGCAGTCAGATACCAATTGATGTTAATGCCAGAATGGTTTTTTATCACTTTCAGGGGTATCTCAAATATTTCCTTGTAAGTTTCTTAGCTACTCATGCCATTTTTCCTTTTGACTCGTACAAGAGAAAAAACTCTCTTTCTAAGGCTCATTGGCGCACGAATACTTCTTCATCAGAGTTAAAGAAACAAGCAACTTTTTTTCGCCTTAAGAAAAAAATGAACATGCACTCAACCATGTAAATGATACAATCATGACGGATTAAAATCGGATTAGACAAATTTTCCTCTGGTTATACAGTTATGCTAATCGTGCTGTACATCTTGGCCCTGATAAGGCGATCATGAATTCAACAGAATAATCGATCATCCAAATTCAGCTCCATGATGATAATGTATAGGCACACTGAGTCGTTATAAATAAAGAACCTTTCTTAGCGGACATATTTTGCCGGGTCCGAGATCCCGTTGAACGTCTTCGAAATCACGAAATCACGAAATCACGAAATCACGAAATCACGAAATCTATGGGTCCGAGATCCTAATCTCTAATTGCCTACGTTTTCCAACTGAACATTGAATGACGGAATCTAACCGTGTTTAATGACCTTCTTTAGGTGGTCAAGCAGTTCAAATGGCTAAGGCCGGTTTACATTCTATTTATCTGAGTGGCTGGCAAGTAGCGGCAGACAGTAACATGGCAAGTCAAACCTACCCTGATCAGAGTTTGTATCCCGCAAACTCAGCGGCAAAGCTTGTTGAACGAATCAATAACGCCTTCATCAGAGCAGATCAGATTGCGCACATGGAAGGGAATGATCAACATATCGATTTCTTTTTGCCAATTGTGGCTGATTGTGAGGCTGGATTTGGTGGCCCGTTGAACGCCTTCGAAATCACGAAATCTATGGTAAGTGTCTCATCAAAGTTCCATTCAGCTTTCTTTTTTTCCCCAATTTCTATTGAACAGAACACAAACGACTCAACAATAATGCTTGAATGCTGAATATAGTGGGTCAGTTTAGTTTATAATTCCCTTCGGTGGTTTAGTTATTTCTGAACTGGAAAGAGAGTACATCGAACATCTGGTAGAAAAAGACAGAAAAGTGGAAGAGTTCAAACCAAGAGTGAGATTGGAGCCTTTGATTCGAGCAAACACAAATTCTCACCCTTCAAAATCAAACCGCCTATCCGTCCCATAGAGCAAGCGAAGAATGGTGATTTAATCGCAACTATTTCCTTCATAAAAAAAGACCGATTGCGAAAGACGGAGAATTACCAAAATCTCCCTCATTCAAATATTGATAGTGACTAAAGTAAGCTGGGATTTTATCTTTTTTTTCTATCAACTCAAACAGATCCTAGCTGGTGCTGCAGGCGTCCATTTTGAAGATCAGTTGGCATCAGAGAAGAAATGTGGTCACATGGGAGGAAAGGTTCTTCTGCCAACTCAACAGTTTATCAAAGTCCTAAACGCTGCTCGTTTTGCTACTGACGTCATGGGTGTTCCTACCGTTATCATTGGACGAACAGATGCTGAGTCAGCGGCGCTTGTGACGTCAGATATCGATCCACGTGACCAGCCATTCTTGACTGGCGAAAGAACAGCCGAAGGATTTTATCGATCAACCGCTGGGCTGCAGCAAGCCATTGCTCGTGGATTAAGCTACGCTCCATATTGTGATATAATCTGGTGCGAGACAGGTAAACCTAACTTGGACGAAGCGCACATGTTTGCCGATGGAATCCACTCCATGTTTCCAGGAAAGCCGCTCGCATACAACTGCTCGCCTTCCTTCAACTGGAAAGCCAACCTCAGCGATAAGGAGATTGCTGAGTTTCAGAAAGAACTTGGTAAAATGGGCTACAGATATCAGTTTATTACCTTAGCTGGTTTTCACTCGCTTAATCATGCTATGTTCAAGTTAGCACGTGACTACAGAGATCACGGTATGTCTGCCTACACCAAGATTCAAGAAGACGAGTTTGCGCAAGCGCAATTCGGCTTTACAGCACATAAACATCAGAGGGAGGTAGGGACAGGATATTTTGACCAGGTAAGTATGGCGGTCAGCGGAGGCACAAGTTCAACAACAGCTTTGGAAGGATCAACTGAAACGGAACAATTTTGTAGCCACGACTTGGACTCACAAAGGATCAGTGCTAATTAATGAGAAACCGAGATCGTTTGAATATATGTCATAAAAGGTAACTAAAGAAAATCTACTAAATGTATATAGGACTTTTGATGAATAGTGAAGATATATGACGTAAGATATTTAATATTTGACCGCGTACACCGACTACAGATCCAAATAATTTATTGAGGATATTAAACAAAGTATTCTTATGAACAAAATCCACCAGAAATACGTTAAAACTTTTTTCATCAGCGAAATGTATGTATACTTTTGTATTTATGTTGTGAAATGAGAATGAAGAATATTTGATCAAGACACGGGAAGATTTTATGTTTCATGGCTCTAAGAACATGCATGTTTAAACTTAATTTAGCAGTAAGTAGTTCCCGTCACGTCTTGTCTACTGTCTTAAAAATTGGCTAGGTTTCAAAATAAATTTGCGTTTAATCAAGTCAATCATGCTACCTCTCAACCTTTATTTGCGAAAATAACAATTAATTTTAAAATTTTACATCACTTTTGTTTCGGCATAATTTAAATTTTTTTCCCATAAAAGGTGTACCCTCAGCCTTTTGAATTCGTTATACTGATGTATATTGATAAATTTTGCGTGTATTTCCGAGATCGACTCGTGGATGGTGTACAATAAACTAAAAGTGAACAGAGGAAAGACGGAGCTATTGATCTTGAGTGCGCGACATCGTCCACCCCCCATCAATAGAGTACGTCGATGTGTTTGGTGAACAGATCTAGCCATCCCCTTCTGCGAGAAACATTGGGGTTATTTTCGATGAGCACATGCTATTAGATAAACATGTCACCTGTATCTGTAAGGACTACTTCTTCCACCTCAAGAATATTAGCAAGACAAGAGAATGTTTATCCGGCTAGCAGACACCGAAAAGTTAGTCATTACATTTAAGTTAGGTAATACCAATTCGTTATTGTATAGACTACCCAAATCTCTGATAGATCGCCTACAATTGTAAAATTTTTATTTTGATTTCCAATCGTAATCATTGTAAAGCGCCTTTGAGCTAAAGGAAATAGCGCTATAAAAATAAAGTATGACAGCCTATGAACCTTTCCTAGAAAAATAAATCTTGGCAATTGAAAAAACTGCTGCTTCAACAAATTCTTCCATCGCGACGTCAGAATACATATCAAAATATCTTTATGATAGAAGACAACATACCGTTATGAAGATCAGCAACCACTTGTGTCGATTAAGAATGAAGACATTTAAAGAACTGATTATGGGAGGTTTCAAAAAAATGAACTATCGAGTTCTCTTCAGGAGCGCATATCACAACCCATCAAAACTGGACTCATCACAACAGCCAATCACAGCAAAGCAAAATATCACAAGGAGTCAACGAGTAATACAAATTAGAGAAGCCATGATCTTTTGCATTTCTTAAACTGGACGGCGTTAGCTTTACCGGTGATCTCATTACACTAAACATTAATTTAATTCCACCTTAATGCAACACTGACGGATGAAATTTTCATTCTTGGGGTGAAAATTTATCGAGCAGTACTGATTGTTCCTGAGTTAATTGGTCTTAATGCGATATAAGTTCTGTGGGTGTACGTTGCATGTTTTCCGCGCTATCCCGGCCTCTTTCTTATGTAAAAATCCTCACGAAATTCAGTGACTTTACATAATTGTCATTTTAATTCAGTCTACTTCAGGTCAGACTTCCAATTGCGCAAACCGCCGCACGTATTTTTAGAAACTACCAAAAAAAAATGATGGTTCTGAACATCCTGTTTTGTGACATTAACCATCCGATGGTCAGTATTGCCGCGTTTAATTTTAGTAGCTTTTTCCAGACTCTAGACAACCTTCTCGCTTTCAACCAGAATGGCTCTTAGTAAAGGTCTCAAGATGAACACACTGTTAAAAATTTGCACACGAAAGTACGGATTTACCGTTATTCGACGGGACTATGGACCAGAAGCGGTGGAGAAACTCCGAGGATCGTTAATCTGTAATGTAAATGTAAATGTAATTTGGTGCGAGACAGGTAAACCTAACTTGGACGAAGCGCACATGTTTGCCGATGGAATCCACTCCATGTTTCCAGGAAAGCCGCTCGCATACAACTGCTTGCCTTCCTTCAACTGGAAAGCCAACCTCAGCGATAAAGAGATTGCTGAGTTTCAGAAAGAACTTGGTAAAATGGGCTACAGACATCGGTTTATTACCTAAGCTGGCTTCCACTCGCTTAATCACGCTATTTTCAAGTTAGCACGTGACGTATGTCTGCCAACACCAAGATTCAAGAGGACGAGTTTGCGCAAGCGCAATTCGGCTTTACAGCACATAAACATCAGAGGGAGGTAGGGACAGAATATTTTGACCAGGTAAGTATGGCGGTCAGCGGAGGTAAAAGTTCAACGACAGCTTTGGAAGGATCAACTGAAACGGAACAATTTTGTAACCACGACTTGGACTCAGAAAGGATCAGTGCTAATTAATAAGAAACAAAATTTTGTACGATAAAAGAAAAATTATTTTACACTTTTTTAAAAATAAATTAAGAATTAACTCGTCGACAAATACATTCACTGACGGAAAAATAACTGTAATAGTTTGGCTCAGTTATTTATCAAGAGGCTTATTGACTATTTAGTTGTCGTGCAGAATGATGTCCATCTTCCTTTTACAGCGATTTTCAACGAGACTCTGGTATAGCCTTTCAGTATTATGTTAATTTATGCACGAATTGTGTATTTCTTGTCGCTACAGATGTGAAAGTTTGAGGACAATTTCTTACTATTACGGACATGCTTAATCTAATGAGATGCGTGCTATTGAAAAACTCTAACTCTTTAAAATGACCTGTGTCATACAGTCAGTGCCACGTTAGACGGAGGCATGCAATTATGCTATCGTTGGACGTTGGGTCAGCATACGCTGAGTTGCAATAGTGCGCATGCTCCTTACTGTATTTATATGTTATGTGCACTGTATTTGCTATGATCGCTTATTAACAACATGCATTAAAACTGACAGATATCAGTATCCCTCTGTAAACATAATTAAAAGATGATACTATTTCTTTAGTACAGAGCAATTGAAGAATACACTTGTTCTGGGCTGAAAAAGATGATCAGAGCGCATCTCGTTTTCTTATCTGCAAACTTTTCGAAAAGCGTAAACCCCTTCAGGAAATTGATATTTTTTTCCTGCTGCCTGTTGAAGGAGAAATGAATTTTTTTTTAAAGTATGCGTCGCCTCAGGACTTCATACAAAGAGAGCAACCCATTGTGCAAATTCTCTTCATTTCAAAATGCATCTAATGCAGACCAGAGTAACAATTATCAGCGATCAATAAATGTCTTTACAGTCAGTGGAAGGGAAAATCTAATGAGGAAAAAAAGGGGGAAGGGCCCTCAGGAGAGGTGCCAGTGCCTGTGTACCCACGCCCTCCTCCCACTCCTTTTTGGTGTATGGAAAAAGGATGATTTGTAACAATTCGTCACTGAAATGCTACTTGATATAAATAAGACACTTAAGTGGCCATCACAAGCCCTCACGGATTAATAGACATGGGAATACAGGGAATACAGAGTTAGATCAGTTGACGCCTCGAAGCCAGTTTAGTTTAGCTTTGTGCATGAGATTTAGTTTCTCAGGAACACGTCAGAGAACTCTTCTGGGAGCGAAAAAAGAAAAAAAAACGATTAAAAGCTTTATACACGTCAAATGTATGCAAGAATATAAATGACATCAACCATCAACCAAATTCTTACAACCAAATAATATAAATTCATAATAAATAAATAAATGCAACTTCCTATTTTCAACGTCAATTAGATGAGATTAGGATAAGAACAATACACTCTTCAAAAATAGAAATAAGATTAAAATTTTAAAACTATATAAAACCCTTAAATGTTTGTTTTTCTCGATTCCAGCGATCAGCAATTTAAGAAATAAAAATCTTCTATATGTCGTATTTTCCACGACTAATTATTATAATAGTAATTTATGCGCCTTTTGACCGTTAAATTTTTAACTTGCTCTTGTCTCTAAAAACAAATTATTAGCATATTAGCATTGGATTCGTTCAAAAAAAGTTCCGAGTTGAATCGAAGATTTCTCCGAATACCGTTAGTATGTTAGACGCCAGTTCTTGAATAGAGGTACTCTTCATTCGTATTGGTCTCTTAGGAACTCATGGGCGCGGCTAGGCGAGGCGAGAGTGGAGCCTCCTTGGGTACCCTCCTGCTTTTTAAAAAGAAATAATTTATGTCGATAAAAATATTGTATTGTTCCTAAATTCCAATATGAAGTTCGCAGGGGACCCACCCATTGTTTAACTCTCGAGCCTCTTCCATACTCAGAGGATATAAGTGAAGAATTCATACGAAATTAGGAAAGATTAGGAACTGACCAGAAGAGACAAAAATTCTTTCGTTCCTAACCCATTCCTCACGGTGCAAGTCAAACAAAAATTTACGAATTACGAAAACGAGAATTTTCATGTAAGGCTAGTATTGGGGCAGTGTGGTGAAAGCTCACAGCATCTTTAACGAGTAGTTTTCAAAGTAGACTTTGGCCTACCACCTGTTGGAAATATTCTTTTAGAAATAAGTTTATAGCAAACGTAGTTATAACCAGGCTTGAAACCGAGGCTCGGGTGACAACGCACGCTGGTCCCCAGTCTCCTGTAACTCTCCATCAGCAGGAAGCATATCTGCGATCATTTCCTCAAGAGTAAACTGACGCTGAGGTCGTGGAAACGCATCGATTTCTTGATCTTTTCTTCTCTTCTCCCGCGACGATGATGTCGATGACGACTTTCTCGTTTTGACATTGGAATTCTCGAATGGTTTCTCTCCCGGAATCTGTTTAGGACTTGTAAAGATTTCGGCGCTTCCGTGGGAGTTTGAGTTCGAGACGTTCTTGTTGATGTCATACACTGGTTGATCACGCGGAGAGTCATTTTCTTCATCAGGTGTGATAACGCAATGTTCAGTTTCTATTTCATCGTTTCCAGGAGAACCGTCCTAAAATAACAGTTTTGTAACAGATAGATTAATGCTTAAAGCAAAGTTTTGTTTCATTGTAAATGCAAGCGCAATAATTGGTAGGGCTGATCTTTAAGAAATGGATGATTCCTCTCTCAATGTTCTAGGATTGCTCGAAAATATTTTGCTTGCTTTTTACTGTCACTTGCGGCAGCAAACAGCACGATCTACGATGCAGAATATCGAAAAACGCAAAATTATACACATCCTATCCTAAGCTGTCCCGTCTATGACTTCCTTTATTGCATAGAAGGTCTAAAGCAGTTTAGGGAAATCATAAACTGAGTAATTGAATCATCAACTATATAATTATTACCTTGATAAGCTCGTCGGGTGATGGAGACCTGACGCGAGGGGCCTGGTAATTACCCTTGTCCAACTGCACGCCGACCGTTGATTTGTCTAATTTGTGTTTACCAGCGCTGATGACGTAAGAAGTTTTGCCAACCGCTGCAAAATTCTTTTTTCCTCTGGGAGAATCATTTTTATTACTACCTCGTTTTTCGATACTACTTATGAGGGACTGGACGAGTGACCACCTTTTAGGAGACCCACTAGTGGAGTCTTCTTCATCTGGAGATCGGTCATTGCGTGACTTCTCGACATCAAAGAACATAGCTTTGTCCTGAGGTTGTAACAACGGTCCATCCACTTTGTCTGGAGGCTCTTCGCAGGTGTCTTTTGCAGATGCATCCTCAAAAATGCGCCTTTTCATTGTGGGAGTCACCGAGCCTTGTAGATTCAAATTGAACAGGCAATCTCTGAGTGACTGCTGAGAGTGTCCTGATTGCGAGTTCTCTGGCTCCATAGTGGTTTCCAAGGTATTCCGTTCCAGGTCTACCGAGTAAAATAATCTAGAAGCAGGACTGGTCCCAAATGAGAGGTCACTTGACGCTTCGGAGAGACCTGAGTAGCGCTGACTCCTCAGATCGTAATCGATGTCGGTCAAGTCGCTTAAAAGGTCGCTGGTGACATCACTGTCAGTCTCGAAAGAACATTCTAACATTTCCCGCTTTCCATTCACAGAAAGATTTTCAAAAGGCCTTTCATCTGGCGAGGAGATATCTCTTGCAAGAGAACTTCCATCGATCGCCTTAAAATGTTCACTTGAATTATCATGTTGCCCATTTAGTTCACCATCATTAACAACAGGGGTGCTATCTTCAAATGCTGTATTACTCAACTGGTCGTCCTCAATTTCATCTTTTTCATTTCGCACACCTCCAAGTTCCCTTCCCTTTTTCTCCTCACGAGTTTTTTTCGTGATCTTTTTTGTCGCCTTCCCGTTGTTATAATCTTTAATGGCTGGTTTACTTACAAGCTCCTTTCGAGGAGAAGGCGGCGTTGGCTGAAGTTTTCCTCTGTCTTTCACCTGCCCGCCTTTTGGATCTGCTTTAATGCCATTAGCTTGAAAGCCACTCTCGCGTGCCGTGGAAGGCTTTCTTTCCCTCGGTGTGGATGGCAAAGTCCTATGTGTACTTCCTGTTGATATTTTTCTAGTGGCCTGCTGATCTGGTTTGTGCTGGTGGCTGGGTATCTTCGATGTAATGGGCTTCCCTCTCCTCTCTTGTTTTTCTTCCGCTGACCTCTGCGCAGGCTTAGGTGAGCTAGGTGACCGAGCCTTTCCAACTGTTGCAACTGAAGATGATCGGCGCCTAGCACTAAGCTCCCTCTTTTGTGTTTCCTCTGTGTAAGGAAAGTAGCCATGTGAGTTATCTGGGAATCAGGTAACCTTTCTCTTACGTGACAATAATCATCGAGTGAAGAGGGGAACATTTTAAGCAGGTTTTCATACCCCGCCTATACTTCAAAACTTTAACTTACCCCTATTATCAGCTCTTCCGGGTATGGCAGAGGACCCCCGTCTCTGCGTTTCCCTTGCTGGCTGTGAGCTGGCCATAGTTTTAGAGCGAGGTTCCATTACAGGTATCAAGGTGCGTGGTCTAGAGCCGAAGGAGGCGCTTCTAGATACTCCCACCCCAGCAGACCTCGGCCTTTGAGAGTCAACAGGGCCACTCTGGCTTAAGCGACTTCTAGCGCTAGGAGATTCACCTCGTGCCCTGGTTATGGATGATTTTCGGGGAGTGGTTGCAACGCTTTTTTTGCGAGATTGTTCAGGGGCATTTGCCCCCTTGGATGCGCTGTCACTTGCTGTTACACTTTGCCTTCGTATGGATGACGAAGTCGGTTTGTAATAAGAAGGACTAAGGTTTAATTCTTGCATGCTTTTGCTTTTTCTTGTCAGCCGCCCACGGGCCTGTGTATCGATGGTTCTGGGCGGTGTGTCACGTGATAATGTGTCTCGTCTTTGACGCGGCTGCAGCCTTGGAGAACTTGAAGGTGAAGGGCTTCTGGAGGGAGACCTGCTAGTAACTTGTCTCACAGGATCTCGTGGACTCTTTAGCTATAAACAAATCACGGCCTTGGTAAGTATCACAACGCTGTAACGGGTCATATTTTTTTAAAGATGCTGCCTGTGCCAATCAGGAGCTATAAAAATCACTAAGTATCGATCTTCCATTATATAATAAGCTCAGTTATGCACGCATTCTGATTGGTTCCCACTTATGATTTATTGGAGGACAGACGTATAGATGACGTCATCATTAAAACTTTTTTCCTTATATTTTAATTCTTTATTATCTAAAACAAAAAGAATAGTGACACACCAGTGACACACTCAGTGACACACTCGGCTGCGCCTCGTGTGCCACTTTTTTGTTCTTACCACATTTTGACGTCATCTGTGATCTATTACTGAACAGACCACGGCAACTTGGAATCTATGTGTTAATTTGAAGGGCCATCAGGGCCCTAATTTACCTTTGCCCAAAATTTAAGGAAGATTGTCGTTAAACAAAAGAAGTAATAACATAATATGATCACAAAATAATTAATATGATAACAAATATTATTGTTATTATTATTGAGTGTCAGATGTTCCTACGAAACCGAATAGAGAAGCTGTCAAAGAATAGCGGAGAACCCTATGCAGCAATGATCTCACGGATAAGGTGAAGTTTGAGGTTTTTAGATCAGTGCATGAATGCCAGAGGCTCTGGATTCTTGAACACCATTTCGTAACGCAAATGAAGTCTTAGATGATATAGATTGAATGTTATCGTTGCAGGAGTTTTTCTGATTTAATTCCGCCTCCCTTTCTACCCAATGTGTATCGTGAATATTCAGAAAGGTTTTTTGGGGAACATTACCATAGGTCAAGTTACGTTTTCACAGTCTATGATGAGCTTTTGATCACTTTCAAGCGTTACATTTTAATATGGAACTGATTTTTAGCTTTAGCTTATGATCGCATCTTAACCTCGTAAGTCTGTTGGAAATATTATTTTACTATGTTTTAAGTTATTTGTACCTGGATATGAAATATGCTTTTGGCATGTAAATTTTATATTTATCCTTTTCACTATCACCATTATTATTTTCATTACCACGAAATCGAGAATTTTCGAATAAAGTTAACTTTAACTTGAAAGTAGAAGTGGGGTTTTTTTTCCCCCACAATACCACGTGAACCAACAGGGAGACACTATCATAAAATGAAGCTATGGCTACTTTTCCGAGTCAACTCCTTTCTAAAATAAAATCGTATCGTAAACTGCCGAAATTTTGTCCAAAAATTCCCCGATCTAGAGAATCGATGTAATATATATATCTATATACATATTTTTTTGCGTTCAAACCGAGAAAGGACGTAAAAATTGACATGTTAGGGCTGAGAAATGAAATTAAAAGAAAACTATACCCTTGTAAAAAAACGACCCTGCCAGGACTCGAACCTGGAATCCCCTGATTCGTAGTCAGATGCCTTATCCATTGGGCCACAGGGCCACCACGCCCTATATAGGGTGTAATTGCTATATTTAATCCATTATGAATAAATAGCTACCCTTGCACAACCGGCAGCGCCAAACATTTTTCCTAATAAAATGGTGTATCATTTGAGTGTTCAATAAAGAATGCCTCGAGTAGAATTTGTGGAGAAAACAGGTTATTTGAGTGGAATGTTTGTACAAGGCATTCTAGATTTTGTCATGATCGCGGTCCAAAACCTGTAGTGACCTGCACAGCTGTAATTCATTGCCGCGTCGTTGAAAAATCTTTTCCAAAGCTCGGATGAATTGACGGGAATTAAGATTGCTTTGCTGTCTTAATTTTTTTTTTCATAATCACGGGAATTTTCATGAACCGGCGTTTGAACCGCTAACGACTGCACCCACAAAGCGATAGTAAAATTTTTTCCTCTTCCACGAATAACAGAAATTAGATTAAGTTTAAAAAACTTGGTTTACTTTCATCCCCACCAAAGAACAGAAAAGAAATAAGAAAAAAAGAAACGTCATAAGATAATTAAGGAAAAAGAATTCGTCCCCGGGTGGGCTTGAACCACCAACCTTTCGGTTAACAGCCGAACGCGCTAACCGATTGCGCCACGGAGACCGGCTTGGTCATTATAGCGGAATTTTAACTATATATTTCATTTAAAAATAATTGCGCCTCAAGTTACCTTCAAAAAGTGCCTTTGAATTGATAATAATTTCCATATCTTCTTTTCTATGAAAATTTTCAGGGTCTAAAAACCTCACTGTTTTCTAGTATATAGTTTACCATTAAACAAAATAAATTTGATGTTCATATATTCATCACGATTTCAGGACACTCACTAAGTAAAAACAACACAAACAAATGTATTGCCAAACGTTGTCCGAAATTTGCCTATTTTTGTTTAGTACTCATTGTATAAAAATGAATAGATCTTTAACGAGTTTAGGCTTTTAGTCTTTCCTCTCCGTTCTCATTTAAGTGAGCTCCAATGACGATGATCAGGAACTTGTAATTATAATGCTGTACAACGAGCGAAACTTTACTGATGATTTTCGAGAACAAACCTGTGAGGAAGTGTTCTGAGGAGAACTCCATGACTGGGCGCGTCCGTGAGACACAGGCAGACCACATGAATCGTGGCTGTCTGAACTGGATAAACTCATAGAGCTTGGCGATCTGCCCATCACATCGCTTCCACTACGCGACCGAGGAGATTTAACGGAGTTTCTCCTCTGTCTCTCTATAGTTTGAGGGTAAAATAAAAGGGAAACAAGAAATTATTGGGGGAAATTGAACAGTTTATCAATTTTCCACACAGTTAGGACAGTTGATCCGACCCAGCGATGGGAAACAGATAAAGCATTGTGAGCCGTGCGATTTTACAGAAATGATGGGCTGGTAAGCACCTTTCAAAAGGGAAGTTTTAAAAAATATCCTCCAAAAATTAAAATCAAAATTTCTTCAATATCGAATCACTGTGTCAGATAGATTCCTTGAAAGGAGAATCAGAGCGCTGCAGTATTTCCTGAAAATATTTCTTCCTTCTTCGTCTTTGAATGGAACCATTGGATCTTCGTCAATTATTCAAGTATCCAAAATGTCTCAGAGAATAGTCGCTTAATAAAAATAGTCAGGAAAATCCTGGTAGCAATCCGATAGATTTAATGATTCAGCAATATTCTAACAATATTTTGATAGCAATATTTTCTTAATCACCCTACCTGTTATTTTACATGGATCGTGTTTCTCGAAATATCTCTCCAGAGTATCCCAACCCCCGCCAACTCGAACCATTACGTGCTTGCGCATGACCTGACAAGACATAAAATCGGAACGCTCGAGCTGCAGCTATCTTTCGGACCAATGATGTATTTTCTAAAAATCTCATTGTATCAGACACACACCAGAAACAGGAGTTGCATTCGATAACTAGAGAAATTCACGCAGGTCATGTTTTTCGATGAGGACAAATACACAATAAAAGAAAAAGCACAACTAAAACAGAAACACTTTAAAGACCAAAAAATTCTTTTTAGCAGTTTTTTAAATATCATGTTGTTGTGTGTAGAGATTTTTTTTTTCGCTTCCGTGCCCAACTTAGAAGAACGCGAAGGGCCTGGCCTAAGCAATAATTGTTAGTTCGCCTCTGCACGTGTATATACATATATTTATATTTTAATACAGTCATATTCCAGCTCTTCCTTACCCTGACGAATATGAGTGACTTTGCCTCGCCAACTCTGTATTTTCCTTCCCCGACACGGAACACTGGGTACCGCACAGGGCATGTGCACTGCTCTAATACTTGGTAAACCTGTTCAGGGTAATCAGACCGAAAACCAGGATCAATTTTGTGCGCATGAAGAGGCACTTTTCATGCGTCTTGTTATCAACTCAACTTGACTAAGAGGAGAAATTTTGCTGATATACTGCAGTGGCGGATCCAGACCCTGAGCTAAGGAGGGGTGCGGTTTTTGGTCGCTTGCCCTGCCCTACCGGCTTTTCTTCCTTCGGCGATTCTTACCTTTTCACCCAAAATGAGGGGTAGGGGGGGACCGGGTCCCCCCGGGCCCCTTCCCTGGATCCGCCACTGTACTGAACATCGCAAACTGAGCACGTATGGAAAACAAAATTCGTAACAAGGAAATATTCTCACACTCGGAAAATGATCGAAAATTTACATGCAAATGTGCAGTTTTACAATTAACTTGACTAAGAGGAGAAATTTTGCTGATATACTGCAGTGGCGGATCCAGACCTTGAGCTAAAGGAGGGGTGCGGTTTTTGGTCGCTTGCCCTGCCCTACCGGCTTTTCTTCCTTCGGCGATTCTTACCTTTTCACCCAAAATAAGGGGTAGGGGGGACCGGGTCCCCCCGGGCCCCTTCCCTAGATCCGCCACTGTAATGAACATCGCAAACTGAGCACGTATGGAAAACAAAATTCGTAACAAGGAAATATTCTCACACTCGGAAAATGATCGAAAATTTATATGCAAATGTGCAGTTTTACAATTAAAGATAATATATTTGCTTTGGACAGTGTCATCTCAGAAAAATAATGGTAAAATACTTGAAATATGCCCCTTGAGAGATGCCTTCTAAGGCAGACAAAAAAAAACACCAACAAGACTAAGGTTTAACAATTCAAATAACCAATTAAAGTTCCAAATAGATATTGAATTAAAATGAGGTATTGAATTCATGATTTATATCGCGTGAGTGATCGCTTGATTGATTCACAATAAGTTATGGTGAAGAATATAGACAACTAAACAAAATATTGGCATCTCGTCAAAGGCCCTTCAACCTCTCTTTGGTTTCTAAAAATCCAAGTCCAAAGTCTTGATTCAACTCCTTTCAATTTATCTTCTAGCGAAAGTTTAAAGAGGAATTTTAAAATGTTTCTTATCCTCCACACCTAGCTGATGTGCAAATATACCCTAATGCAGGTAAAAGATTAAACAAAGCAAGCTAAGACAATTCAGCATGACTAACAGGTTGAGTGAGAGGAAATTGTCTGCCATTTAGAGTGACTGCCGCTAAAAGCTTAAATATAAAAGATGTGTTTGCTTATCGTGGCATAATATGGATAATAACTGGCCGTTAACTAATTTGTATCGTGATATTCAAGAACTAAAGATAGCTTGAGTGTATAATCGATCGAGACTCTACGGCGTCTGGATGCAAACAATTATGTTTTCAATTAGCTTGAATATTCAAATACTCAGGATTATTTATCAAGTTTCGTTTCTTGCCTAATCCAAAAACTTTCTTTCGCGCACACTGGTGCAACTCTATAGACAGAGGTACAAAATTCCACTCTGACACAAATTCATATTCTCACGTACAAAATGAGGATTCGTCACGTGACGTATGTGGTTAATACAGGGTGAACCTTACTACAATAGTTTAAGTTCAAGATTATTGTCATTTGAGAGACTTTACAAAACGGAAAGGCGCCTAGTTTCTGTTTCGTCAAGGATACATTTTTGGAAAAACAACAATTTATGAAAATGAAACATTACAAATTTTGAAACACTGACGCATGACATGTTGTAAATATCCCTTTTCCTAAATAGATATATTAAAACCAAAGAATACAGGTTAATACGACTTCATTTTTCTTTGAGACTTTTCGTAAATATGTTCTCCTCCTTCTTTGTGATTACTGTTTGGCTGGTTAGAAAAAAAACAGGACTTCTGATCATGCATAATTTTTCGGAATAATCCTGATGTTTTCGGCACGCTAAAGAAAACACCCACGAGAGTTTGTAAAGTAAAACCAAAATACACCTGCAGTACCACTCAGTTAGCGTGTTACCCACGTCAGCAACAAGGCTCCCAAGCAACGATTCGAAATGAAAATTTACCACAAGAAAAAAATCTAATTTTTCAACACGTTTCATTTTTGATTAAGACTGATTTGGTGGAGATTCTAGCTGAATTAACAGATTAAATTTCATATTCGCCCGTTAGAGTTCCAAAGCAACACGTTTTTGGGCATGTGTTATAAAAGGACCTAAAAACCGCGTATGAAAAAGCTTAAGATTCACAAAAGATAAAGGCAATAACCAGTGTAAACAACAAGGGAGGCATATGTTAGTAATAAAGAGAGTCCGAAATCCTTGAAGAGCTTGTTTGCCTACGAAAGAAAATGTTTTTGAGTGGATAAATTATGAAAATGATTTGTCCACTCCAGGTTGCAAAGTCGATAGCGATTCAAACCTAATTTTAGTCTAGTTATTTACGGAATTCAAATGACGGAGACGCACCCTCCGACCACCTAATTTAATTTGTGTTTAGAACTGGTGTTGAAAAACCTGTAAAGGGATCAATGGATTAGCACAAACGGATTTTAACGAACTTAAATGTCAACACCGATCGAGGAGGCGGATTATTTCGTTATACCAAACCAAGCATGAATTTTGTCCTTTAAATTCTGAAAATCAAGTTCCAAGCCGTTTTGCAGATGATCAAAAGTGTACAAATTATTCGTCATAAAGCTAAAAAATGTCCATTGAGAGGTGGCGATTACTGAAATTATAAAGACATATGCAAGGTTGTATTATTGGGGATGTTTTAATGCATTAGAACTATCATGTGAAGTGGCAGAAAAAACATTGGATGTTTGGACCCGCAAACACGCCATGGAAACATAACATTAAAATCAAAATATGCAACCGAAGTTTTCTTTCTTCTCCCATATCTTTTCCGCCTTAGAAAATTCACCGCACCTAAGAGGGTACTGCTCATGATTTCTTAGCATTCCGATCAGACACAAGGAGCTAATATTACTCGGATTTCAGAAGCAAATTTAAATACGAGAACGTGATAGCAAAATGTAATCATTAATGTTTCCTATAAACTTTTGGATCTAATTCCACGTTTTCATCCAGCTTGAAAGCGTTAAAAATTCAATTCGAAAGGAACGTAATGGTGATGTTCCAAAAATATTTCAGTTTTGTTGAAAAAAGATTGAAATTAACGATAATGTTCCAAATTATGAAAGGTGGGTGATTAATTTCTTATAGAAAGTGCGAGAATGGTCAAACCTATTTACAGCATAAAATATGATTTATTTGCTCAATTTCAAATGAATTTCTTCGGTTCAGAGTTTTTCATTAGAAGCGTATAATTTTTCTAAGCCTAAAAATGCAACAAGGAGAAACTTTGTACATTTACGTCTCAGTGAATCAGTCGCGTGTTACCCCCTCGCTGTTGCTACGATATATTAAGAACCTGCGCACGTTCTCCATAATAAGCTTAAAACGACTCACAGCTACGATTTTCACCTTCACTGTTAAAAATCACAAGGACTTTGTCTTCCTTTTTGTGAGGATTAAACAGAAAAAGAACATGGTCTTAAAACTACAACCTACGATAGCTACTTAACTTTCCTGTAGAAAAAAAAAAAGAAATTTGAAATGAAAAACACATGCAACGTTCAATAATGGTAAAATTAACATTCGATCCTCATGCTAAACAGCTCCAAAATAATTCAGTTTTTTTTATGACAAGATTACAGCGTATTTAAATATGATCTGATGTAAACCTGTGCCCTTTCCATTTCGTCGATCACAACACACTTTATTACTTTCCTATTTCGGTAAAAATCGTATGTTAGCTTTTTTTTTCAGATGAATGATTCGAATCCTTTTGTAATGTAGTTACATACGTATTAATACAGGGAAAATTAAAACAATGTTATAGATTCTAAAAATATTACGACTAAGACCTTGGTAAACTATTGACTACTCTGCGTTGGTTTTTTTTTTTTTTTTTTTGGCAATAGCTCGAGGTGATTTGATACACAGTTGAAGGAAAAATCAGAAACATCAATGGCTAGCGCGTGAAGTTACTCGTTTTGTAATGCAAACAAGGAGAGTAAGCAAAGCACAATATGACGATAATGAAAACTCTTTGAAATAGGAAAAATCAATCTGTCAGACGTGCCTAATTTGAATAATGGTAGTATAGCGAATTTTGTACAGTTTTTCGACTATGGGGGTATATTATTTCATACTGCGATTTTTTGTCGTTATGTGTATATTTCACTTCATCATTCAACACGAGCGCGATAATCTATTGACATTTTATTTTCGAACTAATCGATAGACGTCCTTTTACTCACCAAATCATCTAGACTGTGCGATTTATTCTTCCTCTGTAAACGAATCACCGGTTCCGCTATAACCTCCTCTGGTTGCTGTTTTATTTCTTCGTCTATCTCGTTCTCCATTCGGACCAAATCCGGCGGTTCAAGTCCGAATTTTACGCTCAAGCGCGCCATTTCCATAAGGGTCAAAATAACAGATTTCTCGTTCTTGTGAAGAACAAGGTCTTCCGTCTCAAACATTATCACATCCGATACTCCCAACTCTCGACACCAGCGAATAAAATTTGCCACGTTATCCCTGGCGATAAATGAACCGTGGAAACCTGTTCTCTCTTTGTACGTTACTCCGCAAGGAGGAAAGTTATTTCGAGGAATAAACGAGTGCCGGTGAAGGAATTCTTCTCCTGTGTTCTGGATCACGTTAGCTAGCCTACACAATACCACTCCTGTATCGAGATCTTCCATCAACGTCTCTACCGTTATCTCCGAGCCAGATATACGCGACATCCATGGAGCCAAATCCTCCTTCATCGCCAACATACATTTATCCAATAATTCTGTTTTATCCCTATTCCAATCCGCCATGTTTCTAGTCCAGCTGTAGTCCTTATTAAGCGAGGAATTACGTGAAAATGTTTTTTTTCCAATTGGTCCGTTCCTATTGGCTTTGAATGCTATTCGCCGGCAGCGTGGTAACTCGGTTGATGCATAGCGTCGAACTATAACAACCAGACTGATCCCTTCACGACTGTGTTTAGAAACGGCGTTCCAGACATAGAGATAGGTAATTTAAAGCGCGCGCACGCTATCTCAGTGACTGGATGTCAGCATCGTCTACCGCATATTCATAACAAACTCTAATCTCCGTCCGCTTTTGTTTACACTTCGCGTCTGATCGCTCCGGCTGAACTAGCATCAATAGTTAATGACACATGGCTTAGAATACCTTTCTTCCGAGGATATTAAAGCTTAGTGGTGCGATAAAAGTCTGTAGTGTTATTGCGGACCAGTTTTGTACGTCCATTGCTTTTGATGTCTTTAGCGAGACGACAGCTGAGCGGGAAACACCAAACACCACACAAAAGTTTTGTGAACAAAACGGTGTTGCGCATTAAGTCCTCACGCTGCGCAAAATTCGTTCTTTAAATGATTTCCCTAGGGGTGGTCGCTTTCTTGCGTGTTTGTTTGCTTGTTATTGCGTTCTTGGAAAGTGCTCTATCATATGGACAAATATAATTATTTATTGCTGACAAACAGATTTGAAGAGACTGTGACATCTCTAAGATTTGAAACAACAAAGTGACCGATCGGACCGGGTCACGCTTGGTGTATTGAATTTCGAGTGAGTGCTTTGCTAATTGCCGGAAGTTACAATAGAGCGTGAATTTAGACCGTCTACTTCCGGCAGTTGCATGGCTTAAGTTTTTCGCCTTGTTCCTATCAGCGCTTATCGAGAAGTTACAATCTTAACAAAGTATTTTGCTATCAAAGATTGGCCTTGAGATAAAAGGAGTGATAGATGCTGCGGGATGAGTGGATATTTCTCCTACAACCTGTAATCTCTTGGAAAGGAAATAGGTGGAAATTATTGCGTTGCGGAATGCTTGTGTCGTGGGTACTTTTCGAATTCTTTTTGAAATGCCAAGAAATCATCAGGAATCCAGTCCGATTCATCAACAAAAAATTAATTTCTAACGGAGTAGAGGTTTGTTTCTACGAACGTGAGGTTCGCAGTTAATTTCGTCTGCGATATTGGTTAGTTTCATAATCTTTTAAGAGAAAGTTGAGGCCCCTATTTTATGTTAACCTGAGTGCTTTCTTTTCTTTATTTTTTTTTTGTTTTTTGTCTTTTTTTTATCTCAGCTTCTGAAACCTATCATGTTTCTTAATGATTCTAATGTCCATACAAAGGACACACTCAAAATCCTTGGGGTGGTCCTAGATAGCAAATTAACATTTAAAGCGCACATAAAGCAACAGCTGAATAAGGGATGCGCAAAGGCTTCGGCTTTGCGGAGAATATGTAAGTTTATTTCAAAGGACGTGTTAGTTCGTTTATATAAGGCCTATGTCCTCCCTCATCTTGAGTACTGCAGTCCCCTTTTACTGGGAGTAGGTAACGCGGAGACTACAAAAATAGAGACAACTAATTACTTTATATTAAGAACTATATTAGGCTTCTCGAAGTCTGTGTCATACGACTTCCTCCTCAAGTTGGCCGACATTAAGTCTTTGGAGAATCGTAGGCAATTCCAATCGTTGGTTATGTTATATAAGTGCTTGTATGATAAGGGGGCTCCTTATATAAGTGATTTTTTTCATTTTAGAAATGTACCGTATAGTTTACGCGGGCTCAGTACAAGGCTAGATTTACCTCCTTTTAATCTTGAGTTTTTACATCGGTCTTTTTCATTTTTAGCTAGTAAACTTTGGAATGCGCTACCCCCTAGACTCAGAGAATCTCAAGATATTGCTTCATTTAAGCGTTCTCTTAAAGCCCACATGGCTTAATGGTAGTGATTGTAAATATCGTTATTGTTGTTAATATTGTTAATATTGTAACTTCTAATTGATAGCTCTTGTCCATGATTCTCGATCCTGTTTTTAGCTTTTTAATAGATTTACTTACTATTTGTATTCTTACAGATATTATGCTTTATTTCTAATTATACATACACGTACACGTTTTAACGAGAACTTCTGTACTCCTAGGTGTCACGTGTTTAAATAAAGGATTGATTGATTGATTGATTGATGTTTGTCTTTTTTCTTCTTGAAACTGAAAACCTGCTACGCGTCTTGAAACACATCTGTTTTTAAATAAGGATAACACACGCTGAATCTAGCAGGATAATCCTAAACACTATTGCCTTGCTCAAAATCGGTAGAAAGCACCAGTTGTTGACATGCTCCCAGGTGCGTTTGAAACTTTTACGAGAAAAAAGAAAGATAAATCGTAATTATAGGGTTAAAAAAGAAGTGATAGTGAAAAGTATGATTTCATTTTAAGATTTGACTGGAGCGCTTACATGATGTCAATAGCCCAGAAAGGAAGAATGCGTTCGTGTTTGGACTTCCGTCAAATAAACTTTCGTCACGATCCGTATTTAAGGACCTAGCTTGTTAAAGAAAAGCAAGATTTCATCGTTAATGATCAATATTCGTTGGTGAATACAGTCCTGAAATATGGGCAACTCTATAATTAAGTGGTTGATCAGAGAGGTTGAAGAGGAACACACCATTAAAGCAACTTTGGAAGATGGAAGCTCTCACGAGGAAGTAAAGAATGGTATGTTTTACGTTCTATTCATACTAAAAACATGACCATGATTTTTCACCAGTAGGATCCTAAAGGATTTTGGAGCCTGACAATGTAAAACGACCGATCGCATTCTAATCATAATGAACTAAGCGATGTACGCATCCGGTCATGTATCAAGCCTCACATTTTTTTTTTCGATGAAATAAATTCGTTTCAGTTTTCGAGGCTACGTGAAATTATACAAAGGATGATTTGTTTAGTTCGGTGAGCCAAACATCTCGTATCGTTGAAGAATGATTACTGAAATAAATCTTGAATACGTATTTGTAACTATTTCACTGCAGGTTCGCCGGACAATCAAGGACAAGTACCTGTATTTCAAGCCTTTGATTCCATGACAGCTAATCCACAAATGGCAGATACGTATCTGAACTTTGCTAAAGCCAGAGACCATCAGAACGATCAAGTGTACGATGGAGTACGGAATCCATATGTTTTAGTAATAAACAACGTAAATTTTATCAGAGACCCAGTTCCAAGAAATGGAGCTAAATTCGACCTCAGAAAAGTGGAGACATTTGCTAAAGAAGCTGGTTTCCAAGCTGTAAGGCAGCACAGGGACTTAACAAAACAGGAGATGGTGTACATCCTTGACGAAACCCGCAAAAACAGAGAATTGGGTAAGTTTCTCTACACTACCTCAAACAGGTTTTATGACAAGTCACCAAATACCTAGTCTACCAACTCTCTGTATCCGTTGTTGAGTCTTGCTACGCAAAGCTCCTTCTTTCCAACCTAGGAAAAGATTACGCGTGATCTAAAGGGAATAAGATTACCGAATGAGGATATGGACCGAAAGTTCAGTTACTGTACTTAGAGCGCTTTTCGATCGCGTATCCTAACAACATTAATTAAGAACGAGGCAAATACAGAGAAAGGAAAATACCCTACAGAACGAACGTAAAACAAGCCAACCACCAAAAGCGCGGAAAATTGTCGGTGACCAAATCGTGATTGGTTATAGTTTTGCATCTGATCGGTTGAGAGAGTGGTACAGGTTTTCTGAACCACTCAGAGCGAATTTAAAGACTATTTTCAAATTTAGGGGAGGATCCGTCTATGTAATTAAACGTCTCTTGAATATTTACCATTTATCTAATCATTTCTTTTTTTGCAGGTAAACATGACGCATTCATCTGCATTATCATGAGCCATGGTAATGAGACAGGAATCCTATGCAAGCACGGTGAAACCATTCCAGTAGACGAAATAACCGCTAAATTTCGTGGTGGCAAAGAGTCGTGTTCCCAGCTGGTGGGAAAACCCAAACTGTTCTTCATTCAAGCATGTCGTGGCAAAGTTGACGACAAAGGGTATTGGGTCACCAATGGGCAAGAATCAGACAATGTTTTTGCTGATAGCGCCCAGAGCGAGGAGTTGCCTGTAAAACTTCCTTCTGAGGCAGATTTTTTGATCAGCTACTCGACCACCGCGGGCTGTATCTCTCACAGGAGGTTCACAGATTCTACGGTGAAAGGAGAAAGACACAGCGAAAAATTGGGCTCTTGGTTCATCTCCTGCTTGGTGAAGGTTCTACAAGAAAATTCGCACGTTGACGACTTAATGACAATGCTGACTAAAGTGAATCAAGAAATGATCAAATATAGGACAGATGGTGGAAGCAAACAGATTCCATGCCATCTCACCACGCTCACGAGAAAAGTCTACTTTGCAAATTTCTTTGATAAGAACCGGCCTCAAACTTGCCCTTGAACCAGAGACATCTGAATAGTAATTACTTCTTTAAGTCGCGATGAACTTTCTAGTAAATGGACATGTTTTAGCTGATAGCTTTGTCATATTCATCTGTTGGCTGGGAGGACTTACATTTAGAAGTAGAACAAACCACAAATAACCCCTACCCTCTCCCGCTCAGTAGCTAGGACTTCTCATCCAAAAATAACGCGTTTGTAATTGTTTTGAAAGGTGGTTCCTGGAATAAAATAGTCAAATATTTTCTTCGACATAGATAATATGTTGCCTATCCAGGGTAAGTAGTCCAGGTAGTGGCGATACTGATTTTTTCATTTAACCAAGAGTAAATACTATAACTGTAATTTGATAAGTTTGAATTTTACATGTAGAGTTGTTAATAAAGGTTTACTGTCAACAGCACTTGAACAGAATAATTTGAGACATGGTTTGGTGCTACTCTGGTTTAAAGATTTATTGAATGTAACCGAGAAGTTACAATTCATAGACCCAACCTTTTTGACAATCCCGTCTACTGCCTTCATCAGGGGTGATATAATCGCTGTAGCAAGAGGTCCTTTACATACTCACTAATTAGCCGCCCTTTTTTCTGATGAGGTGCAAGATAATTTTGAATTGCCAAGAGAATTTTTAGTAGCAAAGAGAATTTTGAATACCAAAGAGAATTTTGAATAGCTACAACGTTAAAGTTGCTCAAAAACCTTTTCAGACTTTAGGGTTTATTTTTTCCTAAACGTAAGGATCCTGTCACGAAAGAACAACGAACCGACGCTATTCATTTTATTCCGTACGATGACTGTGATCACGAGTATATCGGGCAGACCAAACGATAGTTTGGTACACGTTTAAAAGAGCGTCAAAAAGCTGTCTTCTTTTACAAAAAAGAAAATTCAGCTTTGACGGAGCGCATGCTTAACTAACCATACAAATGGGTGGGATAAGCTAAAAGTATCACCCCCTAATCGGCGTCACTACCAACGCTTTTTTCGGAAGCCTGGCATATTATCTCCGCCCTCTTGATGATGACAGCTTACTACCTGAGACCTATTTACACCTCGTCAGAAAAAAGGGCAGCTAATTAGTGGGCAAATAGAAGGACCTCTTGTTGCAACGATTAGATCATCCCTAATGAAGGCACTAGACAGGAGTGTCGAAACGTTGGGTCTATGAATTATAACTTCTCGATTACGTTCATTAAATCTTCAAACCAGAGTAGCATAAAACCATGTAATTTAGTTTTAACAACTGGGTTGAAAACGTAAATTAGCCACCGTAAAGGGTAAAAAAGCTGACGTTTCGAGCGTTAGCCCTTCGTCAATCGCTCTGACGAAGGGCTAACGCTCGAAACGTCAGCTTTTTTACCCTTTACGGTGGCTAATTTACGTTTTCAACCCAGTTGTTAACACTAAATTACCTGCTATACTCTCCCACCGACGCAGCACCACAGTTTCTTTAGAAACTTACCCCTTTATTCATTTAGCATAAAACCATGTTTGATTGTCCACCTGGTTTCCTTATGAACTTTAATATATCAGAATAATATGACCTGATTAAAGAAGCAGGCTCTAAAAATCTGACGGAAAAGAAAAAAAAAGGACGTGTTAGTTCGTTTATATAAGGCCTATGTCCTCCCTCATCTTGAGTACTGCAGTCCCCTTTTACTGGGAGTAGGTAACGCGGAGACTACAAAAATAGAGACAACTAATTACTTTATATTAAGAACTATATTAGGCTTCTCGAAGTCTGTGTCATACGACTTCCTCCTCAAGTTGGCCGACATTAAGTCTTTGGAGAATCGTAGGCAATTCCAATCGTTGGTTATGTTATATAAGTGCTTGTATGATAAGGGGGCTCCTTATATAAGTGATTTTTTTCATTTTAGAAATGTACCGTATAGTTTACGCGGGCTCAGTACAAGGCTAGATTTACCTCCTTTTTTAATCTTGAGTTTTTACATCGGTCTTTTTCATTTTTAGCTAGTAAACTTTGGAATGCGCTACCCCTAGACTCAGAGAATCTCAAGATATTGCTTCATTTAAGCGTTCTCTTAAAGCCCACATGGCTTAATGGTAGTGATTGTAAATATCGTTATTGTTGTTAATATTGTTAATATTGTAACTTCTAATTGATAGCTCTTGTCCATGATTCTCGATCCTGTTTTTAGCTTTTTAATAGATTTACTTACTATTTGTATTCTTACAGATATTATGCTTTATTTCTAATTATACATACACGTACACGTTTTAACGAGAACTTCTGTACTCCTAGGTGTCACGTGTTTAAATAAAGGATTGATTGATTGATTGATTGATGTTTGTCTTTTTTCTTCTTGAAACTGAAAACCTGCTACGCGTCTTGAAACACATCTGTTTTAAATAAGGATAACACACGCTGAATCTAGCAGGATAATCCTAAACACTATTGCCTTGCTCAAAATCGGTAGAAAGCACCAGTTGTTGACATGCTCCCAGGTGCGTTTGAAACTTTTACGAGAAAAAAGAAAGATAAATCGTAATTATAGGGTTAAAAAAGAAGTGATAGTGAAAAGTATGATTTCATTTTAAGATTTGACTGGAGCGCTTACATGATGTCAATAGCCCAGAAAGGAAGAATGCGTTCGTGTTTGGACTTCCGTCAAATAAACTTTCGTCACGATCCGTATTTAAGGACCTAGCTTGTTAAAGAAAAGCAAGATTTCATCGTTAATGATCAATATTCGTTGGTGAATACAGTCCTGAAATATGGGCAACTCTATAATTAAGTGGTTGATCAGAGAGGTTGAAGAGGAACACACCATTAAAGCAACTTTGGAAGATGGAAGCTCTCACGAGGAAGTAAAGAATGGTATGTTTTACGTTCTATTCATACTAAAACATGACCATGATTTTTCACCAGTAGGATCCTAAAGGATTTTGGAGCCTGACAATGTAAAACGACCGATCGCATTCTAATCATAATGAACTAAGCGATGTACGCATCCGGTCATGTATCAAGCCTCACATTTTTTTTTTCGATGAAATAAATTCGTTTCAGTTTTCGAGGCTACGTGAAATTATACAAAGGATGATTTGTTTAGTTCGGTGAGCCAAACATCTCGTATCGTTGAAGAATGATTACTGAAATAAATCTTGAATACGTATTTGTAACTATTTCACTGCAGGTTCGCCGGACAATCAAGGACAAGTACCTGTATTTCAAGCCTTTGATTCCATGACAGCTAATCCACAAATGGCAGATACGTATCTGAACTTTGCTAAAGCCAGAGACCATCAGAACGATCAAGTGTACGATGGAGTACGGAATCCATATGTTTTAGTAATAAACAACGTAAATTTCATCAGAGACCCAGTTCCAAGAAATGGAGCTAAATTCGACCTCAGTAAAGTGGAGACATTTGCTAAAGAAGCTGGTTTCCAAGCTATAAGGCAGCACGGGGACTTAACAAAACAGGAGATGGTGAACATCCTTGACGAAATCCGCAAAAACAGAGAATTGGGTAAGTTTCTCTACACTACCTCAAACAGGTTTTATGACAAGTCACCAAATGCCTAGTCTACCAACTCTCTGTATCCGTTGTTGAGTCTTGCTACGCAAAGCTCCTTCTTTCCAACCTAGGAAAAGATTACGCGTGATCTAAAGGGAATAAGATCACCGAATGAGGATATGGACCGAAAGTTCAGTTACTGTACTTAGAGCGCTTTTCGATCGCGTATCCTAACAACATTAATTAAGAACGAGGCAAATACAGAGAAAGGAAAATACCCTACAGAGCGAACGTAAAACAAGCTAACCACCAAAAGCGCGGAAAATTGTCGGTGACCAAATCGTGATTGGTTATAGTTTTGCATCTGATCGGTTGAGAGAGTGGTACAGGTTTTCTGAACCACTCAGAGCGAATTTAAAGACTATTTTCAAATTTAGGGGAGGATCCGTCTATGTAATTAAACGACTCTTGAATATTTACCATTTATCTAATCATTTCTTTTTTTGCAGGTAAACATGACGCATTCATCTGCATTATCATGAGCCATGGTAATGAGACAGGAATCCTATGCAAGCACGGTGAAACCATTCCAGTTGACGAAATAACCGCTAAATTTCGTGGTGGCAAAGAGTCGTGTCCCCAGCTGGTGGGAAAACCCAAACTGTTCTTCATTCAAGCATGTCGTGGCAAAGTTGACGACAAAGGGTATTGGGTCACCAATGGGCAAGAATCAGACAATGTTTTTGCTGATAGCGCCCAGAGCGAGGAGTTGCCTGTAAAACTTCCTTCTGAGGCAGATTTTTTGATCAGCTACTCGACCACCGCGGGCTGTATCTCTCACAGGAGGTTCACAGATTCTACGGTGAAAGGAGAAAGACACAGCGAAAAATTGGGCTCTTGGTTCATCTCCTGCTTGGTGAAGGTTCTACAAGAAAATTCGCACGTTGACGACTTAATGACAATGCTGACTAAAGTGAATCAAGAAATGATCAAATATAGGACAGATGGTGGAAGCAAACAGATTCCATGCCATCTCACCATGCTCACGAGAAAAGTCTACTTTGCAAATTTCTTTGATAAGAACCGGCCTCAAACTTGCCCTTGAACCAGAGACATCTGAATAGTAATTACTTCTTTAAGTCGCGATGAACTTTCTAGTAAATGGACATGTTTTAGCTGATAGCTTTGTCATATTCATCTGTTGGCTGGGAGGACTTACATTTAGAAGTAGAACAAACCACAAATAACCCCTACCCTCTCCCGCTCAGTAGCTAGGACTTCTCATCCAAAAATAACGCGTTTGTACTTGTTTTGAAAGGTGGTTCCTGGAATAAAATAGTCAAATATTTTCTTCGACATAGATAATATGTCGCCTATCCAGGGTAAGTAGTCCAGGTAGTGGCGATACTGATTTTTTCATTTAACCAAGAGTAAATACTATAACTGTAATTTGATAAGTTTGAATTTTACATGTAGAGTTGTTAATAAAGGTTTACTGTCAACAGCACTTGAACAGAATAATTTGAGACATGGTTTGGTGCTACTCTGGTTTAAAGATTTATTGAATGTAACCGAGAAGTTACAATTCATAGACCCAACCTTTTTGACAATCCCGTCTACTGCCTTCATCAGGGGTGATATAATCGCTGTAGCAAGAGGTCCTTTACATACTCACTAATTAGCCGCCCTTTTTTCTGATGAGGTGCAAGATAATTTTGAATTGCCAAGAGAATTTTGAGTAGCAAAGAGAATTTTGAATACCAAAGAGAATTTTGAATACCAAAGAGAATTTTGAATAGCTACAACGTTAAAGTTGCTCAAAAACCTTTTCAGACTTTAGGGTTTATTTTTTCCTAAACGTAAGGATCCTGTCACGAAAGAACAACGAACCGACGCTATTCATTTTATTCCGTACGATGACTGTGATCACGAGTATATCGGGCAGACCAAACGATAGTTTGGTACACGTTTGAAAGAGCGTCAAAAAGCTGTCTTCTTTTACAAAAAAGAAAATTCAGCTTTGACGGAGCGCATGCTTAACTAACCATACAAATGGGTGGGATAAGCTAAAAGTATCACCCCTAATCGGCGTCACTACCAACGCTTTTTTCGGAAGCCTGGCATATTATCTCCGCCCTCTTGATGATGACAGCTTACTACCTGAGGCCTATTTACACCTCGTCAGAAAAAAGGGCAGCTAATTAGTGGGCAAATAGAAGGACCTCTTGTTGCAACGATTAGATCATCCCTGATGAAGGCACTAGACGGGAGTGTCGAAACGTTGGGTCTATGAATTATAACTTCTCGATTACGTTCATTAAATCTTCAAACCAGAGTAGCATAAAACCATGTAATTTAGTGTTAACAACTGGGTTGAAAACGTAAATTAGCCACCGTAAAGGGTAAAAAAGCTGACGTTTCGAGCGTTAGCCCTTCGTCAGAGCGATTGACGAAGGGCTAACGCTCGAACCGTCAGCTTTTTTACCCTTTACGGTGGCTAATTTACGTTTTCAACCCAGTTGTTAACGCTAAATTACCTGCTATACTCTCCCACCGACGCAGCACCACAGTTTCTCTAGAAACTTACCCCTTTATTCATTTAGCATAAAACCATGTTTGATTGTCCACCTGGTTTCCTTATGAACTTTAATATATCAGAATAATATGACCTGATTAAAGAAACAGGCTCTAAAAATCTGACTGTTCGATTTTAGAGTCAAACAACATTTTCTAGGAAAGAAAATAGCAGCGTGCCAACTTAAACCTTTATTGCTCCGGAGAATTCATAGCCGACGTAATGTGACTTGACTTGGTTAACCTTTTAAAGAAAAAAGGAAGTATAGAAAAGAGAATCTGTTATTCTTGGAAAATTACCGTGTAAATGCAGATCTTTCGCGGTTTTGCAAAGGTTTAAGTATAGTTAAGTTGGTTGAACACCGTTTTATGGGCAATCTCGTAATGTCGAACATCATCGCCAATTACATATAGAAAAAGAAGCTTTTCTTAGTCATGGTCTGCGATGATTGATCTGATTTATTTGTGACATACACAGGGTGTTATAAAAGTTGTATTTTAGTTTCAATTTTTCCTCAATTTGGTCTTTGTTAAATAGGAAAGTTAAAAAAAGTAATTTGAGACGTCATCCGGAATATGCAGGGGTAGAATCTGGAATCCACAGCGTGGAATCCAGAATCTAATACTGTCCTGGATTACCTTACATGGGGCGACACGTTCGGAAAAATCTGTAAGACCCATTCTTCTAATCGGTAAAGGACGGGTAGGAAGCGGCTGTACACAGGTTAGCCTACGTGTACCCGTACCTACATTACATTCTCCAAAAATATGTAGTTATGGTTTCGGACCTGATTACTGACTGACGCACTTTTTAACTAGCATCGATCTCTTTATAAACATTTATAGAAAACAGGGAAATTTCAGAGGCACCTTAATTCTTAAAAAGCCTGCGTGATGTAAAATTTGTCTTTTTAATCTTTATCAACTCGCTGCCCGCAAGCTGAGAAATCTTCTACAACTGACTGATAATTAAAGTATTTAAAATCACGCCTACAGAACGAATTAAAGAGTAAAATATGATGTCAAACACTTATTTTTAATAACGGAAACCGAAATCTTGTCATACAAGAAAACACTGGTGTTTACTAAATTTAACAAGGACACTATCTGAAGGTCAAAAGCAATGAATCTATGAATCGTTCTGAAACAGGAAAGGCAACCTCCGAGGTGCAACGAGAGAGAAAACACATGACTTGAAAAATCGGAGTAAAAATTGACGGAACTCTCGAAAGTAACAGCATTCAGTTACGACTTAAAACTCATGGCACTAATTTGAATTGAACTTTTATTTTCAGACGTTACAGCATCACGTAGCTTTTTTGAAATAACAATTCATTCGTCCTTTGTTTTTGTACTTCCGGTAGAATAACTGACGCTCATCAGGACTTGCGTAAGGACACCCAGCCTATAAACACGACATATTTTTCCTATATAGTTAAAACCAACGACGGAGCAGTAGGTTAACGATGGAGAGCGCTAAGTTGAGGTCGATTCCGAAGAAAACAAGTGAAAGATATTCTCTTTGCAAAATATGCCGAAGTCTTTTTGAGCGATTTCGTCGATGTGAATGCTTAAAGTTGGATGGAAAAGGATGCAACTGCGTGAATGAAGATGACGAGGAAGTCTCTAACGAATGTGAAGGATTCTATCAAGATAGCAGTTCTCAAACGGAATTGATGCATGGTGAGGTTTTTTTCTTAAGTAAAGTAAAAAAAGTATTAAGTTTGCGTCGTCTTTTAGAAATTCCTCGAGGCTTCTCCTTTCGTCAGCAAAGGGTGCAAAAATCGAAATGAGGGATCAATCGGTACTATTACATCATATTCCGTTGTAAGTTTGACAAGTCTGACTGAAGAAGCTCCATGTTACGTGACTGAAGTAATAACTAATATTAAAGATCGAAGAACGACACGATGTTAAAGTTGAATTATTTGTCATCTTTTATCAGCTCCGCCTTCGACTTCTCAAGGGCTGGTCTATCAACTATCAGATTCGCCTGAATATATGCATGCATCTCAAATACTCGATTTAAGTCCAAGAAACTTTCTCTTCGCAAGAGATAGTCTTCCAAAAGATCAAGAGTATCGAGAAATACGGAATCCATACGTGCTGGTGATAAACATTGTAAACTTTATCAAGGACCCAGGACCAAGGAATGGGGCTAAACACGATCAAGATAACGTGGAGAGGTTTGTCAGAGAAGCTGGTTTCAGCACTGTTCTGATGCATTTTGACCTGGACAAACAAGAAATGCTGAAAATTCTTGAAGAAACCCGAAAAAATGCAGATTTGGGTCAGTAGCTCTATATGTAGTCTCTATTTTTGTTACATCCATGAGGGTTCGTGCACTTTAAGTTTCGATTAGACCGGAAGTTAGCTGCTGTAGCAAAGTAATAGCGGAGCTCGCAGAGCGTAGCCCCATAATTATACAAAATAGCAGTAACCCATCAAGCCGAAAAAATTTGGATGTACGACCGTACAAGGTGCTACTTTTAACATGCGTGGTTAACTGTACCGCGGGCACGCCAACGCCACGGTTTTGTCCAGTAGTCCAGTGTTCAGTGCACTGGGCTCCGAGTCAGACGACCCGGGTTCTAGTCCTGGCCAGGGCAAGGCGTTGTGCCCTTGAGACGTGCGGGAAAAAAAATGCGAGCTCCGCTTTTAGGCTTGGCTAAATATATATATATTTTACTCCTAAAGTGTTAGGTTTTAAAAAAAACATTTCCTATTGCCATATCTATTTGCAACGTTTCCAACTTCTACTCCCCAATTCTATGCCGTCCAGAAGAGGTGTAACTCAAAGTTTGATTTGTCTAAAATGAGTATGTAGATCTCAGAATTTTTTCCTTGTTCACTGATAAAAGCACTCACAGGAAGGTGTGGTATTAAAACCAAAGGGATATTCTGAGCTGCCAAAATAACTTTTTGCCTAAATTATATTGCAGTGAAGCTCCCTCTACCTCTGTTCAGTACTTTGAATTGCAACTGATACAATGTTGATTTCTTTCGTTATTCTGTTACAGTTGAAAATGACAGTTTTATCTGCATTATTATGAGCCATGGCAATGAAGAAGGTATCTTATGCAGTGATCATAAAACTATTCCAGTGGAGAACATAATGGAGAAATTCCAGGGAAACAATGATGCTTGTCCCCAGCTTGCAACAAAACCAAAATTGTTCTTTGTTCAAGCATGCAGAGGAGAAATTGATGACAAAGGGTACTTTGCACCAAGAGGGCCAAAAGAAGTTTATCCTGTTACATCTGACAACCATGAGATGCCTGTAAAACTTCCCTCCGATGCAGATTTTTTGATCGCCTACTCTACCACCAAAGGCACAATCTCTCACAGACGCTTCACAGTTGACAGAAGATATGCTGAAACACATAAGGAAAGTCTCGGTTCTTGGTTCATCTCTTGCTTGGTACAGGTTCTATGTGAGAACTCTCACAAGGAGGACTTAATGACTATGCTCACAAGAGTGAACAGAGCCATGTGTGAATTTTACACTGAAGGTGGAAGCAAGCAGATTTCATGCCAACTTTCTATGCTCACAAGGAAAGTCTACTTTTCTAACTTCCTTGATAAGATAAAGTGTGTAGGCAGCAACACAAATTAGGCAAACCTTGACAACCAAACTGTGTTAATGGTGGTAGGATTAGGGTGGAGCCAGGAAGTGGAGAGAGGTACCACCCTTTTTATTAATTTGTGGTGAGCCCTTCAACTCCCAATGTACAGAAATTTGGTATTTAGAAACCCTAACCCTAAGCAACAAATAACTGACATCCTCAGCTGACAGGTTTGTTATTGCTTCTTTTACTTTTCTTGGATGGACTGTTGCTATGAACAAATTCTACAGCTTTCTGAAAGTGAACGAAAAGAGTTCAAATAAGTACTATCAACCTTCATCAGTGTTTTGGACCTTGCCCACAATTTTTAGGTTGCCTATTATCTCAGTACCAGAACTGTGCCAGGTTACAAAAAAGTTCTATGAACTAAAGATTATTAAGCATTACATGCTACATAAGTATATTTCTGTAAAACTCATTTATGAAGAGCCAAGGCTCAGAAACACCCTGAAATATTTTGGAAATTGTTAAAATGGGGCCAGTTGCATACAACAGCAGCAGTAAAGCACATAAATGTATATGATAGTCATGATAGTTTTCAGTGAAAATAAAGATGTTGTTACCAATTTTATAAAGTACATGACTAGATCAATAAAATGTGTCATGACACAGAATCATTTGATTTTGTCTAAACTAAAATCTATGAAAATGCTACCAATGTTCTTATGTTTGCCATAAGAGACTCTTTTTCTTTTCCCTTCCCCCCCTCCTTCAAAGCAGGCAGTGGTGGTATAAACAGTGGGATTGACTGGTACTGGCCAGTGAATGGTTACTTGATTAGATCATTTTGCTGTTGTGTGCTTGGTTGTCAAGCCTTTGAACAGGAGTGAGGCTAAGGTTGACCTTGTTATTGATAAAAACCTTGTTGCCTTTCAAATGCAAATAAGTTTGTTATCATGCTAACTAGATACTGGTCTCCATCACAACAAGGTCACCTTCAGCCTCACTCCAAATCAAAGGCTTGGCAACTTAGGACACAACTGTAGAATGGCTTATTGTCAGTTCCTAAGCCAAGACCATGGGGGGGGAGGGAGGGTGGGATTAGCTTTAAAAGCAGCTTAAACCTCCAAAGCAGCTTACAAACTGCTGCTAAGAAATTGAGCAAGGGAATCCCATTAGCTGAATTATTTAAGAACGTCCTTGAACTAGTCTCAAAATAATAGTACTCTCTTTAAAATTCCCTCCTCATGCCCCTCCCTCTCAACAAATCCTCAGAATAAAGACAGGGAATTACGGTGCTTTGATAAGGCTATGCGTATTGTTACTTATTAATAATTGCCCAATAGCTAGGCTAGAAAAAATATATTAGTCTGTAAAGCTGTGTATCCACTTGTGATCTGGTGGGGTGTTCTCGACCAAAGTTGCTGTGTCTATTCGGTATTCATTACAGCTGATGAAGAGTTCAGAAGAAAATGTTGGCACTCAATGTGTTATTAAGAAGCTCTTCCTCTCTACAACACTTCCCAAACCCACTCATTCTCAATTAAGCCCTCAGTATAAAAGTTTTAACTGGTAATTGATCATGTACTTCATCAAATAAATGCCCTGACACCGATTCAATATTTCAGCTTGTAGATTCTACGGTGAACGGAGAAAGACAGCCAAAAATTGGGCTCTTGGTTCATGTCCTGCTTGGTGAAGGTTCTACAAGAAAATTCGCACGTTGACGACTTAATGACAATGCTGACTAAAGTGAATCAAGAAATGATCAAATATAGGACAGATGGTGGAAGCAAACAGATTCCATGCCATCTTACCATGCTCACGAGAAAAGTCTACTTTGCAAATTTCTTTGATAAGAACCGGCCTCAAACTTGCCCTTGAACCAGAGACATCTGAATAGTAATTACTTCTTTTAGTCGCGATGAACTTTCTAGTAAATGGACATGTTTTAGCTGATAGCTTTGTCATATTCATCTGTTGGCTGGGAGGACTTACATTTAGAATTAGAACAAACCGCAAATAACCCCCACCCTCTCCCGCTCAGTAGCTAGGACTTCTCATCCAAAAATAACGCGTTTGTAATTGTTTTGAAAGGTGGTTCCTGGAATAAAATAGTCAAATATTTTCTCCGACATAGATAATATGTTGCCTATCCAGGGTAAGTAGTCCAGGTAGTGGCGATACTGATTTTTTCATTTAACCAAGAGTAAATACTATAACTGTAACTTGATAAGTTTGAATTTTACATGTAGAGTTGTTAATAAAGGTTTACTGTCAACAGCACTTGAACAGAATAATTTGAGACATGGTTTGGTGCTACTCTGGTTTAAAGATTTATTGAATGTAACCGAGAAGTTACAATTCATAGATCCAACCTTTTTGACAATCCTGTCTACTGCCTTCATCAGGGGTGATATAATCGCTGTAGCAAGAGGTCCTTTACATACTCACTAATTAGCCGCCCTTTTTTCTGATGAGGTGCAAGATAATTTTGAATTGCCGAGAGAATTTTGAGTAGCAAAGAGAATTTTGAATACCAAAGAGAATTTTGAATAGCTACAACGTTAAAGTTGCTCAAAAACCTTTTCAGACTTTAGGGTTTATTTTTTCCTAAACGTAAGGATCCTGTCACGAAAGAACAACGAACCGACGCTATTCATTTTATTCCGTACGATGACTGTGATCACGAGTATATCGGGCAGACCAAACGATAGTTTGGTACACGTTTGAAAGAGCGTCAAAAAGCTGTCTTCTTTTACAAAAAAGAAAATTCAGCTTTGACGGAGCGCATGCTTAACTAACCATACAAATGGGTGGGATAAGCTAAAAGTATCACCCCCTAATCGGCGTCACTACCAACGCTTTTTTCGGAAGCCTGGCATATTATCTCCGCCCTCTTGATGATGACAGCTTACTACCTGAGGCCTATTTACACCTCGTCAGAAAAAAAGGGCAGCTAATTAGTGGGCAAATAGAAGGACCTCTTGTTGCAACGATTAGATCATCCCTGATGAAGGCACTAGACGGGAGTGTCGAAACGTTGGGTCTATGAATTATAACTTCTCGATTACGTTCATTAAATCTTCAAACCAGAGTAGCATAAAACCATGTAATTTAGTGTTAACAACTGGGTTGAAAACGTAAATTAGCCACCGTTAAGGGTAAAAAGCTGACGTTTCGAGCGTTAGCCCTTCGTCAGAGCGATTGACGAAGGGCTAACGCTCGAACCGTCAGCTTTTTACCCTTTACGGTGGCTAATTTACGTTTTCAACCCAGTTGTTAACGCTAAATTACCTGCTATACTCTCCCACCGACGCAGCACCACAGTTTCTATAGAAACTTACCCCTTTATTCATTTAGCATAAAACCATGTTTGATTGTCCACCTGGTTTCCTTATGAACTTTAATATATCAGAATAATATGACCTGATTAAAGAAACAGGCTCTAAAAATCTGACTGTTCGATTTTAGAGTCAAACAACATTTTCTAGGAAAGAAAATAGCAGCGTGCCAACTTAAACCTTTATTGCTCCGGAGAATTCATAGCCGACGTAATGTGACTTGACTTGGTTAACCTTTTAAAGAAAAAAGGAAGTATAGAAAAGAGAATCTGTTATTCTTGGAAAATTACCGTGTAAATGCAGATCTTTCGCGGTTTTGCAAAGGTTTAAGTATAGTTAAGTTGGTTGAACACCGTTTTATGGGCAATCTCGTAATGTCGAACATCATCGCCAATTACATATAGAAAAACAAGCTTTTCTTAGTCATGGTCTGCGATGATTGATCTGATTTATTTGTGACATACACGGGGTGTTATAAAAGTTGTATTTTAGTTTCAATTTTTCCTCAATTTGGTCTTTGCTAAATAGGAAAGTTAAAAAAAGTAATTTGAGACGTCATCCGGAATATGCAGGGGTAGAATCTGGAATCCACAGTGTGGAATCCAGAATCTAATACTGTCCTGGATTACCTTACATGGGGCGACACGTTCGGAAAAATCTGTAAGACCCATTCTTCTAATCGGTAAAGGACGGGTAGGAAGCGGCTGTACACAGGTTAGCCTACGTGTAACCGTACCTACATTACATTCTCCAAAAATATGTAGTTATGGTTTCGGACCTGATTACTGACTGACGTACTTTTTAACTAGTATCGATCTCTTTATAAACATTTATAGAAAACAAGGAAATTTCAAAGGCACGTTAATTCTTAAGAAGCCTGCGTGATGTAAAATTTGTCTTTTTGATCTTTATCAACTCGCTGCCCGCAAACTGAGAAATCTTCTACAACTGACTGATAAGTAAAGTATTTAAAATCACGCCTACAGAACGAATTAAAGAGTAAAATATGATGTCAAACACTTATTTTTAATTACGGAAACTGAAATCTTGTCACACAAACTGAAACACTGGTGTTTACTAAATTTAACAAGGACACTATCTGAAGGTCAAAAGCAATGAATCTATGAATCGTTCTGAAACAGGAAAGGCAACCTCCGAGGTGCAACGAGAGAGAAAACACATGACTTGAAACATCGGAGTAAAAATTGACTGAACTCTCGAAAGTAACAGCATTCAGTTACGACTTAACACTCATGACACAAATTAAACTGAACTTTTATTTTCAGACGTTACAGCATCACGTAGCTTTTTTGAAATAACGACAATTCATTCGTCCTTTGTTTTTGGACTTCCGGTAGAATAACTGACGCTCATCAGGACTTGCGTAAGAACACCCAGCCTATAAACACGACATATCTTTCCTACATAGTTAAAACCAACGACGGAGCAGTAGGTGAACGATGGAGAACGCTAAGTTGAGGTCGATTCCGAAGAAAACAAGTGAAAGATATTTTCTTTGCAAAATATGCCGAAGTCTTTTTAAGCGATTTCGTCGATGTGAATGCTTGTTGGATTCGTTGGATGGAAAAGGATGCAACTGCGTGAATGAAGATGACGAGGAAGTCTCTAACGAATGTGAAGGATTCTATCAAGATAGCAGTTCTCAAACTGACTTGATGCATGGTGAGTGTTTTTTTTCTTAATTAAAGTAAAAAAAGTATTAAGTTTGCGTCGTCTTTTAGAAATTCCTCGTGGCTTCTCCTTTCGTCAGCAAAGGGTGCAAAAATCGAATGAGGGATCAATCGGTACTATTCCATCATATTCCGTCGTAAGTTTGACAAGTCTGACTGAAGAAGCTCCATGTTACGTGACTGAAGTAATAACTAACATTAAAGATCGAAGAACGACACAATGTTAAAGTTGAATTATTTGTCATCTTTTATCAGCTCCGCCTTCGAATCCTCCAAGGGTTGTCTTTCAACGATCAGATTCGATTGCATGTCGAAATCCCATGGATGTATCTCAAATACTTGATTTAAGTCCAAGAAACTTTATCTTCGCAAGAGATAATCCTCAAAATTATCGAGAAATACGGAATCCATACGTACTGGTGATAAACATTGTAAACTTTATCAAGGACCCACGACCAAGGAATGGGGCTAAACACGATCAAGATAACGTGGAGAGGTTTGTAAGAGAAGCTGGTTTCAGCAGTGTTCTGTGGTATCTTGACCTGGAAAAACAAGATATGCTGAAACTTCTTGAAGAAACCCGAAAAAATGCAGATTTGGGTAAGTAGCTCTACATGCAGTCTCTATTTTTGTTACATCCATGAGGTTCGTGCACTTTAAGTTTCGATTAGACCGGAAGTTAGCTGCTGCAGCAAAGTAACATACTCTTAAAGTGTCATGGTTTTAAAAAACCATTTCCTATTGCCATATCTATTTGCAACGTTTCCGACTTCTACTCCTAAATTCTATGGCGTCCAGAAGAGGTTTACTTCAAAGTTTGATTTGTCTTAAATGAGTATGTAGATCTCAGAACTTTTTCCTCGTTCATTGATAAAAGCACTCACAGGAAGGTGTGGTATTAAAACCAAAGGGAAATTCTGAGCTGCCAAAATAACTTTTTGCCTAAATTATATTGCAGTGAAGCTCCCTCTACCTCTGTTCAGTACTTTGAATTGCAACTGATACAATGTTGATTTCTTTCGTTATTCTGTTACAGTTGAAAATGACAGTTTTATCTGCATTATTATGAGCCATGGCAACAAAGAAGGTATTTTATGCAGAGATCATGAAACTATTTCAGTGGAGAACATAATGGAGAAATTCCAGGGAAACAACGATGCTTGTCCCCAGCTTGCAACAAAACCAAAATTGTTTTTTGTTCAAGCATGCAGAGGAGAAATTGATGACAAAGGGTACTTTGCACCAAGAGGGCCAAAAGATGTTTATCCTGATACATCTGACAACAATGAGATGCCTGTAAAACTTCCCTCCGATGCAGATTTTTTGATCGCCTATTCCACCACCAAAGGCACAATCTCTCACAGACGCTTCACAGTTGACAGAAGATATGCTGAAACACATAAGGAAAGTCTGGGTTCTTGGTTCATCTCTTGCTTGGTACAGGTTCTATGTGAGAACTCTCACAAGGAAGACTTAATGACTATGCTCACAAGAGTGAACAGAGCCATGTGTGAATTTTACACTGAAGGTGGAAGCAAGCAGATTTCATGCCAACTTTCTATGCTCACAAGGAAAGTCTACTTTTCTAACTTCCTTGATAAGAAAAAGTGTGTAGGCAGCAACACAAATTAGGCAAACCTTGACGACCAAACTGTGTTAATGGTGGCAGGATTAGGGTGGAGCCTGGAAGTGGAGAGGAGTATCACCCTTTTTATTAATTTGTGGTGAGCCCTTCAACTCCCAATGTACAGAAATTTGTAGAAACAAATAACATCCTCAGCTGACGGGTTTGTTGTTGCTTCTTTTTTACTTTTCTTGGATGGACTGTTGTTATGAACAAATTGTACAGCTTTCTGAAAGTGAACAAAAGAGTTCAAATAAGTACTATCAACCTTCATCAGTGTTTTGGACCTTGCCCACAATTTTTAGCTTGCCTATTATCTCAGTACCAGAACTGTGCCAGGTTACAAAAAAGTTCTATGAACTAAAGATTATTAAGCATTACATGCTACATAAGTATATTTCTGTAAAACTCATTTATGAAGAGCCAAGGCTCAGAAACACCCTGAAATATTTTGGAAATTGTTAAAATGGGGCCAGTTGCATACAACAGCAGCAGTAAAGCACATAAATGTATATGATATTCATGCTAGTTTTCAGTGAAAATAAAGATGTTGTTACCAATTTTATAAAGTACATGACTAGATCAATAAAATGTGTCATGACACAGAATCATTTGATTTTGTCTAGAGTAAAATCTATGAAAATGCTACCAATGTTCTTATGTTTGCCATAAGAGACTCTTTCCTTTCCCTTCCCTCCCCTCCTTCAAAGCAGGCAGTGGTGGTATGTTAATAAAGGTTTACTGTCGACAGCACTTGAACAGAATAATTTGAGACATGGTTTGGTGCTACTCTTGTTTAAAGATTTATTGAATGTAACCGAGAAGTTACAAGTCATAGACCCAACCTTTTCGACAATCCTGTCTACTTCCTTTATCAGGGGTGATCTAATTGCTGTAACAAGAGGTCCTTTATATACTCACTAATTAACTGCCCTTTTTTCTGATGAGGTACAAGATAATTTTGAATTGCCAAGAGAATTTTGAATAGCTACAACGTTAAAGTTGCTAAAAAACCTTTTCAGACTTTAGGGCGTATTTTTTCTAAACGTAAGGATCCTGTTACGAAAGAGCAACGATTTTATTCCGTACGATGACTGTGATCACAAGTATATCGGACAGAACAAACGATAGTTGGTACACGTTTAAGAGTGTCAAAAAGCGGTCTTCTTTTACAAAAAAAGAAAATTCAGCTTTGACGGAGCACGCATGCCTAACTAACCATACAAATGGGTGGGATAAGCTTAAAGTATCACCCCTAATCAGCGTCACCACCAACGCTTTTTTCGGAAGCCTGCCGGGGGGCATATCATCTCCGCCCTCTTGATGATGACAGCTTACTACCTGAGGCCTATTTACACCTCGTCAGAAAAAAGGGCAGCTAATTAGTGAGCAAATAGAAGGACCTCTTCTTGCAGCTATTAGATCATCCCTGATGAAGGCATTAGACAGGAGTGTCGAAACGTCGGGTCTATGAATTATAACTTCTCGGTTACATTCACTGATTAAATCTTTTAACCAAAGTAGCATCAAACCATGTTTGATTGTCTACCTGGTAGCCTTATGAACTTTAATATATCAGAATAATATGACCTGATTAAAGAAGCAGGCTCTAAAAATCTGACTGTTCGATTTTAGAGTCAAACAACATTTTCTAGGAAAGAAAATAGCAGCGGGCCACCTTAAACCTTCATAGAATCATTGCTCCAGAGAATTCATAGCCGACGTAATGTGACTTGACTTGGTTAACCTTTTAAAGAAAAAAGGAAGTATAGAAAAGAGAATCTGTTATTCTAGGAAAATTACCGTGTAAATGCAGATCTTTCGCGGTTTTGCAAAGGTTTAAGTATAGTTAAGTTGGTTGAACACCGTTTTATGGGCAATCTCGTAATGTCGAACATCATAGCCAATTACATATAGAAAAACAAGCTTTTCTTAGTCATAATCTGCGATTTATTTGTGACATACACGGAGTGTGATAAAAGTTGTATTTCAGTTTCAATTTTTCCTTAATATGGTCTTTGTTAAATAGGAAAGTTAAGAAAAGTAATTTGAGACGGAATCCGGAATATGCAGGGGTAGAATCCGGAATCCAGCACCTGGAATCTGGCATTCACAGCGTGGAATCCAGAATGTAATACTGTCCTGGATTACCTTACATGGGGCGACACGTTCGGAAAAATCTGCAAGACCCATTCTTCTAATCGGGAAAGGACGGGTAGGAGGCGGCTACACACAGGCTAGCCTACGTGGACCCGTACCCTCCCCCCCCCCCCCCGCCTCCTTCTTCAAAAATATTTAGTTATGGTTTGGAACGAAATCTTAAACCTACGTGACAATTACTGACTGACGCACTTTTAAACTAGTATCGATCTCTTTATAAACATTTATAGAAAACAAGGAAATTTCAGAGGCACCTTAATTCTTAAGAAGCCTGCGTGATGTAAAATTTATCTTTTTGATCTTTGTCAACTCGCTGCCCGCAAGCTGAGAAATCTTCTACAACTGACTGATAAGTAAAGTATTTAAAATCACGCCCACAGAACGAGTTGAAGAGTAAAATATGAAATCAAACACATATTTTTAATTACGGAAACCGAAATCTTGTCACACAATCTGAAACACTGTTATTTACTAAATTTAACAAGGACACTATCTGAAAGTCAAACGCAATGAATCTAGGAATCGCTCCGAAACAGGAAAGGCAACCTCCGGGGTTCAACGAGAGAAAAACACATGACTTGAAACATCGGAGTAAAATTGACGGAACTCTCGAAAGTAACAGCATTCAGTTAGGACTTAACACTCGTGGCACTAATCTGAATTGAACTTTTAGTTTCAGACGTTACAGTATCACGTGGCTTTTCGAAATAACTGCAATTCATTCGTCCTTTGTATTAGAACATCCGGTGAAATGACTGACGCTCACAAGGACTTACGTAAGGACATCCAGCGTTTAAATTTTAAAAGCGAAAGGTTTTTCCTCTATAGTTGGAACTAACGACGTAGCAGTAGGTGAATGATGGAAAGCGCTAAGGTGAGGTCGATTTCGAAGGAAATAAATGTAGAATATTTGCGTTCTCAAATTGAAACATGGCAACGTTTTCTTGAGCGATTTCGTCGATGTGAATGCTTAGAGTTTGGTGGACAAGGATGCAACTGCGTGAATGAAGATGACGAGGAAGTCTTTAACAGATGTGAAGGATTCTATCAAGATAGCAGTTCTCAAACTGACTTGATGCATGGTGAGTGTTTTTTTCTTAATTAAAGTAATGTAAAAAGTATAAAGTCTGCGTCGTCCTTTAGAAATTCCTCTAGGCTTCTCCTTTCGTCAGCAAAGGGTGCAAAAATCGAATGAGGGATCAATCGGTACTATTCCATCATATTCCGTCGTAAGTTTGACAAGTCTGACTGAAGAAGCTCCATGTTACGTGACTGAAGTAATAACTAACATTAAAGATCGAAGAACGACACAATGTTAAAGTTAAATTATTTGTCATCTTTTATCAGCTCCGCCTTCGAATCCTCCAAGGGTTGTCTTTCAACGATCAGATTCGTTTGCATGTCGAGATCCCATGGATGTATCTCAAATACTTGATTTAAGTCCAAGAAACTTTATCTTCGCAAGAGATAATCCTCAAAATTATCGAGAAATACGGAATCCATACGTACTGGTGATAAACATTGTAAACTTTATCAAGGACCCACGACCAAGGAATGGGGCTAAACACGATCAAGATAACGTGGAGAGGTTTGTAAGAGAAGCTGGTTTCAGCAGTGTTCTGTGGTATTTTGACCTGGAAAAACAAGATATGCTGAAACTTCTTGAAGAAACCCGAAAAAATGCAGATTTGGGTAAGTAGCTCTATATGCAGTCTCTATTTTTGTTACATCCATGAGGTTCGTGCACTTTAAGTTTCGATTAGACCGGAAGTTAGCTGCTGCAGCAAAGTAACATACTCCTAAAGTGTCATGGTTTTAAAAAAACATTTCCTATTGCCATATCTATTTGCAACGTTTCCGACTTCTACTCCTAAATTCTATGGCGTCCAGAAGAGGTTTATTTCAAAGTTTGATTTGTCTTAAATGAGTATGTAGATCTCAGAACTTTTTCCTCGTTCATTGATAAAAGCACTCACAGGAAGGTGTGGTATTAAAACCAAAGGGAAATTCTGAGCTGCCAAAATAACTTTTTGCCTAAATTATATTGCAGTGAAGCTCCCTCTACCTCTGTTCAGTACTTTGAATTGCAACCGATACAATGTTGATTTCTTTCGTTATTCTGTTACAGTTGAAAATGACAGTTTTATCTGCATTATTATGAGCCATGGCAACAAAGAAGGTATTTTATGCAGAGATCATGAAACTATTTCAGTGGAGAACATAATGGAGAAATTCCAGGGAAACAATGATGCTTGTCCCCAGCTTGCAACAAAACCAAAATTGTTCTTTGTTCAAGCATGCAGAGGAGAAAGTGATGACAAAGGGTACTTTGCACCAAGAGGGCCAAAAGAAGTTTATCCTGCTACATCTGACAACAATGAGATGCCTGTAAAACTTCCCTCCGATGCAGATTTTTTGATCGCCTACTCTACCACCAAAGGCACAATCTCTCACAGACGCTTCACAGTTGACAGAATATATGCTGAAACACATAAGGAAAGTCTGGGTTCTTGGTTCATCTCTTGCTTGGTACAGGTTCTATGTGAGAACTCTCACAAGGAGGACTTAATGACTATGCTCACAAGAGTGAACAGAGCCATGTGTGAATTTTACACTGAAGGTGGAAGCAAGCAGATTTCATGCCAACTTTCTATGCTCACAAGGAAAGTCTACTTTTCTAACTTCCTTGATAAGATAAAGTGTGTAGGCAGCAACACAAATTAGGCAAACCTTGACAACCAAACTGTGTTAATGGTGGTAGGATTAGGGTGGAGCCAGGAAGTGGAGAGAGGTACCACCCTTTTTATTAATTTGTGGTGAGCCCTTCAACTCCCAATGTACAGAAATTTGGTATTTAGAAACCCTAACCCTAAGCAACAAATAACTGACATCCTCAGCTGACAGGTTTGTTATTGCTTCTTTTACTTTTCTTGGATGGACTGTTGCTATGAACAAATTCTACAGCTTTCTGGAAGTGAACGAAAAGAGTTCAAATAAGTACTATCAACCTTCATCACTGTTTTGGACCTTGCCCACAATTTTTAGCTTGCCTATTATCTCAGTACCAGAACTGTGCCAGGTTACAAAAAAGTTCTATGAACTAAAGATTATTAAGCATTACATGCTACATAAGTATATTTCTGTAAAACTCATTTATGAAGAGCCAAGGCTCAGAAACACCCTGAAATATTTTGGAAATTGTTAAAATGGGGCCAGTTGCATACAACAGCAGCAGTAAAGCACATAAATGTATATGATAGTCATGATAGTTTTCAGTGAAAATAAAGATGTTGTTACCAATTTTATAAAGTACATGACTAGATCAATAAAATGTGTCATGACACAGAATCATTTGATTTTGTCTAAACTAAAATCTATGAAAATGCTACCAATGTTCTTATGTTTGCCATAAGAGACTCTTTCCTTTCCCTTCCCTCCCCTCCTTCAAAGCAGGCAGTGGTGGTATAAACAGTGGGATTGACTGGTACTGGCCAGTGAATGGTTACTTGATTAGATCATTTTGCTGTTGTGTGCTTGGTTGTCAAGCCTTTGAACAGGAGTGAGGCTAAGGTTGACCTTGTTATTGATAAAAACCTTGTTGCCTTTCAAATGCAAATAAGTTTGTTATCATGCTAACTAGATACTGGTCTCCATCACAACAAGGTCACCTTCAGCCTCACTCCAAATCAAAGGCTTGGCAACTTAGGACACAACTGTAGAATGGCTTATTGTCAGTTCCTAAGCCAAGACCATGGGGGGGGGGGAGGGAGGGGGGGTGGGATTAGCTTTAAAAGCAGCTTAAACCTCCAAAGCAGCTTACAAACTGCTGCTAAGAAATTGAGCAAGGGGAATCCCATTAGCTGAATTATTTAAGAACGTCCTTGAACTAGTCTCAAAATAATAGTACTCTCTTTAAAATTCCCTCCTCATGCCCCTCCCTCTCAACAAATCCTCAGAATAAAGACAGGGAATTACGGTGCTTTGATAAGGCTATGCGTATTGTTACTTATTAATAATTGCCCAATAGCTAGGCTAGAAAAAATATATTAGTCTGTAAAGCTGTGTATCCACTTGTGATCTGGTGGGGTGTTCTCGACCAAAGTTGCTGTGTCTATTCGGTATTCATTACAGCTGATGAAGAGTTCAGAAGAAAATGTTGGCACTCAATGTGTTATTAAGAAGCTCTTCCTCTCTACAACACTTCCCAAACCCACTCATTCTCAATTAAGCCCTCAGTATAAAAGTTTTAACTGGTAATTGATCATGTACTTCCTCAAATAAATGCCCTGACACCGATTCAATATTTCAGCTTGTAGATTCTACGGTGAACGGAGAAAGACAGCGAAAAATTGGGCTCTTGGTTCATGTCCTGCTTGGTGAAGGTTCTACAAGAAAATTCGCACGTTGGCGACTTAATGACAATGCTGACTAAAGTGAATCAAGAAATGATCAAATATAGGACAGATGGTGGAAGCAAACAGATTCCATGCCATCTTACCATGCTCACGAGAAAAGTCTACTTTGCAAATTTCTTTGATAAGAACCGGCCTCAAACTTGCCCTTGAACCAGAGACATCTGAATAGTAATTACTTCTTTTAGTCGCGATGAACTTTCTAGTAAATGGACATGTTTTAGCTGATAGCTTTGTCATATTCATCTGTTGGCTGGGAGGACTTACATTTAGAAGTAGAACAAACCGCAAATAACCCCTACCCTCTCCCGCTCAGTAGCTAGGACTTCTCATCCAAAAATAACGCGTTTGTAATTGTTTTGAAAGGTGGTTCCTGGAATAACATAGTCAAATATTTTCTCCGACATAGATAATATATTGCCTATCCAGGGTAAGTAGTCCAGGTAGTGGCGATACTGATTTTTTCATTTAACCAAGAGTAAATACTATAACTGTAACTTGATAAGTTTGAATTTTACATGTAGAGTTGTTAATAAAGGTTTACTGTCAACAGCACTTGAACAGAATAATTTGAGACATGGTTTGGTGCTACTCTGGTTTAAAGATTTATTGAATGTAACCGAGAAGTTACAATTCATAGATCCAACCTTTTTGACAATCCTGTCTACTGCCTTCATCAGGGGTGATATAATCGCTGTAGCAAGAGGTCCTTTACATACTCACTAATTAGCCGCCCTTTTCTGATGAGGTGCAAGATAATTTTGAATTGCCGAGAGAATTTTGAGTAGCAAAGAGAATTTTGAATACCAAAGAGAATTTTGAATAGCTACAACGTTAAAGTTGCTCAAAAACCTTTTCAGACTTTAGGGTTTATTTTTTCCTAAACGTAAGGATCCTGTCACGAAAGAACAACGAACCGACGCTATTCATTTTATTCCGTACGATGACTGTGATCACGAGTGTATCGGGCAGACCAAACGATAGTTTGGTACACGTTTGAAAGAGCGTCAAAAAGCTGTCTTCTTTTACAAAAAAGAAAATTCAGCTTTGACGGAGCGCATGCTTAACTAACCATACAAATGGGTGGGATAAGCTAAAAGTATCACCCCCTAATCGGCGTCACTACCAACGCTTTTTTCGGAAGCCTGGCATATTATCTCCGCCCTCTTGATGATGACAGCTTACTACCTGAGGCCTATTTACACCTCGTCAGAAAAAAGGGCAGCTAATTAGTGGGCAAATAGAAGGACCTCTTGTTGCAACGATTAGATCATCCCTAATGAAGGCACTAGACAGGAGTGTCGAAACGTTGGGTCTATGAATTATAACTTCTCGATTACGTTCATTAAATCTTCAAACCAGAGTAGCATAAAACCATGTAATTTAGTGTTAAAAACTGGGTTGAAAACGTAAATTAGCCACCGTAAAGGGTAAAAAAGCTGACGTTTCGAGCGTTAGCCCTTCGTCAGAGCGATTGACGAAGGGCTAACGCTCGAACCGTCAGCTTTTTTACCCTTTACGGTGGCTAATTTACGTTTTCAACCCAGTTGTTAACGCTAAATTACCTGCTATACTCTCCCACCGACGCAGCACCACAGTTTCTTTAGAAACTTACCCCTTTATTCATTTAGCATAAAACCATGTTTGATTGTCCACCTGGTTTCCTTATGAACTTTAATATATCAGAATAATATGACCTGATTAAAGAAACAGGCTCTAAAAATCTGACTGTTCGATTTTAGAGTCAAACAACATTTTCTAGGAAAGAGAATAGCAGCGTGCCAACTTAAACCTTTATTGCTCCGGAGAATTCATAGCCGACGTAATGTGACTTGACTTGGTTAACCTTTTAAAGAAAGGAAGTATAGAAAAGAGAATCTGTTATTCTTGGAAAATTACCGTGTAAATGCAGATCTTTCGCGGTTTTGCAAAGGTTTAAGTATAGTTAAGTTGGTTGAACACCGTTTTATGGGCAATCTCGTAATGTCGAACATCATCGCCAATTACATATAGAAAAACAAGCTTTTCTTAGTCATGGTCTGCGATGATTGATCTGATTTATTTGTGACATACACGGGGTGTTATAAAAGTTGTATTTTAGTTTCAATTTTTCCTTAATTTGGTCTTTGCTAAATAGGAAAGTTAAAAAAAGTAATTTGAGACGTCATCCGGAATATGCAGGGGTAGAATCTGGAATCCACAGCGTGGAATCCAGAATCTAATACTGTCCTGGATTACCTTACATGGGGCGACACGTTCGGAAAAATCTGTAAGACCCATTCTTCTAATCGGTAAAGGACGGGTAGGAAGCGGCTGTACACAGGTTAGCCTACGTGTAACCGTACCTACATTACATTCTCCAAAAATATGTAGTTATGGTTTCGGACCTGATTACTGACTGACGTACTTTTTAACTAGTATCGATCTCTTTATAAACATTTATAGAAAACAAGGAAATTTCAAAGGCACGTTAATTCTTAAGAAGCCTGCGTGATGTAAAATTTGTCTTTTTGATCTTTATCAACTCGCTGCCCGCAAGCTGAGAAATCTTCTACAACTGACTGATAAGTAAAGTATTTAAAATCACGCCTACAGAACGAATTAAAGAGTAAAATATGATGTCAAACACTTATTTTTAATTACGGAAACTGAAATCTTGTCACACAATCTGAAACACTGGTGTTTTCTAAATTTAACAAGGACACTATCTGAAGGTCAAAAGCAATGAATCTATGAATCGTTCTGAAACAGGAAAGGCAACCTCCGAGGTGCAACGAGAGAGAAAACACATGACTTGAAACATCGGAGTAAAAATTGACTGAACTCTCGAAAGTAACAGCATTCAGTTACGACTTAACACTCATGGCACTAATTTGAATTGAACTTTTATTTTCAGACGTTACAGCATCACGTAGCTTTTTTGAAATAACGACAATTCATTCGTCCTTTGTTTTTGGACTTCCGGTAGAATAACTGACGCTCATCAGGACTTGCGTAAGGACACCCAGCCTATAAACACGACATATCTTTCCTATATAGTTAAAACCAACGACGGAGCAGTAGGTGAACGATGGAGAACGCTAAGTTGAGGTCGATTCCGAAGAAAACAAGTGAAAGATATTTTCTTTGCAAAATATGCCGAAGTCTTTTTAAGCGATTTCGTCGATGTGAATGCTTGTTGGATTCGTTGGATGGAAAAGGATGCAACTGCGTGAATGAAGATGACGAGGAAGTCTCTAACGAATGTGAAGGATTCTATCAAGATAGCAGTTCTCAAACTGACTTGATGCATGGTGAGTGTTTTTTTCTTAATTAAAGTAAAAAAAGTATAAAGTTTGCGTCGTCCTTTAGAAATTCCTCGAGGCTTCTCCTTTCGTCAGCAAAGGGTGCAAAAATCGAATGAGGGATCAATCGGTACTATTCCATCATATTCCGTCGTAAGTTTGACAAGTCTGACTGAAGAAGCTCCATGTTACGTGACTGAAGTAATAACTAACATTAAAGATCGAAGAACGACACGATGTAAAGTTGAATTATTTGTAATCTTTTATCAGCTCCGCCTTCGAATCCTCCAAGGGTTGTCTTTCAACGATCAGATTCGATTGCATGTCGAAATCCCATGGATGTATCTCAAATACTTGATTTAAGTCCAAGAAACTTTATCTTCGCAAGAGATAATCCTCAAAATTATCGAGAAATACGGAATCCATACGTGCTGGTGATAAACATTGTAAACTTTATCAAGGACCCACGACCAAGGAATGGGGCTAAACACGATCAAGATAACGTGGAGAGGTTTGTAAGAGAAGCTGGTTTCAGCAGTGTTCTGTGGTATTTTGACCTGGAAAAACAAGATATGCTGAAACTTCTTGAAGAAACCCGAAAAAATGCAGATTTGGGTAAGTAGCTCTACATGCAGTCTCTATTTTTGTTACATCCATGAGGTTCGTGCACTTTAAGTTTCGATTAGACCGGAAGTTAGCTGCTGCAGCAAAGTAACATACTCTTAAAGTGTCATGGTTTTAAAAAACCATTTCCTATTGCCATATCTATTTGCAACGTTTCCGACTTCTACTCCTAAATTCTATGGCGTCCAGAAGAGGTTTACTTCAAAGTTTGATTTGTCTTAAATGAGTATGTAGATCTCAGAACTTTTTCCTCGTTCATTGATAAAAGCACTCACAGGAAGGTGTGGTATTAAAACCAAAGGGAAATTCTGAGCTGCCAAAATAACTTTTTGCCTAAATTATATTGCAGTGAAGCTCCCTCTACCTCTGTTCAGTACTTTGAATTGCAACTGATACAATGTTGATTTCTTTCGTTATTCTGTTACAGTTGAAAATGACAGTTTTATCTGCATTATTATGAGCCATGGCAACAAAGAAGGTATTTTATGCAGAGATCATGAAACTATTTCAGTGGAGAACATAATGGAGAAATTCCAGGGAAACAATGATGCTTGTCCCCAGCTTGCAACAAAACCAAAATTGTTCTTTGTTCAAGCATGCAGAGGAGAAAGTGATGACAAAGGGTACTTTGCACCAAGAGGGCCAAAAGATGTTTATCCTGATACATCTGACAACAATGAGATGCCTGTAAAACTTCCCTCCGATGCAGATTTTTTGATCGCCTATTCCACCACCAAAGGCACAATCTCTCACAGACGCTTCACAGTTGACAGAAGATATGCTGAAACACATAAGGAAAGTCTGGGTTCTTGGTTCATCTCTTGCTTGGTACAGGTTCTATGTGAGAACTCTCACAAGGAAGACTTAATGACTATGCTCACAAGAGTGAACAGAGCCATGTGTGAATTTTACACTGAAGGTGGAAGCAAGCAGATTTCATGCCAACTTTCTATGCTCACAAGGAAAGTCTACTTTTCTAACTTCCTTGATAAGAAAAAGTGTGTAGGCAGCAACACAAATTAGGCAAACCTTGACGACCAAACTGTGTTAATGGTGGCAGGATTAGGGTGGAGCCTGGAAGTGGAGAGGAGTATCACCCTTTTTATTAATTTGTGGTGAGCCCTTCAACTCCCAATGTACAGAAATTTGTAGAAACAAATAACATCCTCAGCTGACGGGTTTGTTGTTGCTTCTTTTACTTTTCTTGGATGGACTGTTGTTATGAACAAATTGTACAGCTTTCTGAAAGTGAACAAAAAGAGTTCAAATAAGTACTATCAACCTTCATCAGTGTTTTGGACCTTGCCCACAATTTTTAGCTTGCCTATTATCTCAGTACCAGAACTGTGCCAGGTTACAAAAAAGTTCTATGAACTAAAGATTATTAAGCATTACATGCTACATAAGTATATTTCTGTAAAACTCATTTATGAAGAGCCAAGGCTCAGAAACACCCTGAAATATTTTGGAAATTGTTAAAATGGGGCCAGTTGCATACAACAGCAGCAGTAAAGCACATAAATGTATATGATATTCATGCTAGTTTTCAGTGAAAATAAAGATGTTGTTACCAACTTTATAAAGTACATGACTAGATTAATAAAATGTGTCATGACACAGAATCATTTGATTTTGTCTAGAGTAAAATCTATGAAAATGCTACCAATGTTCTTATGTTTGCCATAAGAGACTCTTTCCTTTCCCTTCCCTCCCCTCCTTCAAAGCAGGCAGTGGTGGTATGTTAATAAAGGTTTACTGTCGACAGCACTTGAACAGAATAATTTGAGACATGGTTTGGTGCTACTCTTGTTTAAAGATTTATTGAATGTAACCGAGAAGTTACAAGTCATAGACCCAACCTTTTCGACAATCCTGTCTACTTCCTTTATCAGGGGTGATCTAATCGCTGTAACAAGAGGTCCTTTATATACTCACTAATTAACTGCCCTTTTTTCTGATGAGGTACAAGATAATTTTGAATTGCCAAGAGAATTTTGAATAGCTACAACATTAAAGTTGCTAAAAAACCTTTTCAGACTTTAGGGCGTATTTTTTCTAAACGTAAGGATCCTGTTACGAAAGAGCAACGATTTTATTCCGTACGATGACTGTGATCACAAGTATATCGGACAGAACAAACGATAGTTGGTACACGTTTAAGAGTGTCAAAAAGCGGTCTTCTTTTACAAAAAAAGAAAATTCAGCTTTGACGGAGCACGCATGCCTAACTAACCATACAAATGGGTGGGATAAGCTAAAAGTATCACCCCTAATCAGCGTCACCACCAACGCTTTTTTCGGAAGCCTGCCGGGGGGCATATCATCTCCGCCCTCTTGATGATGACAGCTTACTACCTGAGGCCTATTTACACCTCGTCAGAAAAAAGGGCAGCTAATTAGTGAGCAAATAGAAGGACCTCTTCTTGCAGCTATTAGATCATCCCTGATGAAGGCATTAGACAGGAGTGTCGAAACGTCGGGTCTATGAATTATAACTTCTCGGTTACATTCACTGATTAAATCTTTTAACCAAAGTAGCATCAAACCATGTTTGATTGTCTACCTGGTAGCCTTATGAACTTTAATATATCAGAATAATATGACCTGATTAAAGAAGCAGGCTCTAAAAATCTGACTGTTCGATTTTAGAGTCAAACAACATTTTCTAGGAAAGAAAATAGCAGCGGGCCACCTTAAACCTTCATAGAATCATTGCTCCAGAGAATTCATAGCCGACGTAATGTGACTTGACTTGGTTAACCTTTTAAAGAAAAAAGGAAGTATAGAAAAGAGAATCTGTTATTCTAGGAAAATTACCGTGTAAATGCAGATCTTTCGCGGTTTTGCAAGGGTTTAAGTATAGTTAAGTTGGTTGAACACCGTTTTATGGGCAATCTCGTAATGTCGAACATCATAGCCAATTACATATAGAAAAACAAGCTTTTCTTAGTCATAATCTGCGATTTATTTGTGACATACACGGAGTGTGATAAAAGTTGTATTTCAGTTTCAATTTTTCCTTAATATGGTCTTTGTTAAATAGGAAAGTTAAGAAAAGTAATTTGAGACGGAATCCGGAATATGCAGGGGTAGAATCCGGAATCCAGCACCTGGAATCTGGCATTCACAGCGTGGAATCCAGAATGTAATACTGTCCTGGATTACCTTACATGGGGCGACACGTTCGGAAAAATCTGCAAGACCCATTCTTCTAATCGGGAAAGGACGGGTAGGAGGCGGCTACACACAGGCTAGCCTACGTGGACCCGTACCCTCCCCCCTCCCCGCGTCTACATTCTTCAAAAATATTTAGTTATGGTTTGGAACGAAATCTTAAACCTACGTGACAATTACTGACTGACGCACTTTTAAACTAGTATCGATCTCTTTATAAACATTTATAGAAAACAAGGAAATTTCAGAGGCACCTTAATTCTTAAGAAGCCTGCGTGATGTAAAATTTATCTTTTTGATCTTTGTCAACTCGCTGCCCGCAAGCTGAGAAATCTTCTACAACTGACTGATAAGTAAAGTATTTAAAATCACGCCCACAGAACGAGTTGAAGAGTAAAATATGAAATCAAACACATATTTTTAATTACGGAAACCGAAATCTTGTCACACAATCTGAAACACTGTTATTTACTAAATTTAACAAGGACACTATCTGAAAGTCAAACGCAATGAATCTAGGAATCGCTCCGAAACAGGAAAGGCAACCTCCGGGGTTCAACGAGAGAGAAAACACATGACTTGAAACATCGGAGTAAAAATTGACGGAACTCTCGAAAGTAACAGCATTCAGTTAGGACTTAACACTCGTGGCACTAATCTGAATTGAACTTTTAGTTTCAGACGTTACAGTATCACGTGGCTTTCTCGAAATAACTGCAATTCATTCGTCCTTTGTATTAGAACATCCGGTGAAATGACTGACGCTCACAAGGACTTACGTAAGGACATCCAGCGTTTAAATTTTAAAAGCGAAAGGTTTTTCCTCTATAGTTGGAACTAACGACGTAGCAGTAGGTGAATGATGGAAAGCGCTAAGGTGAGGTCGATTTCGAAGGAAATAAATGTAGAATATTTGCGTTCTCAAATTGAAACATGGCAACGTTTTCTTGAGCGATTTCGTCGATGTGAATGCTTAGAGTTTGGTGGACAAGGATGCAACTGCGTGAATGAAGATGACGAGGAAGTCTTTAACAGATGTGAAGGATTCTATCAAGATAGCAGTTCTCAAACTGACTTGATGCATGGTGAGTGTTTTTTCTAATTAAAGTAATGTAAAAAGTATAAAGTCTGCGTCGTCCTTTAGAAATTCCTCTAGGCTTCTCCTTTCGTCAGCAAAGGGTGCAAAAATCGAATGAGGGATCAATCGGTACTATTCCATCATATTCCGTCGTAAGTTTGACAAGTCTGACTGAAGAAGCTCCATGTTACGTGACTGAAGTAATAACTAACATTAAAGATCGAAGAACGACACAATGTTAAAGTTAAATTATTTGTCATCTTTTATCAGCTCCGCCTTCGAATCCTCCAAGGGTTGTCTTTCAACGATCAGATTCGTTTGCATGTCGAGATCCCATGGATGTATCTCAAATACTTGATTTAAGTCCAAGAAACTTTATCTTCGCAAGAGATAATCCTCAAAATTATCGAGAAATACGGAATCCATACGTACTGGTGATAAACATTGTAAACTTTATCAAGGACCCACGACCAAGGAATGGGGCTAAACACGATCAAGATAACGTGGAGAGGTTTGTAAGAGAAGCTGGTTTCAGCAGTGTTCTGTGGTATTTTGACCTGGAAAAACAAGATATGCTGAAACTTCTTGAAGAAACCCGAAAAAATGCAGATTTGGGTAAGTAGCTCTATATGCAGTCTCTATTTTTGTTACATCCATGAGGTTCGTGCACTTTAAGTTTCGATTAGACCGGAAGTTAGCTGCTGCAGCAAAGTAACATACTCCTAAAGTGTCATGGTTTTAAAAAACCATTTCCTATTGCCATATCTATTTGCAACGTTTCCGACTTCTACTCCTAAATTCTATGGCGTCCAGAAGAGGTTTATTTCAAAGTTTGATTTGTCTTAAATGAGTATGTAGATCTCAGAACTTTTTCCTCGTTCATTGATAAAAGCACTCACAGGAAGGTGTGGTATTAAAACCAAAGGGAAATTCTGAGCTGCCAAAATAACTTTTTGCCTAAATTATATTGCAGTGAAGCTCCCTCTACCTCTGTTCAGTACTTTGAATTGCAACTGATACAATGTTGATTTCTTTCGTTATTCTGTTACAGTTGAAAATGACAGTTTTATCTGCATTATTATGAGCCATGGCAACAAAGAAGGTATTTTATGCAGAGATCATGAAACTATTTCAGTGGAGAACATAATGGAGAAATTCCAGGGAAACAATGATGCTTGTCCCCAGCTTGCAACAAAACCAAAATTGTTCTTTGTTCAAGCATGCAGAGGAGAAATTGATGACAAAGGGTACTTTGTACCAAGAGGGCCAAAAGATGTTTATCCTGATACATCTGACAACAATGAGATGCCTGTAAAACTTCCCTCCGATGCAGATTTTTTGATCGCCTACTCTACCACCAAAGGCACAATCTCTCACAGACGCTTCACAGTTGACAGAAGATATGCTGAAACACATAAGGAAAGTCTGGGTTCCTGGTTCATCTCTTGCTTGGTACAGGTTCTATGTGAGAACTCTCACAAGGAGGACCTAATGACCATGCTCACAAGAGTGAACAGAGCCATGTGTGAATTTTACACTGAAGGTGGAAGCAAGCAGATTTCATGCCAACTTTCTATGCTCACAAGGAAAGTCTACTTTTCTAACTTCCTTGATAAGAAAAAGTGTGTAGGCAGCAACACAAATTAGGCAAATCTTGATGACCAAACTGTGTTAATGGTGGCAGGGATTAGGGTGGAGCCAGGAAGTGGAAAGGGGTACCACCCTTTTTATTAATTTGTGGTGAGCCCTTCAACTCCCAATGTACAGAAATTTGTAGAAACAAATAACATCCTCAGCTGACGGGTTTGTTGTTGCTTCTTTTACTTTTCTTGGATGGACTGTTGTTATGAACAAATTGTACAGCTTTCTGAAAGTGAACAAAAAGAGTTCAAATAAGTACTATCAACCTTCATCAGTGTTTTGGACCTTGCCCACAATTTTTAGCTTGCCTATTATCTCAGTACCAGAACTGTGCCAGGTTACAAAAAAGTTCTATGAGCTAAAGATAAGTAAGCATAACATGCTACATAAGTATATCTCTGTAAAACTCACTTATGAAGAGCCAAGGCTCAGAAACACCCTGAAATATTTTGGAAATTGTTAAAATGGGGCCAATTGCATACAACAGCAGCGGTAAAGCACATAAATGCTTATGATATTCATGCTAGTTTTCAGTGAAAATGATAGCACAGGGAAGAACAGTCCTTTACAGTAAAGATGCTGTTACTAACTTTAGATAGTATGTGACTAGATTAATAAAATGTGTCATGTCACAGAATCATTTGATTTTGTCTAAATTAAAATCTATGAAGAATGCTACCAATGTTCTTATGTTTGCCATAAGAGACTATTTCTTTTCCCTGTATAAACACTGTATAAACAGTGGGATTGACTGGTACTGGCCAGTGAATGGTTACTTGATTAGATCATTTTGCTGTTGTGTGCTTGGTTGCCAAGCCTTTGAACAGGAGTGAGGCTAAAGTTGACCTTGTTATGCTTTTCAAATGCAAATTAGTTTGTTATCATGCTAACTAGATACTGGTCTCCATCACAGCAAGGTCACCTTCAGCCTCACTCCAAATCAAAGGCTTGGCAACTAAGGACACAACTGTAAAATGGCCTATTGTCACTTCCTGAGCCAAGACCATGGGAGGGTGGGATCAGCTGTCAAAGCAGCTTAAACCTCCAAAGCAGCCTAAGCCTCCAAGCAGCTTACAAACTGTTGCTAAGAAATTGAGCACGGGGGAATCCCATAAACTGAACTACTTAAGGGAGTCCTTGAACTAATCTCAAAATAATAGTACTCTCTTTAAAATTCCCTCCTCATGCCCCTCCCTCGGAACAAATCCTTAGAATAAAGACAGGGAATTATATGGCTTGGATAAGGCTATGCATATTGTTACTTTTTATTAGTTGCCCAACAGTTAGGCTAGACAAAATACATTTGTTTGTAAAACTGTGTATCCGCTTGTGATTTGGTGGAGTGTTCTTGACCAAAGTTGCTGTGTGTCTATTCAGTATTCATTAAAGCTGATGAAAAGGTTCAGAAGAAAAATACACAAAATGTTGGCACTCAATGTGTTATTAAAAAGCTCTTCTTCTATCAAACACTTCCCAAATCCAGTCATTCTCAAATAAGCCCTCAGTATAGAAGCTTTGGTAATTAATCATGTACTTCCTTCAATAAGTGCCCTGTTACTGATATAATATATTAGCTTGAAGGAGGGGTACTTATTGGAAGGAGGGTGATTAATCACATGAAGAGCTTGTCAGGAACTTTTTGACTCTTTCGGATTCAGCTGTTAATTGAAGCTCAACAAGGTATAAAGAACATGGCAATAGAAACAGGTCTTCCCAGTGTCTTTACCAAGAAAACGAGGGAGGAGGGGTTGCACACATTGACTCAAAAGCCCAGAAAGTGGGTGCCTATATTAGGGAGGGCACTTAGAGCATGGGTGTTTATTCAAGGAAATGCATTACAGCCTTCAGGGCTTGATGAAACATTTCAGTATTTGGTGGGAAGGTACTCAAGATATTATTTGGAATAAGATTGTGGCAGGAGTTTATCTTGTGTATGCACAAATCCAAAAGCTATTTGTCAGAGGTACTATAATAACAGAAAAATGTTAATCCATATGTGAATTAAATATCCATGCTTTTTAACCCTTTAATTCCCAAGACCTGATGGTGAATTCTCTCTTCTGGGTGCTACACATTTCCTTGTAAACTAGCTGCAAGAATTTGGTGTTCAATCAATCTCGTACCTGATAAGTTTGAGTTTTGCTGGATGATGTATGGATACTGTAGGGTGAGGTCACGTGTTAATCACTTCTGGGAGTTAAAAGGGTTAACAGTGTCCTGTTTAAGGTGAAGTGCCATAAACTTCAGGTTTAATGCAGGAATTAAGTCAGAGGGTGACAAGTGTACTTTCAAATTAACAGTAATTCAAAAACAAGGTAGACAACACCTTTGCAGTATACAAACATGACAACAAAGTTGCCACCAAATTAATATAACATTAAGAGTTTAGTGACTCCTCATGTTTTGCCAGCTCCTGTTTTTGAAATTATTAATGGTTGCAAGTTGGAGTTTCAAACAAGTAGCCAGAATTGCAGTGTTGCACAGGGGTATAATCTGAGCAATTTTATCATACAGTAGATGAATACAGTGTAACCCTTGTGAAATGGCTCTTGGAATTCCTAGGAATTCCTAGGAATAAAGGTGTGAATTTTCACGGTAAATTCGGACTGGGAATTCCTAGGAATTCCTAGGAATTCCCAACCATAACAACTCTGGTTCTAAAAACCTAGAAATTCCTAGAAATTCCCAGAAATTCCCAGAGATTCCAAGTTTATAGCCAACAGGACTTGGAATTCCTAGGAATTCCTAGGAATTCCAACTCAGAGAACCAATGACTTTCCCTGAAAAGCTGTAAATCTAAAAAATTCCTAGGAATTTCTGGGAATTTCTGGGAACTTCTGGGAATTTTTGGGAATTTTTAGGAATGTTTAAGAATTACTGGGAATTTTAAGCAAAAATTTGAGGCTAATGATATAAAATAAATACTTTAAATTAAAAAAAAAAAAGCTAAAATTCAAGTATTCAATGAAATTTATTTAGAAGCTTAATTAAGGCTTACATGTAAAATATTTTTGATTAATTACTAACATCAATGTGTGGTAATATTAGGATGGAATTTGATTTATTTTTCTTTCCTTGAAAACTTCATACGGATTAATCCTCAATTACAGCTATTCATATAAAATAGTTCTAATCAATCATTAAATTTGGTTTGACACAAATTGTGAATAAAATCTGTTGATTCTCTTCTATAAAATACAATATCTTAAGTTCTATTTATATAGTTATATTCTTGGGAGTGAAGGGGCTAATTACAGACAAATAAAATTGATTTTTTGATTAAAATCTTGTTGTAACTGTAACAATAAATTAGAATGAAGTTATCCTAAACTGCAAACTTAGCTGCTGTTTGTACTGTTTGTATTTTTTTTCCTGGGCTCACAATGAGTTGGCCTTGAATGAGGTTGTCAACAAGAACCTTGACCATTTTGTATCTGGATTCCTTGACATCTGAATTTGAAAAAAAAAAATATATTAAAATATGTATGTTTAAAGCTCAGACCAGGCTTTTAAGATGGCTATGAGGAAAAGGGCATTCATTGGATTCTCAAATTGAGAAATCTCTGTTATATTGAGTGACTTTTATATTGGAGTTAGTACATCTCTCTCATGGATTTTACTAAAAAAGGGCTGAATACATTATTTTGTTTTTACCAAGGAGGGCTTCTTTATGTACTAAGGTTTGTTATGAATCTTGAATGTTCCCAAACGTGACTAGAGGAATCTTGAAACCTTGCTGATAGGTTTATTTCATTGTAAAGCATAAGCTTAAGAAACTGCGGCATGCAAGTGACCGATTCGATTCTCAGAATTATTCTAGTTTCAGTTGCGCCGAGCGTTATGTAAGCTTAATTCAACCCGCTACATCTATTATTTTATAAGATTTTGATCTCGTAACGAATATCACAATTTTTACTCACCACAAACTTTCAAAATCGTAGCTTTACAGATGGCCACTCGACCCTTGTTTGTACCAGTCCATATGTCAACTGTTGTCCCTTCTTTTAACTCCACGGCGCCAACGACTTTCTTCTCTTTTACAACACTCACGCTATTCTCGTTTTCTCATTGAACCACAATAATAGCTATCTTTAGAAATGTTATATTAAGCAAAACAGTTGAGAAAAGCGATCAACCGACGAAAAGTACATTCAAAGATGAGCGCCAAATGGAGTCTTCTTTGTTTCCGATCACGGGCATGATCACGTGGATCTTTTAGGACTTGTCATTGGCTAGCAAAGTGAATCCGCTGGCTTGCCGATTGCAGTGTTAAGATAAGCGCACAACTTTATTCTGACTTCTCCGACCGGTTCTCTGCTTCTAGAAGATGGATAGCTTGGTGATATAAATAAAGATGTGAGCTCACTCTATGTAGAAATAATCGACAAGAATCGATCGTATTACAAATGCACGATTTGTGGCCGAAAGTTGTCGAGGAAACAAAGACTCGAAACTCACTTGAGTTGTGTTAATGGCAAAGGTGAAAAATACAAAGCCAATCACAGTTTTGAATGCGACTACAAATCGTCTTTTACCCTCATATTTATAAAAGAAGGATACCACATTCGGAAGTATAAGAGATACATAGATGATCCTAGTGTACCAGTACCTAAATCTACAAAGCTTGACCGTAGCAAGCGTTCAGCAACACGTTCCAACACCGCCATCTCGATTCCTCAGTCAGTCGTTTCCACTGAACTTAAAGCAGTATTGACAACAGAGTAGAGTGCGTCTTACAAAGGAGAAACATTTGTACAAGAGACAGGAGTAGCTATATGCGATTACAGAGGTGCGTTGGAACTCTGGTCCATAAATAGTTATGCACTGTATAAAATAATTTTGTTGATAGCTGACAGACAGAGAAGAACAACAAGTAAACTTAAGAGCTGTTATTATTGAAGTGTGACTAGCACTTTTCATTTTTATATAAAGAAGGACTTGTAATTTGCACCAAAAAATAAAAAGATGTAATATTTTTTTTTGGGAGATCCAGTGATTGGGACATTTAAGAAATTAAGTTATGAAAGGAAACTTGGTTGGTACTTCTCACTACTAACAAGTCTTGTTGACAAATATTTTCAGATCAGAGTTTCAAATAAAGTAAATTGAAGACGTCATATAAAAAGGTGTTTTTTTTCTCAAAGGAACATTGACTACCTCTGTCTTGTCTGCATGCCAAATGTTTGCAAAGTGTGTGGATGATCCACAAGTATTGGAACTCTTACAAAAAATGTTTTGTAAGAATAAAAACAGCAAAACAAATTACAGCAATTAGTCATGAAAATAGAGCAAAAACTGAAAAAAAAAAAAAGCAGCAACAACAATCATAAAAAAAAAAGAAGATTAATTAGGTGTTGAATTTGTTTGTCTAAGGCATGAAATTTCTACTAAAAGTATTGTCAACAAAAAGTCTCTGACAGCGTTTGAGGCAACTGAGCTTGACTGTTCCAAGGTTTTCTAACAAAGGCAACCAGTAATGTAGGTTAGGGAAGTAAGATAACAATGTAATTATTGTTGATTATTGTGGAAGTTGGCAATTTCCATTTAACATAACTGACAGCTGGTTCATGAGAAAATCCATATTAATGTAAAGATTTACTAAAACTTAGTTTGAGTAATAAATTTCATGATCTTTAAGTTGTAAACATGTACATGTATGTATATCTCTTGGTAAGTTTTGTATAGCATACCTTTTATTGAGCCAAAGTTTTAAGCCTCTGAAATTACTCTTTTTCTTAAAACGTTCACATTCAAGGTATTGAGAATTTCTTAGAATTTATGTGGACCTCAGGGTATTAAAATTGCTTCAAATTCAATTCCCAGAAATTCCCAAGAGTTCCACACTTCTTAAATTATAGGTAGTTTGTAAAGCTGAGAATTCCTAGGAATTCCAAGGGATTCCAAGTCCTCACAAAACTGGAGTCTTCCTTTCCCAGAAATTCCCAGTAATTCCAAGCTTTCTAAATCAGAGTTACTTTGCATAGTTGGGAATTTTTGAGAATTCCCAGAAATTCCCAGAAAACTGGGAATTCAGTTTGCAAGGGTCATTTGCATAATTGGGAATTTTTGAGAATTCCTAGGAATTCCCAGAAAACTGGGAATTCAGTTCGCAAGGGAACCAAGTTACTGGCATTTCATGCAAATATTTCAAGGTCACCATTTAAATATCATGTAAACCTTTATTTAAGCTGTGCTTGCATTAAGCCTATAACCTCCAGGTTATTGATCACAAATACAGTAATATATGAGTATGTTGACCACACCACCCTAATAGTTATAAAGTTCAACTGATCTATTTCTTGAATGAACTCTTTTATCAAGTGAGGTGATTGTTAGTTAATGAATGTAAGAGAAAAATGACCAGCTCATTTTGTCCCAAATGACGAGAATAACTCATAATCAATGAGATTACACACAAAAAATTCCACTGACAACAAGCACTGTAAGTGTGGGTCTGGGAGGGTTGATAAAAATCTTCATGACACAACCAAACCAACGGCTCAAAGTCAGGGCTTTACCATCCCATGTCAATTGACAACAGAAAACCTGGTGAAACACTTTCAATCAAAAGCAGATCTCAGGCAGTTGATGACATTATTGATCATTAATTACAACAAACAAATAAGCTGTTGTGACCATCAACCACAAGATCTCTGATGTACATGTACTGTCTGTGGACAAAATTAGCCATTAAAATAATAGTGTATAAATATAAAGGTGTGTGTATCTCCACAGAAGCAGGTGTAACTTCTGATTCATTAAAATAAAAAGAAAGCATTATGAAACTTAACTGTTTGCAATTTGACATTAAAATAAAAAGAAAAATGCCCAAGGTATTCCAGCTTTTAGGAATCCCTCACTAGGTCCACTAATAAAATGCATAAAAGGCCTATGAACATTTCACATATTTTCCACTTCATTATAGCAACAAGCCTAACCTATCAAATTAAGCCCAAGAACTCAGCATAATAGCCACAGAATTCAATCTCTGATCACTACTCACAATAACTGAAAACCCAGTGTCTGAGTCAGTCAGTGTAACCATGTTACCTGATTGCCACAGTTATATTCACAATAATATAACCAACATTGTTTAAACCTCTAATGATACTACAAGTAGTTTGTATACATGCAGCATATCAATTGTATAAATAAAAATAATTTAAATACAGGTTAATCTAAGCCTGTCGAAGTGTGGGTCTGTTACTATGCAATAATGAGTGTACCATAGGATAAATCACATACATCAGCATTCAGCACACCACTTAAATGCACCGACTGAAACACTCTGTCACTAATTCTACTTCTAATGATATATTTAAAAGAAGCATATTAAATAAAATGGGATGAGAAAAAGCCTTGGATGCCTTGAGAGACTTTAAACCTAACATTGCATTTTGTGATATTATTATACCCTGATCATTAGACCTTAAATTTTTATCAGCAACAACAATGACCAAGTTCACAAGACAAGGAAACATCTTGAGAGAACCTCTACCAAACTAGATATTCCCAGAACTACCCTAAAGAAATTTATAACTATCACTTTAAATACTACTAGTTATTTATTAGTTAAGATTCTTTCTCTCTCTTTCCAATAGTTATTTGCTTCACAGGAATTTGAGAGAAAATCCATACTATCTAGCTAGCAATTATGCACACAATTTGTAAGAACATATCACTTGTGTGCAGTAGCAGAAACTGGTGTTCCAAACATAGCCTCTCCTAAATCTTCACTGAGTTCAGCAAGCTTTTTGGGGTTGTTATAATGAGTGACAGCCTGAGCCATTGCCCACGCTCTTTTCTTGGGGTTGTCACTTTTAAAGATTCCAGAGCCAACAAAGACACCATCCACCCCGAGCTGCATCAGTAAAGCCACATCGGCTGGAGTAGCTATAAGGAATAAAAACAAGTTTACCACAGAACTGTTAAAATAATGGCATTGAAATCAAGAGTAAGACAAACCAATACTTACCAAGACCACCTGCAGCAAAGTTAACTACAGGAAGACGCCCCATTTCAGCAGTCTTTTTAAGAAGTTCAAAAGGAACTCTAAGCTCTTTTGCATAGGTGAACAACTCTGCTGAGTCTAGGGCTTGAGCATGGCGAATCTGATTGCGAATGGTTCTTGCATGACGAACAGCTTCAGCAACATCACCTATAAGTAGAGAATATTTAGACAAATATGGGACGTTGCTATAACTTTGCTTCAATTTAGCACTTATTTGCTCATTAATGTTTCTTTCTAGCTTGACTTTTAATAGTCAAAGCATCTTACACACTTAGGTACAGTTAAAAACCTTCCCCTGACACACAAAAAAAATTACAATTATAACGTACAATAATAGTCAATACTCTGAATGAAATTTCAATATGAACATTCAACAATGCTACAGAACACAATTAGGCTGTTTTTTTCATTCTTTCTTACCCTTACATGTATCTCTGTTCAATTGATGAAATACTTTCATGTAAAAATGAATTCACCTGTCCCTGCTTGTCCTTTAGTCCTTATCATAGCTGCTCCCTCTGCAATTCTTCGAAGGGCTTCTCCCAAGTCTCTTGCACCACACACAAAGGGCACAGTGAATTTATGTTTGTCAATGTGATGTGACTCATCAGCCGGTGTCAACACTGTTGGATTCAACAAATGTTGATGTATAAATACCACCATCAGTTACAATAAGACTTTCTTCACCACAAACAACCCCATACAAAAATGTCCTTTTGACCTCAAATTGTAACCTTAGTTACACCGTGAAAATTACAGGGCAGCTCTAGCAAACCCTTTTACTCAGCTGAGAAATTTCTCTTCTTCAAACCGTACATCCTCCTAATTAAAAGCTATCTGACAATCCCGTTACACATTGTATTTGTCTGTCAGGTACCCATGAGACTAAGAGATACTTGCAGAAATCCAAGGGTAAATTTAGGTTAAGAAGGCCAACTAACCTTCCGATTCATCAATCATATCAACACCAATAGCCTCCAGAATCTGTGCTTCAGCAAAGTGTCCAATTCTGGCCTTAGCCATCACTGGGATTGTGACAGCATTCATGATTTCTTTTGTTCTCTACAACAGAATAGAATGACTCAAATGTGAACTGACCAAGTAGATGGTCGCCAAGGTTGAACAAATCTTAATTAAATGCAAGACTAGAACTGTAAAGATGCAATTGTTAAGTACCTTAGGGTCAGTCATTCTTGCTACACCTCCTTGCTTACGAATATCAGCTGGCACTCTCTCTAAAGACATTACAGCACATGCCTTTGCGAATACAAGACAACATATCTAGTGTTAAATGCCACTCAAATTTTAACTTGACAACTTGAACAAGAATTCTAGATTATAACCTAAGCCATTAACCACAAATGAAATGCTAGCACCTTTCCTTAATGATATCACCTTGAGTGATGTACAGTGTACATGTGACTTTTTTTACACAAAATCTATCAGCTTTTGGGTTTAAGTTAATGAAAACCAAAACAAAATGGCACATATTCAGCAATAGGAGAGATCTCAATCCTCAACAAAGAGAACAGAATGATTACATGACATTTTATGAAGGTCACTGTAGTATCCATGCAGTCAATTGTGACCTGTATCCAGGCATATGTAACTAAAACACAGACCAGAGCACAGCATTTGTTTACTTGTTTATAATAATCATGTGCCAAAATAGCCCAAATAAAATCAGACTTATGATCAAGTCATAGATTCATTTTCAAGCATTTCTAAAATTGTTCAAAATTAAGTATTTTTAACAGACTAACCTACAACAAGAATATTAAAAGTAAGGAAATAATTTCAAAACCTACCCCAGCATTCTCAGCTACTCTGGCCTCCTCTGCTGTAGTAACATCCATTATAATACCTCCTTTAGCCATCTGCGCCAATCCCGCTTTGACCTTAAATGTTCCTCAAGTTTTCAAAAAGATATATATCACATAAATCAGACACCATCAAATAATCCACACCTGTTAATCATTGCTTTCCCTAAAACTGAGGGAAACTAGTTTAAAGTAAACAACTATAATTTATTTAATTTTACTGCTTGGATTTTGAAGAATTCTAAGCAATTTTAGGCCATAAGAAGAGTTACTACAGTTGGTAAATTTTCATGGTTACTGCCTGAAAAGGAGAATGCTGAACTTCTTGTTTAACATGGCTGAGCTTGAAATAGTGTTGAGAATTTGTATTTTTGCTGACAACAGTGTAAGACTGTTCAATATTGCTTTTGTGAAAATATTACAATAATCCAGAATAAACATATCTAATGAACCCTGTTAGTACAGTCATCAATGGGCAAAAAAAGAACTGGCTGTATTAACAAAGTGGCTGTATTACAGAGGCAGGGTCAAATTTCCTAATCATTTCACAGTTTCCTGAGTGGATGTTAGACTCAAGATTTATTTCCCTTCGTGTTTCTGATGAAAACAGGAAGGAGCGTTTCTTACTTGTAAATGAATTGGTTGTTTGATGAGAAAACGACAGAAAGCAATGAAATCAACTTATCAGGCATTAGGTTTTCTAAATTTAGCACTGGTGGCTGTATTATCCAAATAAGATTAACAAGGATTCTACTGTGTGGGATTTTGAAATGTGGCTGTTGGCCATACTAACAGATGACTGCATTAACAAAAGTATTTTTATGAGAAAAAGTACAGCTGTTTTGCCCATCCATAAAAGAGTGGCCATAAGGCAGGGTTCCACTGTATTTTAAAAGCATAGAATGAGGGCAGTATCGCTAAACCTGTATTTATGACCTATAGACAAAGCTGGCTACTCTAAAATTAAAATTGCATAACTGGAAACTTTTCACTTAGGTGACCTAAAAAGTAAACAGAAAAATTTTAAAGGCTTACCTGTCTTCTGTAGAAAAACTGTGATATCCTTTGTAGTTTTCTCCGCTGGTATGCCATTTAAAGTCAAGTTGCTCACTTCCACTTGTAAATCTAAAAATCACAGTCAAGAGAAACCAATAAATACAATAAAACTTTTTTAACTCCAAATCTATATTTATTTTTAACAACCAAGTCTAAGAAGTTGATTCTTCAGGATGGAAAAGGAAAATACAGTGTACCTTCAGCACATGATAAATTAGTAAAAATCCTATATATTCTGGATTTAATCCTAAAACAAATGTTACAAACTCATAATCCTCTTAAACTGCACTCTGTTTTAATAAATGTCCTAATGTAAAGAGTGCAGGACACAATGTGGGAAAAAAAAATTAGGATATCCACATCCCAGACAAATGTCCACCAAAAAGATAACACTCTGATAGAGGCCTTTCAGATTATGACAATGACTTTGACACCTTCCTCTCATTGGTACTAGTTTCCCTTGAGCCATACCTCGTGTTCTTTTTTCAGGATTTTGTATTTTCCCTTGATATTGACAAATGGTCTGATGAGATCTTAAATAGCAATTTATTAAAATTTGTATCCATGTGTGGGTTTTGATGATTTCACATTAGGGAGTTTTAAATCCACATTTGTTTCTGAATAGGTGTTACAATAAATGTCTAGGAGTCACGTGACCAGACTCCAGAGGTCATGTTTGCCAATTGCCCGTTGCTGTCCACGTTTGAACCTCAGGCAAGGAAGTTTCCAGTATTTAAACTCCCTTGATACTTTTTGCCTTCCTGTTTGAACGTTCTCTAGTATGTCCTATAGATATATGTGAATTGAAGTCTTTTCTTTATAACCATTCCGTTTGGGATGCTAGCAAACAAGTCTTTTAGCCACATTTTGTGTTTGAAATAAAGGACCTCCATCCTTTGTGTAATTCAAGATAGTGCCGTACATATTGATTTTTTCAGGTGAAATCTAACGTCAATCTAAAAAGCTGAAAGTCTGGAAACCTCTACCCTCTAACTAAAAACTGCTGACCGCGGTTTGACGTCTACAGAGAACACTCCTGACGTGAATCTAACACTCTCTCTTGGTAAATACTACCCCTCAACTCAAATGTAAACTTCATATTCCTTTCCATTTATCCTTTAAAAGACACTTCGTAACAACCTTAGCATTATTTTCTCTACTTCAGAAAGGAATTCAGTGAATTTTCTCAAACTCTTGCAACAGGTTGGATTTGAGTTTACAACTGGCTCCTCCCAAAACGAAAATTTTGTCGTGAACAATAAACTAGGTTGCATTTCCGAGAACCCTAGACAAAAACACACCAACTCTCTCTAATAAGTTGTCTCCTACACGACTTCGTCTAGAAAATCTGACTAACGTTCTCACATTGTATTACATAACGAATGAATTTTGTCATTGAGCAGCGAAACGTGGATTCTTAACTTGAATCATTGCATAATTCAGTTAAGGTGCTTTTCACTTTAATAAAGTTAAATCATATCGACCACCGAACAAAATGTTCACTAAGAAAATGATAAACAGAGGAGTATCACCAATGATATTCAAGTTGTCGCAAATGTGTTTAACTTATACCCTACAATTCGAAAGTAGGGGTGTTTAAACATATCCTAAACTTCTTCGTAAAATTATTGTTTACGGCTGAAGTGTGCTTAAAGTAAATGGGGTATAAAGGAACTATTAACTAACCGTGTGCTACGCCGTTAACTGTCGGGACTGCCATGACTGATTTAGAAATTAATATTCCTTTCCTCTTCTAAGACCTTTCGTTGAGTAATCTCGCGCAACAACGTCTAAAAGTTTCACAACGCTCCGTACTTTTTCACTACACGTGAGCAGTCGGCGACAAACAACGCGGGCTCCATCTCAACAATACTAGCCCCGGAGGGGAGGGTAAATTAATGTTGTCTCTCAGGAAGTGAAGCTCTAAGGTACCACAGAGATATAATGTTAACAAAGTGTAGAGGGTTTATAAAAGCCTTTGTAAATAAACAATCATAAGCTTAATAATTGAGAACATAGTAAAAATATTCACGCTGAAAAATCTTCTGCATACTACTTAAAACTACCTACCCCACCCTTGCAGCTGCCGAAATCTTGCCACGAACGCTGAAGTAGACCGCTTTGAAGACAACATGTCTGAAACTCGTGTTAAGATCAGGATAGGTGTTTTAGCAATCCAGGGAGCATTCTTCGAGCATAGAGCTGCCCTTCTCAAAGCAGCGAATGATTTAACACTCAGCAAGGAAACTGAGATTGAAGTTGTGGACGTAAGAGAGCCAGATCAACTGGTAGAGTTGGATGGACTGATATTACCTGGAGGGGAAAGCACGACAATGAGTTTGTTCCTTCAAGCAAGTAACTTTGAGAAGGTGCTTAAAGAATGGGTCGCTGCTAAAGAGAATCAGAGAGTTGTATGGGGAACTTGCGCTGGACTGATTTTACTTTCAAATGACATAGAGGGTCAGAAAGAAGGTGGACAATCAAAGGTAAGTTGTTGGTTTGAACGAACACAGAATAACTCCGAGAGGGGAGTATCACATAGTTAGTGTTTTGTGACAGAGTATAATTCCTCATGGAGTATTCCTAGCTTCTACTCTTACGCACCCAGAGCTCAGCACTTGATTCCCTTATGAAGGCCTCTCCCTCCCCCCACTTACTCCCCTTCCCCTCCCCCACTGGCAACCAGCTCTGTCTATGAACTAAGTCCTTTGCTTATTAGAGGCAACCAATCCAGGCCATCTATTTTCTCTCCTTCCCACAATCCTTCACCACATACATATGGTGGTAAGTCATGGGGTTGACATTAATGAGCACAACCCTGATGGCTGTGTCAGGGAGCATGTTCAGGATTCGTCTACTGAGTTCCTAAAGGGACTCATCAGGCATGACAGGGAATCCATGAAAGAGATGGAAAATTGTTGTGAGAATCTGAAAGGTAGTATGAGTTGTTTCTGTAAAGTAGTTGTATCAAGGAAGAAAAATCCCAATAAAACAACTAAACTCTTCTATCTATTCTATTGGTCCAAGGAAAATCTGAGTTGCCCACAAAGAATCAAACCTTAGAGTGAAACCAAATTTTACTCAAACACTTAACCATGGAGTCAGAGAGACCTTGATAGTGAGCAATGCTTTAACTGGGTTCATATGTGACAAGTATCCATCCTAGAAAATTGATATTGGTAATAGGACAGAGTGGAGTTCAATGCAGTCTGTAATCATACAAGTAATTAACAAATGGGATGACTGCAAAGTGGGAGTCTGATATATAAATCAAGAGTATGATTACAGACAGAATTGGATGACATGAAGTCCTGTTACTACTTGATCAAAACTGTGACAAAATTTGAGAAAGAAACTGGACATCGGTTTTACATTTTCATAAAAAGACGCCAACTTGGTAAGATGTGAGATAACAGCACAGGCATGATACATTCTGTTCACTTACACAGGCATGATGTGTTAAGTGTCCAATCACAAGTATGATGTGTACACAGTCCTATCAATGCTCAGGCTGGTGATAACCAATCATGTTCCAGAATTTTGTTATAGTTTTTGATTAGATTTATAGTAGTCACTGGTCACTATAATCTTTATCATCAGATTGGTGGTATTGATGTCACAACTTCCCGGAACTTTTTTGGTCGTCAAGTCAACAGTTTTGAAGCAAATGTGAGTCTCCACAATAAGTTTCTTGAAGAGTATCATAGCAATAGCTCAAATGGATTCAGTGATGGCAGCATAGATGATGGGTACCATGGTGTTTTCATTCGAGCTCCAGCAGTGGTGTCTGTTAACAACCCTAAAGTTGAAGTTTTAGCCACAATCACTGTACCACAGAGAGAGGAACCTGTTGTGGTGGGTGTGGCTCAGGACAACTTGATTGCAACTGCTTTTCATCCAGAATTGACAGAAGATACAAGATGGCATGCATACTTCTTAAGACAAATTTTAGAGAAGATAAATCCTGCAAAAAATTGAGATAAACAGTAAAATTGGGAGGCTTGTGACCCTCCAAGAACCAATGATTTTTTATAGTTTTATATAAAATGCAGACATTTTAAGTCACAGAAGTAGAAATAGTTTTACAATCACTGATTCAAGGATATCAAAATTCTATTTTATATACTTAAAATCTAATGAAGTTACTTTATCATGTAATAAGATAGTCAAAACCTATGTCAAAACAAGATATCAGTGCTCTCTTCACAAAACAACTTTAACTCCTCAACTCATGCATTCATGTTGAGGACTATTCCAGTTGAGTAGGAAGTTTGATTCACGGGTAAGTGTTAAACTTACATGCTGGTACTTTGAATTATGGCAGCTTCTACAATAATGAGGTTGCCTGGTTAAGACTGGGGCTATTTCATGTAAAATTGATATTAATGTGCAAGCCATATAAGCCTAAACTTTTTTCAGGCCTTATTTTCACTACTGCTTAAGTAGTGTTCATTACTGCGAAGATCACTTTCATATTCACATCTTTATCCACAGTTCACATATTTATGATTTTCATATATTCACAGTTATTTATTCATCACTTCATGGGTTTATGTGGAACCAAAGTAGTGATCAGCACCCAGTTGACTAGCTAAGTTGGTAGAGCACTGCACTGGTTTCACAGAGGTCATGGGTTAAAATCCAGTACAGGCCAAAATTTCTTTTTTCAGGCCTTATTTTCACTACTCAGTGCTCAAGTTGTGTTCATTACAGCAAAGATTGCTTTCATATTCACATATTTGGAATATTGAGGGCTGTATTGAAAATTATAAGCAATTTTAATATTTCAAATAACATTGGGTAATGGTAACCTCAAGCTGTCATAAGTAATATTCACAAGCAGTTGTTTTTGTACTAGCCTTGTTATTTAATAGAACTGACTATTTTAACCAGGCATTAACAAATCATTATTTACAAGGTCGCATGTCGCTCCTACAATGAAATATCCATTATAAATGCTGTGGTTCAAACTTATGTGTTCTTAAAGATACTTTTAACTTTGTGTTTAGGTATGGTTAAGTGTAATTATAAACCATGGTAACAACAACATATACCTAGATAATTGTAGACTTGTATTTTACATGTCCAATTTTGTCTCAGATTATTTAAATTAATTAAGCATCTAGAACTGTAATAAAAGCTCTTTAGTTTGGTACTCACTCATTTTACTTTGGCATATGGAGAAATTCTAGTAAAAGGTGTGCTCAAAGGGTGCCTTATACCCGACTGTTGAAGTGGACTCATTTAAACCATTAATGCTTTTTGCGTTTATTTGGTTTGATATCTTATGATTTGATTTTTTTTAAGTCTTATCACCTCAAAACTTTTACGCAGAGGGCTAAAAACGACCAATATTTATGTAAGTTAAATCTTCCAAAGCTAAATTAAATGGTTTACAAATCACATTTATTTGGTTCTTGGTTATGATGTATTGGAGGACAGACGCATAAATGATGTTACCATGACAACATTTTTGCTTCTTTAAAACAAATAAATTGCATGTCACCGTGGGTCTGTTCAGTAATAGATCACAGATAACGTTTAAATGTGGTAAGAACAACACAGTGGTAGATGAAGCACAGCTAGGTGTGTCTGATGTTCTTGGCACATTTTGACGTAATCTGTGATCTTTAACTGAACAAACCCACGAAAACATGGAAACTATTTGTGTTATATACTAAAGAAGCAAAATGCTGTCATGGTAACATCATGTATGCGTCTGCCCTCCAATACATCTTAACCAAGAAGCATTTAAAACACGTGTAAAATTCAGCCTATTATATCACTACATGTGGGTTCATCATGGTATATTTTTTTCCATTGAGGATCAACGCCCACGAGAAATTCTTCAATCTCGTCGAACGGAGAGTAAATTGACACTTTCACGATCAGGAAAAAAGTATATATACCTGTAAATTCCAGAAAATTTTCCTCATAAACCGATGAGAATGTTCTGATAAGAACTGACTTTTTCTCAAACTGAATTAAAAAATTCGATGAAAGAGACGTTTCGCCGAGATAAACTTCTAAAACCCTTTCTACCGTCTGTTCTGCGAATTTCTGTCTATTTCAAAAAATGAGCACATTATTCACATGGACTATCCTAAAGTTATTTTTCCCGGAAAGTAACGATCAAGATTTGATCAGATTTCCTTTGGTGTCGAGGGTCGCTATGTTTGCAACTGATAGGGAACGTCACATCTCTAAAGCGCTTACGTCACTTTGTACGGGTTTGTTATGAGAGCTGTTTAGAAAACCAAGTCTAGAGCAAGCAGTAACGAAGTTAGCAATTTACTGAGTCTCGAAATAGCAAACTCAGAGGAATCAAGACATCCAATATGAACAAAGTTTTAAATTATAATTAGTCACTGATAACTCAAAGTAAGAATAGGCAAACTACCTAAACTACGAAAAGTATCTGAAGCCCTTACGTCACATCATGAGAGACTTCAATTATCTATTTGGAGATTCTCGCAGAAGTGTCTACATTCAAAGCTGTTAAAATTGCGAAATAATTTAACACGTACGCCCTTACGTCACATAATGAGAGACTTCAATAATCTATTTCGAGATTCTCGCAGGAGTCTCAACATTCAAAGCTGTTAAAATTGCGTAATAATTCCACACGTATGCGCAACCGTCTCGTCGTCAGTGCCTGGGGTACCTGTGATCCGGGATTACCCTGTGGTGGCTATTAATAATTTTTTTCGTCGACAAGAATCGAGATTAGAACATGGTAATCCCCTGAGATGTTGAGGTCCTTCTGATCTTTTCGCCTTTGGTAATTCTTTGTCAAGTTTGTGACAAATTCTGCCCGTAAACCCAGCTTCGTCATCAATTTCTCATAACGAAATATAACTTCCTGCCGGAGACCTTCAATTAGTGTTACCTATTTGGTAAATATTTTTGCTAAAAAAAGCAATTTTTTGGTTTTCCATATTTGGAGATGAGCAAAAGACAACAATTTTCACTTCAGAGCCAAATTGGATGGCAGCAACACCTTTCTGACCACGCCTTTATCTTCTTTCTTCACCTACGTGCAGATGCTCTTACTGCAGACGAAAAGGAACGAAGGGGAGATGGAGCCATTTTTCAGAGAGTCGTTCAAACGGTTATGTAACCAAGAATTTTAGATTATGTCCCATGCTGTCCTGTCTTTTTTTACCTTTCCTTACTCAAGAAAAAAGTTTTTTGTTTTCGAAAAGTTATTTTCGTGATATTAGTTACGACATTGACCTCTTTGTGAGTGCCGACAGAAACTTTAGGGAGGGGCATCTTAACTCCAGGGACTTCTGTAATCAGCGTGGATTGGGTCGGCCGCAGTCAATCATCTTGTATCATTTCTCTTTATAAGCAGGGAACAAGTTGTTTTTGGTAAACATTACATCTACTTCACGTTGACGATAAGGTTCAAAATTTGACTAGGGCTAAACAGAAAGCCAAAATTGAATTTTTTAGGATTTCCGAAAAGCAACCATGGCAAAGTTTACTCCAGCCACAAGTAAAGATTCAACGATTAAAGAAACTGGCGTTTCGGAAATCAGGAACTCGCGAGCAGATCATGATTTGAGTCTTGAAGATGTACAGGTTGATCTTGAAGGTGGAAACATAAGGCAGAAAACCAAAGAAGAGAACCATACAGATCAGCCGAAAAATCACGAAGATGTGACAGCCAAGAGGATCGAAACTCATTCAAGTCGCGCGGCGCGGGATAGATTGCCGCAGTACGAAGACAGAATGCCGTGGGTGACGAGACGTCGAGTCGGAATCGTTAAGGAAAGTGATGAAGTACTAGTGGAACGAAGGAAGGCAAGGGTTTTGAGAAAGAGATTTGGAGAGGAATTGATTCACGAGACGCCGTCCATTTTCAACAAGAAACTCTAAAATATACTGGTTAAAACTAAACAAGATTCAGCGATAAACCCTTACTGATATGAGACGTGATCATTCATGAAAAATTATTTTGAGATACCTTGACTATTGTTATATATATATATGTATGTATGTATATACATATTGTTAAATAAATCTTTACATTGTACCCTTTCGGATTGATAATCATCTCAGCCTCAAGCAACCCTATACTCCTTTCACTCATAATCTGAAATGAGTAAGATATCAATGAACAAGGTGTGGGGAAGAAATGTCATATGAAATAGCTTGTGATAGTGTACTCTGATCGTCCGGGTGAGTGTAGTCCTGAAAAGCACCGTTTTCGGTAATGGTGACTGACATTTCGACAACCTGAGTGTCAGAGTCAGCTTGTCACTTTACTCTGATAATTACTTCTGCTCAAGTTGTTGAAACGTCAGTCGCCACTACCGAAAACAGTCCTTTTCAGGACTACACTCACCCGGACGATCAGAGTACACTATCACATGTTACCCCAGGTTCAAACCATTTAACGTAGGAAATGGCTTACTCTGTAAAGTTGAAGTAAGAGTTTCAATATCTCTTGGTTTCAAAAAGTTGAACGATGTAGATAGAATCCAGACCGAGATAGACCTCAGCTGATGATTGGACTGAGGGTTTGATGCTTTTCCTTCCCTTGCCCTTACTCTATCCTCGCCACCATTGGTACTCCAAGTACCACGATTACCTTTGCGACCATCACTTCAGCTTCGGGTCTGATTACGATACTAACGAGTACACCTCCGTCTGACATTTGAAAGTACAGTTTTACTGAACAAAGATGACTCGCCAACATGACGTTTCCAGTTTAACTTTTGACGCTTCTGTCTTATATTTAAGGGGGTTCCGAAGACCATTGACTAATTTCAGACATTTATCGTCAGATACTGGAAAGGACAGCTTTATCTACTAGGAGAATCTATGGAGTAGGTTTGAGTAAGGACCATTTTCATTTGTCAAAAACCCTCTACCGAATTCAGCAGATTATTACAAACATTTGGGTCTGACTATTCAGTATTTCCTGCCACGTCTAACAATCAATGTTTCATATCGTGTCTTGCTGTTTCATTAACAATGTGTTGTGTATTTAATACCCCTAAAACAGTGGAGACAACAATTCGTTCCTTGCTTTTTAAATAATTTGTTCTTCTAATTCGACCAGATGATTAGTTAACTATGTCAGAGGTTTCAATAAAAGCGCTCACCGGCGGTCTACCGCTGCCCATAAGACCTCTTACCGCCGTTTGTTTGGCTTGTAACTAGCCTCTCTTGTTAGGGTTTTGCCTTACGGCCCCTTTTTCGTGCTCAGCCGTATATTACACTTTTGGTAGCCGCTTATGGAAAAAGTCAATGAAACTCCACTATATCAAACGTCGTTTTATTTAGCACCGATACTTTTAAATCAATCAGTTGGTTTCCGATGTCATAGTAAATGGACAATCAGATTGTGTGTATCTCGAATTTTGTTTCTTTGCTTCTTATCACCTTTTTATTTGAAAACGTGCGAATATTTCTGTTTGGTCACTCTGAGGAGTGAAAGGATTAATAATGTAGCCTTGTATGCTACTTTTTGAAGACAGTAATATGACTCTAAGTGTTTGTTCTGCTCTGGCAACAACTAATTTTGAGCTTCCTACCTGTTACCAATCTTTCTCAACCATTCACATTTTACTTGGTTTTGGTGATGAATTATTCTGATCTTTCTCTTGATTCTCATCAGATTCAGAGGGTTCTGAGCACCGCAGCTCTGCATTCAGTAACTTTCCCCACAGACTACTGTAAGGGTGTGCAACTGTAGTCTTCCTTCCTCTGTTGTCTTCGAGGTCTTTACCCTCATTGGCCCATTTAAAGATTGAACCTTCCAAATTATAAATACTAATCTTCGATTTTATTTCTTCATAAGCAGGCTTTCTCATTTCAGACAACAACTCCTGAGCAAGAGCGCTTGACCTGTAACCCACAGAACAGTAGCACACAACCTGAACACTGTCTTCAGATGATTTCCCTATAGTGAAAAAATATTTAGTGTATCAGATGGTGTTAGTGCTCATTTCTGGTTTTTGCTCACCTCTCTTAAAGTGGCTCCAGCTCCATTTTTCTCTGTAAATGTAAGATATTGGCAAAAACAAAATACTGGAACTTTTTAGATATTTAATTTCCAAACACAACTCAACAATTTCATATTGAATTATTTTTTCTCTCTCTCTCTGTAGCACTGTCCCTTTTCCCCAGACACATGCTTCTTTTATAAGTTTTGGTTTACTGCTCTGCCTCCAAGAAATCAATGCTAATTACTACTGCTGCATAAACATACTCTATACTTATTCAATCATCTAGTTATATATTTATTCATTTATTAATCTGTTTGTTTATCTATCTGTCTATTTATTAATCTTTTATGTATGTATTGATTAAAAAACATATTGCTATTATTGGTATGGCAAGTAATGTAGTACTAAAAATATTGTAAAAAAAAAGCTATTAACATGACAATTGCAATGCCAGTATTCCATGTAAATTATTAGTGTTTGAATTAGTATTGTTAGTAGTGTAAACATTATTAGTTGAGCAAGTTTCTGTAAGCTGTAAAGCGAGTTTTTCAAGTAATGTCAGTAATTGTTAGTAGAGTAAGTACTGTAAGTAATGTGAGTTTTTTAAGTAATGTTAGTATTGTATGTAATCATAATTGGCAACTCACACTTCAATAATAAACTGTCATTTATGCTAGACCTCACAGTCCACACACCACAGCAGGCCCTTGGTGGGTCATTGTGTTCTAACACTTAACCCTTACAGTGCTCTTTGCTACCCAGGAGTTTGCAGTAAACAATACTGAAATAGCATCCAAATGCAGCATGGTCTCCTTGTCTCTTGATGCTACAAAAATCAGCAATGAGTAGCAAATGGCACCCT